CCCAACCCCAACCCCAACCCCAACCCCAACCCCAACCCCAACCCCAACCCCAACCCCAACCCCAACCCCAACCCCAACCCCAACCCCAACCCCAACCCCAACCCCAACTTATTAACAAAAAAGAAAAAATTTAATTAACTCCATTTTTTTAATCTAATGAGTTCCTAATTTCTTAAAATAGTATTTTTTTTGTCAATAAAGCCAATTTTTGTAAAAGAAAATTTTTATCAATCATCCATAATCAACTAGAATGCTCTGTATGTTAGAATAAATTCAAAATAAAACTGTCACATTAATAGTCAAATGTAAGTAATTAATTGAATAATTTAAATAGAATGTACAATTTAAAAATAATATTTGAAATTTAAAAAATTTTTAATGATTTTTCAAGTTTAATTAAATCTAAATTAAAAAAAACAAATCAAACTTAAGAAATATTTACTTTTTTCATGAAAATGTTAATTAATATTATTTATTTTATATTTGATTATTTAAATTTGCAATTTTTTTATTATAGGTGTGTTGGGTCCCTTTTCAAAATATTGTTTGAATTAATAAATAAGTAGTATTTTTTTAAATTTAAATTTAATTATTTATTTAATCTTTTTATTTGAGTGAAATTTTAATTTTATTATTGAAATATTTAGGAATAACTTAAAATATAAAAATATTTATTTTACATTTTAATTTTAAAATTTATATTTTAATTAAAATAAATCAAAATTCCCATGATGTTTTTGGATCTTTATCCTTTTCGTATATCATAAATATATTATCAACTACTCCTGGCCCACAGAAAATGCATTCATTAGCTAACAGTTAATCTATTTTTTACTAAAAAAGAAATTAATAAAATTTAAAATGTTAAATTAGTTTACTTTTTATTCTTAAAGCTCCCTCTCTTCATTTAGACTCATTTGTTGTTAATTAATTTCAATTTCTTCAGATCCTCCTCTTGCAGCTGAAAAAATTTGGTTTATGTTGTTAAAGAATCCACTACCTGATTATCCTAATAAATAATTAATTTAATATTTTTTATTATTATTTAAATTTACTCTTCCTAACTTCTATTTTGAGCTGCTTCTATTATAAAATCTCAATTTCCTAATTCAATTATTCTATTTAATTTATTTTGCCTTAATCTATGTTATCTTTTTTCATTCTTTATATCAAGCAAGCCTTTTATTTGATAAAAATAAATTATTTTATTAAAAAACTATATTTAATAAAAAACATAAAGGTATAATTTATTTATTTTTACTTTATGGAATCCATGCATACAAGGAAATATATAAAAGGACTCGTTAAAGAGACTTTGCACACATTCCATGCAAGTTACATTTTGATTCATTTCAACATACCTGTTTTTGATCAACTTCAAATCTATTTGTAATTTGTCAGCTGAGTCTGAATACTATTTAATGATCTATTTTAACTCTTTAATTTCTGTATTATAATTTTATAAGCAATTGCAGATTTAATCTTTAAAATGCTCAATTTTAACATTTTCACTAAATTAAGATAGAAGATCCTCAATTTTAATAAATTATTATTCGTCATTTATCATTTTAATTACTTCTTACACATTGTTACCACCTTTGTTCAAAAGATGCTTGGCTATCTTTAGCCACATTTTCTTCTTCTTTTCTTCTTTAAAGTAAGGCTTTCTAGCAAAGCTAATAGCTGCTTCAATTAGTTCTTGATTTAAAGCCAAATCAATTGCTTCTTAATACAAATCCATCATTCTATTTGAAAAAAAGAAAAATATTTTTAAACCTTAAGTTAAAAAATATAAATAGATCAAAAATTTTTGGTAATTAAAAAATATTGCATTAAAAATGATAGCTTTTGAATATCATTTACCCGTAAATTTGAATTTGAGCATTTCTGAGCATTTTCTAGGATGTAAGTCTCAATGCAAAATCGATATCGAAATTTATTTTCTCTTCATTCATAATCTTTTTTTATTACTAAGTCAGATGTTTATTTAGCTCTGATTTATAGTTTTTATCACATAACAGATAAATATAAAGATTATGTATTGTTTTTTCTTTAAAGTTATTATCAACTAGCAACTAAACAAAACTAATTGCATCCTTTTTATGCTTTTCAGGAACGTTCATGATGCCTATAACTAGTTTTTCAGTTCTGAACTTATACTTTCTGAGAAATTCAATAGATTTCTTCATTAAATCAATTGTTTCAGGAGCATATTTCTGTAATAGAATATGGCAATACTAATTATTAATTAATTTTATTAATTAAAAACTTTTTAACAAAATGCAAAATTCTAATGTACCTTTTACAAAAGTTATGCTAACTTTTTAGGCTTATTAATACCTTTGAATACTTCTATAACATTATCAAATTATTCTTCATTTATATAATGCTAAACAATCATTTCATATGATTTTCTTTGTTTGGCAAATTAAATGCATTCTTTAAGCCTTCCATGACTTTGCATAATCTGATAAATAGACTCCTCAGGAATATCATCACAATATTACTCTAAGAACTATTCAATATTTTAATCTTAAAAATTTAAAGATCTTTCCCATTTTTTGTAATCTTGATATTTAACCCATTCAGTTCCATGCTAATCCTTTGGGCGATGAATTTTATACTCTATTGATATTTATTTTTCATTTAGTATCTTAAAAAATAAAAATAAAAAATATTTTACTTGTTACTTGCTAGATAAAATAATTGTAACGGCTAACTTTAAGCTCAATCAACCAATTAATTATCATAATCCTTTAAACTTTTGCCTCAGGACTTAAATTACTTAGCCACAGCATTAAATAAACTATTTTAATTATAAAAAACTAGAAAAATTAATTAGTTTAAATTAATATCAACCTTCTAATCCATCTACAGAATCCATATCTCCTTTTACCTGCAAATTTAAGAATTTTAATGTAATCTCTTCAAAACTTCTTGAAGTTTAAAAATACTAATTTGCAGCTTCCTGATACTTCTTAGCTTCTAAAAGGGAATCAGCATAAAGTCCTCCTAACTAAAATGTTATGATGAATCTTTTAATAAAATTTTGTAGCTTTAAAAATATACATATTCAGTAGCATCTTAACCGTTTCTCATGCTTATTTCATAAGCTTATTTTATCATCTTTTTTTCTAGCAGTAATCTCCAAGCGTCCTTAATATTATTATTTAATTATAGCTTAGTTTAAAAAGCTTGGTAATAAAATAAAAAGTTTACTGTTCCTTCATTCCTGATGCTAAGCTTAAATATTTACTTAGAAGAGTATATCCATAAAGACTAGCTAGAATAATCAAAGCTCATACCATAGACTATTCCCATAAACTTTAGATCAAACTTTTAAACTATTTTTTCGTTTATCCTAGAAAGTATTGTAAGCTAATCAGAATGTAAGAGAAAGTAGTGAAATTCACTTAAAAATATATCTATGGGCATTTCTTTAACTTTATACTCATCTTATGAATGCTCATCAGAATTTTTTGCATATTTATAATATTTTGTTTCTTATAAAGAAGAAGCATCTTAAGGAATCTAATTTAATAAAGTAATATTTATTTTAATATTTTTATCTTAAAGACTTTCAATTTATTAAATACAGAGAACTCATAATTTTAAATAACACGTTTTTAAAAATATAATTTTAATTTTTTTTAGTCTATAAATATAAAATGATTAAAAATTAAAAGAATTTTTATTTAGACTATATGCTAAAACAAACACTTTATTTAAAATTAGAATCCTAATTATTGATTGTTTTTTAAAATAGCAATTTTAAATTATTATTTAAAAAATTTATTAATATTAATTCTTACATCAAAAACTTGTAGAGCTACACCGTTTGTCCATATAAAGGAATGAGGTTCTTTTTTTCCAGTATCTTCCTTTTAAGTATAACAAACACTCATTACAGAAGTAAGTGTGATATTTGGGAATTTAAGCTCAGCTTATTCTTAACTTTCTATTGTTCTGAATTTTTAGAACATCAAATTAAATTCTGTGCCATGAAAGGTAAATATTGAAGTGCTTGTTGATACTAATATTACAATCCTAGGATTTTCTTCAGAACCTAATCTAAGATAATTAATTTAAAGGACAGATCTTCCTCCTTTAAGAGCAAGTGTTTTTTCAGGATTACAATCTATTATTTCGTTATTTTTCCCTATTTCTATTTTATAAATATAGAGCATACCTTCTTATGTTCCAAAAAGTATATTCTGTTTGATATTGATAATGCTTTTATAAAAATATATCTTAAGAATTTTTCTAAATTTACCTTTGTTGTAGTGTTATTGCAAGTTTCGTCCCATCCAACACTTTTAATAACGAATTCGGTACCCTTCAAATTTTTGAGAAATTTTATTTTATTGTGATCATAATTTAGATAAAAGCTACAACCAGAGTCACAAGTCAAAATACAGTGATAACCTAATAATTAAATGCATTAAGTAAGATATTCAATGCATTTTCCATTATAAAAATCAAGATTTATTTTGCTAATCTTGTTGATATATAAATAGCTTTAAACATCAAATTCATATATATATCCTAATGGTTTAGTTCAAAAGATATTAAAAATAAGAATAATACCATTTGGATCAAGGAAAATTCTATCAATAGAAACTTTTGGACCTTAGGCACCTAAGAATAAAATTTGTTTGCCCATATCTTTAATTTTTTCTTTGAATTCTTTATTTGGATTATCAACTTTTTTTTCAGGCACAGGATAATTTATAAATTTCTCATCAAGTTCTTCTCTCAAGCGATAAACTTTATTCTAATCTGTAACAATTACTATCTGATGAGTGCTAACTGCAAATAATTTAATTTTTTCAGAATCTAAGGGAATGCCTAATGGGTCATATTGCTTTAGGCGCTAAAATATTTCTTAGGAATTATAAATTTTATCTTGGAAGCCGAATTCATCAATCTTTATATTTTACAAATTAATTAAAACAAAATCATTAATTAGTTAAAAAGTTTATGATAGAAATATTACGCTTTCCTCCACATATCCTTCCTTTAATTAAGACATTTTTACAGGTATATATAATTCTAAATCTATTGCTAAAGTTATTTAATGAACAAACGAAATCAATAGCTAGCTACTATAAAAACAAACAACAATTAATTTTAGTATTTTTGATTGTTTACAATTAATTATAAAACTAGATCTTATAATTAATTAGTTTTTATAAAAGTAATAAATAGATACTCTTCTATATTTATAAATGCATTTTAATTATTGATTATTGATAATTGATGATGATTCATCAGATATCTATCTATCTATATATCTATTAATAAATTAATATTTTCCAATTTATCTCAAAATATCCACTAAAATAATAAGTAATCAAATCAATCTATAAAAATATTTATAAATTATTTTTTATTTTTTTAATTTAATTTTTAAAATATTATTTTGCTTTTTTTTTTTCACATTTAAATTTTTTTTAAAGATGTAATTTAATGTTAATATTTTCTTTTTTATTTTATAAAAAAAAGAAAAAAAAATCCGAACTCCCGGGTTCGAACCGGGGACCACCGGATGACTACAAACTTTACAGTCCGATGCTCTTCCAACTGAGCTAAGTTCGGTTCGTTAACATTTTCAATTAAAAGTTTTTGAACTGTTTTACAGGTTTTTAAATAATATGTAAATCAAAAATCGTAAAATAAATAATATATAAAGAGAATAAAAACCAATTAATAAAATGATTATGTTAAAATGCATTCAAATCTTCTAAATTAAATTTACAAGATCATTAAATTGAAATAAATAAATATTCTCACAAACATTTTTTCTCTAATTAAAGAAAGAATAATATTAAATTAATTGCATTTAAATTTATTATTTTTATCTTAAATATTAAAAAAGATTTTCAAATAGATTTTAATTTTTATGAATAAATATTTTTATCACGATTAATAAATGAAAATAAAAATAGTTTAACTTGATTAATAGTTAAATTAGTGTTTTTCATCCAAAAGCAAATCCTTCACTACCAAGGGTAAAGGCTAAATCAAATTTAGCCTTCATTTGTTCATAGCTTTTGTAATAAGGTACTTCTATTGATCTAAAGCATGTATGCGATAGTGGTAACTTATTAATATTCATACTAGAGACAAAATCAATAACTAGTTTGAAATTTGAATAGTCAAAAGGTATACTTCCAGAACCTTTTTAAGAAAAATATATATGATATAACAAAATCAAATGAAAATTAGAATTACCAGTTATAAATTTCAAGAAATTTTGAAGCATTTCAGTAGAAGATTCTGAAAGATATCTATAATAGTAATTTTATAAAATTGAATTTCCTCCACTAAAAGTAGATAATTTTTGTAAAAACTCTCCATTAATTTCCTTTAAACCACAAGTATAAATTGACAACTCATTTGGATGAATAAACTTGAAAAGTAAATCAGAGGGGAAAACTGACTCAAATCCTTCTTATAAGTGAGTTATTGCATTTTAGAAGCGTTTCTAAAGGAAATATTATGAAGTTTCCTAAAGATACTAATCCAAATTTTATTTGTTAACCTATGTAGACCCTCCATTAGGAATTAACTCTATCACCTTACCTTTATTTGTAAAAGTAAAGAACAAACACATATCCTCTAGGCTTTCAGCATCTAATTCCTTTTGTAAATTAGTTAATCATGAAATTAATAAAATAATTTTTTCATAAATTAAATTATTAAATTAAATACAAAAAATTAATCTTAAGGATAAAAAATTTAATAAATCGAGATTTAAATATTTTTATGCTGAGAAATTATTTAGAAAAGTGTTAAAATTATTTGAAAAATAAAAGAATTTTTGCTTTACTTTAAGTAATTTGTAGTTATTATATGTTTATGAGTCTAATACATGCTTTAAATCTTCAAATTTTATTTCTTATTTAGTAATAAGTTTATAAAGAGGTTCACAAAACTCAATACCTAGCAGAGCCTATTTTATAAAAAAAAATATTGTCCAACATTAAATTTAGAAGAAATTTTTTTTATTTTTGTTTAGTTTTTTATAAAACAATAAATAAGTTAGTTACTTCATAAAGGATTGTATGGGCAATGAATTTACCAAATATCTTGAAATACTAAACAGATTATTTCATTTTTAGGCAATTTTTGTGGAAATAATATTTTTCTGTGTTTTGGTTATTTGATAATTCAAAGAATTAGTATGTACTATCTTTCATCATCTTTCCAACTAATTCGTAAAACTCTCTTCTTAAACCACCAGCATCGATACCTTTTTCGTCCTTAAAGTTTATGTAGAGCCCATTTTTAAGATCGAAGTTTTCAAAATTAGTTAACAGTTCTTCTGCAAATTTGTCTCTATTTATTCTCACACTCTAGCCACTCGAGTTTTTCTTGAATTTTTATATAGCCTCTTGGAACTGTCTTTTTCTCTTTTCGAAATTCATACCTTAAATGTTTAGGCTGAATTAGTGAAGTTCTTTTTTTCCAAAATAGAAAACAATAGTTTAAGGATTAGGTTCATTTAAATTTGATGTAGTTTTTGGATCGAACTTCAAAGTAACTTTCTACTTGCCAACTTTATCAATATTACCCTGTGAAAAAGTAAACTCTATCAAATGGATTGAATTTTTGCTATTAGGTTGGCATTTTATGTCTAGAGGGAATGGATCGTTTGATGCTGTTTTATCAAACTAAGTATAATTATTTCCATAAATATCTTTGTAGTAAATTTAACATTCCATCGTATCGTAATAAGAAATCATTTATTAATCAGAACTTTCTATTTTTATATTGTTTTCATCAATTGTGTTTGCTATAATTCCTATCATTTCTTCTGACTATGGAATGTAAATTCCATTTATGTACATTCTATACGAACCTTTGATGAGTGGTCTCCACTCACAATAAAATTCGTTTTCAGCCTTAGCTTGTGCCAATTTTCCCTTGAACTTAATCTGCGAGAAAAGAATATGCACAAATATAACCTTGTTTAGTAAATATAAAATTTAAAATTATTTATTTTAAAAACTATTGTATTAAAGCTACTTGGTAATTTTCTAATGGCTCAGTTGGTTACATAATGTTCCCAAAACCATCATAGAAATGAAAAACATCTTTTCTTGTCTAACCAGCTCTGGAATACATAGACTGTCTTCCATCTTCCATAAAAACTTATCTTTGAATTTCTTAGTATTTTTTTAGTTATTTTTCTGACTCAATAAATTCAATTTCCTCATTTGATTCGATAAGTCTGGTTACAGTTTTTGGTTTGAATATCTATTAAATATTTTTAAAACAAATTACTTGTCTTTAAAATTATTTTCTTTTTTTTTAAATTATTTACTTTAAATAAAGGGGAAATTGCTTTTAAGTTTTCTTTCTTTTATTTATCCTTTTTAGATTAGAATGACTAGAACTCTTTTTATTCTATAATACAACCTTTTAACTGAGTCTTTTCAATTAGTATTTTAGAAGTTGATGAGTACTTTATTTGGACTATTTAGAAAATATTTTATTTAAAATTTTTTAATTTAAATAAATAAAATTTTTGGTGAAAATTTACTTTCTTTTGGGGTATCTTTGGGGAAATTGCTATTTGTAATAATAGTGGCTTGACAACTGTTTTAAATGTTAAGAGTTTATGAGCGAGAATTTCTTATAGTAAGTAGTAACATATCATTAGTTATAAACCTTGAATTGATATCAAATGTAAAAAATGTAGTTTTTGATGTTTTTTAATCTTAATTTATTTTAATCAATCTAATTTTCTTATATAAGAGTATTTCTGCATATCTTTGTGCATAAGAAGAGTTTGAGATAGAAATATCATCTTAACCTTGGCTAAACTATAAATGAATTCCGTCAAAGATTGATTAATTTATACCTATTAAAGATTTTTATTAGATTATAACAAAGGAATCTTAATTTATTTTGTAGTTATTGCTACTACTCTACTGAATAAGCTGCTATAATAACTCATCTGAGCTCTTAAGAAGATAGTTATATGAAATGGCTTATTTATTAAAATAAACAACATAAAGGAAGTGCTCACCCTAGCCTTATAAATGAGATAGATCTTATTTAAGTTTTAACTAAATTGACTAACCTTAGACTGCTGATTCTACATTAAATTCAGTTAGTTGATTGAAATCAGCTAAGTCAATCATTTTTACTTGATAATTCTACTCATTAGTTATTTATTTCAAGTCTGATGCCTATCCCAGGTTTTAGTTGTAGGATTAATTAATAATTAATTAAGTAGAAGAAGTAGCTTCTATCATACTTTGAACATCTATATTGCAATTTTCATAAAATAATACATTTAAGTATTGATTGTTATCTTCAGTTAATATATGAATAATGTCAAAGAATTCTGTAGTAAAACTTAAAGATCCGTACCCAAAATTTACTAATATTTCATTATTGCTATTATTTTATAATTTTTAGAAAGAACTGCTTTATTTATTACTAAATAATATTTAGAATTAGCTGCAGTCTATGAATTTCAGCTTAGACATAAGAGCCAAGCTCCTTATTGAGAACGATAAAGTCAGTAATTAAGTAGCTAAAATCTGATACTCTCCTTGGTGGAGGCTTGAAAAACTCTTCAAATCGTTTTATATAATAATATTGAAATCTTTTAAATCTTAGTTGATTTAATAGTAATTATTGGATTCACTTTCGATATTTTTTGATAAGTATTTTTTTTGTAAAATGTATTTTAATTCGCAAATAACTAGCTACTTAAGTAGATAGTAGCTTAAGTCATTAGTTGAAGGAACAACTATCTGGTCAAGCTTCTTTCCTATAAAGACGTTTATGGTAAAACTTTTAGAATTTTCCTCATATGTTGCTAGTTATAGCTCTTCATTATTTTACTCTGGTATTGGCTTAAACTGTAATCCTATGCGATGAATATGCTTAATTATTAGCTTGACAATCAAATAGCGGATTATATCAGACTCATTATAAAATTCTAATCTGGAATTTTTGTTGTGATAAGCGAGCAGCAAAATTTATTTGACAAACTTTGGAGAGAAATAGGTGAAATTGCTGATAACTTAATTGAAAGTATCAAAGATATTATCACATATAAAGGAAATATTCATTTCAATAAGCTCAATATTGATAGCTCTCATATTTTCTAATTCAGGATCATAGTCGAAATCAAAGCACATTTCTTACTATTGACTTTCTTTCAATAGCGATTCGGAGAATAAAGACCTCAAAGATTCTATTAAATCGCTATATTCTTCCTAAATACGCTGATTTGAGTCTACAGAAGAAGCAAAACTCTTTATAAATAATAAATCATTATAATTATTTTAAATGAACATAATATTACAAATTGATCTGGAGTGAGTATAGGCTTCTTAAATTTGTAATTTTCATCAAATCTAAATACAACTTGTTTAATGTGATTATCAAGCATATCAAATTGATTTCTAATAATAGAGGATTGCTGCTTCTACAGATTCAATAAATCAAATTAATTATCATTCATTTGATCATGTTGAGCTTCAAATACAAAACTTATGTTAGAAGGCATAAGCTAAATGAGACTATTTAAAGAGATATCTTGTGTTAAATTGTCACTACCACGGTATAGGTATCCCTAATATTACTTTAAAAAAGCTTAATTAAATCTAATTTAATTTTAAAAAAATTCTTACTTCAAGCAAATCTTAATTACTTTAAATATCTTCTGACATAAAAAATTAGCAGATATCACTTATGGCTTTACTTTTGATTAGCTAAATTTTGAGAGAGCTATCAATTATGCAATAATTTTATATCTAACCGCTGAATAGTTGTGGATTAGGCCAAGTTTAGAAATTCAAAAGTGCAAATTTGATATTTTCTTAAAGCAATTCCAAATTGCTTCTATAATCAAAAAAGCTTTCAAAAGTAAATTTTTTATCAGTTTTTTCAGCTATCTTGCACATCATGTAGTGATAATCATTTTGATTTAAATTAGAGTTGTGAGAATAATATCCTATGAAGCAACTATTATTAAAATTTTGAAATTAATAAAATTCGTTATTTATTTTTTAAATTGTTAATTTACAAATCTCCTTTCTTCGCATGAAGCAAAAAGTCATTTAAATTTAGCTAAATTAAAAATGTATTTTTTAATGAGTCGATAGTAGAAAACTAGCTCCTAACTTAAGAAATACATTACACAATTTGTTATGCACTTATTTTTTTGTTAGTTGTTGCATCAGTTAATTCTTCAGCAATATCTATGTCATCAAATTCATCTTCATTTTCATTAAAATTATCAGCTTCTAGCTATTTATTTTACTTCAAACTCTCTGTTTTATCAATCTTCGTTAAAATTGGATAACTTCTGTAATTTGAAACCAATCTCTTTTTTATGATTTGCTTAGTTTCATAGGAATAAATTAAATTTAAAAATATCATAAAGAATTGATCTTAGTAAGACTATTGATCTAGCTGTTACTACAAATTTTTTTCCAATTAATCCAGCAGATAACTCTTTAAATTATTTAATCCTTTCCAAATCTTGTCATACCTAATTTACAACAAAAAGTAAATATTCATCATGAAAATTAAAATATTAATAAAAATAAATAAACGAATTAATTTACTGTTCAATCTTTTTTATAGGATTTTTGATTTATTTTGCTTTGTTAAAGTCATTGTTAAATATGTGGTAGAGAGATTCATAATTAATGTTAAAGGTGATAGTTTGAGATTGAGAGAATTACTTAGATAACTTCTTGGAAATGCTAAGAAGATGATTGTCTATTTCAAGCTTGTTGAGAATAAAAGATACAATCTACTCAGGCGAAAAAATTTATTCATAAAAATCATACTGATTTGTGATAACTTAAATGTAATTTTTTAGAATTGGAATTTCTTTTAAAATTAAATCTCCACTGTTAGATTTTTTATTCTAATTTATTTAGATGAGGCTCAAATTATTTTTGATAAAACAAACATTAATGCGGATGACAAGCATAAACTTATGGATATAGTACTCAGTCTTTCCTATTCTAATTATTTAGTCTAAGCCATACTCTAGATATTGGTCTAATTCGCTAAGCTTGCACTCTTGAGGTAAATCATTAATCTCAATTTCATTAAATTCAAAATAAATTCCTTTAATAACTTTCATAATATTGCCAGAGTCTGAGAAATTTTGGTAAAGAATGATATGAATGACTTTTTTAAGAAGAGGACTACTTAAAATATAATGGAATAAGCTGAATATACTATCTCTATCAACACCACACCTTTCACAATCATATACACTACTTCCTTGTGCAATATTGAATAAACCGCTTACTATAACTTCGAGGAAGGATTACACATTTATTTTCCATTTTTGACTAATATCTTCCTTCTTTCCAAATGACAACTCATTTTCGAAGTCATTCATCATCTGCTTAATTCTTAACAAATTGTATCCTGCAAACAATTCCTTTTTGGATACTATTTTAGTATTTCCTTATTTATCAGTATCTATGCTATAATACCAGTTTCTATCTACATTTTAATTGTCCTCAATCTATTTATTTATTTATTTATTTATTTATTTATTTATTTATTTATTTATTTGTTTATTGATTAATAGATTTAAGAATTTGTAAATTTGAAAATATGATAGTATAAATTTCACTTAAAATAATTTACATTTTTTAAGGCACACATAAAATGTTACTCGTATGAGATGACTTGAGCTAGAAGAGTATTGTAAATTGATTGAGTTTTGGTTTTTTATAAGAATTAATCCAAAGGTATATATACTATACCAATTTTTCCTTCTTTGAAAGGACAGAACTCATAAAATTCACTAAATAATAACTGGTTATAGCCAGATTTAGATATTGTGTTATTCTTTTTCAAATTAACTTTATAGGTATTATCTGGTAATTATTCTAAATAATATGAAAAAATAGCTCCATGCATTTTAACACTATTTAGTACATTTTGGTTTTCCCTTGTTTGTTATCCACCAATTCTTGAATTCAAGTTTTAAACTTAGCTTCCAATCATAGTTTAAGAAGTGAATCTATGATCAGATTCAAAAGGTTGCGATTACTGCATATTAGTAGTACTTTATTAAATATGTGACTATTACTCCATTGGATTCATCATTGCATTGTTGTGTGGGGCGAACATATCGTTTAAAGCATAAAATTCTTTTTATTTTATCTAATAAAATTATAAAAATAATGGATGAAAAAAATGAATTTAATTGATTATTTACATTTAAAAACGACAAGTACATCGATATATCTTCAACTAAAGAATAAAGCCCGAAGTATGTGTTAGAGTCGTAGTGTTGCTCTGCTTTGTCAACTACCTAGGCATTTTATGATAATTACTTTTTAAACTCATTCTTTAAATACTCTTGAGATCTTAATTCTATTTAATTGAGTATTTCCCTCTTTTCAGGTAGTTCTAAATGTTAAATGCTATCGTAATCAAATATAAAAGGAATAACTCCAAATTATGATTAGATGATTAGCCTGTCTTTGCGATTGTTAAATAATTCAATTTATTGTTCAATGAAAGGCATGTTCTTTTCGAAGAAATAGTAATTTTCTACTTGATCAATTAAAGGCTAAACATCTGAAGCATTTAATGTAAATTGTTAGTGATTGTAATTATAGAAAATATTTATTGTTAATCCAAAATCATCCATTTTCTCAATTAATATTGGCCCATTTCCTTCTATTAAAGATATTTCTATCTGCTTCTCAGGGAAATTGTCAGCTATGTGCAGAGAGTAAATTGTTTAGAAGAATCTAAAAACTGTCTAAAAGAGCAAAGAATATTATCTTTCAAGATTGTTGTTCTCATTTGAAACAAATTAGAAAATATCTTTGAAAAAATTATTAAAATAAATTACTATCTGGCTAGAATATGATTCTGATGAAGACTTTATTAATTTATAATAAATGATATCTTCTATTAAATCTCTAATTGATTCTTCATTTAATTGAGGATTTTATATTTTTTTATGTTCTATCTACTAGTTTTATTATTGAATATCTTTAGAACTTTCAGTTATTTCTTTAGCATTTTTGATTATTAGCAAATGATACTAAAAGCTCAATCCTTGCTTACTGAAAATATTTATGCTAGCAAAAACTTTTTCGAATATGCTTGCAAGAGATTCCCCTTTTTAAACTGAAAAATAGTAAACTAGTGATCTTAATACCTTATTGAAAGGGCTATCAGTAAACTCTTTTTAAAATACAGCTGTTGCTTTTGCTTAAAATTCTGTTTTGAATTTAGTTTACTCATATTTGTCTCTTTGAATTATTTAATATTATTCCCTATTATCATTAATTTCATTTACAAATTATTCAACTATTTGATCAGCTAAAGGATTATCTTTGAGAAGATAAATAGCTAGTGAAGCATCTTATAATATAGTATTAAAAGTATCTTTGTCCTATGTTATATATTATTTTTCTTTATCACACAAAATTTTTATAAGTTCTCTTTAATTGTACTGCTTTGAAATTAGCTTTTTTATTTCAGCAAACTTTTATTCTCCCTTCAAAAGTTAAGCATTTTAATTTTCATTAGAGAAATGTTTAGAGAAAAAGGAATTTAAGAAGGAAATACTTGGCTAAATGTTTTATTGATTAAGCTTATTCAAAAACTTTGCCATTTTACAATTCTTAAAATAAGAAGGATTATCCTGTATTACTTTTATCATGTTTATATCTGGGTAAATACTGTTTTTGAGCAAATAAATGTTGAAAAGCTCAGATTTTTATAAATTTTCTCTATGGCTTACATCACTTTGCATAAGCTTGTGAATGTTTATGTTGAAAATTTCACAGAATGTATAGAGTATCTAGTTAAATTACATTCGGATGAAGATATTCAAACTCTTATAAATATATTATAGATGGGCATTTAGAGAAATAAATCCAAACAAAGAATTTTCTAGCATTGAAATAGCTGGTAAATTTACTTGATAAGAAGTAAGCTCTTCAAAAAGGAATTTAAATATTATATTTAAATGGGTATATAACTCAGATCTGCTTTCCTCAACTTTAATCAGTTTTTAGCTTTACAGATAAGACAATTAATGCGTTTTGCATACTTCTTAATTCATATCTTGAATGAATTCTATGTTTCCTGAAAACTCATCTAATACCATCATCTCCTTTTAAAGTAAAAAGCATCTCAGATTGTAAAGCTGGAAAAGATAAAAAGCATCATAAACACTTATTGGATTTTGGTTAAATTAGTTCTCTAAATTACTTTAGATTTCTTCACTAGAGAAATAACACATAGTTTATTTTAGAAGCTGTTTCTATTCTGTAGTAAATTTAATTAAGATATAGTTAAAAATATCTAATAATGCTTCTTCTTATTTCATTATTGCTAAATTCTTGAACACAATACATTTGTCCGAAATGATTTCATTGAATTCTAATAATTCCTCTCCTTAACCATTAGAGCTTAAAAATTAGCTGTTGCAGTAGTAATTTACAAGAAGGTATTTAAACAAACTATCTTGTCCGATATATAATCTAGCTAATTCAAATAAAATCTTTTGGTCTTTTAAGAAAGTGAATTTCTATGAATTTGTTGGTATTTTCTCAAAAAATAGCTAAAAAATTTCTAGCCTACCAGACAATAAAGCATATTTAATACACATTGCTAATTTTTATTCTTATTTAGCATCCATACACTCTATTAATATATTTTAATGAAGTTTTATATAATTAAATCTTCCTATCACTAACGCATATTAAATAGCATTAAAAAAAGTAGATTCTTAAATTTAATTGCTTTTAGAATCTGAAACTAATTTATTTTAGTCCTATGTATTTAATTACAAAAATAAAATCTTTTATTTGCTTATTTTTGTAGTAACTTTGTCATATAAGTTAAAAAGTCCAATTGTAAGGGCGTGTTCAAGATCTTCATCGCTAAGTTGGGTAATATATTAATTTAATTTATTTTAATTTTGAACAATATTATTTTATTGATTATTATTTGGACTTAAAAGCTCAAGATTAACTTTAGTTTTTTTACTCTTACGATTATTTCTACTATTCTTATCCTTACAAACCATACAATTTAATTTCATATCAAACTTTTTCATAGCATCGAGCAAATATATTTTAGAATAATTTTTTTGACCATCTGAATTTTTAAAGTAAGAAATAGAACTTAGACAAGCGTCATCCAACAAAATTTATAGAATGTCTATGTTTTAAGGAATGAGGTTACTTTTATTTTTGACAAAAAAGTTTAAATATTCTTAATTAACATCAGAAAATTTGCTATTAAAAGGAATGATGCTATTTTAATATCTTTTCACATTAAAAAGTTCATCAGACTCTATTATATTTTATTCTTTTGCTGTGATGATTTCTAAGTAATCATTTTCAAACTCATCTAAAAATTGCCTAAGTTAAGAATTGTTCCAAATTGAAAAGTAACTCAATGCTCCATACTTAATTGATTTTAATATGAAATGTTGCCATAATTATTTGAGCTGATTAATTTCATCTTTAGCATTATCATTAATGCCTTGATCTTTTTATTCATTTAAAATTTTTTTATTATGAAGATATTTAACGAAAGGAAAAGTATCATCAAAGTGGTAAATTAAAGAAAAGTATAAAACATTCAGAGTAATTTCGAGGGAAAAGTCTGAGGTATAATTAAATATATTATTATTTGATTTATATTCTATCTAAAGTTGCTATGAGCTATGGTACTGGTCTTTTAAAATGCTTAAACAATTATCTATTATTGCTGTATAACTTTGTAAGCTAGAAGGCTCTTTAATATTATCAACACAATTTCTTTGATTAAGTATTTGTGATAAAAAATTTCTGATATTTGAATACATTGTTGTTTTTTCATACTTTTCCTCCGAAACAGGCTCTGATGATAGTAATCTTCCAGCATAAGCACAAATGCAGCACTAAATAATATTCATTTCTGATTCTTTAGTTAATATATCTTTAAAATAATGCTACATATTTTCCCATTTCTAAATCAGCCCATGTCTTGCAATATCCTTATTGAGGTTTTAGATGATAAATTTAGTTCTTTTTTGGTTCTCTTTTGTCAAGAGTTCGTTCTATAATTGACGAGAATACTCTTCATGCATTACTTTAAGAATGGCTTCAAATCTCTCTTTTTGAAAATTGCGAGAAAAAAATATAGGTTTTTCTTTCTAAAAGAAATAAATAAAATCGACATATTCAGCTTTATATCCACTAAATTAAAGGAAGAATCTATTTATCAATGAGGGTTTTTAAGAATAGATCAATGAAACTATTCTAGCAATATTTATTAATAGCTGCTCATTTGAGCTAATAAGAGAGCTGAGAATAAGCTGAATTAATGTTTTGTTTTACAATATTTTTTTGTGGTATATTATTTTTTCTTTTTGACCATCTTTGTTATAAAAATATATTTTCTTAGATTCCATTTCAGTTTACTCAATTTCCTTAGATTTATTTTTTGTAATTTTATTTTCATCATCAATTTCATTTTCATTTTCATCTGATAATTAAACTTTCTAATTTTAGTTATGCTCTATTTCACTTTAAAGGAAAAAAGGGTATACAATTTGGTTAATATATGATGAAACAATAGTATAGTCATCTTTCTTATCTTAGATGGCTTGACAGAACATTTTATTTATTATTTTAAGTAAATTTAAATCTTTGTGATGAATAGCTTGATTTCCTAATTTTAAAAGTTGCTATTAAATCTTTTTGATATGGATTACCTAAGAAAATAATTTTTTTTAAATAAACTATAAGCAGTTAACTATATCTATTCTTTTTGATTAAGCTTCATTTTTTTCATTAAATGTAATATCAGATTTTTCATCTTACTCTTCTATTTCACAATTATACAACTCTTCAGCTCTTTTTAGAAATTACTCAAGTATAAACTCTATCTATTCTGTTTCAAGGAGCTAATTTTTTTAATTTCTTTTATTTATAAAAGTTATTTCTCGTTTTCTGTAAATGTCTTCAATAATTTCGACCAGCTTCAAGTAATCGCTTGATAGAATTTTAGGGTCAAAATCTTTGTTACCAACAGAAAACTTAAGTCCATAACTTTAATATAAACTATAGTCATATAAAATTCTTTATTCACTAAGATTCTACTTAATTTCTTTGAAAATATTCCACTGAATATTCCTTCTCAATTTTATTTACTCATCTGTCAATTCAACAAAATCTTCTGAAATATGATCATTTTAAACATGAAAAAGTTTATTTAAATTAGAATATAATGTTTCACATACTTGATCTAATCCTTATTCTTCGTTTTGTTAATCATGCTCCTCTACTTATTCTTATTGATCTTTTAGTTTTTCTAGATCTTTTTTATTTTTATCTATCTTTTTATTTTTTACAATAGAAAATAGCCACTATAAAGCTGGGAGATTATAGCATAGAAGTGCAAAATGGATTTTGGATATAATTTTTGATATTATTTCTTCTTAGTCATTGCTAATTAATAATAAAATCTTCACATATTTTTCTTTTGAAACTAATATTTAAAATATATTGCTCGATGTAGTCATTAGCTCATAAAATAAATTCATGTAAACATCATCAGATTATTTTAGATTATTTATAAGTTATTTATTAAAAGAATGCTTGTAAGGTAAAATCATCTTAATTCTTCCTAATAAATCAGAGCTTATTAAATTCTATACAATTTTTTATGCGTTTTCTTAGTAGTAAGAAAAATTCCTTTTACTTCTAAGATCCAAAATTATATCACCACTTGTTGGATTGTATTATTCTTTTAAAAATTCTATATTTTCCTTATCATTGGCGTTTATACATTCTAGTAATATCAAAAGAAGTAATTTTTTATATGTAGAGAAAAAGCTTCTATTGATTTATTTTATCCCTTTTTCAGTGAGCGCTTTCTTAAATTCAGGGCTAGTAAAAATAAACATAATTGTAAATTTTGTTTGTTTTGATTTTGAGAACAAGTTATTAAAATCATAATCTTGTTTAAAAATCTCTTCTACAAGTATGTTGGTAAATTATTTCTTAATTTTAGATTACAAAATTAAGAATACAAATTTTGATTATTCAAGCAAATATGACAAATCGAACTTTAAATTTCTCAAATCGATTTATCTATTTTCTTTAAGTTTTTGATTTTCTTAAATTTATAAATCATCTTTTTTTAATGTTTTATGACTAAAATATACTTGCTCAAATGCTGCCTAAATAGCTTCAGCTGCTTTAAAGTTTGATATGTCAATTATAGAAAAATTATACAATTGTTTTATTTGATTGAAATATTTTTAATCCTGAAGACAGCCAAATAAGTAAAATACAGGTTTATATTAAAAATAACCTCGAGTTATTTTCAAAAATTCTTCTTTTTCAAAATATTCTTTTTGATTCAAATATAATTCGAAAATATCATCTAGATATTATTTTAGCGTTTCTTCCTCTAACTCAATTATACCAAACTCTTATTTTAATTTTAATGTCGCTACTATTTGAAGAGCGCTTTATGAAGGTGCTATGTAGAATTATGAGCAATCAGCAACATTCTATCCAGTTAGCCTTTAAAGAAATTTTTAAAAGTATACTTTTTATGATATAGTACTCTATTACAACAAGTAGTTTAGGATTTCTTATTTTTTGCTATTGCTTAATGCCATTCTACTACATTCATCTAAATACCTTTAATCTAATAAATACTTTTTAGCTATTTGATATTCAGATTATAAAATGAGATTTTCAAAAAATCCTTTTTTAAGTGCAAAGCACAAACTGTTACCTACCTTATTAAATACTTCATCTCCTAATTTCATTAATATCAAAAATAATAAATAAAATGTAGAAAATAAATAAAACCCTTATATTACTTTATTCCCTTAAAGATAGTATTGCACAAAAAATTTGATTATTTAGAGCATCTATATCATCATAAAACTTTTAAAGCTTTGGATAAACTCTCCAAACATAACTGGGAATTGAAAGAAATTAAAACATTTAAAATTCAAATAGAGGGAATTCCAAGTTATCTAAAAGAGGATAAGGATACTTTTCATTTTTGTTTTTAATCTTAGCTGGAATTAAGAGTTCAACTAAACTTAAGTCCTTGTTTTCTGTTTTTTTTTTTAGATATAAAGTAAGTGGAATATTGTTCTCACTATCGTATTAAATCAATAATTTTTCTTTCTCTTAAGAATGGTTGGCAAACATTTTTTAAATGATGGTAACAATGCTATCCGAAGATAAACTTGTATTCCTTATGACCATATGGATTAAATTTTAATTAGTTTAATTTGAAATAGTTAGCACTTAATTGAATAAATTCTGGTTTGCTTGATAAGCTTCTATCATTTCTAAAATTATACTTGCTTTTTACTTTGAGAAAATTATAGAAGCGCCTGTATTTCTACTGCTATCTTTTTCTAACAATAATTCTAAGTAGATACTCCAGTTCTACTAAACTAAATCTAACCTTTTTTATTTTATTTTTAAATATTACTCTTAACATAAAAGTTATCTATCTATTTTTACCTTTTTTTAGATGTTAAATAGTGTGCAAAATTATATTCTGATTCAATTAACGAATTTTATTTTTGAAACTTCATTCCTTTAGATAAGTCAAATTACCTATCAATAAATGTGCTTTTAAGATTGCTATCATATAAATCTCTCTTTAAAATTTCAACATTTTTAGGCAAATTAAATTTCACAAAATACTAGTCTAGTAAGAAATTTTATTTTATTTTTAGTACGACATTTAGTAACTCGATCTCTTTTTATTGTTCTTCGTTTTCTATAGATTTTTAGATAAGTTCTTTTACCCTTTCTAAAAACATTTAAGCCTAATCTGACTCTAAATTGATAACTTTAATAAAGCACAAAATCATTTTATTTATGCTAATTAATTAATTAATGATTTACATTGCAAAAAGCAATATGGATTAGCTGTTTCTAGATACAATGAGAATAACTTTCCTAAACCTTCGCTATTTTCAATAAGATCTAAAAAAGAGAAGAAGAATTCTGGTCTTTTATTAAATTATTTAGAAGAAGATATAAGCGCCTTAAAGATGAGGTTGGCTAGATTTTTTTAATCATCAAAGGAAAAGTCTTCTATTTAAAGTCTCTCAAAAACAAACTTTAAAATATAAATGTGCTAATTTTAAAGACAATAATCGCTTAAAGTACAGCCTGACATTTCTTTGTGGAGCATGCACTGATTAATTATTTTTGGATCCTGCTACTCCATTAGCTAAGAAACCTTCTCAAAATCTACTTCAGAAGGGTTTTCCTCTTGTGCCTTTTCAACAAGATAATCAAACAAAGGTTTAATCTATTCATTTTATTTCAACTTCTACTACTCTTTCTTTTTTTAAAGTTTCATTAGCTGTATCTTGCTTAACTCCTTTACAGGTTTTATTTCTATAATTTATTCATCAATGATCTGAAAATTTTTGGGTTCATTTTCTTTTTATTGAAAATAAATATTCGGGTAAAATATTATTCATCATGAATTCAAAAAGGTTTGAAAAAATAGATTTAATTTAAATTATTCTTTTTGCAAATATAGGTATTTATTACCATTTTGTTATTTAATATCTGATTTTTACTACTGCTGAATCTAACTGCTTGCTTACTAAGGAAAAATCTTGTTCACGTTTTTATTTACTTTCTCAGGATCACTTATATGATCTTGGCCTTTGCTTTTCATACAGTTACCCATATTTTCTTAGTGGTAAAACCTACTTTATATTTAAACTAATATTAGAAACGACTTTTTAAACTTTTATGTATGTTGTGTAGAATAATAGTTATTAAATCTCTTTTCTAAAAAATTATAGAAACAAACTATAAACTATTGTATTTAATATCAGTCTATAATCAAAATAAGTTTTAATGAATTTTTGTCAAATAGAATATTGATGAATAAGAAGAGATCAGAAAGATACTAATAATTTTTTAAAAATTATAGATAAAAACCAGCTAATAAATTTAGAATTATCATTTTTTCAAAACGATATCTTATCCAGTTCATAATTCATGTATGTATTTATTTCAGTAGTCCTATTTTAAAAAAAGGATATTTGAAAATAAAATGTATTTGATCTCAAACTTTTTAATAATTAAACAATTAACAAGCTAATAATTACAATTGAATAAGATACTGAGAAGAATGAATAAAAAATTTATAAAGAATCAAAGATTAGATAAATTAATTTTAGTTTAAAATATTTTTTACTAAGGAAATTATTTTAGAAGGTAAAATTTATTAAATATCCAGAATTAAATACAATATTTGATAAGAAATAAGAAATAATATATCAATTATTAGTCATTAGTTGAATTATTTTAGTAAAAATATATTTTTTATTAGTAAGAAAATTTTCAAAATAAAATTTATTTGATCTCAGTTTTATATAATAGCCAAACATAGAAAAATAAACGTATAAATTATCAGAATTCAATAAAATATTTAAGAGTAAATATTAATAAAAAATACATGAATAATCAACAATTTATTAGCTGAATTATTTTTTCACAAAAAAACTCTTAAAAAACAATATGAAAATTTTAATTAATCTTATTTGTCCTTGTAATAGCCAATATAGAAAAATAAGTTTATAAATTCTCAGAATTCAATAATTTTTTTAAGAGTATTAATAAACAATGTATTTTATTGTTAATCATGGATTAGCTTTGTTTTTGGGATTAAAAATTTTAATTAAGAATAAAAAAGTAAGTTTTCATAAATAATCTTTAAATATAGAAATTTTATTAATGGTTTTTTTTTTTGGATTTCTTTTGTAATTTTCTTTTTTTAGTTGCAAAACTATCAAAATATTTAATTAAAGTATCTGAAATTAAAAAGCAATTAAATTTTAATTCTTAAATACTTTTGTTGTGTTGGGGATCTAGCTCAAATGGTAGAGCGCTCGTTTAGCATACGAGAGGCACTGGGATCAATGCCCAGGTTCTCCAATTTTTAATTTTTAAATTTATTTAAAATCTAAAATACACGAAAAAAATAAATTGATATAAAGTTGTGATGGGGATCTAGCTCAAATGGTAGAGCGCTCGTTTAGCATACGAGAGGCACTGGGATCAATGCCCAGGTTCTCCATTTTTTATTTTTACATTTTATATTAAATCTATGGTATAATGATTCTTAATAAAGAAGACTTTTGTGTTGGGGATCTAGCTCAAATGGTAGAGCGCTCGTTTAGCATACGAGAGGCACTGGGATCAATGCCCAGGTTCTCCAATTTTTTTTCACTTTTAAATAAATAAATAAAAATTAATTATATTTTATAATCTGATGCCAGCCAATAAGTTAATAAGCTAGATAAAAATATCAATTTAAATAAATTTTGATAAATAAAAAAAAACAAAATATAATCCAAAAAATCTTCTTTAAATAATAAAAGCATATCACAAAAAAATTAATGAGAAGATAAAAACAAATTTAAGATATTTACTATTTTTTTTGTGTTTGTAAAAAAATATAAATTATATTTTGGATTTAATCAAATATAAATTAGACAAACAAATTCTATTTAAATTAGAGTTTAAAAAATTAGTAAATTCAATTATATATATAGTACCCTAGGGTACTGCCTTTTTCAAGGCTACATACAAGAATTGTAACAAGTTATATTATTTAATAGTTTCAATTATATTTTATTTTTTTACAGCAAATATTTATTATTTAATTGTTTAATCTATGTGTTTAAAACAGATATCTCAGATAAGTTTTAATTATTTTTTGTAACTAAAATTTATAAAAATATAATCTTCCTTCAATAAAAAATTTATTTAATTGATAATTTAATAGATTTCTATTATAGAATATTTATTACATAAAGGATAAGTAAACTAATAAGCCCTTTAAGCTTTTTAATATTTAATTTAACTATAGATGAAAAAAATATTTTTTGTTTCTCGAAGATTTAATGCTTGAAAAACAAAGTTAATTTTATTTTTTATTTGATAATTATTTTATGATGTATTTTCAGCTGTCAATTTTAAATTAGATTTCACTATTTTTATTCTTTGCAACAAACTGGTTTGGCTAATTTTATATATCTTCTATTGCAATTTCACTGCTGAAACTTTGTTCTTGTTCATTTTGTTTATTCTCTTAATTTTTTTGAGTAGAATTATTTTATAAAATAACACTTGGATAATTTGAATTTCTTTATTAGATACTCTCTAAGTTAATCATTTCCATATTATCAGACGATATTGAAATGATGGGTTACTACTATAATTCCATGCGAGGACTAGATAAGGCCTGTTTTAATAATTTAATCTCGTTTCTGAGGGTAGAGAGATCTTATTCAAATGCTTATTCTTGTTGGTGAGATTATCTGTATGACTAAACTTCCTCTACTTATAATGGACTATCTGGTTTTTTACTTTTTTAAATTTCAGCTTCAGCTTATTAATTTTGTTAAGTTTGAAATAGAAATAGCAAATTAGGATCCAGTAAATCAATTATTTTCTAATCTAATTTACTGTGCTCGGTTTTCTTTATTATTTTTTTGTATGACTAGAAGGCATCCTTAACCTTTTACATTTCTGTTCGATTGTCTTAATACATAATATCTACTTCATACTATTTAGACAAGCTCTGTTTCATATCTTTTTTCAGAACGCAGTCAGAATGTATGGTTGGCTTTGGTAAATAATCAAATAACTTTATTTAATCTTAGTCCAGTAACAATCTTTTAAGCTTTTCAACTTCTATAAGTCTTTTAACTATGTTAAAAATGTCAAGATTGTAGTAAAGTTTGTCTATGCTGTAATTAATTATTTATTTCTTTTTCTTTAGCTCTCCAAATGGCCAAACACTTGATTTTATGTATTCCCAAATACTCATTCTCATACTTTTTGTCTATTTTTCCATTAATTCCTTAAAGCGGTCTTCTTTAAGCTTTTATTCCAGTTTAATTATTTTTTTCTTTTATTTGTGAATTTTAACCTCTTTACTGGTGCTTCTTTCTAATTTAGTTTCTTTATCATCATTTTATTCGCTGCTGTCTTCCATAAGCAACAAATTTAATATTTATTGATGCTCTTTTTTAAGTGGACTTGGCTATTATTCTTTAGCATTTGCTTCTTCTTTCGAAAATTCCTTGACAGGAGGGCTGAATTATTATTTATGTTATAAAATTCCTGATTATAAACTTGCTGGTTGTTAAAATTTATAGTTTGAATTAAAGGCATTAAAATTTTAAGTTATGTCTTAATTAAATGAAATGCTTTATATATCAGCATCTTTTTTAATTTCGTTTATTGAAACAGTATTGTCGTTTTTATTTTAGGCCATTAATCTAGAATTTCCTGTTTTTTACATCTATAATCGTGAGTTAAGTAGAATTTTATATGCATTTGTGTTATCTTCCGCATCAACTTAATCTTTTTGGTTGTTGATAATATTTGGGGAGGATTAATCTTTGACAGGTTATTGGAGCATGTTTTTGTCACCGTTACTGCACTCTGCTTCACTATCTTCGTCATAGTTAAATGCTTAATTTATTATTTCTTAATTTAATTGCAATTAAGAAACTCTTGAACAAATTAATATTCCAATAGCAAGAAGACTCTGTGTAAAACCACCAATTTCAGAGATTATGTTATTAAGATTCTTGTAATATCTATGATAGACACTTTCTTTTTGTTTCTCAAATCTGAATAACACTTATAAGAAATATGTTTAATAATCTGGAGGATAAACCTATTTTTAATTTAAATTTTCTTTAATATAACCTCATATGTTAATAAATGTAAATTAATTTTGAATAAAATACAAATTTTGTAAAGCCTGATAATTTCAAAAGTACTATTTTTATTAAATTTAATTGAATAAAATTTTTACCGCAGCTTCATAATAGCTAAAAGTAGGAAATTTTTATTCTTTTATATCAGACAAAACCCATCCAAAATCACTCTAAACATAATTATTTCTTAAATAAATGTTGACATCTTTTGGCATTAAAGTACTTGTTGGCCAAAAAAAATCTCTGGAGTAGCTTACAAAAGGATTATCTTTTATAGTTGGATCGACATAAGCATCTGACATTTAAAGACTGAATGTTGCTTTTAGTAAAAACTTATCAATCACATCCTGAGGCTTACAATTTTTTTAGCATTTTTAAACAATAAACCTGACTTAAGAATAAACATTTGAATTAAAATCTCCCTAAATTGTGAGAACAGCACTTGGATCAAAGCAGTAATAATTCTAGTACTATAGTTTTAAATAATAATGTGAATTAGTAGGATTTCCAAAGTTAAGAGTTGAGCAGGGCTAAATTTTTAATGATATAGGAGTATCCCATACAGAATCATAGACATTAGTTGTTTGATTAAAAACTAATCTTTTAACTTGTTAGTAAGCTTTTATAACATAAATGCTTTCATCAATGTAAGCATTAAAAGTTTTAGGGTCTTGCATAGCAAAAGCAACAGGAAATGTAGAATTAGTCATTTCGAATAAAGCAGGATCATCTACTTATCTGTCTGATAAAATAACTTGAGGGGAATTCCTAAGAAATATGTCCTTTACAATAAAAAAGAGACGAAACCCAATGACACTAATAATCAAAAGAGTAAAAAAAGAGCCAAATCTTGTATTATAAGTATGTTAGCCCTTAAATCTTAGAAGGATTTAGCTGCCAAATATATCAAGTTGCTTGATCATTTTTTATTTAATGAATAATCAATAAAAGTTTTTTAAGTCTAATTAATTATAAAATCAAAAGAAATTAGACAACAATTTAAAGAGTAAATTTTTTTAGTAAAATTTCCAGCAATGATTTCTTAAGCCATCTAATTAAATCTGTAATGGTTTATTCGTATGAATAAATTTATTAAATAGTTAAGCATGCTAATTTAAAACAGCAAATATATAAAAATCATCTATTGAAGTTGTAATTAAATAAAAAATACCCACACAAAAAAATTCTTAAATTCTGATTAAACTAAGATAAATAATTACATAATTGGAATCATCAAAATTAATTCATATTTTTTTGGTTCTATTAAGAATTTATTCAATACCATGTAATTGAAATCTGTTAACTAATCCCATTAAAACTTTCTAATTAATTTAAATCATAGATAACGCTAGATATCATTTCTGTGATTTTACATATTTTAAGCATAGGATTTGATAAGAAATTTTGCCAATTTATCACTTTTAATTAATGCTGTAAACTGATTTTTTTACAACGATACTTTAAGATTTTTTAATGATTATTCACTCATTATTCATATTTCCATACTTTCTTAATAATACAGAAGCTAAGAAAAATTAAAAATTAGCATCATTTTCTCATTTCGAGATAACACATACATTAGTAACTGTAATCTTTAAGAAAATATAAATAAAACAACAAGTAAATAATTATCTATTTATTAAAATAAAATTTTCAATAAAATAACAATTAAAAAACAGAATAACTTAAAAAACTAATTTATATTCATTGCCATTTATAAATTAAAAGTATGTTTGATTTTTTAATAATTGTTTAGAATAATTTCAAAAGATTAATCAAATATTTAAATGGATTTTTTGTACTATTTAACTAGGATAATTAATTGATTAGTAGCTGTTATATTATATTTCAAAATGTTGTCAAGTCAATATCAATAAATATACTTTAATACATTTTTGATCTATAATTGATTTATTGAAAATTGTAGAAATATAAATAATTAAGATGTAGAATAAAAAAATTTTAATAAGTTATATATAATCATTTGAAATATAAAAAATCATGATACCATTAAATGTTGATAATATTTAAAATGAAGAAACAGCTATAAATTAATTATATTAAAATATTATTTCTAGTGATTTATAAATTTTTTGTAATTGTTAAAAAGGTTAGCTAATTTTAATATTATTGAGTATAGTTTGTATCATTTTAAATTTTTATTTATGCAAATATTTATTTAATTCAATAAAAAATATGTAAAGATTTAAATTACTTCTTTTATTTTTCTAGATTAATATGCCTTAAAAAAGTTATGAAAATATTTATAAAAACAAAAATTCTTTTATCAATATTAAAAAAAATATACTTTTTAAATATCTTAAAAAATTTATTATTTTAAAGAGAAAAACTAACTAATTTATTTTTCTAATATTTATTTTATTACTTATTTATTAAAAATAAGCAAAATATTGAATTTGATATCAACATAAGATACTAATATTAACAGAGATAAACTAAAGTTCTGAAATAAAGAATGTTGTTGATATGTTATTTAAATTCTGGCTATAAATTACTAAAATAATAGTTAAGTTTTTACCTTTTTTAATTAAATTTGGTAAAAAGTTCATTCTTTGATTAGGATAAAAATTTAAACAAATATTGGGCGTGATTAAAATATACTAAAATAAAGAAAACATCACAAATTTAATTAAAACACAAAAATACACTTTAAAAAATCACTTGAATATGAATATGAAAATTTTCTTTTTGTTGATACTCTTAGCTTAACAAATCGATTAAATTAAATGCCATTATAAGCATAAATAAGAAGATAAAAAAAACAAAAGGTTTAAATCTTATGATGTTAATAGCAGTCATTTCAATTCAACTGATTAGCATTAATAATATTTTGAAGACAATAAGAATAAAGATGATGGTGAACAAAATTTTACTATAATAAATTAAGAAAACTATACAAATATAACTTAAAAAAATAATATTGATAAGCTTTTTAAGCGAAATAAGTTTCTTTTTAAGGGCTATCATGCAGATGAAAATTTAGATGAGGATGAATTGAATCAAAAAGAATGCCATAATAGTTGTGAACAATGTAATTAAAAATAATGCTTAGCTTGCAAAGATTAAAATTAATAAGTTAACTTTTATAGCAGAGCTTGTTAGTGTAAAGAAGGTTATTATATGAGTTAATTACACCCATTAGTATGCAAACCTATTACTTAAGATAAAACTTCTAATAGATGCGATACTGAGATCCAGCTAACAGCTAAGTATTTTGAAATAAAAATTTTTAGCTATTTCTAAAAAGAAAATTAAGTAGATGTAAATTAATAATAGCAAGATTTTATTATCTAAGATATTATAATAAATACAGAACATAGCTAATTTAATTTGAATAATTGTAGAGATAGCTTATAATTTTAATATCTAGTTAGAAACTCTTCTGCAGAAAATTAATTATTAATTTAAAATCAATAATAAGATCTAAATAACTTGCAAAATAATATTTTATTATAAGATATACCTGGCTTGGCATAGGGTAGTACTAGAATTAAAATTCCACTTTAAGCTCTTGAGAATATATCTATTTTTTAGAAAAAAAACGAAGATTTAACTTAAAGAAACAAAATTTTATTTGAATTGAACATAAAGAATAGTAATAAAATTGTAAGAACCCATAGATGGTTTCTTAATGTTTATTTTGATGGATAAACTGTATAAACATTTACTTAAGATGTATATCAATAACCATTTTACCACTGCAAAAGCCTTACAAAATGTATTATACTTTAAGATTATGACATCTATGGGTTTTAATACCAATCAGATTGGAAAACTTACAGAGAGACTAATAATTATATTTAGGGTGAATTTATATTCTTAAGAGTTTGGTTTAAAGACTCAACAAATACTAAGAAACTTTCACTACAAAAATTATACTCTAAAACATAGAAAGGATAAATCTTTGACTCTACCGCCTATGTAGATCAAAACGAAACATTTTGGGATAAAGACGATAGGTCATTGCATATAAAATTTTAAATAGCATAATTTTATTCAATGTCTATAATTTAAATAAGTATGCTAATATAAGATATAAATTAAATAAATGACAATAATCAACACTAACAGCAATAGTAAGATCAAAAATAATTAAAATACGATTAGTTGCAACAAAAAGATAAAGAGGAAGAAGAATAATAAGATACAGAATAGTAAATAAATTAAGGAAAAGACTAACAATAATAAACTAAAGATTAATAGAAATAATAATAATAAATTCTAAATAAATAATAAAATCTTTATTCTGAGTCAATTATTTTTTAATTTAAAATAAAGGTCAATGATTGATTGATACAATTAAATGAATTCACATGATAAAATAATTATTGAAATATTTTTACTAATTATTTTCTAAACTGCTTATCCTCTCTTTTTATGTCATAATAAATGATTATAATAAAACTATAAAATCAAGAAAAAGAATTATAAAATGCATAACTAAATTAGGAATAAAGATTGAACAAATATTAATAATAAATTTTAAAAGCTACTTTTTTAATCGATTTTTTACCAATTTAGAATAAATAAAGGAGAATGATTGACTGAATCAATTCATTTTATTTTACTCTTTAAAAAAAAATAATTTTAACAAAATTTTCACTATTTATCTTTAATTATAACCTATCTCATCTCAATTTTAATATTTTTAAATTAAAATTTATTCTTTGATAGAGTTATATTTGTATTAAAATGTTAGTTATATGTTAGTTAATCAATATAATAAACTTAAAAATATATTTTTAATAATTTTTTACCAATTATAAAAGTAATGATGTTTGAATGATTGAATGATGAACTAAATTTAAATTAAATTATTTTAATAAAATCCTCACAATTAATTTTCTACAAAAAATTTCTACTATCAATATTAATTTTAAAAAAATTTATTCTTTAAATACAATTGCTTGTATTGAAATTTTTATAAAATTTATTAGTAATAAATATAAATTAATAGCGAAAACAAACAAAATTTTGAGCATATATTTTATCAATTTAAAATAAAGAATAACGATTGACTGATTTAAATATTATTTGTCATAAGAAAATAATTTATATCAAACTTCTCTAAAAATTTATCTTCTTTTTATTTTCAATTTCTTTAAAATTTATTCTTTGATACATTAATATTCCTATTGAGTTGTTAATAATAATAACAATTTGATAGACAACAAAAATTATATTTTTAACAAATTTATATCAATCAATTTAAAATAAATTCAGATGATTGGTTGATTTAATTAAATTTTACTCCTCATAACAAAATAATTTTTAGCTAACGTTTTACTATCTATTTTTAAAATTAAGTTATCATCCTTCAATGATTAGTGTATTTATATTTATTGTTTATTATTCTTATATTTGTATTGAAATAATAGATATACTGATTTTTGTTATTTATGTTTGCAGTATATTGTTTATTACAAATAATGTGCTTTTATAACTTTGAATCGCTTATTTGAAAGTTACATTTATGTTAAATATCTATTCTGGATCTACAATAAATCCAATTTTGATCATAGATAAGTGATTTTTGATGGCTTAACAAGATTTATAAATCTTGAAATTTCTAAAATTCTGTTCGATTTGCGCCTTAATTAACTTTTGATAGGTATTAATTATTAAATTTGTTAATTGTTTTTTATTTTTAAAAAATCAGGTCCCACTGGGATTCGAACCCAGGTCAAGGGATTTAAAGTCCCCAGTACTAACCACTATACTATGGAACCGGATAACTAATAATACTATATTATTTTGGGAGGATATAAAGGCCCTTGCAAATTAAAATTAGAGAATACAACAAATTAATTAATAATTAATTTATCATGAAGAAAAAGATGAATTTTTTTAAGGAAGCTTAAAGCTCTCAAAATACAAAGAGTAATAATACTATAGTACATAATGAAATGAATTACAGAAAATATTAAATCTTTAATATAAACTTAATATTTTAGAGTGCTTAAGCAGAATGTTTTAAAACATCTTTTAGATGTAAAATTTAATTTAGAAATAAAAATATTGATCATATGAAGCCTTCTTCTTCTTCGTAGTTGTATTCGTCATTAGGGTTAACAATATGTTCTAAATCGACCTTATATCTTAAGAAACCACCAATACCAGAGAAACCTTTGACAAATTGGCAACCTTCAGCAGATTTATCAGTAATAAAGTAAAGTTCAGCACCGAATTCACTGTAGTGTTCAGCTAACCATTCAGTTAAGTTTTCAACTTCAATCTTTTCAAGTTCATGTTCACCATCCTTGAAATGCTTAGGATTATTTAATTCATTAGGAGGAATGAATATATGAGTGATTTCTAATTTTATAAAAGATATTTTTAATCATTTAATTAATTAAATTTATTTGTAGAAAAAGATTTTATTATTAGATTCTATTGGTATCATCTATTAAAGCCTTATTTATTTATTTCTTTCTTTCTTTCTTTCTTGCTATTTAATTTATTTTTTGTTTGTTTGTTTGTTTGCTTTTTTGCTTGATTGCTTGCTTTTTGAGTTCAAATACCTAATCTGAAAATTGAAATAAATGCTAAATAATTACATTCTGTGACTTTATTTTTACGAGTGACTCTCAAGGTAGTGAGTTCTTCGAAACAAAGAATGTTTTCAATAACACCATCTAATAAGAGTTACATAGTATCTTGAACACCATAGACAACGGTACCGGAGTCAATAGCGATGCAATCGAAGAATTTGGAGATAACGTTCTTTTCTTAAACGAACTTGACGTTAGTTAAAGATTCTTAAGCGAGTTCAATAGCTTGGTTAAGACCATTTTCACCACCATAAGAAACATCAACAATCTTGATAATCTTGCAAGCAAGACGAGGGTCGAACATCTATGTAGTACTCAATTCATTCTTGAAATCACCAGAACCAGCTAAGACTAAACCTTAAACATTAATTTTATCTTGGGAAATGAAAGTTTAAGTGGCGACTTCACAAACCTTTCTAAGATAGTTGTGTCTCTTTTCAACTCTAAGACGTGCAAAACGAACTGATGATTGACCACCTCTACCGTGCTTCTTGGGCAATTCGACTGAGAATTTATTTAAAACCTTTTTTAATTAATGAGAAATGATTATATGTTAAAAAGAATAATGTTTTTTTATATATTCATTTGAAAGATAGTTCGTTTTATTTTTTACTAAAAAACTGGTAGTAATATTACTAATTTAGTAAACTCTGCTACATAGAAGAAATATATTTACTCAATTTGATTTTATTTAAAAATATTCAAAGAGATATTTGCTTGCTTGCTTGTATTTTTTTTTTTTGAGAATATGCTTTGATTGAAAATAGGATTAAATGCTTATTAATTAAAGAAAGTATATAATAAGATTTTCTTAAAAGCCAAAATATTTATTTGTTAATTAATCCCTAAAAAATATGACTTTCGTTAATATTTTTTAATAATTTTAAGCGTATTTTTAATTGACCCTTATTAAATCTTTCCTTGTTTATTTGTTTTGCATGCATCTAATAAAAAATTTTGATAGTTAATTTATTTTATATAGCTTACTGTCTTTGTATTTCCTTGGAGATTGGCATAGAGAGCACCTTGACCATCCATAACGATGAAACCAAAAGGAGGGTCGGTTTCAAGAAGTGAACCCAATTCATCAACGTGGAACTTACTGTCACAGAAATAAAGAGAGGTGTTGATGGGCTTGTAGGGTTCGAAATCGATCAAAAGCTTAATTTCTTTTCCTTCTTCGTTAAGAACCTTACCGCAATAAAGAATCAAACCATTATTGGGAGTTCTTTGATATAATTTTAATCCTTTGTTTTATAAATTAAACATTTAAGACCAGTCAGCAAATTTATTTTCATTTTTTAAATTTTGCTTAAAATATCTTCATCATTCAATAGTTTTTGTGGATGTTGTTTGAAGAAATGCCAAGCATATATACATATTTAACCAATAATATAATAATTTTACTTTGTAAGGCGGAAACCATTGCATCTTGTACAGATTAACGGTTGACTCTGTCTTTAATATTAGTGGCCTTACTGAATTCATCACTGATTAACTTTGTGGAATCGTTAATTTACTTCTTAGGAGGAATAATCAAAGAAACCATAGAAGTACCAGAACTATGTTTTTAAAAGTTATAAAGGTTATTTACTTAAAATTTTCTAAAATTTCAATCCCTAAATCTTCCAAATTATGCAAAATCTCCACTGATGTCACATATTTTTAAGGTATTTATCCTTAAGCAAAATATAGAATTGCAATTCCATAAGATATTAAAATTAAATGAATGATAACTAGGCTATATATAGTTTTATTATTATTCAAGCAAAACAAAAATAACATATTGAATCAGTGGGTGCAAATGGAAAGTTAGTGAAAAGAGAGAAAATAATTTTTTATATTAAATAGATTGATTACCCTCTAGTGTTTCTAAGTCTTGTCATCAATTTCTTGATCTTAAAATGTTCAATATTTCTTTAACGTTGATCTTTCTCTTCCATTTACGCTAACTATTTTAGGTTTAAATTTAATCTATTTTTGCTCTTTTTTATTTAACTTTTTTTTGTTAATTTAAAGTTTATACAATTATTTTCAAAACAAAGGATATATAAATTTTGTTATGCTCAATTAATTTATTTTCTTCACATCTCATATATTAAAAAGAGACCCTCACCTCTAAAGAAATTTAGCCTATTTTTGACTATACTTGTCAAAGCAATTCTACTATTTTAAAACTATTTACTACAATGAAGGAAGGAATTTTTAAACCATTTTCAAGATTTTGATAACAATTTTAAAAATTTTGCTCTTTAATAGTAATAAATAAAAGTAAAAATAGAATTTGGTTTAATTTAATCTTCTTATGAAATTATTATTTTATTAATTGAATAATTAGGAGATAAACAGATAAATTTAGATAATTCAATAATTAATTTTTATTATCTAAATTTTTTATTTATTTTTAACAATTTGAATGAATATAACAATAAAAATTATTTTTTCAAAATATTAAATTAAATAAATAAATAGTTCTTGAAAATGTATTTGTTATAATTTTGTTTTTTAAACTAAAATGCATAATAAGTTTATCTAAAATTAAATTTTTTAAAGAAAAATAGTTACAGAAATTTATCAGATAAATTCATAATTATTAAAAAATAAATATCTCATTTCAAGTTATTTTGATATTTTAAATATCAAAATTCATCTTTGTAAAATTTATTCAAACAAAAAGTGGATTTTTAAAGCATAGTTAGTTTTAAAAATTAAATGAAATTAAATGTAATAAATTTTTAGGTTTAACAATATAAAATTAAATATAATATACTCTAAAGGTTCATATATAGGCCGTTTTTAAAAATTTGAAAATATGGTTTAATTAAGGCAGGTAAGAACTATAAGTGAGGTATCTAAGCTGAAATCGAGGTGGCCTTAATATATGAAAATTTACAGTATTTGTTATAAAATGATTATTTATTAAAATGATACATAATTTATTTAAAAAAGTTTTTAATTAATAATAAAATCTTTATCAAATTTATTGATAAATTATTTAACTTAATTATATCACTTTTGGCGGTTTTTAATATTAAAACAGCAACTATTTTGCGCGATGGATATACAAATTGAAAATCTTTTCTTTTTAGGATTAGATTTGTCTACTTAGTCTTTAAAATTATGTGTATTTGATGAGAATTCTATAGAAGTATATCGTGATAAAATTATTTTTAGTGATATACTATTTGAAAATGAAGAAGTTGTTCATTTTACAGTAAAGGATAATCACAAATCAGCAGAATAAGATGTGCTCATTTTTCTCAGAGCTCTTGATCTAGGTTTAGAAAAACTAAATAAGTAATTCGCTAAAAAAATATCTGCTTTATCTGTATCTGGATAACAACATGGGAGTGTTTATTATTAGAAGGAAATATTATATGACTCTAAAAAAAATTTAATTGAAAATTTGAAAGATTCATTTGCAACTATTTTATGTCCTATTTGGATGGATTCTAGCACATCTTCTTAGTGTAAAGAAATTTCTGAGTAATTTACAGAAATTCATAAAAAATCAGGAAGTAGGGCTTTTGAAAGGTTTTCTTTCAGTTAAATTATTAAAAAATACTAATTATAAAAAGAAATTTACGATAAAACTATCCATATAAGCTTAATAAGCTCATTTTTGGCTGAAATATTTATTGGAAAGTTTATTTCTGTTGACTATGGTGATGCATCTGGGATTAATTTAATGGATTTAAAATCTAAAAAATACATTTAAGAAATGGTAGATTATGTACCTGATTTATAAAAAAAACTAGGAGTATATCAACCTATAAAGAGTTGGTAAAGTGTTGGAAGAATAAACGATTATTTCATACACAAGTATAATAATATCTTTAGTTAAGACTCGTTTGTTATTGCTAGCACTGGAGATAATTTAGCCTCTATGGTAGGAATGGGATTGCTGAATCCAAGTTACTTGGCAATAAGCTTAGGTACTAGTGATACTCTATTTGGTATTATTAACGAAAATGATATAGAGAAATCACTTGACCCAAATATTCATATTTTTTGCTCTCCTCTTAGATCAGATTAGGTATATTTTATTTTTTGATTAACTTAAAAATCTCGATTTTGATTAAAAATAAAAAGATTTATTTTAATCAATAAAAAGTATCTTTTGCTCCTTTGCCAGAAAAATGGAGGTATGATGAGAGAAGAAATAATTTCAAAAAGTTAGTTGACATGGGAAGAAGTTGAAGAATATTACTTTAATATCTACAAGCCTAAAGGATTTTATGGTTGTTTTCTTTAATAACCTGAAATAGTACCACCTATAAACTGTCCAAACTAAATAGAAGAAATAAAAAATGTAAATAACGATGCTCCTATTAAAATTTTGCCAGTAGAAAAAATTATACTTCTTCTTGAATATAAAATAATATCTTTAAGAATAAACTTCCTGAAAGATAATATATCTAAGCTGATTTTGACAGGAGGAGCATGCAAAAACAGAGTTTTGCAACAAATTTCTTCTAATGTTTTTGGATGCCCTGTTTTTATACAAGGATCTGAAGATTCAGCATGTATTGGTAGTGCTCTTAGAGCACATCATGGATATTTAAACCACATTAAAAATGACGAAATAGATTTTTATAGCCACTTTAACAGCTGCAACGCATATAATATTCAGCAAGTGTCATCTCCAGATCTATAATTAAATTAGTATTATACAGAAATATCTCCATTTATTTAATAATTAGAATAAAATTTATGTAAATAGTATCCATATTGATTATAATATACCTAAGCTCATTTTGTGTAAAAACTATGACTTGCAATAAATTCTTTTTAATATTTTTGGATATAAAGTCTATTTAAAAGGAAATAAAGGTTTAGAATTATTTGGTAGTTCACTTAAACACATCTTGGCTTTTTAAACTACATAAAAAAAGGAGATTAAATTTATATTTAGTATCTCTTTAAATATTGCAATCCATATAAATTTTATTAAGTACCATCTCCAAGTCTATAATTAAAATAACACTACACAGAAATATCTTCATTTTTTTAAATTAGAACAAAATTTATGTGTTTTAGAATATAAATTGACTATTTTTATATTATAAATTTGATTTTTATTCAAAGAATAACTCCAAATATAATTTATTTTAAAGAAGATTTATGACAATTGTGTGTAGATTTTATTTATTAAAGTTTCTTATCTATCTGTATTTTGTTAAATTTTATAAATTAAATAAACATTTTAAGTATTTTTAATAATCCTTAATTATATTTTCGTATAGCTTCTAATATATTATAAAATTGATATAAGAAGATTAGATATAATCGCATATTATTTATTTAATTATATTAATAAATGTCTCTTAAATAAATAATTAAAACTGGTATTTCTGGACTGGTCTTTGACTCTAAATAACCTAGGAAGGTAATTCTTATTTAAGATTAATCATTTAACTTTTTCTGTGGCAATTAATGCTAAAAATTTGTTAATTAAATGAAAGATACTATTGATCAAAAGAGAATAGCCTCCTTATCATAATTAATGGAGTTTTCCAGGAGGTAGACTTGAATTCGGTAAGATTGTTAAATTTACTTTATCTAAAATTATTTATCTCTAACTTAGGAGAATTAATTGAAAATGGAATTAAAAGAGAAGTTAAGGAGGAAACTGGATATACAGTTGATTTAATTGGCAATAATTACAATATTCATGAAGTGATAAGGCAAGACACTGTAAGATTTATTTGATCTCAAACAAATTTTACTAATTAATGAAATATATATTTAATAGCACTATTTAATATTCAGTGCTAGTTGTGTTATACAAAGCTATTCTAAAGGACATGAAAAAATCTTCAGTTAATTCTTCTACTTAGATTAATATTTAGGCAAAGATACGAATGAAAAATTCAACATTTCAGAAATTAAAGATGAAGAAAGCATTCCAAATTTTCATTAGATTCTTTAAAAAATGCTAAAATAGGATTTTAATATTGAACCCATAGAAAAAAAAAATGTTAAATGAGTAAAAAAGTCTTTATTTAGATAGCAACATAACCACAATAGATAATTTACTTAAAAGCTAATTCAAATGAACTGTTTGAATTAGTATACTTCTATGTGTTAGTTTTTATTCATCAAATATTTATCTAATTAAATTTTCAAATTTTTTAAAGGATATAAGTAAATTCAATTTAACTGATTTTTATTTTTGTTACTGCATAAAAAACTTTATAGATAATTTAAAAGATTAACTAATGTTTTTAAAAGGGAGAGTAACTTCTAAATCAAGTAAAAACAAATTAAAAAATCTTGATAAAAATGTATTGGGCTTACTTAGTTTTTTTTTTTTGAATAAAGCATTTACATATACCTGAGAGGATCAGTATTTATTTAGTATATAATATATTATTGAAGTATTATAGAAAGTATTCTAAATTGTAGTATTTAATCAGTAATTTATTAAATATATTTTGCAAAATATGAAAAAAAATCTATAATTATTGAAGGATCTTTACATGGTTTAATTTGCAATTAGAGTTTTTTGTTGTTTTTAGTTTGAGCAGTACTTTTTTTTATGAAAAATTAAATGATGATTGATATTCAGAGTCCTACCTGCATTTAAAAGAATTTAAAATCAAAGTGAATGTCAATAATAAGAAAATACAAAAAAAGAAAATGAATGAATGAGTGAATACAGATAGGATTTTGCAGAAATAGTTAATTAAATAACTAGTAATTGATTGATTTATTTATTGATTAATTAATTAATTAGCAACTATGCAAGAAATCAAATAATTATCAAATTAACAAAAAGAAAATAATTGAATAAAAAGAAAAATTTAAAAGATTGAAGTTTAACAATCAAAAATAAAAAAATTAAAAGAAAAGTTAGTTTTAAGTGAATATAATTTAGAAACTTGAAAAAGCTAGTGAAAATGGACAATAATAAGAACTCAGGGTAATTAATTTAAAAATTAGTCTATGAAAATTACTATTAAAGACGATTGATTTTTTTTTTCTTTTTAAATTCAGAAATGTTGGAGAGTGTTCTCAAGAATAGTTAGATACATTGCAAAAATTTAGGCAATTTACTGCAATGAAAGGATGTTCTGAAAAAGAATATGACGACCACTACTTATTGAGATTTTTAAGAGCAAGAAAATTTGATTTAGTCAAAACAGAAAAGATGTTTTCTGACTTTTTGGATTGGAGAATAAAGAATGATGTTTAAAATATAATGGTAATTTATTTTCATTTACATTTCTCCTTTTCAAAAGGAAGAATAAATAAATAAATCAAGAAGAGAAAATGGAATCAAAAGTGAATCATTTTTAATATGAAACTCATTTTAAAATTTAACTATTCATAAAAAGCATTTGCTTTAAGCTTATTGATAGCTTTAAGTATTATTTTTTAATAAATAGAAATTCTCCTTCAATGAATTAGCTGAAGTTCGTCACCATTACCCTCATGGTTATCACAAAACTGATAAACTAGTAATAAATCATTTAAATTTTAACTTAGTAAAATAGAAAAAAAGATAGGAAATAGTCAAGCAAAAATATTTAGGAAATACTAAGCAGAGTATTTAAAGAAATCGAAATTAAAAATTATTATAATTATTCATAGCATTTAAAAATAGCATAAATACTTAAGAAAATTTTTAATTTAGCAATCATTTTTAAATTTAAAAAAATATAATCAAACAGGGTCGCCCAATATATATCGAAAGAATCGGAATGTTAAAGCTAACTCAACTATTTTAAGTAACAACCGAAGAGCGTTTAATAAAGTATTATATCCAATCATACGAAATTCTCTTAAATCGTATCTTTCCTACTTGTTCACAAGCTATCGGACATAGAGTCGATTAAACAGTTACTATTTTAGATTTAAAGGGTATTCCCATGAAAATGCTTTCAAAATAAGTTTATAATTTTATCTAGCTTGCCTCTAAGGTAGCCTAAGAAAACTATCCTGAAATTCTTGGAAGAATGTTTATAGTAAATGCTCCCATGCTATTTTCAGGAGTCTGGGCAGTTATAAAACCTTGGATAGATGAAAAAACAAGAAATAAAATTACAATTATAGGTTCAGGATTCAAAGAAAAGCTCTTAGAAATAGTAATTAATTAATAAATTAATTCTATTCTATTTTAATCTTTTATTTAATTAAAATATCAATTTATTTATTTACTTACTCAATAACTATATATTTATTTTAATATTTTTAATTCAGATTGATATTGATAACATTCCTGATTTTTTGGGAGGAAATAGCAAGTGTGATCTATCTAAAAATATTGGACCTTGGAATCCTACTGGAGAAACTCCGTAAATTTAAATTAAATTAATATTAATACCAATTCATTTTTTTATTTTTGATTGTACTGATTATTTTTTTTTGCTCCATCAAATATAAATAAATATTATTAAATAATTAAAAATACATTTAAATTTCTAATTAAAGATATGAGCCCCAAATCATAACAATTATTATTAAATTAATTATTACTATTTTAATATAAAGATTATTCCCATGCGAGTACAAAGATGGAATGAAATAAGATGGTGAAGAAGAAAAAGTAGTTTAAGATGGAGAAGAAGACGAAGATAGTGAAGCTGAAAGATAAGCAATGGAATTAGCAGCTCTTAGAGATGCTTTAGCAGGTAAAATTACAGGACCTTCTTCCAAAGCTCCTCATAACCCAGATAAATACGAATTAACTACTTAAGGTGCTAAATTCTAAGTCAGTGACACTCCTTTAAATACATAAGCTGAGGCTGATGTAATTTTTTTTAATTTATATAAATTTGAAATATAAAATTGAAAATTGATTTTTGAGATAGAAAATCTAAAGAAAAATTATAGTGAAAAGTCATTATTAGAAAAAATTAAATAGATAAAAATTAATTTAGATTAAAAAACTAAGCAATAGCATTAAATATATATTAAAGAGTAAAGCGATGAAATTGAATAATAAGCTAAATTGAAAAATATAAATTTCTTTAAGCAAATTGCAAACATACTTTTTTAGAATAAAAATATTATATAAATATGAAATATCTACAATAAAAATAAATTAATAAGAAAGCAAAATAATACAATTATTAGATAAAATATAGTTAAAATTTTATTAATTTAGAATTTTATAAATGAAATTGCATGCAACAAATATATTTATAATTATTTATTTTATTAATGAGCAAAAAATATATTTAAAATAATTTATTTATTTAATTTATTAAAAAAAAGGATGACAACTGAAATAGGAAATATGATATTAATTTTAATTCCTCACATAAATAATTGTGAGATTAGCAAACACCTATAAAATTATATTAAATTGTTAATTTAAATGAAAAAAATATTTAAAGTAAATTCAATAAAATTTTAGATCTTTTGGAGCATGAAAAATTGAGTGAAAGCTGCTCATTCACTCACTTACTCACTCTTATATATTCTAAAAGATAACTGACTAAATATCTCATTATAACTTACGTACGTATTCTATTAGCTTACTTATTATCTGCATGCATCAATTATAAACAACTATAAATTACTTAAATTAACAAATAAAATGTTAAAACACAGTTAGTTATCACAATCTAATTGCAGGTTAAATAAATTAATAAATGTCAAAACTTCATTGGCTAAAAAATTTATATTATGTTTCTCACTAACATAAAACTATATATATTTATTAATTATCTACCTATTGTATACAGTTTTTTTTATTTGTTTAAAATTATTTTTTACATAATTTAGATTTGTCTGTTTGTTACAGCAATTAATTTTATTTTTTTACATACTAAATTTTTTATTTTCTTAAGTCTTAATAAACAAACAATTAATAAATAGCCATAAAAAATTCGCTTTATAATTAAAAAATACACAACTTTATTATTAAAAAATATTTGCTTGGATGAAAAATCTTATTTAAAACATTACATGAATAACCAAAATTAAATTTAATAAACGATTATTCAAACACTTCTTTTTTTGATAGGATTGCAAATGAAAATATATTTGTTAATTGAGACAAGGTATTTAAATAAATAAAAAAATCTCCAGATAAATTTACATTTAAACATTGATAAAAAATAAATTTTAGTAAATTTAATAAATATTTCTACACGCATATTCATCAAGATATATTACTTACTATTATTTAAATCTTTGACCCAAATTACACAATTAAAATTCAAATCAATCAAATATAAAAAACGATATGTAAACAAGTAATTTATTCATAGCTAAACATTTTGCTGTAATAAAAATAATAATATGGCCATAAATCATTTTTAAATGATATTAAAATATTTAGATAGAATTGTATTTATGTATATTTATTTGTATAAAAAAACTGAATGAATATAAATTATATTCTTACAGTTTACTTGCTGCTCAGATAGGTTTCAATATTTTTTTTAAAATTATATCATTTTTGAATAGTCTGTTAAATATCGGAGTTTTAGTAACTAAAGAGAGCAAACAAAAAAATACTTCATCTTAGGGATAATAATTAAGTAAATGAAAAGAACAAATTGTCTGAAAAGAAATCAAGGTAATTTAATCCTATTGAATTAAAGTTTGGTAAAATTGAATTTTAATAAAAACAACCCAAAAAGTCTTTATTAAAATAGTCAATTTATTTAATCTAATAGTTAACAAATAAAATTTTTAGATTCATTTATTTAATTAAGCAGCATTATTTCATAATTAGTAAAGCAAATAAATTTTTATGACAATTAGATATAGAAATTTATGCTTCAAAACAATTTAAAAAAAGATCAGTTTATTATTTCAAAAGGATTAGGAATCATATTTACTTAATACCATCCCAGATTTTAGCAAAAAATTAGTTAATTTATAAAGCACATCTTTAGTTTATTTAAGAATGCTTCCCAATTTTAGAAATTTTAAATTCTTTCTTATGATTATTGCCCTTAGTAGTTTAGTGTAAAATGTAAGATCTCATTAAGTACGTTAGACTGCTACAAGAGTTTTTACATTTCTTGAAAAATACCATTACCCAGTAGTCGAAGATACTTGCAATAGCTATTCAGAAACTTAAATGATTTAGGATTTTAAAAATAATAATAATACAATATTCTATGAAAGATATATAATTTTCCAAGCTGTAAAAGAAGTAATTGGTAATGATGCTCAAGTAAATTTTAAGTGCGTTGAAAATTATGAAAGCGATAACTCAGATGACCCCTAAGATTAGTATGCGGGAAAGTTCGGGAGTGAAAAGAAGTTTTACCTTGAAACATAAGATCATTATTAAAGCATTCCAAGCCTGTTTTATGAAAAATTATACATTTAAAAGTAGAATATCATCGATGTAGCATCATTTAGTGTCTTTAAATACTTAAATTATTTATTCTATTTAGGAATATTTTTAATACCTGCAGTAACTGGTGCTAGTTTACTTCTTTTTAAGGACCTAAATACCTTTTATGATTATCAAAGAGTAGTTTACTCCGTATTTAGGTATATGAATAGATAAGGAGATTAGTAAATGAGCTTATGGCTTCATAAAATTTTATCACTTTTTGTAGCTTTATTTTTTTTCTTTTACTACTCAATTCTCCTTAGCGAAATGACAGCGAAGAGAAGGCAGAGCATATCTTTATCACAAATAAATATCGATATCTTTAGAGATATATAAAATTATCCCTTTAATTTTAGTATAGATGAACCTTCTTATTCTTTATTATATGTAGATTTGTTCTAGTACCTCTACCTATTAAATGATTATGAAATTAATAACAGTTTCTAAGACTAGTCTACCTATCACTACAATGTTCAGTTTAGCAAAAACTACTTCACTTAAGATGAAATCTCTCAACTGAATTTAAAAATTCTAAGCTTTTCTGCCAGAGGTGGAGTTTAAAGCAACGTATTTGCAATAAAAAACTAATTCACTTATAAAAGTGATGATATTTATTTAAATTGGCTGATTCTGGCTGGTGGAGTTCTTGCAGGGTTGATTTTTAAATGCTTACAGCTTAAATTTTCTTTCTTAAATTAATACACTGAAATATAAGGCTATAGAGAATAAGTAAATCAAAATATAGCTTAGGATTTTGGTGAATTATTTAGATTTAGAGTTTCATAGCTTTTAAGTAGGGTTTAGGCTAAAGATCATTACTAAAATTTCAAGTAAATTCCTATCACTTAGAAATGCTATAGCTTGGGAAAATAAGTATTTAAAGTGATTGTCAAAAGAAGGAAGAAAAAAGTTTTGCACAAAACAAGAAAACAGATTAAAAATCTTGTTAGTACAGGAAATGAAAAGAAGCAAAAGCCAAATTTATATTAAGTAATAAAAGAATTCTTAGCAGCAGAGAAAAAAATGGTTTAAAACAATTCCTAACTGAGCTCTACTAGCTAGAGGAGATATGCTATGCAAGCTGCATTGTTCACTCAAAATGAGGAATAAAGAGAATCTTAAAAACTAATTTAAAGCAAAGAGGAATTGTATCAAAGTTAGTTCTAAATACGTAATAAAAAAATATCAAACAGTAAAAATACTTAAAAAGACAAGCTAACAGGGAGCTTTAATGCTGTTTTTAATAAGAATTAAAATTAGGATATAAATACTAATAAAACTGAAAAGAAATCTGCTAAAAGTAAACCAAATGATGGTAGAAAAGATCTTAATAGAAGACTTACAAATCTAGCATTTTCTCAAATCCATGTAGACTCTCCTAAAGTAGATATGAAAAGTATTAATAGCAATCTCTAAGTCATAAAAATTGCAAACAGTAAAAGCTCAAGTCCAAAGAGTGATGATAATAATAAGATGAAAATGATGTAAAAGTAATTCATATAATAGTTTGACATTACATAGTAAGATGGATCGAACAGAAATAGAAGAAGAGGAACAAATCATGTTTTAAGTAACTAACAGCTTTAATCTATAAAAGTTTATGATGATTAGCTTCATAAAAAATTTCATAGACGTCATTCTTCTTATATTAAAATTCCACCACCTGAACAAAAGAATTATGAAGAATAAAACTAAAATGAGTAGCAAGAATATGAAGATAATAACAGTAATGAAGAACATGAAAATTATGATAATGAGCCTATTCATCTTCATTTCAATTTGGAGGTCAACTAACCATAAAAAAGTTTGTAAATAATAAGAAGCTCTGACACAATTTAAGAAACGAATTAAAATTAAAATAAAATAAAAACAGATCATACTCTAAATAGCTAATTGTACATAAATGGTGGTAATAATGCAGAAAATAATGTCACTAACGACAATAAATTTAATATGATATCTCCACAATCAAAAGAAACTGAGAGAATAGGAATAAATTAGTAATTAAGTTCTGCAAATGATTAATATTATTCTAATGGAATGTATCATTCCAATAGATCAAATCAAACTGAACTTGAAGCCCTTTATCCTAAAAGAATTAATCTATTTGATGGTATGAATAATTACATGCAAGAGTATTAGCATACACCTTAAAATGGAGAAAATAGCAATTTCAACAAAGAATATCTTTTTACAGAAGATGAGCTCATTGCAGAAAATAGCTAACACTTTCAAGAAAATTCATAATAAAAATTTGATAAAGAAGTAGATCGAATAAATTAAAACTTTAAAAAATCAAAATTAAAGAACTAGATATAGTGAATAAAAGGAAAATAAAATGATAATTTAAACTAAATTAATATAAATAATAAAATAAATAATCCAATATTTTAAATAATCTCTTTCATAAAATAATTATGTTCTTTATCATTATTTAATTAATGTATATATACATTTAATCTGTTAATTATTATTTATTCTCAATCAAAAATCTCTATAAATTAATTTTAAAAATTATAAACTAATTTTAGTTTTTATAATTTATTTGCTTTTATTATTAAAAAATTTACATCTCATACCCTCATTTAATATTCAAGGGTCTAATCTTGTAAACTAAATCTCATGATAATTATTTTTATGGGTGGTGGATCTTATAAAAAAAAATGAATAAAATAGTTATTTAAATTTTATTTACTTTTTATGAAAAAAATTAAATAATTGAAAAATAATTTTTTTTTAATTAATTTTTGATAAATCTAATCAAAAATAACAAAAAAATGTATTCCAATTGCATTAATAATATAATTTACAATTATTAAGCTCTTTTTAAAATTTTTAATACATTATTTTATCTTAAATATTTATACAAATAAAATGTTGTAAAAAATGCATTTTGGATATTAAAATTGTGGATATATGAAGATCTATTATTTATTTTTTTTTTAAGATTTTTATTGATAGAAATCAAATTAAAATTTCATAAAAATTCAGATTATAGAAAGTAAAATAATAAAGACAATAAACCTCATCTTGTGAACTAAAATGGATAAAAAATAATTATATTATAAAGTTATTCTAGATTCTCAGTCTTAAAAAAATAAAATTTAATTCATTGTAGAAAATGATTTAGCTAATTAGTAAGTTCATATTTTAAAATAAACGATATTAAAAATAACATCTTAAAAGAACTAAAATGGATGAAGATAAGTTTGAAAATTTTATTCTTGATAAATATGCAATCTCTAAATAACAAATTAACACAGCGAATATATCGTAATTATAATAAAAGCATATTCTAAATAAGAAAATGATATTATTTTAAATAGATTTTCAAACTTTAAGCAGTATTCTCATTTTTTATTTACAAAAATCAAGAATTTAGTTTATAATAATAAGCTATAGCTGAATGTAAAAAAACTATTCCTAGAAGTAAAGTAATTCTATATAAAAGTATTAGATTAATTATTTTATTTATTAATATTTATATAAAATAGATTTTGCTATCTCTATTAAGATGATGCCCATTATTTAGATGATCTATTAAGTACCTTCTAATAAGATTTAGAACTTTTATCTTTGAATCTTATGTAAGTAATAATAATTATAAAAATAAGTTTTAATATAAATAATATTGATAATAGTGGAAACTATCTATCACTTTATGGATTGTCTTAAATATTAAAATCAATAAGCAGACTATTCCCAAAACTGAACAGATTAATCATAGATTTCTCGTAAGTTTTAATGCGTTTTAAATTATTGTTAAACATTTCTATTTAAACAAACAGTGTTAATTCTTCAGCTCATTTGCATAAAGTAGATATAAAAAAGTTTGGTAATATTTAATTATAAAATAATTCGTCTTTTTAATAAACAAATAATTATTAGGTCAAAAAAGCATAGAAAATAATATTCCAAAAAAAAATTAAAAGATAATTAATTATATTTTCGATTGATTAAATTTATTTTAATATAAATAAATAGATGGATTTCATGATATCATTAAATTGAATAGCCTAAAATCTATTGACTTAAATTTGAAGTTAAGATTTTTCATTAAAGCAAAATCTGAATATTTTATTATTTTAATAGCTAAGCTGTTGAATTTAGCAATTTTTTTGAGTGCTTAAAAAACCCATAAAGTTTTCCATCTAATTTGAAAGAAATTTTTATAAATTGCTAATAATTGGAGTATGGATAGAGTAAAAGTAATTTCTTTGAAAATTTCAGCTTTATTTTTGAAAGACTTCCTCAGTTAGAATATCTTGATTTAAACTTTACAAGCTCATACACAAGTGGTATACTAACATTCTTAAATGCTCTTAAAAATTCTAGATTACAAAAATTTGTCTTGGATTTATATAAGTAAGCTCTTTTATTAATTTCATAAACATTTTAGGATTATTTTAATAAAATTAGGGGTAAGCTAAACGAAACTCCAAGTTAAATCATGAACACAATATTTTAATCATAATACCTCAAGTATCTAGACATAAATTTCAGGTAAATTGCTTATTTTTGCAATCTGAGCTATATATAGATCACTTTATAAAAATAATAGAATGGCAGCTAATAATTCAACTGATTGTTTAGAAGTATTTTAAAACCTTCATAAATGCACAAATCTTGAAATCTTGAAGGTATCGCTAAAGTAAATTGAATTTAGCTAGTATAATTTTTAATGAAAAATTATTTTGAATTAAAAAAAGAAATAATGATATTGAAAATTTGCAACTAATTACATTTGCTGACCATTTAAGTAAAACACCTACAAATTTAAGCTAAGTAAATTTAGATTTAACCAATGACTACAAACAGTAAATACGATTCATTTTTAATAGATTCTTATTTTATTTATTAACTAAATAAATTAGAAAGAGGCTTTCTTAAGAATACATTAATCATTTAGAATTCCAAATATTGTAGATACCTAATTTAACACATGCTAGTATTTCTTTTACAGAAACAAATGCAGAAAAACATTCTTAGCGTTTAAAATAATATAGCTAACAAGCCAAAGCATTAATCTAACAAAATATTGCTTTCAAAAAGTTAATTGGCCCATTTATGGTCTTCAATCCAACTTTTATTAGCTAAGATTTATTCTTTTGAGTTTTTCTTAAATCAATTCTAAATACTTAAAATGAAAAAATTTGAATAATTTATGAATGATAACATTATTTATTTTAAATCACAAAAAGAGTGTGAGTTAGCATTGTGTTTTGTACAATTCATATCATAGTTTTACATTATTAATTTAACATTTTTTGTATTTAATATTTTATGAGGATTTAAAAAAAGAAAAAATTATCAAATTAATTTTAGAGCTTAAAACTAAAGTCACAAATATTTATCAAGAGATAATAAAATAATTTATTTCATTAATAAGAAATATTCTCAAATTAAAAAAACAAACTGTTAAAAAGTCAAATATCTTTTTTAAATTAATTTCTAAAATTCAACAAACAAAATTTATAATTAAAATTTATTAAAAATAAAAAACAAACTTCCAAGCTTTAAATTTGTTTTACAAAAAGCTAAATTAATTAAATAATTTTATTTTAATTTTTAAACACTAAAGAAAGCCCATCTTTTTTTAATCCCTAAAATCGTTCATTATCTTACAAAACTATCCAATTAATGGTATTTAGTGCTCGTGAGTAAATAGTTAGTTAATATATATCTCTCAGTATTATTTTTATGCATTTAATTGTCAGAAATTGTTTTACTTTTTGTTATTGTTTTTTCTTATAAATATGAAAACTTTTTTTTATAAAAATTTTAAGAAGAATATTTTGTAAAATTAATTAATTAATTTTTGGGTACTTTTGTCAAAATATATTTTAATTTCATACATTTAAATATATTTGTAAATAAACTTGAAGCTTCAGATACTTTAAATTAAAACACTGTATGTGTTTTTTTAATAAACTAATGAAAAAAAATTTATATGTTTTAAATTTAATTTTAAGGATGAAAAAAAAAATTTCAAAAATTTCAAAATAAAAAATACTATTTTGAAATGCGTTTGATAAATCAGGAACTTTAATAAATTATTTTTAAATTTTTATATTGCTATTAATTTTCATCTGTTGTTAAAAATAGAAGGAATAATAAATGTTAGAAATAATTTAATATTACATTTTTATTTAAAAAAAAATATATTACAGGTATGATGTAAGATTAATAATTAATTTTTAAAATTCTTATTTTAGTATATTCAAAATATTAAATGATTTATTTAAATTTATTAATTTTTATCAGCTTACTCAAATTTCTCCTTATAAAACTCATAATTATTTTTAATGGTATTTTCTAAATCTGTTAATTTATAATCGCTATTACAATCAAGATAAAAACAAATATTAATCATATCTTCAAAAGTTTGCTTTGCAATTCTGTATGCTTTTTCTAAATCATTAAAATAATCATAATGAAAGTTAGAGAAACTTACTCCTATAGCCCACCTATAGTAATGGCAAGGTCTTAATGATTGTGCTAACTCAAAGCTTTAAGATAAAAACAAAAAAGCACAATAGATTGATAGATTTTTCAAATCTTCTTGCTCAATACAATTAGCTAAATACTTATGGTATCTACCCTTCAGTCTTAAGTAAAAAACTTTAGAGCTTATTTTCTAGAATAATTTAAAGTGGTTAATATTCAAAATTTTTAATTCCAAACAATAAAATTAATAATATTAACTAATTTATTATTTTTGATTATTTTTTTGTTTGAAGTTAAATAATTGCTTGTTTGATTATAATATTTCGGTAAGAAAATGTGTTTAATAGAATAAAATTTTGCATCTATCAAATTTATTATAAATAAATTTAAAATTTAAGTGTAAAATTACCAAATTTTCTTTACTCAAAAGATGATCTAACACTTCTTGAATTTCTTTAAACAGTTTAAAAAGTTCATCAATTACAGTTTATTTGTAGCTATCAAAATATTTTTTTTTATTGATATTTGAAAATTCAGATTATTTTTCTAACTCTTTCAATTAATCTAAAGTTACTATTTTTTAACGTAAAATAGTATCAGAAGCATAAGCTAATAAACTTCTTTCGTTATGGTCAAGATCTTATTAAAATTAAATCACTTATTTCATCAAATTAAATTCTTCATAAACACAATTCATTTTTTCATAATTCACTGACAACTAAACTAATTATCCCTGAGAAAGATTGTTCATTTTTAAAAAAAGAAATAATTAACAATTTAAAGAAAGATTGTTTGTTATATTTTCTAAATTTTTTAAGTTTTAACTTTTTCAATATTTAACTATTTATCCCTAAAAAAACTATTAAATTTTTGTGATCTTTTTTATTTTTCATTATTATTTTTTAATCTTTTTAAATTATTGAAAACAAAAAATTGTTAAAATATTGCATTCTGATATTTACTTATTTCTATATGAATTTATATTTCTATAATATAATTATAAATTTAGACATATTTTTTTAAATTACTTATTTGATCTCAAACTTAACTAAATAATTTATTATGCTTAATTCTGATTTTTTTCATTTATTTCATTTCAAAAATTTAATGAATTATAAACAGCTGTACTGTATGTACTATGTACCCTAGCATATGGATGAATAGAGGTTTACTTTGATTAAAATTTTATAATATCAATTTAATTGATCTACTTTGTGATCTTTTTATTAGTCATTTTTATTTTTTTATCTATTTAAATTATTGAAAACAAAAAATTGTTAAAATATTGCATTCTGATATTTACTTACTTATTTATTGAGTTTATATTTCTATATTTTCTTACTATAATATGATTATAAATATAGATATAATTTTTTAATTACTTATTTGATCTCAAACACTAGATAGTTTATTATGTTTAATTCTTATTTTTTCATTTATTTCATTTCAAAAATTAATGAATTATAAATACCTGTACTGTATGAATGTACTCTAGCATATGGATTAAGAGAGGTTTACTTTGATTAAAATTTTATATTATCAATTTAAATAGATCTACTATTATCATTTTTTTTTTTAAATTCTATTTTTTCTTATTTCTGAATTAAAGAAACAAATCAAAAATATGAATTTAAGGCACTAATTAAAAACCAGTTTAAAATTAATATTTTGACTGCGAATGAAGTATAATAAATACATAATAGTGATTTTAAAATTAAGATAGGTTAAATTGAAAAAAATCAAATAAAATATCGCTAGAAAATAAATGAATTTACATTTCAATTTTAATCTTGTCTTAACCTCATCTTTTATTTCACAACTAACAACTATTTACATCTTAACAAACAAAAGAATTATTTATTATGCATTGAATGCATTATCAAATAGTAAATAAAATTATTTGAATGAATTGAAATATTTTAATAGATAAATATTTTTTATAAATTTTATATATTTGATTCTTTATTAAGTAAAAACAATTAAAATATTATAAATGAAACCTATCTATTTTATACATGATTACATATTTACCTTTTTTTCATAATTAATTTAATAATCTATTATTATGATTTGAAAAGTTATTCAAAATTATTAAAATATATTTATTTAGACCTAGTCAACATTTTATAAATATCAATTTACACTTAATTAATTCAAAATAGCAGCTATTTAGTCAAACTCTAGTAAGTTATCTTCATTTTGATTAATAATTTAGCTAGCAAATGATTCTCCGATATAATAAATAAGTAGATTAGTAATTATAATTTTGCTCAATTAGAGGTAAATATTAGTATCATTAAACATATCAACTATACTTTTACATTAAATAGTATATGAAATTTAGTAATTAAGTTATAAATTCTATTAAAATTTGTTTTAAGTACTAATAAATTGTTTTGTAAAGTTTCTTGAAACAAGCATCAATATTTATATCAAACTTAAACTTTTTAATTTCTCATTAATAAAATTTTTCTAATTAGGATTTCTATTTCTCAAATTATCTAATAATTATGTTTTAAAAACTTCTATCTAGCATTAATAAACTTTTTAACAGATTAATTAATTTATATTTTGGATAAATTCATTATTACTTATCAGTTTTTATTCAGATTATTGTTCTAGATTATTACCAGGTAGAATTTTTTACACCATATGAGCTAAAAGCAATTCATTTGGTGTCTATTAATTATTGCCATATTTTGTTTATTTATTTTAATTATCATTTGGCAATATATGTTATTTTTTTAAAACTGAACTTTACTTTTTCTTAAATTCGAAATCACCAAAATTAGAATTTTTTATATATTTTTGTGTATTTTGTTTGTTTGTTAAATGGCAAATTTAACAAGATGAGTAAGAATCCCCAAGCGAAATTATTTTAATTATTTTATTACTCATAAGAAAAGGTAAGTTATCAACATCTATAATTTTAGTAATATTTTATTCAGTCGATTTGTGAATTTTAGATGATATTTGTTGTTTATTCTTGCTATTTTTAATTGACTCAATGTTTTCTTTTAATTCATTTTGTTCTATCTCTTTTTCTCTATTCCATTAAAACTATTCTTCTTCTATCTATTTTTACAAAAAGAAAATGCTTATTTTTATTTTTTGGAGAAAATGCTACCTTCTTTACACAATCCTTAAAAGAGCTTGAAAATTAGAACCTTAAATCTAATGGATTTTAAAGGTTTGCTTTTAAAAGAGATTTGAGATTTTTAATATTTTACAAGGCTTCATATTTTTCAAATAATTCAGCACATTACCCTACTGAATTTTTACTTAGACTTGCTTCAAAGCTCTTTTGAATATTTTTAATTGAGCATCTCTCTATAACTAAGTTTCTGCCATTTTCCATGTAGTAAAGATAAAAAGACCTCTCTTGAAATTCATTTTTATTGTTTGAGTCAGTTTTTTCACTTTAATTATAATGGTTGTATAAGAAAGTCAACTGAGAGCAATTGGGAAATACTTTAGTCATCAGCTGCTTATCATTCATATCTATGATATACAATCTATTTTAACCATTAATTGAGAGAATATATCTATTAAATGCATAAAGCCTTCCAAAACTATTTAAATTAGCGAAAATATTTTTTCTACCTATTTTTTTTATTATAATTTACTTTAATTTATTGTTATCTTCATCTGTGAACTGAAGAGTTGTAAGAACTTTTCCAGAGCTCACTTATGCCTTCCACATATTTCCATTTGGTCTAGCTGCCATCACCGATTCATCTTTTCAATTAAATTTATATTAAGATTCTAAAAAAATATGCTTTTATGTTTAATTTACTTACTTTAGTTTCTTGGAAAGAAAGTTATACCCAAAAAATCTTACATTTCAATTGATTTAGCTGATCCTAATTTTACTGCTTACTGAGTAGCTAAATTAAGCGAGTAATATCTTTTTTTAGTAGAAATACATAGAATATTGTCAAAATAATCTAACTGATCAATCTCTGCATCACATTCAAAAATCATATTAGCTAAACTTACAGTTTTTTAGTTTATAACCTTTTATAAAAGTAAAAAATTATAAAAAGTGAATACTGATTGTTGTGATTGCTACAAATTTTTACGTTTTAAATTAGATAGATTTAGAAAGGATAAACGATTAGCAATTTATTGTAGTCAATTATTTTTGCACTTTTGATGATCTTATCCTCTTTATTTAATATTTCTAAGCTCATTTTTGTTAGTTGATAATTAATAATTTTAAAAGACTCTATGTTGATAAACAAATTGCACATTTCACCATTTTTTGCGACAATTAACAGCCTAATTTCTTTTTATTTATCATTCAAAATGAGAGATTTTGCAAAAGGTAATTCAAGCTTATGATCAAAATCTAGAAATAAATTTTTCTTTTTTTCAGGCTGCTTTTGTTATTTACTCTTTATTATTTGATTTTCTTCATTAGAAGAATCTGTGGTATTCATAAACTCGTCATCATTTTCATCTTAAAATTCTTCTCCTTTCTCAAAAATATAAATCGATCCACTGAAAGATACAAATATTATGTAAAAATGTCCTATAATAACTTCTTGTATTTATTTATTTTCTAATTCTATGCTTTCCTTAACAAAATATAAGATCTCTTCCTACTATTCTGAATTATTCTCCATAACTTTTATAACCTTTTGCTTATTTAGAATATCTACTAAATTTTTGGAAAAGACAGGATTTATTTAATAAACTTGCCTAAAAAAATACAAATCTTAAATTAAATATATTGAAAAGATTAAAAATTCTGATCATATTTTTTAGATAACACGTTTTAAAAATCAAAATTTGATCAATTAAAATAATAAACAAACAATAAATTTCAAAAGTAAAGATTTGTTAAAAATTTGTTTAAAAAAACAAAAAGCATAAAAAAATAGATTTACACTAACTAAAATGTCGAAAGCAGATTCTACAGAATTAGGTAAAAAAATAAAAATTAGATGGGAGTGGCATAACAAATATCAAATTATAAATAAAAAGATATAAATAAGTTAAGAGAAGAAGTAGAAAAGCAAAAAAATAATAAGTTCATTTTATTAGGAATATTCTTAGTTGCTTTAGTTTTGTTTGGCGTTCTCTTAAGATTTTCTCCTGAATTAACACAGTAAATAATTTTTTTATTGGGTTTAAGCTTTATTGTATTGCATTTTGCCTTATAAATAGAGATGAAAAGGAAAAATTGTTTAGATTCCCAAGAGGTGCTGATGATTTGAGATTAATACATTAAGTCATAGATAAATATTCAGAATAAAATTATACATTTGTGCTATTTGCATTTTGCTATTTGTATATATTTTTGCAGTCTTTTGCTATTCCTGGACCAGTTTTTCTCAGTATATTGAGTGGAGCTATATTTGGTGGTGTCTAAGGATTTATGCTTGTTTGTTTTGTAAAGTTTTTTTTTGAGAAAGATAAAATATTTAAACATTCTTTCTAACCTAATTAATTAAAAAAATTAATATAGTGTGCAACTACTGGTGCAAGTTGCTGTTATGGACTTTCTTATACTTTAGGAAGAGGTTTAGTTCTTAAGTACTTCCCAAGTATGCTTGTGAAATTCTATAATAAGATCTAAAGTAACAGAGAACATACATTCTTTTACATGCTTTTCTTAAGATTAACTCCTCTTGTTCCTAATTGGTTCGTGAACATCTCCTCACCTATTGTAGGAATGCCAATTACTAGTTTCTTCTTTGGCACATTCTTTGGTAAAAAAACTAACTTATATATTTATTTTTCCCTTAATAATATTTTTAACAACAGGTTTGATGCCTCTTAACATTATTCATATTAATGCCGGTATGACTTTATCAAGTCTTGATAAGGTTGGTGCTAGTTTGCAAGTAATTATTTAAAAAATTATATTAACAATTTAAAAAATGTATTATTAAAAAAAGAATATTTTATGGATAGCTCTCCTTGGTTTCCTTGCCTTAATTCCAACTCTCTTTAAAAAGAAAATCGAACAGTTTGATGAAAAACATAACAAAGAGGCTGCAGCTGCCAAAACTGAGAAGAAAATTAATTGAAAATTCATTATCAAATTAATGTTTAAACAAAAATATATTTTAAATTAAATATTTTATAAATAAAAATCAAATACTTGATTGTATAATATACTTTAATCCTTCTTTTAACTCTTTTTATCTAACTTGCATAAAGTCTACATAGATTTATTTATATTTTAATTTTAATTGATTTATAATAAGATGAAAAAAACCCTTTTAAGATTTTATGATATTCAGAGTGTAAATAAATATTCCCTTTTTGCTGGAATTTAAATTATTATAGCATCAAATTTTATAAATTAAAATATCTTAAATTCAAGCAAATGAAAAAAATAAATAGTTTATATATAACGCTCCTATTTTTGTGCATAACACGTTCATTATAGCATGGAGGTAAAGATAAAAGCATATAGTTGACTTATAAAAACACATTTCAATATAAATAGATGATGAAAGACCTTCAAAAAAGATTAAATAGACATTAAAAGATAGAACTGTTGAACTTAAGAACTTTTAGATTAGCTACATAATGACTTTGGATGGTTAAGATAAGCTTTAGTATGAAATTTAGCCTTCTTAAATTCAATCTATAGTTCAATAAGACTACTGTGAAAAATGGATTTTATAATTTTATAATGTTAGCAATTATTGGAAATTTATTTGCCAAAATGTAATTGTTTAGTTATTTATTTCTATTCTTATTTTACCTGATGAATCTTATGCCATGATTTTTTATAATCTGAAAAGGGAAAAAAGCAAGTTGGTGAATTATAAAATTTATTGTTAAGTTCTATTTTAAGTAAAGAAAGCAAGATAGGTGATATAAAATTATAAGAAAATATCATTCAAGAATTTACATTAAAAAAGCCAGAGAAATAACACTACAACTTTGAGCACTCCAAGATAAAAGATGGATGCTTCAAAATAGATGTCTATCCTCATGGTGTTTTGAACTATGCATTTGAAATAAGATTTTGTGTAGATCAATAAAAGGTAGCAACAGTAGATAAATACAGAGTTATTTTAGAAGACAAATAGCTTGGAAAGAAAATCTTTGAGTGAAGAAATAGCTTATTGTTTGAAAAGCGTTATTCATTAAAATTGTTTTTGTGTATTTAAAAATTCATAAATTTAAAATCCTAAATAGAAATTTAGCATTTAATAACAACAAAAATAAATGTTTAGATAACTTTAAGAAGTATTTAGCTTGCATTTAATTATTTGTAATTTAGTAAATGAACCAACAGAAAATAAATTACTATTTTTTTATGTGAGTTTTTAATAATGATGAAAAGTATTTAAATGAAATCTTTAAATATAATATATAAAAACAGATATTTATTAAGTAGAATTAGAATTCATTAGTTGAATAAAAATAATGGAAAATGCACTAAAATAAATGAACTGAGGACATAATTAATTATAAATGATACAAAAATATTTATTTTAAAGTATTTTGATAATATTTTATGATGGAAAATTTTGATTTTTGCACAAAATTTATGTGTTTTAATTTATTTATTTATTTAATTAATTATCAAATTTGTCTGATAAGATTTAGAGAGCATATATATTTTGTTTAGCTTTATTCTAGTTTTTTTTAGACTCACTCATTAATAATCATCATCTTCATCTTCTAATTCGCTTTATTTATTAAGGCTCTCTTTGCTCTATGTACTTGTTAAACCAATAAAATCTGACTTCTTTGTTATATCTGCAAAATCTTTATAATCTATAATATTATTAGTTAATAAATATTCATTAATTTATTTTTAAACTTTCAATAACATGTTAGACAAAAATCAACTCCATTTGCCACTTGACAGCACAACAGATAGTAAATAAAATTTAAATTAAAAAGATTTACCTTCTCCTGATAATAATACATTTAGTTACTACTTTTGTGGTTCAGTTTTATTTCTTGATTATTCAAATAGCTGTTCTTAAGCTCTTATGAGTTATTATACCATTTCTGGATTTTTATATATTTCATTTTAAGCTTTCTATATTTTTTATTTAAAAAAAAGAAGATTGTTAATTTATTTTTTTATTTTCTCTGATGATTTTTTCTAAATAACATTCTAATTTCAAATCTTTTTCAAATTTTTATTTGATTTGCAAAATATTTACATGATTTTCTTCTGAGAATGTCTGTTTGGCTTATTCTAGCTCCTCTATTTAAGAATCTAAGTTATATTTCTATTAATTATAAATAATAAGAATTTATTTTTTGAATATGATATCATTTTTTATTGAGCGCTAAAGTTGGTTTTGATCTTAAAGTAATGATTAGCACTAAAAAGTTTGCATGAATTTTAGTATTTTTGTTACAAAATGGATTTTTCTGCATCTAAATAAATTATTTTGAAATTACTTTTAAAGCTTGATAGATATAATAAGGTGCTATCGTTTTTTTCCCTTCCTGTAGGCATATCTTATTTGCTTCATCTGCAATCACACTAATATATTCTTTTTAAAAATTCATAAGATTTAAAAGTAAACGGGTAGAAAAATGAATAATTAAGAGTAATTAATGATGAATTGCCTCTCAATTGATAGAAATTTTAATGTTTAATATTGTATTCAAAGTTACCTCTTGAAACACGCAAAATAAACTCTATAAATTCATTTGAACATTTCATGCCATCTAAATTTTCTTTAACAAATGCACCAACAGTTGCTATTAATATTTTAAATTTATGAGTTTTAGAAAAGGTTTTTTATGTACTTTTAAGGCAGCTATGCTTATTTAAAAATGATTTATTTGAAGGAAACGCTATCTGCCAATCCTAAAATAGAATGTAAATTAAAACCTCTTGGTAAATTTTCGTCCCCGTCCATTTATGTGTTTTACTGCTTGCTAACCAGTGTTGAACATATATTCTTATTAAATAGTCAATTTCTGCTTTTTAATTCATTATTGGTATTTAAACTAAGCTAAATGCAAAAAATTTCTCCCCCACTAAGTATTTATTTAATCATTCAATTTACATGAATATCAACTAAAATCAATTGTCTAAGAGCTATTCAGAAGTTATATCATAATAGGATCAAATATAAAAAGCATAATAGCTAACTAACTAACAATCCTTTTATTTTTGTATTAATAATATAAAAGGAATTTACACAAACAATTAAAAAGATGAGTTTAGTTTTTTGATAATTGAATTTTACTTTCGAATTTTATTGTTAAATCTTTTTACCTTTATGCAAAAATATATTGAGCAAAATTAAATAGAACTTGATTTTACCATATTGATTACTTTATCTTTGATCAGTGTAAAAAACTCAGAAAATTTTTAAAAAATTAATGGTAAAGCTTAATTAAAAAGGTTTTATTTATTAACAAAGATAATTTCTTAATAAAATTCTGATCAATGTTTAATTAATTAAATAAACACTTTGATTTCGATGAATTCTAAATACCTCAATTTAGATATCCTAAACAAAATGCAAAAGTTGTTTGATAACAATTTTAAATTGAAATTAGAAAAAAATAAACAATTTTTTATATAAAAAATATAAAAAAACAAATATTTCTTTTGAGTTTTAAAAAAGGTAAAGCTAAATTAAAATAGATAAAGATTATTTGGTCATTCCTTAAGAAATGAATGGCATAGATAGCTTTATAGAAAGTAGATTTTAAACATATAAACTTGGTTAATAAGACAATCATGATATTTTAAGAGAAAGAATAGCATAAAGCTATTTTTATAATCCTCAGAAGACTCAGTATTTGCAAGATTATTTAAATTAAAAAAAATTTACCAGTTAAACACTCTAGAAATATTTTAAAAATCTTACAAAAAGCGTTGATTTACCTTTAAAAAAAATCTTAAGCCTAATTAACATTGTTTTCAAGTTATAAAAAAGATATTTTTTTTAAAATAATAAGAAAAAAATTCAATTTTTTCATTTTGATTTTTTGTAAAAGGAAAATAGAAGATTAAGCTTTCCTAATCATTAAATAAAGTATTTCAAAATCTAAAGAATTTTTAATAAAAGAATAAGTAAAGATTATCTTTCTTAGCTTATTCAAAAGCAGAGTAATTAGTATGTCTATTCCACTAAAAATTAAAAAGTTTAATTAAATATGCAAATATAAGATAGAAAATATAGAATTTAGTTAGAAAGAATTTCAAAATAAAGACTGAGGCTTAGATAAAAAGAATTAATAACATAGTAGTAAAAAAAGAAGAAAAAACCACAGGCTTTTTTAATTACTGAAAATAAAATAATTTTTAAAATAATTTAATCTGTTAATTGCTTGTAGAAGGCTTAATTGTCAGATCAGTGTATTGAAGAAATAGTGCTGCCTTTTAGAAATCATAAACTAAATTTTAGTTAATAGGTTAATGAGTTTCGAATAAATATAAAAAAGTAATTTTTAACTTTGAGTTTATGTTTCGAGTCTTAGCTTTACTAGCTTCTCAATTCGTTTTTGAATTTACTGTCTTAAAATATAGATGATGGAAATCTAGCTCTTATGTATTTTGAATTGGCTGTAATAACTATTTAAAAAATATGTAATGATAATTTTTACATTTTAATTTATGAAATATGCAAAGCAGTAGATAAAATTATAAAGAGAATGCCTTTAATGATAAAAGAAACAAAATAATTTGATAAATTGATGATGATGTACTTTTACTATAGAGGATTTGCTTAAATAAACTTTGACGCAAAACACAAATTCTATGATTATACAATGTGCAAACATTATTTCTTTAAACTAAATTATAAGGACTATTTACATATTGGTTTAGATTTTATTTAAGAAAACTTGGACGACTCTGGGCAGTTTGATTTCAGCCTAAATGATTAAGAAAAAAAAGATAATTTTACTAATTTATTCTCAAGTTTTTAATAGAAGATTAAAAATTTTAAAATAAAAAAGGGAATAAAAGATATTAAGAAGAAAGAATAAATGAAAGGTATAGAGTTAGGTTTTATTGATTTCTTTTTTTAATGCTACATATTATTTAGAGATTAAAAAAAGAACTTCAAGGATAAAAGATATGATTTGCTAAAATAGACTTTGAATATTTACACTAAAAACCAAAAATTTGATTTAGGAGTTTCATAGATACATAAATGTTTCTTTTTCTTATAAGATATGTAAGAATGCGAAGATTTTATAAGTCGATGCTTAAGAGTAGTAAGATTAGTCATGAAGAAAGAAAAACTAATTACTCATTCTCAATCAGAGGAAACTATTTATGAAAAATTTAATGAAATCTCTGTTGAAGAAAAACTTTCTATTTCTAAAGTAGATAATGATAAAAAACCTTTATTGATTAAATATTTGAAGTAGCTTTCAGAAATATATATTTATAGTTAAGGTGTTATAGGTTTTCTAAACATTTATAGGTGTCTTTCTATACTCTCATAAAGCTATTATTATAAGTATTTGTTATATTTAGAACAGCTAAAATGGAAAGCTAGAGATCTAAAATTAGAATCTTAATATAAATAGTTAGTTGATGAAATTGAGAAAGATTTATAAAAGAAAAATGAAACATATAAACTGTTTTGGAAGTTAAGCTATTCTAAAATGAAAGAAAGTTTTATCGGAAATTAACTAAATTCTCTTAATGTAGATATAAAAAACGACTAGCCAATTTTGCATATTAGAAAAATAATGAATAATATTTTTTTACAAATTCAAAACTAAACAGACGATAATATTTTTACAGTTTTATTTAAAGTTGATTATGAAATATTCTTAAAAAAATGGAAGGAGCACTGTGAAAAAATCGAAAAATAAAATGGAAAAGATAATAATGTAACTGCATACACAAAATCTTTAAGGTTTAAAAATTAATTAGTGTTCGTAAAAATGTATAGCTTAATATGTTATTAAAAACCAGGTGAAATTGAATTTAGTTATCATGATTACTCTTTCGTTTAAGAAGTAGCTATTGCCATATACCTAAGAGATAAGCAACACTAAAAATATCAATCATTTCATGAAAGTATTGGGTATAACTGCTTCAATAGATATATTTATCACTTCATCTAGGATAACAAAATATTTTTAATATTAGAATATTATCCTATCCTTTATCAAGACATATTAGGTAATGGCCATTTCAAAAATGAAAACTAACAATAAAATCTAAATAAATAAAAAGTAAATATTGCTTCTTAGATCAATTCATAAAGAGAATAAAGACAATAGCAAAATCAAAAAGAAAATAGCCAAATAAACTCTACTATTAATAGTTAATCTACGTTATCTTAAGATACTCACCACCAAAGTACGTAGAATAATACTATACAGTAATAGTAAGCTGAAATTGATTCAAATCTAAATATCCCAACACATACTTAAAATTCATTAAATTAGATGACAAAATAAAATTTATAATTTACTAAAAAAGATTTATTTTCGGTTATGCTTCGGTCTGAATAAGCAGCCCATATGCTAAAAGAAAACTGCATTATCCATAAAGATATTAAGTTGCTAAATATAGCAATGAGAAATATACGTGAGATAGTTTTTATTGATAATGGTATTTCAGAACTTTTCCTAGAATTTAGCTACTACATGGATAATAGTGGTACCAAACTCTATAGAAGCTACTAGCAAGCATCAAGTCAACCTATAAGTGAAAACACTGATTTAACAGCTTTAATTATTGTTTTATATGAACTAATTAGAGGAGAAAAGATAGACTTAATAAATTCTGGGACAGATAATTACGCAGCCTACATTTCAAAATATGCAAGCAAAGAAATAAATTTCATGTTCAGCAAAGATTTCATAAAACTTATTGAAATGATCTGCGATAGCTAATTAGATACAGTCAAATCTAGGACTAAATTTTTCATTTGGTAAAAATTTGAAATATTCATGAATCTCCTCTATGATTGCCTATATAAAGATTCTTAAATAGAATATTAAAAATACTACACACAAGTTAAGAAAGCAATAATAGATATTGCTGTAAATAGAAAAAAACCAAATTTGGAAATTTAATTTGATTATAAATTACTTAAAAATTTAATTTCTGATGATATATTCTTGATGTTAGTTTCTCTACAGTCTAATAATATACTTAAAATGTACGAAAGTTTATTATTTTTCGTCATCAAGCAAAGAAAAATGGAATAATATCATGCAATAAAAATATAAATTTATTAAAAATTTAATATATCAAGAAATAAATTATGTGAACTGCAATATGATGAAAATAAACTCTACGAAAGTATTGAATAGTATCTATATAATGACAATACTAGAAAGAAATATCATCTAAATACTTTTTAAAAAGATATAATTTCTATCTGCCAAAATAAATACGCAATAAATTATCTCCAAGAAAAGAAATACGAATTTAACAATTTAGAAGAATAGCTTACAAATATTCTAACAATGAATGAATTTGATGATTCAGATAAATATTTTGTTATAAACATATTTTAAAAGGTTTATAAATACTCAATTTATCAAAAGATAATAGATAAACTAACTAAATATATGGATAAATTAGAAAAATAAATAAACTAATTTTAGTAAACAACATGCGAAAATATCAAAAAGACATATTCACTAACAGACTCAATAAAAGAGTAAATAGAATTACACATAAAGTCATATTAAACTAGTAAAAATTTTTTAGATCAAAAAAGTTAAATAGAAAAATCAGTATTACAAAATTATACAGATGAGTTTGAAAAATAAAATACTTAACATAATTCTGAATTTTATTCATCCAATAGCAAATATTCTTTCAATAATTTTACTAAAATTATACGCGACGGAAATTTAACTGATCAGCATAATAAGACAAAAACATTTCTTGAGAATGAAAATCAACAAATCAATAATTCAATTATATCAAGTTCTAATTTTGAGGAATAGTTTCCTTATAATCAGAGCGATGAATTTGGTTTTAACTATCACAGTTTTCACAGGATAGAAGGTGAATAAACAAAAAGAGATTAAACTAAATAGAGAGAGACTATGGAAAAATAATAAGATACATAAAAGAACGATTTAAATATATCTCAAAGTCCAATATGATATCTAGTTAACTTTCTAAATTTAAAAGCAAAAATAAATTCTACCAAAAATTAATTTTTTATATTTGATTAATAAAACCTTTTCTATATTTTTATTTATTTATTAATATCTATTTTAATGGTGTAAAACATCCATTCAAGACTCACCTATTTATTTTATAAAAAAATAGTCTGAGACAATTTTTTGCTCAATTAAGAAAAGATCAGTCTTAGATGGACCTATCTTTTTTTTTAAAATTTATATTTGTTTTTTTTGGTCATATTTGAGAGGAATATAAAAATAATTAAAAATCTCAAATGTATTTAGCAATTCATTTTTAATGATTGCTCAAAAATGTATCGTAAAGAGTAAATATATATTTTTTAAAAGAAATAAGCAAATATTTTAACTTGGTTGAACAAGATACCTTGATAAAAATAAAGCTCATAAAAATTTTAATTTAACTTAAGTATTTTATATCTACAAAGGATTATTGTTTTTAGAGTAGAGAATATAAATATATAGTACGTATTAAAGTAAACATAAATTAAATTTAATCAATATTTTTAAATATAATTTATAAAATTTTTGAAAATTTTTTATTTGGAAAAAAATAAATAAAATTAAAAAAAATAAAAAAATTTATCTATTGATAGATGTTAAATGATTATAAAATTAAAATTAACATATTTTTGTTTATTTTTGTCCTTTATGAATAAAATCATCCATCAGAATATTTTTGTAAATTAATTTAAATAGTATAAAATTCATTAAAAGTGTATTATGAATTAATATTAAAAAAAAAATATTAATCTATTGTTTTTAATTTTTAATGTAAAAATCAATTTTAGTTAGATTCATACATATATACTTACATATATTTATCTATAAAAATTTTATATATTCATTTTAATTTTTATATTTATAAATCATTATTTAATATATACTTTAACAAATTTTTATTTTATTTATTTGTTTCAGTTTCCAATAGAAAATGGAGTATAGGGTGGGTAAGCATATATGTCAAAACCACCACAAAGAAGATATTTAGGAGCATAATAATTTTTGAAGAAGCACTCATTACTATTGGCAATTTCTCTTACTTTTTCATTAATGTAACACATTTCAAAATATTAGAAAAAGTTAATTTCATAATCACTTTAAGAAAAGAATCTCGAGTAAACGATGTATTATTTACAACCTTCAGGAGCTTAAGGAGTATAGGTTTAATTCTAAAAAAGATAGTAGGTATCAATGAATTCTTAGCTTTAACGGCAGGGATAGTCAGAAGGGATTTTTTCAGTGCAGTTTTGGTATTACTCAAAAGTAACAGGAACTAAATTTTCAAGATCAGCTGTTGGTCTTTGTTAAATTAAAAACAGTGTAGATCCTATCAAGGCTATTATAGGTATTAAGAAAAATATCTTATTCATGTTTTTTAATGATTCTATGATTTAGTTTTAGATTTATTTATTTATTTATTTTTAATTAAAATTGAAAAGCTCTTTTATATTAAAATATCACTAAGTATTGTTTCTGATCAGTACACACTAAATTCACATAAGAGCTATTAAAGCAAACTTATCAAATTTATATTGAATGTATAAATTTGTTATTTAATTAATTAAGAAAATAATATTGATAATTACATAATGTGTATACTTTTAGTTTTATCTAGGTTTAATTGCTCTTATCTGGATTTGAAATTCATAAATTTTATTAAATTTAATTAAAATAGATAAGTAGCATAATATAAATAGGACTTATTACTAAAAGTAAAAACATAATGCAATTTTCAATATTCTTTTCTTAATTAATTAAATAATAATTTTATACATTCAAATAGATAAAAAATTTGATCAGGTGTATTTATTAGTAATAAGTCCTATTTATGACTTTTAGACTACTTGTCTATTACATATAAAAATAGTAAAATTTTAGAATTTCTTACATATTATAGTTAAATATTATTATGAGATAGATATTTTGAGTAAAATATTGTATTTAGTGATAATCTGTCTATATAATAAGCATATTCAAACTAAAAGTTTTGTTATGATTTTTCGAGGAATATAAAGCAAAGATATTACAAAAATATGGGTGAAATCAAAATTATTCCATAAATTTACTCAGAAATTCTCATAGATCATTATAAATTTTGCAAAAAAATACTTTAGCTACAATTTAAAAAATGAATGAAAATGGCTGTTGTAATAGGATAAGGCGGCTGCTTGTACTGAGAAATCAACTAAGTAATGGTTTAAAAAGAAATTTTAGCTTTTTCCCATCTTTTATGCTTTATAGATTTAAATCATATTGAATATGTGTAGACTTACATGAAATTTTAATTAATAATGAAAATAAAAGTTTCAATAGAATGAATTATCAAAATTTTGGAGACTTGAGATGGCAAAAAACAAGAATTGATTACTAGAATAAAAGATCATGTCAATTTGTAGTACTGAAAAATAATTACTAATCATGGTGATTATAGCAGACTAACATCTCTAATAAAATAAGTTGAACTTTTAATTAATATAAAAAATAATAATATATCGAATATATTTTTTATTTAAAAAACCTTGAAAAATAATTATATTGAATGATTCCAGGTAACATTATAATAATTTACTTGAGTATTTTATTGTTTTATAATGAAAAAATTGAATTAGATTGTTGAAAGGAAGAAGGCGATTTATTAAATATAATTAATTAATGGTGGAATTATAAAAAATGAGAATCAAAATTTGGAAAAAGTTTATAGTTCATGAATATAAAATATTGCTATTAGTTTGTGTTGGTATTATACTAAATTAAGCACATTTTTTACATTTTACAATATAAATAATTTTATTTAACTAGCAAATTAATGCACAAAAACTCAAAATTTTCATTTGAAAATTTGATAGATCAATTAAAAAATATATCTAAAACTTATTTTCTATATTTTAATGAAGATAAAATAAATGCCTAAGATTTAAACATCAATAGATCAAATGATTACAAATTAAATAGATTTATAGTTTTTCATTATAAATTTGTTTTTTAATATAAAACATTTAAAAAGAGCTATGAAAACTAAAAATATCTTTTTCTAATAATTATTTTATAATTTAATTTTCACATTTTAAATAAATATATTTTATTTAAAAAAAGATAACAATTTAGTTCAAAAATAATTTAAGTTTTCAAAATTTAATATAAATGATAAGCATATATTATGTATTAGACAAAATACTCAATTTATTTACAAAATAAATTAGATGTTCATAACAAATTTTATATTTATTATTTCTATGAAAATTTATTTTCAAATTAATTAATTAACTTATTTCATTTCATAAGAGGAAAATTAAAATTTGTATTTTAACTTAATTTTCAGATACGAAATTTTATAATTAATTAATAAGTTAAAAAAGGGCAATTTTCCTCTAAGGAAAATTAATTAAGTAAAAGGCTATTACTGCGAAAGCATAATAGCCGCAGAAGTATTTAAGAGATAAGGCATCATCAGGACTATAAATAAGAATCGATATAACTAACGATGCTCGTCTAGAATAAGCTGAACATAAAGTGAGGGGGATTGTATAATGTTTATCTAGTTTTTTAACCCGATGGCGGACCAAAAAATCAATAACAACAACAACAACAAAATAGTACCTTCGACGCAAGCACTTCCCGGCGAATCGAAACAAATTCAAGTTTTTATAAGGCTAAGTTTTTTAAAATCCGATAAAAAGATAAACAAACAAAAACCCTTCAATAAAAAGCGAGATTCTAGGCTCTCTTAAATACTATCTAGTCCTCCGAAAGACCCTTAAAGATTAAAAAGGATAGTTTTCCTATTTAAATATATTATCAAAATTTTAAATAAAAAAGATAAGCCTCTTGCCAAAAGGCCAATTGCCATATATAATTAGTATTGTTTTAAAAATATAGGAAAAATGCCAAATTGCCAATGCCATGAAGATTAAATTTTAAAAAAACAAATAAACAAATATAAAAAAACAAATAAACAAATATTTAAATAAAAAATAAAAATAAAATAAATAAAACTTAACAAATAAATAAAAATAATTAGATAAATAAAAATAAAATAAAAAAAACTAAATGAATAAAAATAAAACATAATACACATAACCTAACAAAGCAAAACATAAAAATAAAATACAACAAAAGCTAATAAAAATAAATAAATCTAAATAACATCCTGCAAAGTCCAAATTTTTTCATCAATTATTTTAATTTAATAAGAAAGGAAATTTTATATTTTTTTGGATAAATTTTTTAAATTTTGTGAAAAAATAAATAATCAGTTTGTATTTTTTATTTTTAATCATTTAAATAAATAAAATTTGATAATTTTCATGTTAATTTTAACTAAATATAATTTAATAAAAGTTAAAATTTATAAAAAATTTTTTTTAAAAATTAAATAAAAAAGTTGAATGAATGATTTATTTACTGTATGTCAGTAATTTATTTTAATTTAGTCAAAATATAAATAAAATGTTAATCGTGTAAATCAAGAAGCAAGATAGAAATTTCTTTTAATTCAAAATTGATATAAAAATCTTTTTTTAGCACAGAGAATATTTAATTTAATATTTAACATATAATCAAATTTAGTATCAAAAATCCAAATTGATTGATTTATCTAATAAAACCAAAAAAAATGAACAATTTAATTAAAAGTAGCTGGTTCTATAGAAAAAGAACCAATATTATGCTAGGCACTTTGGCCTTGGGATCCACTGGTTATTTAGTATTAAGATACAAGCAGGATTAAAAATTTGATCACCCAGTAGTGAAAGAAATCATCCGTTTAATGGAAAGAAATCAACAAGTTGTAGAATTAATAGGTTATCCTTTGGATACTAAAATAGGTTTACGTAGTGTTTTTGATATCTAAAATGATATTACAAATTTATATTTTGTTGTAATGGGACCTAAGGGTACTCTTTTGGTTGATGCTTAAGCTTCAAGCAAATCTCTTAAAGAAATTAAGGAAAAGGAAGATGAGAAGAAGAAATTCTATCTACCAGATAAGGAAGTATATGAAAAGCTAAAAGAATTAAAAGGGAACGAAGAAAAATTGAAAGAAATTAAAGTTAATGATGATGATAAATTCTGGAAGTTAGAATCAGTATTTGCCGATTTAGCAGGATAGTACCGTATAGCAATCTAATAAAATGAAGAAGAAAAAATATTAAGAGAAAAAAATTAATCTAGCTTTGGCAAGGATACTCTTCAAAAGAATAACCAAAATTAGTTTGTTCAAAATGTAATCACTCCTAGAAGCACCTATTAAGATTTATGGGCTGAGCACAAATATAGAAACTTTAAAGAAAATATTGACTCAAGCACTTTATCAGAAACCGAATAAGAAGAGAGAAGAAGATTCCGTTTGAACCAGTTGTACTAAAAGATAGGCTATATCCGTATTTGGATGTTTGGTATACTTATATTTGGTGGTATGGGAACATATATTTATCTCATGAAGAATAAGCGTAAATCAATTTTGAACAGCTAAATTCATTAATAATCAATGAATTTAATTAAGAAGTCTTCGATAGCTAAAAATCTTTTTGGAGCTACAATCAAGTAATTAATTCCACAAATTTAACAAGAAAAAAAAGATTTGATTTTATTAAAACTTTAAAATAAATAATAAATGGAGATGAATATTTTAAAATTTAAATTAATATTAATAAAAAATAAATTAATTTTAATGGAATTTAATTAAATATTATTTTTTAATTTTAAGGTTTACAAGCAGTGTCAGAGGTGCTCAGATAGATAAAGATGCTGAATTTGATATGGATATTATTGGTGATAAGTTTAATGGTATTGCTAAAATAAAGGGAACTTAGAATGACAATGGTACATGGAATATAAATGAAATTGTAGTTGAATAGAAAAGTGATGATGGTAAAATTTTACAAAAAAAGAAATTAATATGAAAGAGCTAAGCAAATCAACTCAAATTTAAGTTTTTTAGTTTATTCATAGATAGATTGTATATAGTGTATTTTATCTAAAAAATTAATTTAAAGAGGTTATTTATTTATACATTTCAATTAATCCAGTAAATATTTAGAAAAATATATTATTGAAATAAATAAATAAAAAATTATTTTAATTTTAAAAAGTTGTTTTAATATTTCAATTAAAGCTTTTTAAATTGATGATAGTAAAAAAAAGGAATTAATATAGAAACCAAACAATCAACTAAACAGCTAGTTATTTTAGTTATTCATAGATTACATATAATTTATTTTAACTAATAAATTAATTTAAAGAAATATATTTATTTAGTGTTAAATTTCAATTTATTCTGTAAATTTTTAGAAATATAAATGGATGAAAGTAAAAAATTATTTTAATTTAATAAAGCTATATTAAGTTTTTAAAGTTTTAAGAAATACAAAAATAATTTGGTAACGAAACATGTTAAAAGAAAGAAAAAAATCAAATTAAAAAAAGTTAATAACAAAAAAAATTATATGTAATGATTTAGTAAGTAAGCATACAATTAAAAATTTAATATTAATGCATTTGAAATGATAATAGTAAAATTAATTTTACAAAAAATAAATTAATTTGAAAAAATTAATTAAGTATATCAACAAGTTTAACAATAGCCTCATTTTGGTTTATTCTTAGATTTTAAAAATTAACAAATAAATTTAAAGATGTTTATTTAGTTATTTATTGATAAATTTCAATTAGTTATGTAAATTTTTAGAAAAATAAGCCAATTAATTTAAAAAATAATTTAGTTTTTTAGTAATTAATTATGTACAACAATAATTCAGTAATGATTCAGGTAAAAGAAGGAAGAAAGAAAGAAATTAAATGTGAATAAATTCTGCAAGTTCATAGAAAAAAAAAATTATATGTAATGATCTAAGTAAAATATGCAAAAACACAAAATTTAAAATGTAATATTAAAGCTATATATATTTTATTTAATTACTAATCAAAATCTTAGAAAATTTACACATAATTTTTTCTTTTATTGACGCAAAATTTTAATTTTTATATCTTCTCTTCGCAAGCATTATAAATAGGTTGGTATTTTTTATTCCTAAACACCATTTTTTCTAATTGAAATTATTTAGTTCTTGAAATTTACTCTTAAATAGTTTTGGTTGTTTCAGTTGTAGCAAGTTATTTTCTGATTATTAATTCTATGTTAAAATTAATTAACATAAAAGTATTTCATAATTAGTTAAACCTCTTTTTGAAACTGGATTATTAATCTGATTAAATTAAACTGCCGATTTTTGTGTCACAAATCATCTAAATAATAATGAGTAAGTATTATTTTATTATTTTGGTTTACTATCAAAATTTTAATTTTTAAATTATGCTGAAATTGTTGATTGATTAATTGATTGATTGATTGCATTATTAATTAATTAATTAAATATTTATAAGACATGAGAAGGGAGATAATTAAAATTTAAAACTCTGCAATCAAAAAACTATGAAATTGTTCTATGTATCACTAGTTGAATAATAGTCATTTTACCTGAGGAATGAATGACTTTAAGACTCTTAATTCTTTTTTTACTTGTATTTTGCAAGTATTACTTTATATTACTATTAGAAGTAGTCTTTGTCTTGCATGATTTGAGCCAATTTTACTTTTGATTCGGCTGCTATCTTTTCAGCTATTTTCAACTCTTCTTTTAAGTAACTGCTGTCTTCTTCGTATTGAAGCTTATAAGTTACCATGTGAGTTTCTATTTTGTAAATGTGAGTTTTTAAACTTTCTATTTCACATTTGAGGGAAGATTCTTTTTCCTTGTTTACATTGATATTATCAGCCAAGGATTTTCTGCATTCTTGCATTTACTTGTAAGCAGTTTTTAACTCGTTTTATAATTTCATAATTTCATTTTCATAACTTTCTGAGGCTGCTTACAACTTTTCATTAACATTTTTAAGGTGATCGATTTCTTGTTTGAGGGGAGCAATTAGTTATATGTTATTTTCTTTATCTTAGATGTTAGAATTTGCTTAATGGGTCTATTGAGCTAAAGGCTAAAGCTTGATACAATTCTTTTGAGAGGGCTTTTGAGGGAGAGATTGATTTAAGGCATGGAAATTAACAAATTTATTATTATTGACACTAGTAGTTATATCTCTTAGCAAAGGTTATTCCTATCTCAAAGAAAAATCACACTCAGGTGTTTTCATGTAGTCGCTTGATTTTCTTCTTTGATTTGATCTACTCTCTTAAGTCTAATTATCTAATTGTTGGAGGAAATCATTTTCTTCATCTGAATCTAAATTTTCTTAAGAAGAATTATTCTCAGCTTAATTGCTATCTTCAGAGTTTTTACGGAAAGCGATATAAGTAGGTTATTGTTTTTAGGAAGATCTTTTTTTACTGCTTATTTGAGGAGAGTCGAAACATGAGCTGAACTCATCATAACCAATATCGCTCTTAAGACATGATTAGCGGTTTTTATAACCTGCCTTTTAATCATTCAATTCCTAAAGTAAATTCTTTTTTTCTTCATTGAAGTGCTATTGCTAGATAGACAAATCTCTTTCGTAATTCACTGTTGCTTCTTCATATTTAATCTATAGACTTTCATAATCTGTCTACATTTTCTACAAGTTATCATTTAGATTTTCTATTTATTCATTTAATCTTTTGTTTTCTGTTTCAAAATTTATGAAATTCTTGAGAAGTTCATTGTTTCTACGTGAGAGTTTCTCAATTTGTTCTTGCTTTTACTCTATTTCTTTACGAGAATTTTTTTCTAATGTTGACAATTCCTTCTCAAGTTGTGATATTTTTTCTTTAAATGTTTTAGATTGAGCCAGAGAAGACTTGAGACTATTTATTTCTTCTACGTATTAGCTTAATTACTCTTTATTATTAGAAATTACCTTCTATTAATCAGAAATAGTTTTATCGCACATCTTGAGACGCTCTTCAGTGATTTTAATTTATTGAATTAAATTATTTTCAACGTCTTTAGCAGAATCTAAATTTTATTAGAAGCGTTAAATTACTCTCTCATTGATCTCAGTTTCAATATTGAGAATGCGCTCTTCAAATAATCTCTATTCGAATTCAATTTTATGTTGTAATTCCTGAATAGTTCTTTCATAATTTTCAATAGATGATTCATGCATTCTTTACCATTCTTCTTTTTCTTGAATCATTTAATCTAATTTCAATGAAACTCCATCAATGTCATCTTTATAAAATATTTATTCCTTTAACTCCATAATAATTTTTTCTTTTTCCATGATAGCATCAATTGAAGCTTCCTTGATTTTTTCGATGTGTTAAATTAAATCCTCTTTTTCCTGCTTAAGGTCTAAAATAGCTCTGATCAAATCTTTCTTTATTTTTAGTTAAAATAATTATAAAAAACATTCCATATTGAGATTAAATTGTTATCCGTTAATAAATAGAAAAAACACGACAAAATTAAAATCATTCAAATTTAAAATAAATCTTTCCAAATTAAAGTTAAATAAATATAAATGTATTAAACTGAACGAATAAATCAAAACCTTCTTTCAAATAATAAATTTTAACTAAATTAAAATGTTTTTTACATTGTCAAACTCGCACTATCCTTCATTGTCTCCATTTTAAACTACCTAGTTGCTTTCATCAAAGCATTAGACGTTTCTGCAGTTGTCATGTTAATTAGGAGAAATATATTTTTTAAGAGATGAACTGTTTTAATTACGTTCATGTCTGCCATAAGGAGATCCAAAAGCCTTACTATTACTTACTTAATCTTTAAGCTATCTAATTTATTTATTTAGCTGATGTTCTTTTTATCTTTGTTCTACAATTAAATTTTCATGTTCAGTAAGTTTATTTTGTAGATCGAAATTCATTTATTTAATATGTTCATAATCACTTTGTTCACGAATATTTTTCTTTAACTCATCTTCTAATTCTGTTGCTCTTCTTTACTCATTTTTGAGCTCATTTTCCAGCTAAATTAAAATAAAGTTATCTCAATATAAAAATGATTTACAATAAAAATACAAACCTCAATAACTCTCTTTTTGTTGTTCAATTCAATTAAACGTATTCTTTTTTCTAAATCATCTATGATATTTTATTACTAAAATACGACATCATGAAGCTTTTTAAAACATTTAAAAGAACTTAATTAAAGAATTCAAACAAACATTCCAAAATAATAATCTTACATTATTACCTTCAGTCTACTATTCCATCTTTTAGCAGTTCAATACAAAGTTTAATACAAATTTTGTATATTCTTTACTATTTTATATTTGTGTTGTGCGCTGAGCTTTTATTTATCTGTAATATTTTTTTATTTTAATTTGATTTGATTTGTTTAGTATCTATACTGTCTATGTATCTATCTATCTAAATCCGCAATTTTCTCTTTAATTTGCAATACAGAGGAAATTTAAAAAAATTAAAAAATCAACCTATTAATTAAAAGCTTTTCTTTGAAAATCTAACGACTAATAAATTTCATATGTATCATTTTATTCTTCTTAAAAGCTTGAAAAAAATTTCATATCATCACTTAATAATTAACAAATAAAATGAAGACAGTCTATTTATTCTTTTAACAACTTTTATTTAACTCTTAAAGTTTCTTAAGAAAAATGAAATTAAAAAAATTCTATCTAAAAATCTTCATAAAAAAATGAACATGAAATAACTCGTTTTGATGTAAAAACTTTAAAGTTGGTAAAATAACTATAAAAAGTAAATTTAATAATAATGAGTGATGAAAACAATAAATAGATTTAATATAAAAATATAAATTAATTATTTAATGATTTTAATAATATTGCTGAACTCATATTAAAATGGTTAATTTTTCTCTTCAATTTTCTTTCTTTTTTTCTATTTTTTCAAAGTAAATCCTATGAACTCTGTTCATTATTTTTTTAGTTTTAAGGGAAATATAGCTACTTTGAATATCATTAAATTCTTAACTTAAAAGATCATTCATCTAGTATTTCACCATAGCATCCCTGCTTTCGTTTTCTAATATCCGAATTGAGAAAATTATCTAATTGTTGTATTTCTGATTAGTTTTTTATTTTGAAAAATGTTCATCTATTTTATCAATTATAGATTTGTAAAGAGAACCATAAAAACCACTTTTAATAAGTCTCATTTTAATTTCTTTTCTTTTTTGAGGCCAAACACTCTCTTTTAAAATTAAAATAAATATTTTTATTAAAATTTAAAAAATTTAGTTAAATTTGTTAAGTAATCAAAAAATATTCATTTGCTTAATTACTTATTTTTTCGACTTCTTCATCTACGTTGCAATCTAAAAATCTATTTTAAGTTTCATTGGAAAACAAATTATGATCTATAGCCATTTAAGTAAACCTTAGCAGAGAAATATATTTTTTATTTCTTATATATGAAATATAGTCGCTCTCCCTTTAAAATAGCTCTAAACCAGCCAAGTTATCCATTAAATGTATTTCGTTTTCAACATTTTTAAATATTAAAATGAATTGATCATAGTCTAGCAAACCATTATTTTGAATATCTAGACTATTAAATAAATCATAATATCTTTTTGTTAGCCCTAGTTTTATTTCTTCATATAGATCTATTATATAAATTATGCATTAATCGAAATTCAGCAAGATCTTGGACTAGTTATTTATGTTAACTTTTTCTCTTTGAGAAAATAAATACTTTTGAGCCTTGTTAAGCTTATCTCTTTATAATATTTTCCCAAAAACTTACTCTACATAATCTTAAATAATTTTAGGACCTTTTTTTAAATATTAAATAAATTTCATTTTGGAAATAAACAAAATAAAGTTTTTAAAAAATTAATTTTTTAGGTTTGTAAAAAATAAGCAATTTTAATTTGTTTTAAAGATCAAATAATTAATGATATTATGAATGAAATTTGATGATTTTTCTATCAAGTATGGAATTACTCCTACATCCTCAAATGAAATAAAACTATTATCGTAATAGGATTTGCAATTAAAATATGAGTTTAAAATTATAATCTTTGTATACTTATCCAGTTTTAGTCTTCTACACTTGACACGATACCAAGCCCGTTTTATCCAGTTTCATCTAGTTGTGAGACTGTGTCTATGAAAAATTAGTAACTCATCCTATCATATTCTGCAGTTAAAAATTTAGTAATGAGTTTAATTCTGGAATTTTGATCTTAGTAATAGAAGCAACTTTTAATGTATTTACTGTACTTGCTTATAGTCATTGAGTTTTGACCTGTAATTGAATAAATGACAATGTTAATTTTATAAAATTTATAAAATTTAAGAATTACCGAAAGTGTTAACTAGTGAATCGTATAAAAAAATATGGAAAGGGTTTATATTTTTCTAATTTTAGCTGAGATTTTAGTAGGATTTAAATAGCTCTACTAATGATTGAGAAGTAAGTTTTAGTATAAGATTTAATTGCATAATGTCCTTTGCTTTTTTTATTTTTTAAATGTCCTTTTGCTATTTTTCAAGCAATTCTGTTGCAATTTAAGCATTTTTAGAATCACTTATATACAATCTGAGTCTTTATATTAATAAATTAATAAATAAAAATTTAATTAAAATAAATTTATAAGCTTACTTTGTGATTAGTGAATTTATAGGTTTAAAGATTTTTTAATCCTCAAAAGTGAATTCTTCTCTGTATTTAAAGAACTAATCTTGAATATCTAGTTCTTCTCTGTTAGAATCTGAATCAGAAGTGTTTAGTATCTCTGTTATTTACTGAGTTTATAATTTGGGAACGAATTTCTACTTAGTAAAGCTAAATTTGCTAAATATACTTTAAGGTGATTTTTTCTCAATAGAATTCTATTTATTAGTATCGTCATCCTACATAAATAGACTATTGTTTAATTTATTATCAATACTATCATCCAAAGAATAGTCTTCAGTGATGTTGATTTGTTGTTATTGATCATCATCAGATATTATTTAATTGATACTAGTTTTGTTGTTACTTTTTGGAGTTTCTATCGATTTATCTTATTCTTCATTTAACTAAATATTTGTGTCTGACTTTGAAGTTAGTTTTATTGAGTCTTGATTGAACGGGTCATCACTTTTGATACTAAAATTATTTTTAACTACAACACAAGAGTTTCTGGCATGATTTTTACTAGATTTTATATTACTGAAAAAATCTCGTTCTTCTTCTTCTTCTTCTTCTTCTTCTTGTTATTACTCATCAGTATTTATTTATTTGAATAGTGACTCTTATTAAATATTTTAAAGTTAACTTTCTTGTTGTTAATTTAGTATTTTTTTCATGCTATTCATGCGCTCATAAGTATCAGTCCGCTTATAGAAAGGATCATTTTCAGAATCTAAAAGTCTGAAACTAATTTTAGGATCTTTGGTGATTGAGGTCTTCATTTCATTATTCCCAATTGATTTGTTAGATTCCATACCATCTTCTTCATTTATTTTTTCAGGTATCTCTTATTTTTGTGCTAATTCTTGTAATCTTCTTGTGTTTAGAGTATCGCTTAACACTTAATTTTCTTGTTCAGCTTAGTCTTTACCTGAGTTTTCAGTGTTTTATGATTATTGTTGGATTAAATTCTTTATAGAATCGTTCGAATTTTTAGATGATGAATGAGACAATTAGATCAACTCATCTTCTTTTGCATTTTCAAAGGTAGATTTTTTTTCTAAAGTTAAATTAAATGATCTTTGTTTTTAAATTTAAGAAATGATATTTTCCTCGCTTCCATCAGATTTTCTTTATTCTTTGAGCTTATTTATGATTAATAAATAATTAAAAATATCTCTATTAACTTTATAAAATAAATATCTACATTAAATTTATTTGTTTTATCAAAAATAGATTGCTTCTTTTTGACAGATTTTGGTAATCCTTTATCCTTCTCTTAATTTTCTTTAGACTAAAAATTAAAATAAAATGAATTTATTTTGTTTTAGAAAACATTTTATTTATTTTTACATATTATTTATTTTGCCTGTTTTGGGAGTTACCAAATGAGTTATCTTCTAAACGTTTGGATACACTCTTTTTCTTTAATTTCATGCTATCAATTGGAGCCATAGGTGAAGCAACATCTATTTAATTTAAAATTTGTAAGTAAAATTTAATTCTTTAAGCTAATTAATGCAACTTAGTTACTTATTTATTTTTATTGCTGAACTTAGTTATTGTTGACGGATTAAATTTTTTTTACTTATTCTAGCTTATTGTTGTATTGATTTTGAAGGGAATTACATTATTATGTTTTTTCATTTAATAGAATAAGAGAATCAAACTTATCTATTTATGCATCAATTAAATCAATTTTAATAGTATTTTTGATATCAAACAAGTTTTGTATGTTCTTAATTAAGCTAGCCAAAAAATTTTCAGAAGAGCTAAAAATTTTGCAGATAAATTCTGAAAGTATGTTGTAGTCTTTTTAAGTCATATCTTCTTTCAGGAAAGTCAGATTAATCATATTTTTTATTTCTTTTTTTACTCTTTTAAATTCTTATTCCACCATTAACTTTCCATAGTCATCTCTCTCTAAAATGTTAGTATCTATAAGTTTCAAGACTCTGTATTCTTTAATCAAATCAGTAAATTGTAATTATTCTATTTTGCTAAAATAGTGCTGCTCTTCAATCGTAAGAACCTAAGTTATTTTGTTATATTTTATGATTAAATTTATCCAAAAATTAATTTAAAAAAATGTTTTCTTGTTTTTTTATAAAAAACAAAGTTCTTAATTAAATTTTTTTAGTTGTAATTATCAATTCACAAATATTAAAAAGCAAAACGAATAACATTATAAATATTGTTAGCAAATTATATTATTAGATGGATTTAAATTAAAGCATTGACATTTTCTAATTTATTGTTCAAAAAAATAATATTTACCTTATTTTCATTTATGATGGTCCTTATATTAACTTGCTGTGCTTTACTTTCTGTAGTGCAAACTGTTTGAGTTGACTAATATTTCATTTGCTTTTATATATTTACATTTATGCATTTATCTTATTTTTCAACTAAATCACATGTGTCAGTTCCAAAAGACTATTTTTAACATAAGTCAGATGTATCAACTCCCTGCATTTTAGTAAAAATTAAATTAATATTCAATTAATAACTTATTTATTCATCAAATAAATTAATTACAATATTAGCCAATAAAACGTCTTCGAAATTGTATTCTTGAATTCTCTATAGCTAATTTTTTTCAAGCCCTGATTCCTTATTTTATGAAAAAAATTAAACTGTTTAATTAAATATTAGGAAATCTTACTTCTTGTTCTATTTCTTATGCAAGAATCAGCTGTTTATCTTAGTTCTGCTTGTGAATAATATAAGCCTCTTCCAGTTTCTTTTTTTCTTCCATGTAGAGAAATTAATATTGATTTTATAGCTCAATTTTAATTTTCTCAATTTCAAGCATAAATTTTGACTTTTAATAAAAATATCATCATTTTATTTGTATGAAAATATATTTAATTCAAGATTAAAAATTAGAAAAAAAAACTTTGATTTCTTCACCAAAAAATTCAATCTTTGATTAAAATTTTTTAATTTTTATGTTTTTTTCAATTTAGTTTTAAAATCCTTTTTTTATTACTTTTTATTTTTTTTATACAAAAATATTCACTGTCTTAAGAAAAAAATATATTTCCTAATCATAAGAAATAATTATTGAAGAATATTATAATTTGATAAATTAATTACATTTCCAGCTGAAGTTGCTTAGGTATAATCATCGTCTGAACTCGCAGCTGCTTGTCTGATTTAATCTTGCAAAATATATTCTTCTTACTGCATTTTCAGGTATGTGATTTCTTTGAGTGCTTCATCATAAAGATTTATTTGGGCATTAAAGTCATCTTAAATAACTTAGAGAGCTTTTTCTGTCTTTTTCCATTTCTTACTCAAATACCTTTTAATTAAAATATCTACTTAGAAGCCATTTCACAAATAGAATAAATGACTAAATTACCTATTTTCTGCTTTTGCTTTTGTGATTTAATTATTCCTAAGCTCTAAAAGCTCATTTAATTTATCCTACTACTCTTGCATTTTTTTCAAATCTCTGATATAAACATTTTAAATGGACCTTTGCAAATTAATTTGCTCTAATTCTTTTTTTAAAAATTCTTTTTGGCTTTTTTCTATGAAATTTCTGACTATCGAAGAATATATATCCCATATTTTAGTAAGCATCTACCCTCTTTCGCTGCAGTCAAGACTGACTTATCTGTTAAAAAATTAAAAAATTAATAAATAATAATTAACAGATAAAAATTACCTTGCTATTTCTTTCATACATCCTGCATAAATAAGTTCAATTTCATCAAAGAATTCCTGATAATTCCAATATTTTTTTTCTTTTTCGAATACTTAATTTAGCATCTACTCCATCCATAAATTTAAAAGAAACATATCTTTTCTTTCTGTGCTTTTCTTTAAGTTCTTATTCTGGCTACTATGAGAAACAATGCTCTCTTTATTAAGGGTAGTAGTGATGCCTTTTATTTACTGCACAAAAAAGTCATCCACGTTGATATGTCTTTAGAATAAAAAAAGTAGTCTTTATTTAAATCTCAAGAAAAGAAAAATAAATTTTAATTAATAAGAAATTTAGGTAATTTAGCAGTAATTAATTTAACTGTTTAATCATCTAAATAAAGATAAACTAACTTGATTCAAATGTATTTTTTCAAGTATGCAAATTCAGAGTTAGTTAGAATTATTTATTGATTTATTTAATTTAAATTTTAAAGAGTTTACTTTTATTAATTAATTTTCCATTTTAATTCCTCAATATTTGGAGTGTATTGAGGCTCACTCTTTTATGGATTTGTGCCTAACAGCTACAAGTAAAAGTCCTACTTTGCTTAAGCTGAGCGAAGGTAGCAAACTTACTCTATCTAAGTAATATCTATTAGAGGACTTTTAGTAGTTAAAATAGAAGATTATTTGCCAAAAGGGTTATCTTTATTTTAGTCTGACTTTTTCCTTTGTTGCAGGTTAGAGATATTGCTAAAAGATTGCTTTAAAATTTTGTCTAAAGTTTTCTACTTTTATAATTAAATACTCTCATTAATCTGTTAGTGAGTTTATGACAGTGATTAATTAGTAGGACTTTGCTTAGTTTCATCAAATTAAGTATAGTTCGTTTGGTAAAACTTAAAAACATTATTCTTATTAGAATACAATTGATTTGAAGATTGAGTAGAATTCAAAAATGCTTCTTTCATAGTGAAGGATCCATTTTTTTAGATTTAATTTTGATTCAAGAAGAAATTTGCAGGAGAGATTGCTGATGAGCTATCATATTGACCTACACCATCAGCACTTGAAACTGTCATGATCGAATTCGAGGAGTTATTTATCTTGGTAAACTTATTCTTCTATAGCTAATTATATTCCATCTTCTCCTGGTACATTTACTGCACTTACTTATTTTGTTTATTAAAAAAGGAAGGACCTGGAGCTTAAAATTCATTATGTACACTATTTCTTTTATTCTACTTTTTTGAATTCTGTTGAAAAAATGTTTACTAGCTTGTGTAATGATTAAGTGTATTCTTTTTAATGTATTCGCCTAATCTAAACGAATTAGGCTATGTATACAGCTTTTCCTAGTCTGGTAAACTAGGCAGTTTAACTGGTTCATTAATATTCTACATATTTATATAAGTGCAAGCACTTTTTGATTTTAATTATATTTTAATTCAGTTTATAAACTGAAATTTTAATCTTTTAAAATAATAGTTGAATAAACAAAATTTGTATGCATTTTTAGATTTATAATTATCTATTTTCAAAGGAATTTTATTTAAATGTAGCTAACTAGCTCATTAAGTAAGAACTATAAAACTGAAAAAAAAAAAAGTTAAGTAGAAATTTATTCTTTTAAAATAAATAGTATCTTCACTTAATCACACAGCTTAATTGATAAAATTCATAATAAAACTTATTAATCTTAAATTGTCAAAAATTACTGTTAAAAATTAATTTAAAAAAAAAAATAAATTTTTATAAAATGATTTTAGAATATTGCATGAACAAATTGAAGCAATTAAAAATTAGTGTTTTTTTTATATAGTTTTTTATTAATATTTAACATTGCTGCGAAATGTATTGCTAAGAGTAAAACAAATAAACAAATTTAATCAACTAGTGATTTTAATAACACTTTCTTTGTAAATTAATTGAAGATACTAAAAATTGAATATAGTTATTTAGAAATTGTCAGGTATTTATAATTTATGGATGGATTAGATTAAAATTAAGGAGCGCCTTTGACTCAATAGGAAGAAGAAGAATAAAACTTCATCAAGAGTATTATTTATGGAAATCAAGTGAAAAATAGTTATGGCACTTTTAGAGCATTTTGCAGCGCGATATCTCAAAAAGGTATTTATTATTTTATATTAATTGTAATTATTTTTATTCAAATTATTTTGAATTACCTCATTTTTATTAACAAATAGAGCAGATAGAAAAAATAATATATTACCTTAAAGAGAAAGAAAATTTCAAAAAATATAACAAAATTGTATATGCTTTCAGGCTTTATGTCACGCCTACATTTTTTGTTACGTAAGACGTTCCAAAATTAGAGGTAATCTCAATTTAAAATATATAAGAATGTAATCATATTTCAATTAACAATCAATAAGAATTTGCATTAAAAAATTCGTATATTTTCAGGGTTTTAGAAAATTTTATTATTAAATAAGCCAAAATTTGTTGAAGGATATCAAGAGGATCCTACTATTGAAGGAAGTGGCGAAAAGCTTATGCATCTTTTATAAAAATTTAGTAAAATGAATTACAATATAGCTGTTGATTTAATATATATTACTAATCAAATTAATACTGTTTCACAAAAAAATAATATCAATAATTAACTATTTATAAATAAATTTTAGATGTAGAAAATGTTCTTATAATAGTGGGAATAGAATAATATAATCCATTAAATAAATTTGAGGCTACTCATTTCAGGATTATTGTTGAAAGAGCTAAGGTTATTAAAATTTCTATTAGCTTTTAAGGAAAATACCTTTCAACATAATAATAGTAATTGATCCATTTAATAAATAGGACCTTCTTAATAATTTGTATTCGAGAGTCGTGTAATCAGAAATAGAGAACATAAGTGAAAACACAAATTTTCTCCCAGAGAGTTCATCTATGCAGATTAAGAGATAAGTTAAGCTTAAAAAGCAAATATATCACTTACCATAGCTACAATAAGAACCGAAATTTGCTAGGCCGTAAGATCGTTAAAATAATAGGCCAAATCATATATTTTACAATTCTAAGCCAACATTCTTAAAGCATAAAAGTGATTAAATATCACAGGAAGTAATAGAAAGAAGGAAAGAAATAAAAATTTTAGGTAAAATACAAATTCTATTTATTTTATATCTAATTAATCAATTTTCCACAGGCGATAAGCTAAAGTAATAAGCATATTAGTTAGAAAAGATATTATCTTCTATAGATGCAAGAGATTATCTACAACTTAGATTTGCTATTTAATATGACTAGAATAAACTTACTGAAAAGCTCCTAAATATATTTATGATAATTGCAGATGTTTAATCAAGGTAGATTCAAATTAAATTATAATTGTTGAATTTTGTTTATAAATGAATAATTTAAATTATCAAAAACAATTAGAGAGCAATTAGCATATGAGTATGATCTAAAAAGCGGTTTGGAAGGTTTAACAGTTAACAATTTAAATGAATAAAAAATAAAAATTATAAATGAAATGATAAGAGGAGATAAAAGACTTACTCTGGACTCTGTCAGCAAATAGAATGAAGCACTTGGACCTTTATTTGGTTTTATTTAAGTTTTAATGAGAAGCTATGAGAATGGAAAAACATTAAGAAAGCTTTAAGAAACAGAGAAACAATTTTAGCTTTTCTAATAATATTAAAAGTCAATGTCTTAAGGAATGATTCCTGATATTTATAATTAAAGTTAGTCTAACACTGCAAAAAATGTTAGTAACTCTTAAACTCTTTTCAATTAAAATCATCAAAGCAACCAAATACATAACAACATAGCACTCCAAGAAAATTATTACGTCGAATCATCTTAAAAAATCCCAGAATATTAAAGTAATTATTTTAAATATTTTATTTATGATATATTACAAATTAAATTATTTTTACAAATCTAGATGAAAGCCTTATCCAAAGTGGAGAACTTTAAATTAAACCTAATAAAATATACATAAATTAACCATCTAAAATAAAAAAGAATAGTCAAGTGTTTAACTGACTATCTAAATCTATTTAAAAGTACTTTAAATATTATCAAAAAACTATCTTTGTTTTTAATTCTTATGGAATTTATTCAAATAAAAAATTCTAAATTATTTTTACTAACTTTTGATTTTCTTTTAGTTTATGTCCAGCCAACTAAATTTTTTTTAAATTGAAATTCTCTCAGACTCCTCATCTAATTAATAATTTTCTCTGTAATATTTACAAAATAAAAGTTAGAGACAAAAATATTATTTGAATAAATAATAAAATAATTATAAGAAATAACAATAAAAAATTTTTGATTACTTTTGGATTGGCCAAAAGAGAATATGAAACCGTCCATTTTCTGTTCTCACCTCGAAACCCCTCAACGAGAGAGTTGAGGGGTTTCGAGGTGAGAACAGAAAATGGACGGTTTCATATTCTCTGCCAAAATCTGCTCTAATTTTTTAATTAGATATAGAAAAACAAATTAAGTTAAATCTTAAAATTATTTCTCTAATATTGTAAACTATTTAAATTTTATATATTAAAGCAATAATTTAAGTAATAAAATAAATTTGCTACATATAAATTATTTTTTAATCAGCTTGTGTAGCAAGGTTTTAATTAATAATACATCATAAAAAGATCTCTGGATATTTCAAACTTAATTCTTAATGAAAGTAGTTTATATGGATCACATATGTTTGCATTTAGCTTTTTAAGTCTAGGTATTTATATAATAATCTTTATATATTATGCATAAAATGAAATTTAATCATAATGAATTATAACTCTAATTAGTATAGATTATCTTTTTATTGAAAGTAAATCAATTTATCTTGAATTTTGTTAATTTAATATTAATATTCAAGCAAGAAATCTAAATATGAAATGATTAAATCGTTTTTTACTCACTGATATGATAAATAACTACATTTAAATCAGAAAAAATGTAAGTAAAATTGTTTTTTAAATATAAAATTTACATGTCATTTTAAAAATTAAATAGTAATTGTTATTAAACAAAAGGCCTTGTTTTATTTTACGGATATAATAATACTTATGCAAATTATTTAGGATAACAGAAATAAAATAATTCAAAAGTAAACATATTTAGGTTTATTTTTAGCATACTCAATAACTATTGGGATAAACTTATTTCCTTCAGGAATTGGGAGTTGACCCAAAAGAATTTTATTCAAGACAGGAGTTTCTAAAACAAGCACATCTTTATTAAATTGAACTAATTCATCCTTAGAAAAGTTTTTTAATTTGTCTTTAGCAAAAGTTCCAAGTAACAAATCCAACTCTCTCATACCCATGTTACTAGCCCTATTATTTTTATTTAAAGTAAAGTAGGATTATTGTTTTATTAACATATAATCACAGTTATCTTTCAAAAAAAGTCATAATTTATTTAGGCACTTAAAAATAATAAATTTGAGAGTTAATAAATTAAGCTATAAATCGTAATAATACCTCCATGTAAGCTACTTTTTAAGGTTTTCAACGTCGTTTTCAATAGTGAATTAATTAGCATATGTAGTTTGAGCAGATTAACAAAAGGCTCTTCTAATAACTCTAGCTAACATGTTTTTTAAATGCTTCTATATTATTTTTGTATTCTACTTAATAATTTTTATAATTATCTTAATTAAAATCTACTCAAATTTCTGATTTTTATAATTTAATTTTTTTATAATTAAAAAGAAATTGCATCGAAAAAGTGTTACAATAGATCTTTGCAGATTTTCGGATAAAGAAATTTCTTTAAGTAAACAAGATCAAACAGTAGTTAAATCTAATTTTAATTAAATTAATTATTTTATAATCATTTTAAAAAGTATTAATTAAAATAAATTAAATTTCATTTTTTAAGTATTTTTTGATATTCTTTTAATCAAATTATTGAATAAAAATTAAAAATTTTAAATAAATAAATAATTTAGACAATAATTATATAAATATAAAAATTAGTTTAACAATTTAAAAGATCAAATTAATTTAAAAAATTTTTTTTGAAGACAAAAAAAGGTTTAAATAAAATTAATTTCAAATACAAAAAAGGTCAAATAAAATAATTTAAATTATGTAAAATTAATATGGGTATTGAGCAATTTAATTAAATGAAAATTAATGATTAGATTGAAAAAAACTTCTAAAGTTCTGTAGAATTTGTCAAAATCAATAATTTCTGATTAAATCTTTTAACTCTATTCTTATTCGGTATAGAACTGATATTTAACTCGTCTATCATAATAAACAGATTTATTTTACTATATTTGAAAATTGATTAAAATCAAAAAAAAAAAAAATTTGTTTAAACAAATTTTTACAAAAGAAGTATTGCTATTTAAAATATTAAGATTTTAGAATATAAAAATGTAGTTCGATAAATAGTTTGATGGATTCAAAGGTGATAAACAGGCCTTTTTGAATTAAAAAAAGAAGGAAAGAGAGTAGAAAAAAGAGTTAAAAGTTAAAATATAGTCATGCACAAAGATTTAGACTTACTGGAGATACAAAAAGAATGTTTCTATTGAGTTAAAAAAAAAATTAGATGACTTCACAAAAAAAATAAAAGATATCAAGATAGTCAAGTAAAAAATTAGCTAATAATAGCAATAAGAGCTTGCAAATAAAATTTTCTTAGTCTATCCAATATTTTTTGAAACAACTTTATTCATTCATCCTAGAAATGTTCTCTAATATAGTGAAATTCTTTTAGAAATAGTTAGTCTACTCATAGAAGCTTCAAAGCAATCTGTAATGAACTAGTTTGAGGGTAAAGAAAGCAAGTTCAGCTATGTAAGCTCCTTCAATATTTTTGCTTTAAAATATTAAAAATTACTAATAAATATTTAAAATAGATGAGTTTTGATATATTTAATTTTATTCATTTTATTTTAAAAGATCTACAGAATAGTTCTTCTTTGCTTGAGTCTTTTTTCATAACTTAAAGAAGAGAAGTAAAATGAAAAACAAAAAATAAATGAGTTCCTAATTGAGTTTTATAAGAATTGCAAGAAAGTTAGAAAAGAAGTTTTGGTTCCCACTAAATATTTGACAAAACTTCTAAAAATAGAAGACAATTTCTGTAGTTAGAAAGGAATAAGGAAATCTATAAAATATGCATGCTTTACCAAGCCTAATAAAGATATTGTGCTACAAAGTCTTCTCACATCGAATAGTTTTTAGAATCTTTTAAAAAATAATCAATCAAGAGCTTCAAGAATATTTAACATAATATCAGAGGAATAGTTAAATGTTAATGAGGTACAAATTATTTTGATTTAATAAAATAATTATTTTATACCTAATTCGTTTTGAATATAAAGAAAATAAAGCGGATTTATTAAATTCTTAATTAAATTAATGCATTTAAAATAATCTATTTGAAATTATTTTAATATAAAGTTTAGGATTAATCATTTGAGAAACAGAGTGAATAACTATATAAAAATTTGGTCTCTAATTGATATAGATAAAGAGCAGGAAAATGTGCTCTAAAATTTCTCAAATATATTTATGGGCAGCTTGTAAAATCTAGTTTTATAAACTAAAGACTTGATTCCCACTTCAAATTAAAATGAAATGGAAATCGAAGAAGAAAATAATGCTAATTTAATGATAAACGAAGAAATTGAAAAATATAAAAGCAAAACTAAATTTTATAAACAATTTTCTCTTGAATTAAGTAGCATTAATCTTTCTGTTTTTGCAGAAGATAAAACAATTAAGTTATTCTGCAATATGATAAACCATCTTAAATAAAGTAAAATTCATATTTAAAAATTGATAATAAATTTACATATAAATTTAAAAATTAGTCAAACCCTTTACACCTTAAGTTTTAGAAAAAATAAGTAATATATGTGGGTAATTTTTGATGATGAGTAAAATAAGAAATTCTTATTAGTTAGGTTTAAAAATAAAGCTTGCATAAAACTTCTAACTTCTTAAAACTCTCTATGGAGTTTTCACTCATTTAGTAATAATTTTGTTTTGATTATTTTTGTTAATTTAAATTTTTATTGAAATTGCGGAACAAAACAAAACAAAGTTAATATTCTAATTACTAATTAATATTATTTATTAAAAAAATCTAAAAGAATTTCGACATTGGCAAATTCAGACTCCATTCAAAGTTTTTGGGCAATGTGGTTGGATTATTTTGCATATTATTTAAGAAAAAATTGAATTTAATGGATGATGAGGAGTTCTTTGGTGTTTTAGGTAAAGGAAATGGAATTATAATGCTTGACGAGCAAATTATTCAAAATAATTTCAATTTGCAAGAGATGAAGCAAATAATAGATTTTTTCAATTTATTTGCATTTAAGCTTTTGTTTACTGAGGCTTAAGCTGATTACAGACCTTGTGAAAAGAAAGTGGTCACTCTCTTAAAATAGCTTTATTCAAGAGATTCTAGAAAAAAGTTTTATGATAACTGGATACTAGAAAGCGAAGAAAATTAAATCTTGCTCAACAATTTTAACTTTAAGAAAATAGATGAAGAAAATTCATATATGAGTCGTCTTTTGAATAGAATTCCTCATATTTTTACTTTCGAGAAAAGATATTAAATGATGAAAAAATTCATCACTGAAGATTAATCTGTTCAAGATAGAAATCCCTTTTAGTTTTATTAAATGTAGGACGAAGACGATGAAAATGGTTAGGCCAACGCCATCAATTCTAAAAATATTTTTATTTAAAGAGGCAAAGAATTAGATGATGCCTTTAGCAAATTCCATAATAAAAATATGAAAGCCCTTTACAAAATTTCATTTGTTGATGAGCATGGATTTATCGAATAAGGTATTGATGGAGGTGGTATTATTAAAGAATTTATCAACTCTGTAGTCAGGTAAATATTATAATTTCAACTTAATTCTTTTACATTTAATTTCATTTTAATTATTTAAGACAAGGATTTGATCCTACTTGCGGACTGTTCATCGAGACTGCAGAAAGAACTCTCATGCCAGCTCCAAATAACAAAAACAAATTAGCGTAATTCATTTAGATAGATTTTTTTTAAATTAGGGTCAATTTAATTTAAATTTAAAATTTGTCTTATTTTTAAAACTGTCTTATTATCTTATGATAATTCAATAAAAATTTACTCACTCATTCATTGAAATATTTTAATTATTTTTTAATTTGTATTTTATTTTAGGAGATACACTTTTCTTGGAAAGGTTGTTGGAAAAGCTATTTATGAGAATATTTTTATTGAACCAGTTTTTTCTAAAGTATTTTTAAATTAAATTCTTGAAAAACCAAGTACTCTTGAAGATCTCTAATATGTTGATAAGGAGCTTTATAAAATGTTGATGAATTTAAAGCACACTAAAGATAATGTTGAAGATTATGGCTTGACTTTTTCTATTGATGATATTTATAATGGAGCTGTTGAGCTCAAAGAAAATGGGTCACAAATAGCTGTAACAAAGTAAGATTTTCTTTTAAAGTTTGATAATATTTTTTTATGCAGAATTTTAAACTGAATTTATTAATCAACTTAAACAAAATATTTTATTCATACAAATAAATTTTGTTGTTTTTAAATTCTTTTTGTAAAAGTAACAAAAATGAGGAAAAAAAATAAAATATAAAATAGAAAAATTTATCAAAAAAAAGAATTGAATGTCTAAATTAACTTTAGAAATTTTAATTTACTCTACTTTATTCTTTTTGTGAGATAATTAAATTTCCAATTCTTTCGTAAAAATGCGAAATTAAGTTTTGTACGTTTTGCGTTGAAAATGTTTTGAAATTGAGACACTTTATGAAATTAAGTATAAGTTTTGGTTTAAATTAACTAATTTATAAAATATAGTGAAAACAAATTCGAGTATATTAGTTTATATGCATAATATAAACTAAATTCCATGAATGAACCTGAAGCCCATGCATTCAGAGAGGGATTCGCATCTGTAATTGACTAAGAATGGCTTTCGATGTTTAACCATGATGAACTCTAGCTTATTATTTCAGGCAAGTTCACTTGCTTTGATGTTTAAGATTTAAAAAAGCACACTCAATATAAGGGTAATAAAATACTTTTGAAAATTGTTGCAACTTCTAATTAGATTCATGAATTATCATTAAATTTATTTTTTTAATTAAAGGTTACAATCCAAACGACTTGACAATTATTTTCTTTTGGTAAACACTTGAATCATTTACAGATGAAGAAAAGGGTAAATTCCTTCATTTTGTAACAAGTTGTAGCCGTCCTCCAACTCTCGGTTTCAAGCAGTTGAATCCCCAATTTTGTATCTAGAAATCTATAGATGACAACAATCCTCAAAAACCAGAAAAATTGCCTACTAGTTCTACATGTATGAACATACTTAAACTGCCAAATTACGAAGATGGTAATAAACTGAAATTGAAGCTACTAGAAGCAATCTTTTCAGGTGCTGGGTTCGACTTGAGCTGATAGAATATTTTAATTTTATATAAAGATAACACACTAACTTAACATATAATTTATAATTGTCTTACTTTATAATAATTCAGTTTTAGTTAAAATATATTAATTCATCAACATAAATATCTATATACCTATCTGCTTGTTTGCTTTGCTTGCATAAATTCATTTTTTATTTATCCCTTATTCAATTGTTTAGATTGTAAAGGTGATGTATGTAAATAATTTAGATATTTGTCTCTTTTTTTCTTCTAATTGTTTAATTAAGATCACAAATCTTTGCTCTTAACATTACTTTTTTCCTATGAATAAATTAAATGGTGAAACGAATACCAGATATTTTGAGTAAAGGAAATACATAAATTTAAAAACAATCAAATTTGATTTATTTAAAGATTTAATGATTATTACAAAACTCTTTTTATTTCGCTAATGTGTAAAAGAGGATCAAACAAAGCTAATTAATATTAATAAATAACTTTTGAATTAAAATTTATGATAAAAATAATAATTCCCACAGATTTCATATCTATTCCTTATGATTTTTACACTTTTACCAAATTTATCATTACTTTTTCAAAACCTGCTTAACAAAAGTAAAGCTAGAATCTGTTTTCTAGGAAAAGATAATTGTGCTTATCAAAGAAGTCTAGCTAATTTTGTGAGTAGCAAAAATAGTATTAAATGGACTAATTATTCAGCCTATCAAATATATTAATTAAAAGGCTAGACTTTTATTTTTTTTTCAATAAATGTCTACTTTGTTTAGTAAATTTATTAATAGTACAAAATACGCATAATGCTTGGTTACTTGATTTTTAAAAAGTGAACATTTTGCATAAAATAGTCTTATGTGTTATTTAATAAAGATAGGATATTATTCTTGCTTAAAAATCTATTTTTATCAATAAATACCCTAATTATATTCTGCAGTTATAATTTAAGAATATCATTTGTTGTAAAATCTAATAGAATTATATATTTCGTCACATTCCAAATTACGGAATAAAGCTATTTAGATGTTGAAGCAATTACTTAAATCTAATTAAATTCGCTGATATTTTCTTAATGATTATTAAGATAATTTACTAAACTAATTAAGACTTTTAAAATAGCCGATATGGAATTAAGTTGGTCATTTCAGTATTTCAGATAGTAAAAGAATTAATTTTAAAAAGTGTCAATTGTAAGTGTTTTAAAAGAAAAAATTGATTAAGTGTAAATAAATTTGTTGCAATCAGGCTAATACCATTTAAAAGTGCTTCCTATATAAAAGAATATCTAAATATTTATTCATAGATTCAAAAAAATAATCAAAAACTTAACAAATTTTAAAGAAGAAATTCAGAACAGAGTAAATTCAAATTTTTGATTATCAGAGATATCAACTCTGTGCAACAACTTAAACAAAAAAATAACAGAATTTATATTACGCAATATTTGCTTCTACTTATGCTTGCTGTTTGAATCACAAATCAACTATATTAACTAAATTATGCAATTCCTCCAATAACTAACTACTTTAAATTTCAATAGATATGAGAATTAAAGATAAAAATTTAATGTTAATGAGCATACAAGCAACTAGCTATGAATAAAAATAATTGAATTTTACAGCAATCAATTGATATCAAGCCAAAATATTAATTTGCTATTTTCCTTTATAGACTGTCATCATACTATATATCTTGATTAAAGATTAGGTAAGGTATAGACAAAAAAAATCTTAAAAACCTTAATTCAATAAAAAAAATATTCATAATTTATTTTTAGTTAATATTAATCAATTGAATTAATTTGCAAATAACAAATAAACAAACAAACAAAAACAAATAATTAAAATAAATACATCAAATTACATACAACAAATCAAATTAAATGATAGGAGAAGGTATTTGTGTTTCATAGGGTCAAGTTCTTAAGCATTTGATGAATGATATCCCCAAAAGAGTAAAAAAAATATATAATTTGAAATTTATTGCTGCATTCCTTTGCTAAAATTTGAAGCAAAGGCAAAGCGAGCGATAATTTAATTCATAGATTTATTAACTTTAATTTGGTATAATCAGAATTTGGGCTTAGTAACTTTACATAGAGGATAGCTTGTCAATAAGAAAATTAGACATACCAATAGAAATGAACATGATGTGCACTACAAACTTGTTTCAGATAGTCCCTTAATTTACTTCAGATAAAGATCAAACTTTGAAGTTATTGCTGATTGTAATTTATTGATAGCTTTCTTTCTTTCTTACTTGCTTTGCTTCCTTATATTTTCTAACTAACTCTAAAAACAAACAAATTTCTCCAAAATATTAAACTAGGAATTTTTTTATTCATTGAGCGCAATAATTATCTATTCGCTTTATAATAAAAACAATTGAGTTTACATTAGTTTAGACAAGCAATTAATTATTATAATTATTATAAATTTCTTAGGTTTCACTTATATTAGAATCCAAATTGGAGTACCTATCAACTATGACGGTCCTAAAAAAACAAATGTTAACTTATACTTGAAGAGAAAAGACGTTGATTTGGTTGAAGAAATATATTCTTTTGATGTCTAGATTGAAGACAGTACTCAGTCATCTTGAGTTCTGCTATGAAATTCTTGCTTTTATTTATTTCTAATTGAATTCCTTACTGAAAATTTGCATAGCTAGCATTTTGATATTTAAATTGCTTATCCTTAATTAAATGAAAGGCTTAAAAATAAATAAATAAATAGATAAATAATAATAATAATTTTCATTTAAATATAAATACTCTGCTTTAACAAAATAATAATAACTTATCAAATTATAGTTTTAAAGATTTAATAAAAATATTGAAGAATAAATAAATAAATAAATAAATAAATATACTTACAATCAAACTAAAAATATATATAAATATTTATAAAAGTCAATATGCAAAATTAACTAATCAGTAGATAACTAAAAATAAAATTATAATAATCGCTAATTCTGTTATTCCAATTTATTTATAATTTAGCTAGTATCAATCTAATTTTATTCTTAGGTTATTGCCAGTTTTATTTACACTTCCTATCATAATGTTTATTCAAATTTTTAAAAAAAGTTTTGATTAAAATGAAATTTTATTTGTTTAAAAAATTAACAAAAAATTTTAAATAAATAGATGAAAACCTATCAAAAATCAGATAAATATGATTTAATATCAGTAATTGACTATAAATATATTCTTTTTTTAAATATATTTTTATTTCATTATTCAAAACAGAAATTATTTATTTCTAAAAAAATTTTACAGTAAATTATAAAGGAATTAAAAAATATTTTTTTTACTAACTTTATATAATTAATATCTTTAAAATCTTACATCTTTTCAAATAAATTGATCATAAAACCTAATTAATAAAAATCAAAATTACCTAAGTAAATGTTATTTTTTTACTAAATGAACAGAGAATCATTTAAAAATTTGTAAATAATGATTAAATCATTTGAAGATAAAAAATCAATAATTCCCAAAATTTATTAAGATTTATTTTAATTGGAGGTAATATAAAATAGAATTATGATGAGTTTTAAAAATAATTTAACGGTTTTTTATTAGAAAAGCCTTAAAAGAATTTAAAAAAAGCTGATTGAAATTCCAAAAAAATTTCATCTTGTTCAAAATGTCATTTATTAGGAGTAAATTATGAAAAATTTAGTGAAAAGATTATTAAAATATTTAAAATATATAAAAAAGAATAAGACAAAGGTGAACATTTTTATTACTATCTAAATAGCAATAGCCAGGCTAATTTACAAAAAGTTTTGTAGAACTCAAAAAATAATTTATTTTTAATAAGACAACAATATTCTACAAGAATGGTTTCAAAAATAGATTGTTTAAAAAAGATTCTTTTTTTTAAATATTGATTAAAAATGTTTCATAGTTTCAAAAATTATATAACCAAAAATGAAAAAATTAAATAAATAATCTTTAAGGATTATACAAAAGAAGGGTGATATATGTAACCTAACACTTTAAATATTTATTTTATCAAATAAAATTATTTATCTTTTTCTATCTTATAAGAATATTAATAGAATTATAAAATTAAAAAAAAATTTACTTTTTAAGCTTACTTTTATTAAATGATACATTTACTGTAATGGCTCATATACTAATGCATTCCCAATCATGTTTTTACCTTTTATAAAGAATTTTTTTTTTGGTTGAGAAAAAAAACTTTTTAAATTTTCAAATTATATTGAGAACGAAAGGATGATAGTATATATTTTTTTAAAAAAATATTTATTAATTTAGTTTTTATAATTTATTTGTAAAAAAACTGAAATTGATGAATTGTCTGTCAAAGCATTTCAGAATTATTTTGAAATGTGAATGAAAAAATAAATTTTAATAAATAATTATAAATCAATTATTTACAATATTATTTATTTATTTAATTAATTACATACATAGATACATACATACAATTTCTTGTATAAGCACAATATTTAACATATTTAGATTCATTGTTTAAATTATTTTCATTAATTTGTAATTTTAATTATTAAATTATTTGAATAGGTATCAAAAGATAATTTTTATATAGAGTTAATGATTAAAATTATAAATGTATTCAGAAATGAATAAATCTATTTTTTTATTTAGTTTCTATGCCAAATGCCCAAGTAGCTAATTTAATTAAATCAGTATTCCTCTATTTACTCAAGCTAGAAATGAATATTTTATTTCAACTTTAATTCACTTTTTAAATGATTGATTCGTGTGAACAATAAGACCAAGAAGGGTTGTTGGCTGGCTGGCTATACAGTCCTGATTTAAACGAATAAGTTATTTTGGAATTTGAGTGAGAATTTTAAGAAAAGCTTTTATTTATTTATGATTTTATATATATATAATATTAGTTTTTATATAGGGTTCATGGAAATAGTGATCAACATAGTGGTGAGTGAGTTTTATATAAATATTTTTTTAATGTTTAAGCTTTTCAGTCTTATTTTAAAGGAGATTTTGGTGAGTTAGATTTCTAAGTAGTAAAGTTATTCTTATTAGAATCACAACATCTATTCTTTCTCTCTGGAGATTCATCATCTTCATCATCTTGAGATGAATACTTTTCATCGCAATCGTTTTCAATTTCTTCGATTTAACCAACAAAGCCACCTCTAGATTGATACATATCATCTTCAACTTCGTCATTTTTCCTAATTAAAAAAAAGTATTTAGATAGGATGAATCATAAAAATTTGAAGAAAATATTTACATTGATATTTTTTTAAGGAAAGATTCTTATTTTTCTATTTTTTATCTAACTTTTTCAAGAATGTCATTAAGTTAGTCATTTTCTTTTTCGTCTTCTTCTAAGATGATAGAATTTTCTTCACTGTATCCCTTTTTTATGGTACTTTTCTTAAAATCGTCATCAATTTCATCAACCTTTAATCTGTATTTAGGAGAGTTGGATTAGTTAGAGATGAACTAGTTTTGTGAAGCTTTAAATTCAACTTTTTCTTCGTTGACGTAGTTTTCTTTTTCGTAGTCTTCTTTAATAACATCTTCTTAACTAGTTTGATACATTTTAGACTTGATACTTGTGAGCTTCTTAGGAGTAGGTATTTCCAAAACAGGCTCCTATTTATCAATTAAATTTTCTACATGAAGGAAACCGCTTAATTTCATTTGATCATCCTAATTTTTTTCCTCATCGCATTCAAGAATTTCCTAATTCAAAATTTCACTGCATTCGTCAACTTCGTCAAGAATTCTTCCAAGTTTTTCTGCACTTTTACATCTTGATCTCTAAATCTGCAATTAGATTTCTGAATCTTCACTCTTTTCTCCATCATCGAAAATCAATTTTAAGTGAGGAAAAACTCTACGTTTCTGCTGTTTATCATATCAAATATATTTTTAATATTTTATTTAAAAGCAGTAATAATTTAATTATTTTATTGTTATAAAAAATTTTATCCAATATTTCTTTTAACTAACGGAAAAAAATTAATTTTTTTGATTATTATAACGCAAATTAGAATGGTAATAAAAATTCAAGTTACTCCGTTTCTAATGAAATTAGCTAAATTATAAAAGTGTTAGCTATGATGAATAATTTTAGAAAATATAATGAATGTGGCTTGCTTGAAGATGCATTTAAAAAATTTTTTGCTTAACTAATTTCATTGATTGTTATTTATATTTTGATTATAAATAGTAAAAGATAAAGATTCTTTTGTTATTTACTTACTTATTTCATAAAACATTAATATCATTTTGTAGAAGAGTAACGGGAGTTAAGTCAATTTAAATATAAAATTTGGCCATAATAAATGATAAAAAGTTTTACATTTGTAATTTTTTCTTATTTTTCTTGTTCGCCTCTTACTTCTTCTGTGACAACATCTACAAGGGAAGATTGTCTTTTCATTCTAAGTTTGTTTTACTAACTCTTTTGTTTTTGATTTCTTTCTATAGAGCATCTTTTTACGTTTTTAACTTAAATTAAATCTAATGGGAAGGAAATGTCAATATTGCTCATTCTGTGGCTGCTAAAAGAGTCATCTGAACAAGATCTTTTGATAAAATAATCATGTTAAATAAGTTGCGCTAGAATTAAAATAAGAAAGATGTAATATCATCAATAAATAATTAATTACGTTTGTTACTCACTAAAATTAGTACTGAGCAAATTATTGCTGTTGTTAAGATAGTCCTTAATGGACACATTTAAGTTATCTTAATTTGAATTCATTTTTGTTTATCACTCTTTTTTCTTTTATTATCTCTTTTTTTGAAGATTCCTGTATGTATTTTAAATTTCTTGATATTTGTAATGATTTCTATATTTGGATTTTGCTAGCTAATATTTGCGAGATCTATTAGAATGAATTATTTTTGATATATTTAACTTGAAAAAGAAGAAAGATAAAGAGGTAGATAGATAGTTTTTGATTGATTGATTGATTAATATTCTGATTTCTTTAATTGTTATATATTTTAATAATTTTTTTTGCAATAATTCATTTATGATTAATTGATATTGATGTAGTATTTAAATTAGCTTCGTATAGGTAAAAATCAAAGGAGAAGAAAGAATGAACTTTGCATTATTCTTAATTAATTAATTAAAATAAATAATAATAACAAAATTTTCTTTTTTTCACCCCACCTTTCTTTTATAAAGTTACTTAATTGAATCGATATACATATATAAATGCAAAAAGATTGCATCATACAAATAAATATATTTTTTAATTTATCTGCTTAATTAAATATTTGGTATATTTATAAACAAGTTAGATTAGAATTATCAGTTGAAAAATTAATTTTTTATGTTTATTTGATGCTTTTTATTAAAAATACATTCAAAATAATATGTGAAAAATTAATTTATCCTTTTATTTTTTTCAAATTTTCTTATTTTATATAATTTTTTTATTAAACATATTTACTTTTTAGATTTGCAAAAAATTTAAGATTTGACAATTTAATTTGAACGTTCTCTTATCAAAAAGTAATTCAGTATTGATTGATTACTTATCTAAAAGAAATTTCATAACTCATCTTGATTTCATATTTGATTACAATATTTAGATGAAAAGCTTTTTCGAAGGAAATTAAATTCAAGCAATTAATTAAATTTTTAATATTTTTATTATACGCCTTTTAAAACAAGTGCATTCTTTCTATTTCAAGAGAATTTAATTGAATCAAAAAAGAAAGAATGATAATTTTTTATGATAATTCCTAAAATAGGTTTTATGCAATTTCCCACCTTTTCGATTTGCTATTGAAGTCAAAAAGAAATTTTGTTAAGCTTAAATGTTAATTTCAAGTAATATTTTGAATTCTGATTTGAAAAATATCTCATCTAAAGATTTTCTATATGAAAGTTTCTTAAAAATAAAATTATGTTAAATCTAATGAAGGAAAAATTCTAAAAATATCTGTATGGATAGGATTTTACTTAAAATCTACTTTAATCAAAATCTTAATTAATTCGCATTCAATAATTTTGAATTTAAAAAAAATTAATTAAGACATACAATCTGCCTATGTTGATTAGAATACCAGCAAAGATTTCAAGTATGCAAGATAAAATAAAATGGATTAATAACAAATGTAATAGAAATAGAAATGGTTAAAATATATTTAGAAATCTTATGGATTTAAAGAACACAAATCCAACTAATTTATTGAATTTACAGAGAAAATAAAAATTAATTTGATAAATTAATAAGTTATAATTTAAAATAATATAATTATGTCTTAAATAAATGGAAAAGTAAATTTATTTATCACTCCAGTAGACTTTATTCATGAAAAATAAAAAAAGTTTTTTAAGAAATAACTGTTATTAAAAATAGTGTAGATTCACTAATTATACAATGCACCTTATTGCTTACATTTTATGCTTTAAATTGATTTTAAGAATAATCATAAATAACTAGAATAGGAATTAGCTAAAATAATAATAAGTGAGATAAATAGATAGAATTTTATATATTTAATAATATTTATTAAATTAATTTGTTATAGATAAAAGAAAAATTTAATATTTTTAAATGTATTTTTTATTAATTTTTAGTAATTAATTAATTAAAATAGATATTAATTAATTAATTATTTCATTCGCAAAGTAATTATCTTTCTACTTGTTCTTCTTCTTATTATTGTTATTGATATTCATATTATTATTAATTTTGATGTTGTTAATACTGTTGTTATTATAAAAATTATTAATTTTCTTGTTCTTTTTACTAATTTTCCTCATGATTTATGTCTGCATTATTCTATTCATTATTTATTTAATCAACTGAAATTTCATTTATTTATAGTTGCTCTAAAAATAATTGTTGGAAAACATCATCATTTTTTTAGTTTATCAGCTTTTATTTTGCTTGATTGTTTGGCTAAGAGCTCACAAATAGCTATCCTTAATTAGCTTGTTATTAAACAAATTCATTCATGAATTCTTAATCTTTTTCATTCTAGTGGCTTATCACTTACTGTTAGCTATTTTGAGGTGTATTAGAAATTTAGTTTTTAATTTAGCTCATTACATTATTATAGCTTAGCTGGCTCTGCTAAGGTTTTTAATAATGAGAGAAATAATTACTGTACTATTATGAACTTTAATTATTTTTTTATTCTTCTGTTAATTAGCTATATAATTGCATGTGATTTTCTGTATTTGGATCTTAATGCTAGGTTTAATCTGATTGGGCTGGTGGGTAATTGTATAAATCTTCAACACCTGCAGGATTTCCTAGAGTTTACTATAAGTATTAATTATCGTTTGGTAGACATTAATAATTATTTAGCTAATGCTATTAACTTTATAGTAATTATTGTTATTATTAATTTTACTAACTCATTTAGTTATGGCCAGTATCTTATTATTAACTTTACTGTTGCATTTATAGAGTTTATTAGAATAATTTTTTTTTTTATTCTTCCTTTTTTATCTCAGATTATACCTTAAGAGCTACTAAATAGTCATCTTTTTCTTTGTACTATGCCTATACTTATTCAAATTCAATTTACTCTCTAAGCATTACAAAAATCCAGTATTAGCGCATGTTGTCATTGTTTTACTTCTCAATTTCTGAAACACCGCTAACTGTTTTTAGATATCTTTTTGTCTGGTCTCTTTTATGGAAAGGGATGTAAAAGAAATATAAAATTTTAGTGATGAAAAGCTCCATCCATTTATTGTAATTCATCTCAGTTTAAATTTCGATAGACTCTGATTGAATTTTCGTTTTGAGCAATTTTTAAGATTGCTTGAGATAATTTTAAACAAGCTAATTTTAGAAAGAGAATAATCTTATGAACTCTGCTAATATCCTATGCTCTCTAAGTATAATATTGTATTATAGGATAAATCTTTAACTACTAATATGAGTTTGCTAAACCATTATGTCTTAATCGCTCATTTGAGATTATTTATTCTAATTTTATACTTGAAGCTATTTTCCATCAATAAGTTTATATCCCTACAGGACTTGCTCTTCATAGTCTTTTATAAAATTTTTTTTGAAATTATTCAAGAAGCTATAATAAGTATTCATCATTTCTTTGGTTTACTGAGCTTTATTTACTAATTTCTCAAGTTTTTCTTATTTTTTTACTATCATGTTTTTGAATCCTTCAACTTCATCTATCATACTTTGCTTTAATTGATAGCTATCAATGCAGGCAAAAATTCTTTTATAATCAACGAGTAATAATTTTTAATTCTTTCCAGAAACAGAATCTTTTATCTTTTCTAATTCGCTTAATAAAGTTTTAGTGTTTATTTTTGGGTCTAAGAAGAGCTAAGTTCCCTTAAATTTAAAAATAGGGTTGAAAAATACGATTTCATCAAGGAATATTTACAGCTCTTCTTTACGTTCTAATATCAATTTATCATCTATCTTTTTACCTAGTTATTTAACAGGAATCAAAGGTATTGGTAATCCAGGAAGTGATTCAATCAGACATTCTCTCAAAGCATTGAATTCTTTATATCTTCTCTCAACAAGGACTTTTTCTTGATTAGGTTAAATAGTACTCTCTACCTCAATAATATAAGCCACATGAGCAGGAACTACCATTCCAATAAGAGAAGACTGATTTTAAATTACTTTATGCTCTTTTATAGTTAATTTACCAAGAAGATTTTCAGAGAATAATATCCTTCTTAGTTCTTATGCAATGTATGCCTCATTATTTTCTTTAATAGGTTAAACTTAAAGCGATTACCCTCTCATTAAAGGGATATTTTAGTTATATAATCCACCATTCTACTAATTAAATTAATTTTGATTGTTGCTAATCAAGCCCGCTCCATTTAAAAAATTATTGTTTCCATATCTATTGCTTCCTTCATAATTATTTGAAATCTGCATAGTATTAGACCTTTAAATTGTATTTTGGTAACTTTGATTTTAATTTGTGTTATTTTAAGGTGCCATAGGATAATCAAAAAAAGATTGATCTACAGGTGGTGGAGGTGCAGGTGGATAATATTATTACTGCAGTTATTGTTGTTAGATAAATTGTTATTAGCCAAAATTTTAATTTTGATTCATTTAATTTAGAGAAGGAAACAAATTTTATTATTGTTAATATTTTTGTTAAGGTTAGTAAATGTTTTAATGGTTGTATTGATTATTTTAAAAGTTATTTTGTTAAAATTGGTTGTTTGATACTTAGTATTGCTGATTATTAATATTATTTTATTAGACAGTAGCTTAAGGCTTACTTAGACTATTTATCTAAGATTCAGTAGGATAGTTATATAGTGCATTTTATTATTCAGGTTGTGGTTAGTTTTAAGGAGCTGGTGGATAATTAAAATTTGGTTATTATAAAGCAGGTTACCCATATTTTTGTTGAGAGTTTTAATTAAATAAATTCATTTACTAATTGGGAAGCACATTATTGGCATTTAAGCCATTATTCTAATTTTGAATACTTTAGGAAACTTGCATGTTGCTTTGGTTTTAGCTTAAATTCAATGCAAAATTTTAATTTTTTTATTATTAAGATTGATTAATGTTGTACATAATTTCTAAGTAATTTAGGAATCTTGAGTAGCCTACTTTGAATCCAACAATATTTGATTGCACAGGAAGCTCGAAATAAAATTATCTATTTAATTGTAGCTTAGGATTAATAGGATTGTTTGGAGGAAAATTAAAACTTCTTCCTTAATCTGTTGTAAAAGAAATTTTATCTATTTGATCAGTTGAAATGCCAAAAATTTTTGTAATATTCTCTTGTGGCCCTAAATTTATTACTTCGCTTTAAACACTGAAAAATTTAGAACCTTTTGATTTATGTCCTTCTAACTCAAATGTGATTTTGTCATTAATTTTTCTCTTTTTGTTATTCTTTTTTTTTTAATCTATCAATTAGTAAACACTCTAAAATCCTACTATGTGGTCTTATGTATAATAGATTTCTATATTTAAAGGCCTAATATCCTCTGGAGGAACATCTTTATGCTTACTCATAATTAATTAAATATCATCATTCAGTTTACAGTCCTTCGCATTAGTGTTTCCTAACGTAGTCTTTCCTAATTTATCCATTTATATTAATGACCTGCTTTAAAATTATAATTTTTTTTTTTGATTGATTATATTTTCTTTCAGGATATTTGTATACTAAGTTTTTGTGTTTTCTTTATAAAATTTTTAATAATGTTGATATTATCTATTGATATCTCTTTTAGATTAACTAATATATTAGATGTAATTCTTTGTATCAATAATAATATTTATTTAGCGTGAATAGGCAAAAAACAGATTCTGATAAGAAAAAAATTTTGCTTTTCACCTTCGAATAAAATTTGTAATATTTATTACTTCAATTAAACTTCAAGTCAGAATTAGTATAATTTTTTTTGAATTTTAATTGTATTGTCAGCATTTATTGGCTTTTTCAGAGCTATTTACACTTAATAGTAACAATTTCTTAAAAATAATACAAAAATAATGAAAACTTTAAGAAATGATTTTAGTATTATTTAAAATAATAAGTTTACTAAATTAAACTTAAAACTTATCTTTGAAAAAGTTAAATTATAAATATTTATCAAATACTTATTAAATAATAAATATAATAATTAAACAAATTTTTATGATACTTTGACTAAAAATAACTATTTTATGTATTAGTTAATTTTTTGGAATAATAAGAATCATGTAAAGTTTAAGCATTTTAACTTCATACATTTTAATTTATTTTTTTAATTGAAAGTTACATAAGCATTTTTTAAAAAATATTGTATTCCTTTTCAAATATTATATTAAAAGATTTTTTCAAAATCAACCAATCTTAAATTAATTATATTTTTCTAATATATACCAATCTTAAAAAGATGAAAAGATTTTTTAAAAACCATTCAAATAAACAATTTGTTAATTATTAAACTTAAATCTTATCTTTGAAAAAGTTAAATTATAAATATTTATCAAATTCATATTAAATAATAAATTTAATAATTAAAACAAATTTTATAAAATTTATGATACTTTTACTAAAAATAACTATTTTAAGTATTAGTTAATTTTTTGGAATAATAAGAATCATGTAAAGTTTAAGCATTTTAACTTCATACATTTTAGTTTATTTCTTTAATTGAAAGTTGCATAAGCATTTTTTAAAAAATATTTTATTTCTTTTCAAATATTATATTAAAAGATTTTTTCAAAATCAACCAATCTTAAATTAAAGATATTTTTCTAATATATACCAATCTAACTAAGAATAATATATTTTTAAATAACCATTAAAATAAAACAATTTATTAATTTTTTTGAGAAAATATGCTTCCTTCCTTTTAAATGAAATTTGCAATTTTTAAATAAATTTAATTGTTATAAAAATAAAATTTAAATTTGCTTAAATAACTTTTTTTATTAAATTAAATAAATAAAACATTTATGAACGGATTTATATATTTTTCATCATAAAAATATATTCAGTAATTAAGTAAAATAAATATATTCTCACAATTATAAAGATAACCATTTATTATCATCATAAAAATATATTCAGTGATTTAATAAAATAAATATATTTTCACAATTATAAAGATAATTTTTATTTTTTAATATAATTTACCTTTCTTTAAATAAATGAAATATTATTCATTAATAACTAACTAATGACATCATTTAATAATATTATTTATTGGTACTAGATTCATTCAGAGTTAAGTCAATTTATTTCTATTTTATTTTATTTAATTTTCATTTAAAAACAGCAATAGAAGTTTATTTCATCTAACTTTCATCTTCTTCTTCAATATCATTCAAATTGTAGTTAGCTTTTGATTTATTATTTATTTGAGTGTATAAAAGAGGTTTTATTGATCCACTTGAACCCTTTATTTTAAATTCAGTATCAAAGTTCAAAGTAAACTAAGTTGGATTTTTCATAATTGACTCATCACTTTATCTTCTTGATTCTGGTATCCTGCCAAAATCATCAGTTGTTTCTTAATAGCTTTGAGGGTTTTAAATATTATACAAAACTTATTAGGTTTCTTTTATTTTGTTTTCTAAGCGCTCTATCCTTTATTCATAATATGTTTTGACTCCACTGATCTCAGAATTTTTATTTTTTATTTCTTACTTCCAGAATTTATACAAGCCTTAAGAATTAGCATGTGAAATATAAAAAGCAAACAGAAAAACTAAAAGCAAGGGGTACCATGAAATAAATTCATATATATCCTTAAAAATTGTGACAGTAGTTATTTTATCTATAATATAACCGTAAAGGGATTAATTAAACGATGAGTAAGGACTGCAAGATCTTTTTTTAATATAATATAAACTTTATTAATATGAAGTAAATTATTTAGATATGATATTACTTTATAGAGTTACCCTATTACACTGCTTAAAATATGTTAAGATAATATAGGGAATAGCAACAAAAGATAAACATTAGAGTTAAATTCTAAAAATAGGTGAAATGAAGCTTTAACTAAGACTTTGGTGCTCCTTTGTACTAAGGTAATTTAAATTTATGAATTATGAGCCATTCATTGTAAAAATTAAAGTAAAATAATAGGACAGAAAAGATTATTGCAAATCCTGTAAATGGCAAAAGAGCTAGTAAAGTCATATTGATAACAACTAAAGGTATTTAAGCTTGCATCATACTGTATTCTACCCTCTTATAGAATGGTGAATCTCCTTATTTACCAGAAGAAAAATATGTGAGTATGGAGGGGAGATATTACCAGAAAATATTGACTATAAAATGACCTACAACAAGACCTAAAAGAAAATGGGAAACCTATAATTTATTTTATTTAAATAATGGTTTAAAGTAATTATATTATACGAATAGGAGATTACTTATTATTCAGGACAATCAAATTTAGATGAATTATAAGGAATTTTTGTAGAAAATAAGTCAAAGTCTAGTGTAATTTAATTATTATTTAGGAAAGTATTATAAGTTATCAATATACTTAAAGCAGTAGGAATTGATTAACAAATAAATTTTATGCTATATTTTTTAGAGTTTATTTCATTAGAATTAAATCCTGCTTTTTATTTCATTATAATATTCATGATTTCGCAAGAGAATCTACCAATACAAGCAATAGTAGCACCATGAGCAATTTCACTCACTAACATTATATTTGCTATTTTAAGTAAATAACCTTCATAATGAATATACGCAGTAGCAAATAAACTTCCAACTATGATAGCAATAAAAACAAATAAAATCAATATATCCTTTATCTGTTAATGAGAGCTTAAATCTTAATATTGGTTTGTTGTTTCATATTTAAAGTAAGATTCAGCATATTTCTTCAAGGCAAATTGACTTTTTTATGTAATTTGATAATCTTTTATTTTCCAATTCCATTCAGCAAAGGCAATCCTGAAATTATTTATTTCTTTTCCACTTTTAGCTATTTCTCTTATTTCCTTTTACTTTACATCAGTAAATCTGTTTTTTATGTTATTAAATAAATTTTAATATATCATGTAAGATAATTAGTTTATAAGAAAGTGGCTAATAATTAGAGTTAGAAATAGCCAGTAACAGCTACTTAGGAAGATTAAAAATATATAATGAAATTTAAACTTAATTATTTACCTTAAAATAGAGAAAAGAACTTAGAAAACAAAAAAAATAGTCATAGTAATAATCAAATACAATCCTAATTCATCGCTATAGCTATGTAAGAATATATCCTCGAAGCTATCTATCTAGGTATGAAGGAAGAAATAAACAAAGAAAGGTACAAACAATGCTAGAGAAAAAATATAAATATTAACATAATAAGCATTCGAACTAAAAGAAACCTCACTCTTACTCCCATATGAATTTGAGATTTAATATACTTAGCTACTTAAGTAGTAATGATTTTCAACAGTTTAGCTAATGAAAGTAAATATGCTCTTCATTTTATTAGTTACTTTTACCCTGAATGATTTCTAAATAAAATTATTTAAAAAACATGTTAAATTCAAAGTATCAAAAATAATTTTTAATAATATTTAACTATAAATTAAACATATGTTTTCATAAGTTAAATTATCTTTTATTAGAATAATTAAAATACAAAAATTAGCAAGATAAGCTAATAAAAATGTAAATAAATATTCCTAATGTAAATGTAGTTATTATAGTAAAAAATATTTGTAGGAAAAAAATCATTTAATTAATTAATTTAGAAAGAGTTATTTGAAAGAAAATTATATAATTTTTTTTGTTTTAATTACTTGATTTAAAGCTTTTTAAAACTCTTCTGCTTTATCGTTAAATAAAGATTGTTTTCTTTTGATAGCTTTTTTAGCTTATTCTACTTTTATCATTTGAGTTGCGAAGTGGTTTTCTAAATTACTCTTTTCTTGAATCACTGTATCCAATTAGTCTGTTTTAGCTTTTAGATTTTCATTTTACTAATTTAACTCGTTCAAGTTTTGCTGCTGCTTTCCAATTTAAGTGCTCAGATTTTATATTTCTTGTTCTTTCTCTCCTAATTTTTTCTTAGCTTCAAAAAATAATTAACATTTTAGAAATAATAATGATATTATTTTTTTTACTAACTTGGACAAGCTTATTTTTTTATTGCAATTATTATATCTATTTTTTTCTTTGTAGTTTTCTTTGTCTTTCTCTTCTTACTTCAGCTTCTGATTCTGATCCTTCAGATGATTAGGATGATGAAGAGGAAGAAGAAGAAGAATCTCTTCTTTTTCCTTTTGTATTTTTTCTTTTTCTAATTTACTTTTCATTTTCTTCGTTTTAATCTTAAAGTGGACTACTGTCTTTGTCACTGTTTATATAACTATCACCAGTCTAGTTATTATTATCATAATTACTTTTACTTTTATTGCTCCTTTATAAAGGAGATCTGATTCTTTGGGTAGTTTTCTATTTATTGTATGAGTTAAATTGACTAAGATGGGAAGATTTATTCATTTTATTTAGAAAAGATTATGTGGTATTGTGCGTTATGTAAATAATTATAAGGATTTATTTATTTATTTTTTTTGTTACTTTTCTTATTTTATTAATTAAAATTTTTAATATAGTTAGTGATTTTTAAAAATTAAAATCTTTCTTTACTACAAACTTAATAGATCCAGTAATATTGCCATATTTTAGTAAGACTATCGTTTAATTATCTCAATTGATAAATAATGATAGTCAGCTTGAATTAATTTCAGGCATCAGAAAGCCACATATTTAAATCTAAGCTAAGCTTGAAAATAATGTGTGACAAATCATAAAATTTTCAAATTGTAATTAAAATAAAATATAAAGGTTACATATTTTTTTAAATATTTATTACACTTAAAAAGTTTATATTATTTAATCGAGAAGTATTTATTTTAATTATTTATATAATTAAATTTATTTTTATTAAATGGAATTCTCAAAAAAAGTTTTTTGGTCTACCTAAATTGTTTTTTTTAAGATTTAAATCTTAATTAATATTTTCTTTAGAAGATGCATCAGCATCTTTACCATCAGTTGTTAGATATTGATTTAATAATTTGGAAGAAGCAGTAGGAGCTATATGAGATTATGAAGGATTTCCAAATCGATTCATCTTTGATAGGCTGTGTAGCTTTATGCTTGTCTCAGATCCTTGTCTGATGTTCTGATCTTCTTGGTCTAAAAAAGCTAAAGTACTACTTAATTAAGGCTTTTGTGGTATTCTAGAATGAGGAATATTAGTAGTACCATTGTTAATGTTGTAATCATCATTTTCCTAAGTTAAGAATGCGTCTTCTTCTAAAATTTTATTTGCATCATCAATTCTTTTTTCAAGCCTATTTATCCTTGATTCGTAATATTGTTTTATGCCAGATAATTCCTTTAATTTCTTTTAAAACTCAAACTCCCAAACTCTTTTTTAATTTTATGAGACCAGGTAAGCCACCAAGTATATAATGAATAATCCATAAATCAATGGTAGCCAAGTTAAAATATCATACGCGACTCCTATCACTTAAGTATCATAAAGGTACTACCTAAATCTATTTGCCAACGAAGTAGTCTACCCCATAAAAGGATTACAATACCTTTTATTTGAATTAATTAAATGATTGATTAATTAAACTTTAAATTAAATATGCTTACATCGTATTATTATCAAAATGATAAATAGGAGTAAAAGTTCTAACAAAGAAGAAAGAATAATAGCAAAAACAAAAAAGTAAAGTAGTATTATAGAAAAAGCTAACAAATCCTTTTAAGTGAGTACTTGAAAGACCTGAGAATTAAGGAAGAGTAATTTTCTGTTAAATTAGCCATTCGTTTAAAAAGTTTAACAGCAAAATAACCAAAAATGCAAATATAGAAAAAAAGGAAAATGGCAATAGTGCCAAGAAAATAGTATTCGAAACCAAGAGAGAAATGCTGGCATCAATAGTATCAAATTGTATGCTTTGTTCAAACTTACTTTTAGATCCACTTTTCATTATCGAGTTCAATATAGAAGGAATATATTGAAATACTATGCTTATTATAAAATGGCCGATTAGCAATCCAAACAATTAGTAAGCAACCTATATTAAATTAGTAAACACTGTTTTAAACATTCACTAAAATCTTTTGCAAATAAATAATAAAATAAACACTGTAATCTCTAAAATTTCAATAACTATTAGTGCTGAGTTATTTACTTATAGTATTTTTATAATTTTTTATTTTTTTGAATGTAAAATTTTATTGAATTGTAAATTATTTAAAACAAGCAGTAGATAAATAAATAAATAAATTTATTTTAAAAAACTTACCTAACTTTCTCTACAGACATATTTAGTGTAATCATAGGATATATTGTTTGTTAATATTCCAATGTAAAAAATATAAGTATCATTCTCAAGGATAACACTGTAGCTCATCAAAATACTAGCCAATATCGGAAAGATTTCTGAGAAGAATTTTTTTAAATATAATAATTTCGTTCTTGAATCTTGGTTTGCCAAACCTTCAAATTTATTAAGTGGAATAATGATCATGTAGACCATTTTACTTATGCAAGCAATTATTAAGCCATTAATTATTTCACTAATAAATTTTATATCAACCAAATCAAAGAAAATGTCTTTTTAATGAATAATGATGACTGGCACAATACTTGAAATAATTAAACCAACTATCAAAAATCTAAAAATCAGCTTTTAAATTAATCCAGCGTTTTAGTCCATGTATTTTTTATAATGAGAATCCTTATCAGAATAATACTATAAAACTCTTTTTGTCAATGATATTTGATTTTTTTAAATAGAATCTCTTTCTCTTATTTTCCAATTCCAATCCCCAAATACTATCCTAAAATTAATAATTTTCTTGCTTTTCTTTGCCTCTTATCCAACTTCTTTTTTTTTAATGTCGTTGTACCTGTTATATTGATAGGATTTAAAAAAAAATAAAAATAGTGAAATTCTTTATTTAATTTTCAAAAAAATATTAAAGATCTTAATTGATTTTGATTGAAAAAAGCAAAGGAGTTTTTTGAATTTTTTAATTTAGTTAAATTTTTAATCAGTAAAAATAATTAATTAAAATTTACTTGTAGATACCAACAATTAATTAAAATAAAAAAAAGATTGCTAGGCTGACAGAAACATAGGAGTGAGTTGAATAGGCATAATTATGTAAAAAGAATGAATCTATTCCACTTATTTTAGTGTTAATAAAGTATTCTACATAAAAGGGAATAAATATGAGCACAGAAAAGAGGTAATTGTTGAATAGAAATGCATTTTTACTGAAGAAAACTTCACTTTTTGCACCATACGAATTAGCTATCTAATAGACATATTTGCTTAAAAAGTAATTATTTGACAAAGCAAAGAATAGCTAATTAAAAATAAAAAGAATGGTGTTTCCCACTTCCCTTACTTTTGATTGATCCTAATTAATTGAATTATTAAATATGTGGTAAGTTAAGTAAGTAAGCAAGCTGGCAAACAAATATAAATACATAAACAATTAAATAAAGAACTAAATTGTTAACCTAATCAATTGAAGTTAACGAAAATATCTTTAAACTAATCAAATAAATTATTCTAGGAATTCACATTAATAAAATTGTAAATGTATTTTTTCTTATTTTTAAATAGTTTTTTAAACTAACAAAATCTTGTAATAAATTTGGAAATTTATGTTATAAGTTTAATAAAGAAACAAAGAATTTTAAATATTGAAGTATTAATTGTTTGTTTACATTGTGCAGAGCCTTGTTGAAATTATCTGCTTTGATGTCTACTTGGGTTTATTAACGCTTCATAAAATTCTTTTTTACTGTTTCTACTTTAAGTTTGTGAGCTTCATAATTAGATTAAACTAGGTTTTTTTGCTACTCAATCATTTAAATTTTTTATGTCTCCTATTTTAGTTTTTACCTTTCTTTATTGAGCTAATCGACATTTTACTTTTAGTATTCTAATTCTTACTACAAATCTTCAATCTTGTTTTCTTGCATATCGATTTTTTTCTGACCTGAATTTAAAATAAATAGGTTCATTAACGCTTATTATAGCCACATTATTATGCTGGTTAAGTTATTTATGATTGTAAAGTAGAATAAAAAAAATAGTAAAAAAACAGAATTTAAAGCTATTATTTACTTTTCATAATCATAATCTTTGTTTTTTCTTATTTCTCTCTTTGCTAAAGTTCTCTTAGTTTTTCTTACTGTAGATAAACGGATTTCCTTGCTTGAGTTGCTTTTTAAATGTCCCTTCTTGACTATCTCTTATTTTTATTATTTTCTTCCTCTCCAGATGATGAGCTAGATTTTTAAGAAGATGACCTAGAAGAAGATTTGGAAGAAGACTAAGATGAGGATTCTGATTCTTCTTTTCTATTTCTTTTTTCATGTCTATCCTATTCTCTATTTCTCCTGACCTTATTTCCTTTGTTTACAAATTAAGTTATTCTCTTTTATCTCTAAGGAGAATGATCATAAGCAACCTAAATATTTCTTTAAGACATTGAGTTTTATTTTTTATGATCTTAATAAATTAATTGCTAATAGATTAATATTATCAAAAAATGATTTATGATATTTTTAATAGAAAAATTCAAAGAGAAATCTTCTTTTTTTGGAGTCAAAAATCTTATTTACAACCATTAAATATATAAAAATTAGCTTTACTGGTTAAAAAGGTTCTCGTTAAAACAGCAAAATATTCATATTTTTAACTGTTAATTGGTATTAAAAAAATATTTAAAATTTCTTTTTTAACATTTAAATTGAGCTAAATCTACTTTAAATTTTTAAACAAGATAAAATAATATTTATTATTATGATCATTATACAATTTATAGTTATCTTTTAAATAGTCTTATTACATTTTAATTATACAATTTATAGTTATCTTTTAAATAGCCTTATTAAATGTTAATGACTCATTAATTTAAGTAAATTAAAATATCGAAATAGTTTATGAATTTCGAAAAATTTTAGTTTTAACGAAGTTATTTATCAATCATATAAATTTTTTCCATAATTAAAGCAATTAGTTTATTTTTATTTTTAAAATAAACAATTTTGAAGTATAAAAGGATTTAATCATTTCGTTTAAAATTAAAATGATTTCTGCTATCTATAAAACTCACAAAATGCAATTTAATTCATGAAAATATGACTTGCTTATTATCAATAATTTTAATTAAAAATCTTCTTAAAGTGTATTTGAAAATTAAAAATTAATTTAAAATCGCTAATGTAAAAGTTTAAAATTTTAATGGGATTTATGTTTAAAAATATATTACTGTTAATATATTATTAGGAAAAATTTAATATAAAATAACACATTACTAATAAATTTATTACATCTTTCTTTACTACTTTAAATCTAATTTTGTTAAATTTTATAAATTATATTCATTCATTTTTATTAATTTTATTGCTATTGTTGTTGCTTTTACTTAATTGTTATTTTTTTCAGCATGAACAGCTGCTATCTTCTTTAGATTTTGTATCTTTTTATTTTTTAAAATTATCAATTGTAATTCTAGATGGTTTTTTAGTAGCATTCTTATTGTCAGTGTAGAGTTCTATTTTTTAAAATGTAAATTAACTTAAAATTAAATTTATTTTTTTTAATAAAGCAAAATATATCTTCAATCTTATTTATCATAAATCATTCTCTCTTAGTTATCAATCTACTTTAAAATATTTAATTTTTAATCTTTTTAACTTTCCTCAAGACTATAAAAAATATTATTTACAATTAAATTACTAACTTACTTGCATTTTTATTTAAACTTGTTTTTTTCTTTTTTAAACAAATAATACTTGCTTTTTTCTTTGTATGCTAAAAAATAATTTGTTTTTTACTATTTTTGAATCTGTTTTTTTAGTAAATTACCAATTTTTTATCTTAGAGAGTTGATTTTCTTATCAAATAATTTGGATAAAAAATAAATATTAGTTAAGATGATACTATTTATTATCATCTGTCTGTCTGTTTTTAGTTAGTTTTTTTAATTAAGTATTTTAATAATATTATTAATTTTAATTCCTAATCAAGTAAAAATTTCTGTAAGTATAGAAAAAGAAATATTTAAGAATACCTTCAGCTAAATCTGAGAAGAGCTCCTTTATATTATAAGAATTTTTAGCAGAAGTTTCATAATACTTAATTTTATATTGTTTTGCAATTTCTTATCCTTCTTCAGTTTTAATCTACCTTTCATTATTTTTATCATATTTATTACCAACCAAAATAATTTTGCAATCGTTTTTTTCATTATTATTTTGTACTTCCTAAATCCATTTGTGTGCCTAATTAATTTAATAAATAATACATAAATTCTTTATTCTTTTAAAAAGATGCATGAATGTTGTGCAAATAAAACTTGATTATTTATTTATGCTAAAGTAATTAGTTTCTATCCTCATTTTGTTATTCTTAAAAATAATTACCTTATTTATTGTGCTTCTATCAGTAAGATCAAACACAACTATAGCAGCTTAAGCAGACTTATAGTATACAGAAACAATAGAAGAAAATATCTCTTGCCCAGCTGTATCCTTTATTATATCAGTTTTTAAATTTAATTTTCAATTATTCTTTAAATAGTTTATTAGATTGGTGGTGTGCGTAAATGAATAATCTTTAAATAGCTAATCCTAAAACTAAGAATTAAAATAAATTAAGAATAATTTACCCATAAATTTATTTTAATTTTGCCTCCATTGAAAACTTAAATTATTTTATCTGAATAAGCCTATTGATTTCCTCCGATAGAAGTTGGTTTAGAATCTGGATCAAACTAGTCATTTATGAATCTATTAATTATACTTGATTTACCTACTCTTTCTATTTATCATACAATATAATTTATTAATAAGTTTAACAAAATAGTTTTAAAGGCTTGATTATTTTTAGAGCAAATAAACAAAATGACATACATTCTCCAAGAAGTATAACCTTGCTTTCTAGAATTTTATTATCTCTTCTCGATGCCATTATATTTGTTTATTTTTTTTCTAGTACAGTATTCTTTTTCTTAATTAATTGGATATGATGTTATTCTTTTAATAAATATTTAGTTATTAAATTTTGTGATACTTTTAATAACTCTTCTATTCTATTAGAACAATTTCACATATGCCCAAGTCTATTGATTTATTTGTTTTTTTGTTATCAAAAAGTGACTCAATTTAAATTAAAATACATAGGAAACAAACAAACAACTTATTGTAAATCTTTTTTATGATGAGTTTTGGGAATATCTGATAAGATTACTTATGTCTTAGCCTAATTATTTAAATAAGCGTAGTCTATTTTTACTTTATCTTTGGTAATTTGTTTTAGCAAAAGTAAGAAGCATAAACTTGAATTTAATTTTGTCTTTGTTTAATTTTTTATTAACAAAATACAAACAAGCAAACAAACAATAGAAATTGCATATTTTAAAAAATCGTCATTACTGTCATTCTTTAATTTTATTTTGATATACAACAAGCATTAAAAAACTAAATTAATTCAATAAAATATCTTACAATTTTTAACAATAAAAAAATAAGGTGATATGTTGGTTGGGTAAGAAATATATTTGTGGAATCAAATATACCCAACAATAAGCTTAACTTATAAAACTTGTATAAAATTATTAGTAACTTAAAAATTGCTTTTACATCATTTAAAAATTTTATTTGTATCAAAAGCCACTAATCTTCTTACTCTCCAAATTTAATTTGAAAATATTCTCTCTTCGTAACTAAAGTACTCCTCCCAAATTATTTATCTATGACAAAGTAATAATACAGTGGTTTTTAATTTATTATGCGAAACGAATAAGCGATTTTACGATAAGTTAAGGCAAAAATAGTTCAACTAAATTAACTTTTCAAGATATATTTTTCTTCTATCAAAATTATCTTAAATATTTGTCTTTTCTTCTCTTTTTTATTTAGAATATTAAAAAAATAATTTATTAATTAAAATAATTCTACATTGCCTCAAATTTCAGAGAGTTCAGTGAGTTCATATTTAAAGTAATATATTTTAGCATTTTGACAATACCATCGTTTGTTAATTTATTTTAACTAAATTAAATTAAAGTAAATTTAAATTAACTCTTATTTTTTTTAGACTTTTGCTCTTCAATTTATAAAATATTTAATTAATAAAATAAAATTTACTTAATTTTAATGTCAAAAATATTTAAATAATTCAAACTTTTTATTAGATTTAATACTCCTTCATCTTCAAATTCATTTTCACTAATTTAATGTTTTTTTATTTTATTAGCTTGAGTTTTATGAATCTACTTACCTTAAGTTTATTATAACTTATTTAAGGCTACCAAAAAGATTTTAAAAGGTCCTTGAAAGCTATTCTAATTAAGCATAATTAAAGCAAGACATTCTTTAAATCAGTTGAAATTTTTAATTTTGAAAATAATTAATTCAAAAATAAACCTCAAATCTAAAGATAGTTTTTTAAGATTTAGCTTTTCAATTGTGTTACAAAGAGTCTAAAACGAAGGCTTTGTGAAACTATATAAAAATAGTTTAATAATTGATTTAAGAATAAAAAACAAATAGAATTAAAAAATAAAATAAATCAATTCATAAAAAATACGTAGCAGATATGTGTAAATCTAAGAGAGTCGGTTATAAACTCTAAATCCCTTCTATAAGTTTAAAATATCCTTAATTTTTGATACCATTATCTCTAAAATAAAATTTTAAATTAAAATTCAAAAATGTCTTTAAAAAATCATACTTGATTGATATAGAAAAACTTTGTAACTTCTTAAAAGCCGAGAGTTATTCACCGATATAAGAAGCTCCCTCATCAAGAATAGAATTATTTCTTGTTTATTTTATTATTTTATTTAATTTATTATTAAAAAAGAGAAAATTTAGATAAATGAGCTAAATTAATTTAAAAAGTTTTTAATTTTAATAAAACCTTAAATGAAGAGTCAGTTCCCTTAAATTATCTTAATGTAGGATCAAAGAATTAATTAAAGATTTCATTCCTATTTCACTAATATAATTAGTACTAAAATTATTTGAGTTAGTAGACATCTTCAAAGATATAATACAAATTTACTAAGATAGATCTATTTTAACTACATCTAGACACTTTTACTTTCTTATTAATTCGCTCAAAGATTCTAATCCTATATCACCAATACGATTACCTCTATTTTTTTAATTAAGGAAATAAAAAAATTAAATTATGTATTTATTTATTGGAGACACGCATATTATAATTGATTTAAAAAAAGCCAAGCTAGCAAAGAGTATTAAAAGAAATAATAGATTTTTTATGATATTAAAAAGTGTTTTATAGAGTTACCCTTAAAATTGTAGAGTTAATTCCTGTAATTTGTAGCAATCTTATAAACTTTCAGCTATTGATTTAGCTCCAAGCTTTCCAATCTAGTTATGACTTTAGAATATTTTATTAAATAGTTTTTGTTTTGTTTATTAAAATAAACTTGAATTTAGTTTAATATTAAATTGCTTTTTTTACCTAATGTCAAAAAACAAAATCTATAAATCTTTTAAGGCTTGAAGGCCTTCAGCTATAATTTCTGCACCATCTTGCCCAATATTATTAGTGCTTTTATAACATAAATATGTTTTATTAGATAAATAAAACTAACGTAAAGTAATCTAGCATTTAAATTTAATTGATAATAAAACGCTAAGTTTTAAACAAATTGGTATTTTAAGCTCAAAATAAATAAGCAAACAAATAAATAAATAAACAAACAATTAAAATTGTAAATTACGAAACATTAAGGTGAAGATGAGTGATTTGCGGGTTTAAAATAAGGTCATCTTTAACTACCTCACATCCATCATCACTTAAATCCTCATCTCTAGTTTATAAAAAATAAATAGGTAAGTAGGGATTCAGTCATGTGTAACACAAGCAAAAAAATATTAGCATAAAAGAGAATTATATAGAAATGAATGTAAAAGAGTGAGTAGCGAATAAATGTTTACTAGTAACATATTCTGTTTGATGTTTTATCAATCATTTTTTGTAATTTTGCATTAAGATATATTAGAATATCTTGCTTTTAGTTGATAAATAAAAGATAAGAATATTTATAATTATATGAAGTGATGTGTCAATATCAAAATTAATTAAATAAATAAAATAATTGTTTCTGACCTTATTTGGAAAAAAGATCTTTTCAGAAATAATTGATTTTTGTATGATTATCATAATTTCTCTTTTCTTAAAAAAAAAGAAACATTCAACAATAATTGCAATTAGATATTAATTCTTTCTATCTTTAATAAAGAATATGTAAGACAATATTCATTTTACGTAAATATGATACTGTTGCTAGAACTATAAAAATAATTCACAAAAAATAGACACTTTATATTTTATATTTGTAGTAACTATGTGCCATACTAAATACTTTTAATTGATCTTTTCTCATTTTCTGTATCTTTTTTGAGGACATTACCTAAAATATAATGTTTAAATACATTTGGATGCACTCCTTAAAATAGTTAAATCGAAAGTATTTATTTTAAAGAGAATAAAAAATGAAATCTCAACTAGAATAGGTTATTTAATAGATATTTTTTTTAGTCAGATCAAAGATATGAGGAAATAGTTTTTGGCAAAGAGGAAATAGAGAAAAATAGATAGATAGACGACAATTTTCTTAAGATGATAAAAAAACATTATTAACTATATTTTTACGATATACAAGAAGAAATGACTATTGAACAAATAAAATTTAATAGTAATTATCATTTGATTTATTTCCAATAAGCAAACCTATGATGGTTGTCATATTGGAGCTCACTTTTTACAATATTGATTGATAAATTCCTTAGCTTTTTTTTCAAATTCCTTTGGATCAGATTTATATTGCTTAGCAGCTTCGTTGTTGATAGCAGAATCAACATTAGGTTCAGCTAACATAGAGGCAATAATTTCAATAACAGTTTTAACTTACTTTGTGGGAACCCATTCCTTTTCACCAAGCATTTCCTTGCAAACTTCACCCTTGTCGGTTACGTTAGGGTGCCAGATCATAGTTTCGAAAGCAAAGTCAGGCATTTTGAAAGGATAGTTATCAGGGAAGGAGCAGATAACCTTGAAGTTGTGACCATGATAAACGCTACCTTCAGGGCCAGCAATGGTGATTTCCCACTTAGTTTGGTCGTTACCTTTCTTAATAGAAACACCTTTAGGAGGGTTGTTGCTGATATCAGCGAATTCCTTTTCCATACGCTTGTTCATATCTTCTTTTGTTTATATATTTTATGTGTATATTTAATAGCAAAAGCTCTTTTTACTTTTTTTTTTGCTTTTTAAATGATTTAAATGATTTATTTAATAAAAATTATATAAATTTTTTTATGTTTCCGACTATTTAACAATAAAAAAGAAAGGGGCCTTATCCTTATTAATGATTATTAATATCATTTATCAAATTAATTACATGAATAGAACTCCATCAAAAAATAATTAAATTAAGAAAATACTAATAGATAGAACTTTAGTATCAAAAATATATAAACAACCTTTATTTAAAAATAATTCCTCACTCACCGCTTTCATCAGATTAGCTGCTATATATTAATCTTTCCCTCAAAATTATTTATTGAAATAGCTATTTTTCTATCTCTCTATACTTTAGTTATTAATTCTTTCAAATGTATCTTTTTCTTCAATTCTTTCTTGTTTCTTGCACCTTCTTATTCAATTTAATAAAATAGTTATTTATTTTTAATACAAAAACCATAAAAATATAATAAATCTATTCATTTTTTAAATAAAAAACTCTAAAAGATTAAAATTTTACAACGAATTAAATTATTTAATACAAATTTTAATGTCAAGAAAGATGACCAATCTCTTACAACAGATTAAATAATTATTATTTTACTTAATAAAGAAATTTTTAAGAATTTTATTTAAAATTTAAAAAGTATTTTAATTTTCAGAAGACTCTTGAAATAATTATAGATCTATTAATTTGTTAATAAAACTTTAAATATTTTTCATTCTATATAGTTAGAACTTGCATTATATAAAATTTAGAATATTTAATTAATATAAAATTAAAATTTAATTGTTTGTCACTTTAGGTTAAGTATATATTTTAAATAATGTTATTTGTTTAAAATATAAAAAACTTTTATTTAATAAACTTTGAAAAGTAAAACTAGTAATAAATAAATATGAATAATTTTATATAATTATCAATCAGTACGGTTAATCCTGAAATTAAAATATCACTAACTATGTTGGTGCAGATCTTGATATTTTATTTACTTTTTAGGCTTTTATATTAATTTTGTTCATATTTTACTTTCACCATTTATAAAAAAGCAAAAATTGTTTTTAGAAATAATATTAATTTCATTTTTTATTTTTATGCATTAAATTTTTATTTTTTTACCTTTCTTTTGAGAAGAGGAGGTGAGATTTATTTGAAGAAAATAATATTTAATTGATGAGTTTTTTTATTTTTAGGCACTATTTCTTGAATTTAAAATAATTATTATTATTTAACTACCCTCCCTCTGAATGTCAAAAAAATTTTAAAGTTGCTTTGCAAAAATTTTATTTTAAGATAATTCAATTAAATAAATTAATATAAGTAAAGATAAAGATTTATTGTTATTTTTAATTTTAGATATTTAAATCAAAAATGAGATAATGTTTTTAAAGATTCATTTGATTCTTAAAATGTAATAATCTTGAAATCATACTTTAAAAATGACAAGAATTAATATTATTCTTTTATGCTAGTATAAACTAAATTGATTATGCAAATAAAATTAATAAACATAAACATTTGCAATATTTCTTTTAACATAAACTGATGGATATTGAAATTTTACAAAAAATTTTATACACAATTAATTAGTGTCTATAAATTATCATTTTACTTATAAATCTTAACAATCTATAAAAAACAAAAAATTTTTTAAGATTCATTTGATTTATAAAAAATTTTAATTTGTAGTTTGATAAAATATAATGAGTAAATTTTTTTGCAATGATTTTTTTAATAAAGATTTATTATTAAAATAAATTCAATTATGAATTTTATATAAAAACAGAATCTAATAAAAAATTTTAAATTTTAAATTGAATATTAATAAACTATATAATTTTGGGCTTTTCACTTGATTAATGAAGATAAAAACGAATTATATATTCATTTTATCTCTATTTAATTTAAAAATTTTTTTAAATATACAATTTAGTCTATAACTTTTTGATGAGAATTTATTGTAAATACATACTTTTTAAAAATAAAACTAAAAATGTATCTATGATAAATAAGGCAAGACTAATGTTTGATAATTGTTTGTTTAAATGTATATAGAAAACTAATTTGAGAATTATTATTTTATTATAAAATATTAAATAATTTGAAATAAATATATATAATACATACATTTTAAGTTAATTTAGATATAAATAAAAGTAAATTTTTAATTCCCTTGAAAAAAATTTTTTTATGATAAGATTAAAAAATACAGCAAGTAAGTAGATACATACCCAAAAATTCTTTTAATCACTCATTAGAATCATCTTTTTCCTCTTGCATATCATTATCTTCATCATCGTCATCTTCAAAGTTTAAGTTTAGCACAAATCCCTTGTCATCATCAAAATTGATGGATTACCACTAATCTTTGTTTTTCTTTTTTGTTTAGTAAATTTTTTTATTTTCTTTATCTTACTCAGTTTGAAAATCATCCTTCCCATCCAAGTTTTCACTTTTAAGTCTATATCCAATTTCATCTAAATTTTTATTTGTATTAAAAAATAGATGTTAGTTTATTTAAATTTAATTAAATACCTCCATCTTTTAAAAGGTAAGGACTTTTCTTCAAATCTTCTAAAATATCTTTTAATTTGTTGAATAAAATATTTAATTTATTTTTAATTATTTAATTTACCAATTAATTCACTCTCTTGTGGCACTTAATTTTATTAATTTGAAGTTTATGACTTAGAAGCTGTACCTTTCTTCTTCTTACCTTTTTTTTTTGTAATGGCTTTTAACTATGATTCTTTGTATTTTTAAATTGTTTTTAAGTTGATTTCTCGCCACTCAAATTAATTTATGTAATGCTTAGCTATATCAATTTCATCTTCAGTAATTTCTAATTTCAAATGCTTTATAATCTCTCTTTTTAAGTCATTTATAGTAGGTGCCTTTCCAGCCTTGAAGATGAATTCTTCATTTTATTCGTAACTTTAAGTTTCAACTTTACGCTTTGTGATTTGGAGGACTAAGTCATCTTCTTCTAAAACTTCTTTTTAAGCTTTAATCTATTTATTTTAAATTATACAATTATAAAAACTAATTATTTAAAAGATCTTTAAATTTTTCTACCTATACACACAGCACTTCAATTGAGCTACCAACAATTTTACCAAATTTTTTATCACTCTTTTTCAGTATAGTACCCATTTAATGGTTTTTTCTCATTTCTCTTAATCTAATATTATCTTTTTCCTTATTTTTTTTGATAAAGAATAGTTTAAAATATTAATCTTTATTAACTAATTATCATTACTAATTTATCAACTAAGTGAAGTGTGAGATCTCTAAGCTTTTCATTTTGAGCTATGGTTTCTTTTATTTCATCTACAGTTAAGTTTTTATTTAAGATAATTTAGCCTATGAAAGCAGAATTGGCATAATTATCATCAGGATAGTAATAGAGCACATACTCTTATTCAGAAACTCCTACATTTTATGTAATTGATATCAAATAAAATAGTGTGCATTTTTTTAAGTTTGAAGAGTTTAAAAGTTGTCCTTCTCTTTTCACACAAGTTGAAGGTTGCTCATTTTCATCTACTTTATACACGAAATATTCCTATGGATCCAGTTCTAACAGAGAACAAGCTTTTTCTTTTCTTTAATAATAGTAATATGTTATTAGCCTTTGCATTTAAATATAAATCTTACACTTCTTTGATTGTTGAAGATTGATTTGCTATCACCTCTCTTGATACATCTTGCTGAAAATTATCATCATAAAACTTGAAGGTGATGATAACTTCTTCTTTGTTAGGAGTAGGGCCTTCCTCTAATTATAACCTAATTTCATCTTATTAAGTACTCTCTGGCATAATTTCCTTGAATGATTTATCATAGTCTTCATGTTTATAGATTTTATTTTCGTCAACACTATTACCCGAACATATATTTAAATTTAATATAAAGAATTCATAACTTACTGTCTGAATCTCCATGTTAATTTTGGGTCGTTTGTTAAAGATTCGACAAATTAATTTTTAATTTTCATAAGAGTGTCATTTATATTAATCACTTTTTATTTGAAGAAATTTAAATTAAAAATAATTCAATATAATTTAAAATTAATTACCATATTTTTTTGGCTGTCCTTTGCCATATTCTAGAATTATATATCTTTGATCTTCTTAGAGTTTTCCTTCCTGAATCATTTCAGTCTTATTTAAAATAGATAATATTTATTTTATTTGATGAAAGGTTGAATTATTAAAATTACATCTTCTAATTCACTTAAAATAATGGTTGAGTCTTAGATGATGCCTAAATCACTAATAGTCTATTCTTCTGATGAAACATGATTTGGAATTTGCTATGTAGCTCCTCCGTTGGCAACTTTCAGATACTATTTATGATAAGGTACATCATATAAGTGTACAAGAGTTTATTTAAGATCTCTCAAGCTTCTACTACTGTGGAATATAATATCACCCTGATTCTCACCATTTTTTATAACCTTTTAAATAAAAACTTTTACTTAAAATTTACTATTTAAATAATAAATTTTTATACCTTGATCAAATAAGGAGTGTTTTCTTTACCACAATATTTCTGCATTTTATTGTAATCAATTTCATTTTACAATTTACTTATATATATGAGTTCTGAGCGATGTTCTAAATCCATATCTCCTACTTTCTTTTTTAAAAACAAAATTTATACAAACAACCAATCAAACATAGTTAATTATTAAACTTTACTTTTTCCTCATCATAAATAACCTCTTAGTAAATTTAAACCATTTAATTTTCACAATAGGCTATTTCGAATAGGGAATACTCGCTACTTAAGTTCAGCAGTTCGTAAAGATCAGAAACTTTTTAATTTTTAGAGATTTTTATCATTTTTGTAGGTTCTGCATTTTCGTTGAACTTAAAAGTCTTTAACTATTTTATAAATAATAATTATATTTTTTAAGATAAGTTTAAATAATTTTACATTCAAATTTTCATAAGATCTAATTGCCAATTCTATTGAATTTTTTTCGTTTTCATAGTGGGTTCTTTCTTATTAGAAAACATTGTTGATGGAATTAATGTGCTCTTCAAAGTATGCAGGTATTTTCAAGTTTAGCCTTGGAAGAGATTTTTTTCTGTACAATAAAATGTAAGCACTTTCTTTATCAGAATTACTACCAAATTATTTTTATATTTTATTTCCTGAAATGCATTTGATGATTTCATCATCAATATCAAACCAATTCTCTAATAGACTTTGATTTTCGACTGGAATTGGAAAAGGTTCATCATCTTATTAGTCATTACCTTTGTTTGCTCTTCTTGTATTTCTTTTTAAAGATTTGTTATTATAGCTACTACTGCTATTTCCATTTTAATGATTCCCGTTGCCATTCTTTCCATTTGATGACTTTTCGTGGTTATCTTAGATTTCTATTTCCATCTATTTTGATGCACTTTTTGTAGAAAAAAATAATAAGTTATTAAACATTATTTAGAATTGTGTACTTATTTACTCTGAATTTTAATTTATCTCATCTTGGTTAGATTCTTTTTTAATTTTAGGATCTACCCAGTCACTATTTTAAGAGAAATCTCTAATATATGTATGATAGTGTCCTTAATAATATTTCAAAATTATTTTTTATTATATTTAAAAAACTTTATTTATTTATTTACCTCCATGAGCTCCACCTTTATGGATAAGTACAGCATAAAGCTCATAAATAGATTATTCTCCTTAGTCGGATTATAAATCATCAAATTAATCACAAAATAGAGAAGCATCTAACTCTAATCCAAAGGTAAATCTGTCATTCAGCTTACTCCTCTACAATTTTACCATATCGAATTCAAAACGTAGCAAAGATATAGTCAAAATGTTAGGAAGTTTTCTGATAATTGTCCCCTTTAAAGCGTCTTACTTTTAATTTTATAGTTTAATTAATTTTAATTTAAATTAAATTTGATCAAATAAAAACTTTTATTTTATTTTAATTTAATAATTTTTTTTAAGTTAAAATAAATTAAATACTTTTTGAAAAAATTTTCATAAACTTTAAAAAATAGAACTTAAATATTTATATTATTTTGTTACCTTAGAGCCACAATTTTCACAATTGTATTTATTGTCGCCATTAAGCTTTTCATAATTTTAAAAATTGATCAAACTTTCTTCTAGACAAGTTTACCCTTTGATCTTTTTTATTTTTTATGAAAGAATTTTTATTTAATTTTTAATTGAATTATTTATTTTACTTAAGTCATTAAATCATATTATATATTAATTCTTTCACTAGAATTTCCGCAATTTAAACATTTTATTTTATCAACAGTCTCGATTCTTTAATTTTAAAATAACAGATTAATGTATCTAAAATAATAACATTTATTAGATTTTATAGTTAAACAGCATATCTATCTATTTTCACTTCAAACAATATTTTAGAAATATTTATCTTCATTAATCAATTAATGTTTTATTTGATTATTCTTATTGATCAGATATGCTATAAAATAGCTAAATGAAGGGTAATTCATAAATAAAATTACTTGAAGTTTTCTAATAGTTTATTTTAAAATTCAGTTCCTTTAAGAGCTTTTTCTAATCCATCAAAAATAACTCTATTATTTTAAATAGAAAATTGTTAATATCTAGCATTGCTTTACATATTCAATTTGATTTAATCATTTGATTAGCAGAAATATATCGCTTGTTTTACCTAATTGCTTCCTATATATCTTGTTGCTACAGGGCTTCGTTGGAGTCCCAACCAAAACTTTTAGTAACGTCTTCAGTGCTTTTTGTTTAAATTTTAAGTATATATAGTTTTTTATTTCCAAGTATGTATGTATGGAGCTCTTTGTTAGTCGTTTCATAAAAAATAATTTATGAATATTTTACCTCATGTGAGAAACATTTAATTCCTACATTTCTACAAAAAGTTTTTGGAATGCTAGCAAAAAGTTGTGCCTATTTGTATTTTCTACAAAATTGCTCTTTTTAGTAATATTTTCTACCTTTTTTATTTAAATTAAAATACAAAAAAGTTTGACTTAGTGCTAATTGCTCATTTTTTCAGCTTATTGCTTTAGATAAAATTTGATAAAAGTCTTTACACATAATTGCATATCAAATATAGATTTTCTAAACTCTGGAGTCGCGTAATATGCTTAAATCAATGAATTTAAATAGCATGTGGCACCCTTATTTTTTAATCCTACAAATTCCTTTGACTATCTCTCCTAAACGGGCTTTTCTAAGTTATGTGCACAATTTTTTGGTTTAGATTCTTCTTACATTTAAGAGTACTTACTAACTTACTGCTAATTAATTTTCACTTTAAAATAGGAATCTTTAATATATTTTTTAGTCTTATCAATCTCGCTATCTTTTAAGTATTGAATTATAAATAAACCTATATATATTATTATTATTAATTATGAATAAATCAAATAAAGGATATAAAAACTATATATACTATATTATTATTATTTATAAATAAATACAATATTTTATACATAAACTGTGAAGTGTTATTTATTTATTTATTTATAAACTTTTGAAATTAAACCAAACACATTTAGAAAAACTTAAAATTATTTTATTGCTATTAAATTATATTCAACATATTTGATAACCGTGTGTTTGTAATTATCATATAAATTGTGATCAATCAGGCATAAATTCATTTGATTAATGATAAAAGCAAGAAAATACTAATTTTAAAATGACACCAAAATGTATTTTTACCTTTAATCACACTTATATTAAAAAGCTCTGAAGAGATTTTTTAAATTATTGAATGAGATAATTAATTATGATGAATAATTCCAGAAATTTGAAAATTTAATTTTTGGTGATAAAATTTGATAAAGTAATACATACTGATTACTTAATCTACTTATCAAAATTTTAAATTAATTATCAAAATTAAAGGATATTATGGAGTTTATTAGTAATTTAAATCAATTTATAAAAATCACCTATGAATTATATTAAAAAAAATAGATTAAAACATTAAGCAAGATGAATTCCTACTAGTCAATCTTAAAGGAAACTTTTATGTGATGGAGTATTTAGAAGGAGAAGATGAATTTGGATAAAAATAAATATTAAATAACGCTCAATCTAAAGGATTGGCCATTTATTATATCAATGTAGTTCAAAAGCTGAGAGAAAAGTTTAACAAACAAAAGATTTAATAGCAATTGTAATCAATTTTGAACCAGTAAATATATTATAAGTTAATAGAAACGGATGAGGCCAATGAAATGGCTAGAATGAATATGTATTCTGATGATTCAAGCGAAGATCTTGGCATAGATGACTACACAGCAGCTGCAGATGAATCTTTTGACGCTAGCAAGTAGATAACTTTTAAAATAGCTGAATATGCAAAAATAAGGGAAATATGTAAAAATATTGATATCTTTATTGAATCTCTGCTGAGTTAAGCAATCACTGGAACTGATAATCCACACTTTTCTTCTACAAGTGGTTTTGTTAAAGATTAAGAAAATGATGCACATTGTTTGACATATTCTTATGTTGACGATTCTATTTACAATCTCTATATCCGTCTTGTAAAGCCATAGGTTTTAGATAAAATATTAGCAAATCCTCTCAAAGTAAATTTAAATTTACTGCATATTGATGATGAAGGCTTTTCTAAGTCGCCTAGCTACAGCTATTTTAATGACATATAAAATTCATTTAGAAAATTAAACATCTAACTAGAAGTTAAAAACTTGTAACTTAATATTTATTTCAAAAAAAGAAAAAAAGAAAGCAACTAAAACCCAAAAAAATTCTTCCAAAATTATATGAATTACGTAAAGAAAGTCTTTATAGATATGGATTAGATTTACACAAAACAGATCTTGGAGATATATGTGCAGTTTAATGATAGTCAAAGTTAATATTTAACATAGCATATAAATCAGTACATGAGTAGTACTTTTCAGCAAGATTGTCAAAATTTAAGTAATAAATTTGATATAAATAAATACTAGATTTAAGTTTTATTGCATAATACACTCAACGCTGTCATTCTAAATGATATCAAAGTTAACTTAGTCAATACCAAATCAGATCAGTTTATTAAAAAAATATATTACTCAAATGAATTAAAGTCAAATTGGTTTTAGTTTTTAGGTTTAAATAATAATATTTCTTTTATTCACACATAATAATTTAATGATAGTAGTGACATAAAATACGTTAAATACAAATTTAAAACTCACAAAAAAAATAAAAAAGATGAAAATCATTAAAATAATGCAGTAATGAATTACTTGAACTATTAATATAACAGTTAAAATAATTTAGAATATTTAAGCCAATCTTCAATGACATCCCTAAGTGGCTTTTCATCTGACAATTAACTATTCAAGCAGGATTTTGAAAACTTTTCTTCCTTTGAAGAATTAAAAAAAAAATCTGGTGAGTTATCAGGCGAAGAATAAGAATATGCAAATTTTTTGAGTAAAAATAAAAAAAATAAAAATGTAATTAGACACAATATTTTTGATATTTATAAAAATCTTATTGAGACCCATTTCAGAGATTAGACATTTGTATTCTGTGCTTATGATACTCATTCAAAGTAACTTCAAAGTATATCCAAAAATACCTGTATGCCTTTTAACATCTATGAATTAATCCATGCAAAGACATCCATTATGCTCTCTATTTTAGCTTATAAATTGCATGTTGCTGAGTTTATTTCTTACAAACCAAACCTATATATATGGGATTAATATTTAGAGTGAAGCAAGATTATTTCAAATTTTAATTCCTTCTTACATAAGATTTATAAATAAATCAAGATGACTGTTTAAAATTCTTAATCAACCTAAACCTAAGAAAAGAAATTATAATAATTTATGTTTTCTGTATCAAAACAATTAAATTTTCATAAAAAATTTGATTCTAATTCAAAAAATTCAATAAATTTCCAATAAAAATGTATCAATTTATGATTTTATTTTTAGTAAGTTTAAATATTTATATTTAAGTTTATACACTGTTTTTATTTTTTAATAAAAATGATAACAGTTAAAATTTGTAAATTTAATTTTTTTTAATCTTAAAAATATTTATTGTAAAAATAATGTCATAAAAAGTTTTAAGTAAAATATTAAGTTCTATTAATTGAAAATAAATATGATCAAAACAAACCAATTTTTCTTAACAATTAAACTAAGATATTATTATTTCTAATAGAAAATAAATAATTAAAATAGATTGCTTGGAATTTTTAGAGACAGACTCTTTTTTTAAACAAATAGATAAAATTTAAATTTTTAATTAGATAATTAATTAATTAACAAATTTTTATGGATTTTGTGAGAATTATTATCTATTTACAGTAATTATTAAATTTCATAATTCAAAATAAAAAATTAAAATAACTCTTTTTTGATAGATAAAACTGATAAATTAATATGTCAATTTGTTTAGTTGAAAGTAAATAGTAGATAGATAGTTACAAAAATAATTTATTTAAACAATTTATTTGTTATTTTCTATTTCATCTTTTACCCTTTTTACCAGCCTTTTTTTGTTCTAATAACTTTTCTTGTGTGTAATTTGGGTTATCTTTAGCTTCTGCTATCATGTCTTCTACTCTTTTTATTAATTCGGCATCAATACCTGTTACACTGAATTTTTTATAGTCATCAAAACATGTGTTAAGAGATTCTACATTGAAAGTATTTAAGCTATCATTCATCTTATCTGTTAAAGCTTATATTCTCAAGTTCTTTAATAACTTTTTAGAAGTTTCAATTAGTTAGTCATTTAAATCAGGTATATTTTATGAGTCGTTTATTAGTTTTTCTAGCTCGTTTAAAGTGATATTTGCCTTTTCAGCTTTCAAAATATCTATAAATTCTTTTTCTTTTTAAGTCTTAGCACTCATCTTAGACTTAACTTCTTCTCTAGTTTCAATGAACTTTTACCAATTTTCCTTAAAAGCAGCTCTATCACCTTGCATAAATGTTTGTATCCTCTTGATTTATTCAAGTTAATACTGCTTTAACTCTTCACGAAGCTAAATATTTCTTTAAAATATGGCAGCTACTTCTTCTTTAGCCATCAAAGCATTCTCCCTATCATAAAATTTTAGGTAAATTTGAGTTTATTGAAATCATTAAATATTTTATTAATTACCTAATTTCCAATTTATTTTCTTCTGATCTAATCTAAATTAACCCTGGGTGATCAGCTAAGTGTTCACTTACTCTTTCTTATTCCATATGCTGATTAAATTAAGTAAATTTAAATATATCTTTTCAAGGTATAATAAAATATTTCTTACTTCTAAGAAAGCTTTAATTTCATTAGTCCTATGATTTTGACTCTGAGGGGTTGGTCTTATTTCTTTTTTTTCCTCAACAACTTCCTCTTTGCCTTTACCTTTTACAGGTGGTTTCTTTTCTTCTTTCTTTGGCTACTTTTTACCTTAAAAAGAAATAAATAAAAAATTTTTAACTAATAACAAGCTAAAACTAAATACCTCCTGCTTGTGCTTGCTATGTTTGTTCTTCTCTTTGTTTCTTACTTAATCTGGGCTCATTTAAAAGTAGATTTTCTTCTTCTGTGAGTTTTTCACCATTTTGTTATTTAATCAAAGCTAAAAATTTCTTTCTAGATTTTTTAGATTTGTCTGCTCTTCCTGGTTCGCTGTCTTCCCAACTCTTCTTAATAGCTTTTTCTCTATCTTCTTTGTCTGTATCTTTAACAAGAGCAATAGTTTCTGTGCTTACAACTTTTAAGAGCCAATGAATATTTTCTGTTAACTTGTTTAAAGTCTAAAAAACAAAATCAATTTGTTTATTATAAATTAAATTAATTTACTTTGGCATCAGGCCAATCTCTTAAATCGAAAGTAGCTTCTAGCAGATATTAGACTTCTTCATTCTTTGTGGATTTTAAAATTACATTTGAGAAGAGGGTTTGATTATGTCCAATATTATAAATGACGGATTATCCATTTTCAAAAAGCTCAAGCTTAACTAAATGTTTTTCTTCTATTTCTTTTTCTTAAAAATCAGCTTAATCATTTCCTGATGGTTTTCCTGCCTTCTTCTTTGGATCAACTTATTGGGCTACTTATCCTATAATATCCATAATTTTTAAGTGGAAAGATGCTATTGTTTATTCTCCAACATATAATTTTTCTCTAAATATTATTCCATACTTAGTAGGAATGTATTTTTCAATATATTGCAAAGGTTCAACGTGTTCTAAATTTTCGAAAGTCAAGTCAGGCTTTTTTAAATTAAAGAATATTTAAAATATTTTTATCTTTTAGTTATGATGGATTAATTACATTTTTGTAGTAGAAATCAACTTAAAGTGCACCTTCAGCAATTGTATAGGGAGGTTCTCCTTCTAATACCAAATAGTAATTAGTATGTTCTCTGATGGAAAGACGAAGGTAATTTGATAGACTGAAAGTAGATTCGTAAAGATTTTTGTTAACGCCTTAAATAGTATTTAGCATGACACCTTAACCTTCAGAATCCTCTTCAACTAATTTCAATCTGAGGTATTTGAGCATGTGATTATCAGTAGTTGATTTAACTTTCATTAAAAACAAAGTTTCATGTTCCTATTGTGGAATTCTGAATCTAAAAAATACATGGTACTATTATTGAATAAAAATAGAAACATTTAATATTTTATATTATTTAAAAATAAAAATACCTTTTTCTCTTCCATAGCTAGATATTCAATATTAAAATTTTTAACACTATATCCTTCGTATTCAGTTAGGTAATTAAGAACAGACATAGTCCTTTAATTTAGTAAATACAATTAAATTTTAATTTTAATTAAAAAAATAGTTTAAGTACCTAAAAGAATTATGACAAGAGATGTTAAGAGAAAATGAAACAGGAGTGTAAACTAAAATTTTAAAAACTTGATTTGAATTATCAAGAGTTATCATTTAAGAGCTTTAGTTTCCTTTCAACGGTTGGAACTCATGTATGGCGCTAAATGATCCAAAATCAAATTTCTATAAAATGCAGTATGGTTCAGGAATAATTTTGGCTGTTTTAGATTCTTTTGCTGTAAATCCAAAAAGCATTTAGACATCTTCGTCGGGATTTTCTTTATTATCATTTCTTTCAACAAGTAAAACTTCATTGTCTTCTCCTGTTGTTATTTCAGAATCTACTGCTTGAGCAATATTAATAGTCTTATTTTAAAAAAAACAAAAACTAAAAAAAATATCATAGTTTTAATTCAAACATAAAATGTAATTTTTCTAAATTAAATTTTTATTTTTTTTAATAAAAGTAAAATCTTTTTAGATAGAATATATTTTTAAAAATTCAATATTGTTAAATTAAATTATCATTTTTTAATAAAACGAAATCAAAGCTTTAATATTTTGAATATTCAAATTTATAAGATCAATTTTAATGAAATTTAATTAAAAATTCAATTATTCTATTTAAATATAAAAATATATATAAATTTAAAATGGTTGATTTGTTTGGATTTGTTTGATTGATAAGCATTATTTATTCGGAATGGAATAAAAATTGTCAAGTTATTAATATTTAATATATTTATTTTAATAAAAATTAACGATTAATTAATTTTCAGAAAATTTAACTTTTATTTACTTAAGAGGATTCTTATTTTAGAGCAAATTAGTAAATTAATTAGAAAATTTAGTATAAATGGTGAAGAAATTACTTTGTGATGTGGGAATTTAGCAGGGTTGTAGAATATCTAAAAGTTCTAAAAGCATCCTATGAGATCATTATCTAATATCCAGACTCCACCTTATCCTTTATTTAAAGGTTCTACAAAGTTATTTACTGATGAAAAATCATCAAGAGGCTTCATTTGTAGTGTTTCTTCTTAATTTTTCATAACACTTGATACAATCGATTTACCATCATCTCTGATTTCTGCACCATCTTAGTAGTTTGGAGGTTTATTTAGCTTTTAAGGAATTATAAATAATATAAAAAATTCATATCTATTATATTTTTATTATGGGATTTTACTTTGTTAACTATGCAAGTTTTTGCTATTTAAATTTCATCATTAGAGAAAGGAGTGAGAATACTTATTTGAGGGACTTTTCCAGCTCCAGATTTAAGCCTAAAATATTTATATTAAATTGGAGGTCTAGTAATCAACTCTATTCTTTTTTTCTCTTCATCTCCTATCTTTTTTTATAGTTAATTTTATTAGTTTGGCTAAAATAATATAAAAGAGTGTTTTTTACCTTATCTCTAATATCCTTTTTCTTTTTTCTATGCTCAATTTTTTCTTCCTTACTCATTTTGTTGATTGATTAGTTAGACAACTCAACATACTCTTGTCTCAATTTTATTTCTTTATCAGTACGCTTCTAGACATAAACCATATTAAATGTATCATTGTAGAAACACTCAATCAATGGATAAGCAAATCCTGAAATAACGTTTGTGGGGATATTTTTTTATGTTTGCTATATTATGCTAGAAGCTTTTTTTATTTCTTATAACATAGGATTTTATCTTTTAGTTGGACTCATTGATTGGTTTTGAATTGACATGCTGTTATTAGCAACTTCCTCTTCATCAGCTTCTATTCCGCTTATATGAGGATCATGCATAGCTTTATGCATCTAATCGAATACTTAAGTGGAATATCTTACGATACCTCCAGTTGTCAGGTTTCTTTGCTATTTTCTCTTATATGGACTTCTTTGATGGGTATCATCATTTGAGCTATCTGCACTCTCTCTTCCTCTTTGTGGTATTTTAATAGGTTCAATAAACATTTTAGTATGTTTTTAATGACCTTATTCTTCATCTTAACTCTAATTTTAATTTGCATTTTTGTAATTCTTCAAAAAAAGCTAATAATTAATTTTTACCTTTCTTCTATCAATTGGAGATTCTTCTTTAATTTATTCAGCCAATTCTGAGGAATCTTTACTTTTTTTTTATTGAACCACACTCAATCTAGAATTGTTTTATCCTTACTCAATTTTAGGTTAAAATCCAGGTTCGCTATAGCAAGTAACTAAAATATCTTAATCTAAGTAATGCTTATCATTGAGCATTTCTCTAATGAAATTTAATTTATTTTGCCATTCCGAAGTGGATTTAGAATTAATTTGCATTGGTATGCTCTGACTTAACATACCAGTTAGAGTGTACATAACAAATCCAGATCCACATAAATTGTTAATACATGTAATATCTTAGCTGATTTGCATAAGTTTAAATATTGCCTTTGTGATAATGCAAGTCCATATTTCTTCTTTCTTAACTGAACGAGGAAATTTGCATTAACCTTTAAAGTTAACTGGCATCTTATCATCTATTTCAATTTTTCTTTCTTTACCAAGATAATACAGTTTAACCCAATATCTCCCTGTTTTATTGTAAACTGGAATGTTATCTTATTAAGGGTATATTTTAGAGTGCAAAGGCTATTTAAATTTTATTAAAAACAAAATATTTAAACAATAAAGAAGGATGTTGTTGTTAAAATTATTCAATTTGTATTTCTTAAAATAATTTTATGATATAGTTTTATAAACGAATTAATTTATATTCTATTTACTTTGTTTGTGTAGCAATCCCTAATATTTCTATCCTTAATAAGTTACAATTATGAGGCAATCCATTTTGAATCTGAAGGATATTAATAGGAAAGATCTATGCTATTTAGTTTTATATCTTTAACCAATCCTGGTTTATCTTCAACTTGTTCTACCTTTTTTGCTGGTTTCTTGGTCTTTTTTTCTTTTTCTTCTTTCTCCATCTGCAATTAACAAATAAAAAATTAAATTCAAATAAATTGCATTTTAATTCTTCTATGTAAATAGTATTTTATCTTAAAATGTTTTGTTTATTATTTAAATTATGTAGAGAATTTATTCACTAAGAATAAGCTATTGCAAAATAATTTTATCTTACTTATTCTTTTTTACGCTATTCAAACTCTTGTTGTGTTTCCTCCCTTTCATAATATTCGAAAACTTTAACTTAAAGTTTTGTAGGTTCATCATGTAAACCTTTTAAAGGAGAGTGTTAAAACTCTTCTTTCTTCTTAAAACTGTGCTCTTCACTTACAACAGTTTGATAATAACTAGTACGTCTTTTGATGTTGTATTTATTTTAAATTGTTTGTAATTCTTCTTATTCTATTTAGATAAATTCAGTAGGACGTCTCCAAAAGATTAAATTTGAATTGTCATTAACAAAGGAAGGAGTAAGTTTATTTGTGCTGAAATTTTAATCAACAAAATTAGTAGTTCCTTCAATATTGAAATCAAAATTTTTTGCAGCATCATCTCCTGGCCATTCTTCAATTTTTGGATATTCTTCAAATAATGGGGCATTAAGTTAGTTAGCTATTGCTTAATTTTATTAAATGGCAACTGCGTCAGGAATTTTAACACTTTTTCCTTCTCTAGGAGGGTTTTTGACGCTTGTAGGTAAAATATCTTTGGCTAAGGCTGCAGCCTTGTATCCTACTGGTGCCTTCTATTTTTATTGCTTTGGAGGCATGTTATTTATTCCTAGCTAATACTTTATTAAATAATTTAAAAAGCGAAATATATCCTTATAAATAATAACAAGCAAACTCTATTTCGAAACTGATATTAATTAATTATTATAAATATTACGATAATTGTTAACAATATTAATTAATTATTCATTAGTCAAATAATTTGTTAATTAATTAATAGTTGATTGGCAATCTTCATATCTTTAATTTGTATTCAAAATAAATTTGAAGTAAATAAAATAAATATTTTTTATTCAGTTTTTCAATTTTTACTCAAATATTCAATTTAAATGTTAAAAAATGTTTTTAGAATGAAATTTTGAAATTATCATTTTAATTTCTTTTCAAATATTTAGCAAAAGAGAATTTTATCTTCACAGAAATAATAATTAATTTAATTTTAAGATAACCAAATAATATTAAAATGTATTAATTTATATTTTTCAAAATTATAAAATTACTGATTTTTTCTAACTTGTTTAGATTCAAAAATCTAATGCTATTTATTTTAAAATAAAGGTACATCAGCAAATCAGTCAGTCAGTCTATGAATCAATCATACATACATATTAGAAAATTTTAATTTAATTATCACAAACAACTTTAATCCGCTTTAATCGTTAAGAAAATCTATCAAATATTGTAAATATAAATTAGGAAAGCAAAAAAAAGAGAGATAAAGATTAAGAAAAATGTACTCGCCAGATATTGCAGATAGATATGATTTTACAGTTAATTAGTTTGAGTTTAAAAAGAAATGGTTAGAAGATATACAAGTAATTATGAACGAGAGAGCAGACGTAGAATTAGCATATTCAAAAAGTTTAGTAAAGGTAGCTAATTTATGCGAGAAGTATTCATAAAAGAATAAGTAATTTAATATTTATCAAATTATTTAGCAATTTAGTAAAATATCTGATTGAATGCTCCTTAAAAGTTTTCATTAAATTTATTGTGATATCAAAAACAAAATGATACATAAAATGATTTTCAGTTTAGTTTTTTAGAAAATTATTTGATTAGTTATTTATTATTTTAAAGTTATAAATGAAAGTGAATTATAAAGTAAAAATTTGACTAACTGCATTTTTTAATCTTGATAAGCTAATAAATTTATTTTGAAATAGTTTAGAGAAAGGAGTAGCTTCTATAGTTATGAGTGTTCGCTCTGTAGTACTTACTTAAAGTGAATAAGCAGCATATTATGCTTAGCAATTAAAGACTGATGTAGTCAATACATTAAAAAGTGGAATCAAGAAATAATAAGATGATCTTCGCAATCTTTAGCAAAAAGTATTGTTTCTTAAAACAGAGTTAAATAGGAACCTTCAAGATTTAGAGAGACAGAAATAGGAATATTACAAAAATTTTAAGCTAATGCAAAAGAGTAAAGAGTAAATACTATCTTTGCAGCTACCAGAAAGCAATCCAATAATGGCAGTACTTCAAGAGAATGAAAGACTCTTGTAATCAAATTCTAAAATTATTGAAGAATCTGTTTTGAGATTTAATGTTTTTCTTGATTAATACTTCACTGAAATAGTTTAAACTAGCAAAATTTAAGATTAAATGGAAGATTATCGAATAGAACTAATTAAAGATTCTCTTCTTAAAACACTCGTATATTAAATATCAGCTATGAAAAATGTAGAATATGACACAAACTAAGTGTCTAAAGTAATTTCAATTCCAATTTTACAAATGACTAAATAAAATATTATCTAAAAAAAATGATGTTTATAGAAAATAGAAAATTATGTTAGAGAAGATCCAAAGCCTATGTTTGTAGAATTTTAAGATAGGATGATGTTGAGCAAGTTGAATTTTGCAAATTATATATCTTATGTAGAAACTGAATGCATTTATCCTCATATAGATAAATTCATTTAAAAACCAGATTCTAATTAATTTGAATCCAGTAAAATTATTTTTTATATGACTCAATTTATGGAAATATGTTTTTATTCATAAAATAACAGTGGAAATTAACAAATCTTTAAAAAAATTTATCGAGTTGTTTGCATAAAAAAAATACTATTAAAACTCAGCAAACTCACCTGTGAAGAATAACCAATAAAGCCAGATTGCCTCAAAAAATTAAGAAAACGTTTAGCAATAAGACAATTATTATAAAAAACTTTTAGAAGGAATATTTAGGAATTAAATGTATTTGGATAACAACACAATAAAAAAAGTAAATATAAATAAAGAATTTAATCTTTTAAAATAAATTATTTTAAATACTTAAAGTTTAAGGATGTAATAGATTAGAATGAGAGGGAATTGATATTATTTACTATAGCTTTGCATGAATTTAGTATGCTTGAAAAATTGGAGAAAGATATTTTTCATGAGAAGTCAATGAGTGACTTAATTTTCTTAGTTTCTCATGTATTCGACAAGGTAATAATTAATTTTCTTTAAATATTTTTTGAAATAGTAAAACATAAAATTTTGTTTAAGATTGAATAGACAAAGGAATCTGATGTTGTAGAGAGGTGCTTTTTTAGTTTTTTGAAAATTTGTTGCACTTATGTTCATGATTAAGAAAAGCAGTAGATATTTATAGAGAGCTTGCAGCAACATAAGATTCTTTCAACAAAAGATTTCTGGGTTCAAGATACTACTAAGAAAATTAACTAAGCATTTTAGCGAGATTATGGAAAAAATTAAATTTCGAAGCCAAGACAGGCCGAATTTTAGTTAAAAATGGATATATCGAAATGGAAGCAGATGAAGTTTTCATAGGATTTATCAATAAGTATATTAAATGAAATAGCCTCAAACTTTAGATTAGAGGAAGAAAAAAGATAATTTTTTGAAAATGTCATTTTAGATAAAGAGAAAATAATTAAAAAACCTATTTTTGGTGAAAGTAACAATTTAATGAAAAAAAGAGAAATGTTAAAACCGCTCGATGATAAAAATAATTTATAAGAAGAAATTAATAAACAAGTTTAAGATTAACTAATTTAAAAGCAAGATTCAAAATAAAATGAATTAGAAAATTAAGATGAATAAAAGGAAAAGTAGCCCATAATAAATAATAAAGAAGAAAAATAAGAACAGCTTAAAGAAAAAGAAATGTCTTCTTCCATTCAATAATAAATTTAACAAGATTAAATATGAAAAAAAATTTTTTTTTAAGTTCAATTTAATTTATGATAAATAAAATAATAATTAATAAATAATTAAATAAAATTAAGAAATTTCCATTTTGTATAAATTAATAATTAATTAATTTATTAAATTAAATTAAAAAATTTGCATATTAGTTTAAATGTGCTTAAAGTGTTTGAATTAATTAAATTTATATCTAAGAGCACCCATAAAACAGAGTGGATTTAGAATAAGTGATATTTTTAGTTTAATTTGCAAGAAATATTAAAAAGTGATTTTGATTAATTTATGTTATATGTGTTAAGATAAAATAAAATAAATAATTAATTCAACTGATGATTAATTAGTTTCTCTAAATTCGCAGTGACCCCCCTACTAGTCCGAAAGGCGCTGTAGGTTAGAGCCGTGTCTGATCAATTAATTATTTATTTTTTTCTAATCTATTTTTTTTTTTTTGAGAAACTTCTACTTCCTTTTTCATTTTGTGGTAATTTATTTAATTGTTGTCGCTACAATCTTTATTTATATCAGATTGGTTTTGTCAAAATGAAAATGGTTAAATAAATATTTTATAAAATTCTCACAATTAATTATGAAGTAAGCAAACTATTTTCTGATAAGAATATAGAAAGAAAAAAAAAAGATATTCTTTTATATTTCTAAAATAAAAGTAAGAAAGATTTTCATCTGAAATTTCAAACCAACTATAAACATATCTTCAATAAAAATTGCTTAAATTGAAAATACTATAAAACTTACCAAAAAAAAAAAAATGGAACAAGCAAAAGTAATTGATTTTTTAGTTGGTACATACACTGATAAGATATTTAGAGTTGCATTTGATACTTCTAAATCAACTTTATCAATTGTAGATACTATTTAAGTAAAGAATGGAAGCTTCTTATTCTATATTGAAGAAGATAAAATTTTGTTGAGTGTCAGCGAAACATAAGAAAATCCTTTAATTGTAGTTGTTGATTTAGATTCTAGCTCTACTACTTATAAGTAGGTAGTTTAAGAGCTTCCCACTCATGGTGCTGATCCTTGTCATATAGCATACTCTAAAAAAAATAATTTGGTTCTAGTTTCTAACTACTCTGGTTCCTCTTTGTCTTACTACACATACAAAGAAAAAAGATTAGCTTTAGTAGAAACAATACTTTACAAAGACAGCCCAACAGGTGAAAAAGGAAATAAGGACAGGCAAGAAGCTCCTCATCCTCATAGTGTAGTCTTAGATAAGAGCGAAAGATATGCCTTTTTATAAGATTTAGGTTGTGATGTTATCAGAATTTACGAATTAAATGCTGAAGGAAAGCCAATTGAACTCAAAAAATCATTTTAAGTTGCTTATGGAAGTGGACCTAGACATATATATAACAAAGAAGACAGACTTTATCTTATCTCAGAACTCACTCATGTAGTTTATGTTTATGATTTCGATAGCAACAATGTTGATCTCAAGCTTGTTACAGAATTTTCATTATTCCATTCAAACAACAAGCAAGAAATAGCTACTTCATATAGTGCAGAAATTAGGGTAGATGAATAAGATTAAATTTATGTGTCATGTAGAGAAGTAGATAGAATATTTATATTAAACTAAAATGATAATAAGTCTTCCACTCATGAATTTTCAGATAAATTTAACTTCCCCAGTATCTCCACTCTTGGAAGATGGCCCAGAAATTTCAAGTTAACCGAAAAGCACCTCTTAGTAGCTAATCAAAAATCAAGCAATCTCTTTGTATTTGATAAATAAACAAACAAAGAAATTGCTAAAATAGATGTTGAAATACCTGTTTACATTGAATTATTAAATGTATGAAATATATATCATCAAAAATATAATCTTATTCAATATGTTTTTTAATTAAGTAAATCATTTATTTTTCTATTATTTTTAATGAGTTTTTAATTTTGGGTTTTTTATTTTAATATTTTAAGATTCTGTAGATAAATATTAAACTTAATATTAATTAAATAATCTCTTCTTCCAATCAATAAACTTATATATCAAAATATTTAATTTTTTAGGAAATCAAATTAAATAAAAGAAATTTAATTAAAGAATTATTACCATCAAAATAATCCCCCGTTTTTCCTCTAAGTTCATCTAAAAAATTTTTAACTTGTAAACAAAAATATGTAAAGGTTTCTTTCTTTAAACTGTAATTTTTATAACTATTTTAATAGTAATTAACCATAACCTCTTAATTAGAGTTGACTAAATTTATTCATCAAATATTTGTAATTTGTTTGTTTGTTTGTAAAATTTTAACTTAAAAATACCACAAAATTTGAAAGCATCCAGCTCATTTATCTAATTTTTATAAATTATCATTAGTTGTATGCTAATTAAAGAATATTATATTAGTTTCAATGATAAAGAAACAGTATTAGTTATTAAAATGCAATTATTATTCTCTGAGGCTGAGTAAATATTGTTTAAAAAATTATTCAACCTTAATAATTAAAAAAATCACCACCAATTTGAGATTATTATTATTATTAAATTTTGTTTTCATAAATTGCTTTTTTTAAAATGATTAAAGATCATCCACAAATAAACATCTTAAATTATACTTTAAAATTTTAGCCTTTAGATAATTAATAATACACTCTTTAAACTAGTTATAATTTATTTTAAAAGGAATATCAATAAACAGTTATTTCATGTTCTATTAAATAAATTGAAAACTAATTATTTTTAATCGCTTAACTCTATAAAAAAGTAATCAATTAGCATTTGAAATTATTAATTAAATCTAAGAATTCTTATTTTTAATATCTAATTAAAAAAGTATAATGGTAAATATTCCTTGCTTAAAAAAGCTGAAGCAGGATGAGAAAAAGGAGCTTTTGAGTGATAATATTGAGATGCTAAAATACAAAAAAGGTGAACTCAATTTAATTACTTAAAAGTTTAAAAATGAAGGATTAGAGCTAGAGTATCAAAATTTCTTCACTCCAAGCGTAAAAAAATAAATAAATAAATAATAGCTCAGATCATCATAATATATATATATATATCTATTTACAGTCACACTATTTTAAATACTTCACTTATAAAAAATAGTACTAGAACGGTCTAAGACTTTTATTAGCTTTCTTATTCATTTAGCAGCTGCTTACTAAAATCAACATCGATAATGCCTTTGATGACCAAAAAAGAGTCGCTTTTTTTGTATTTTGCGGAGTTTTTTTACTAATAGTAAAGGTTTCCAAATTCTCCTATCTCTAAAAAATCAACTGGGGGACTTGCATATTTACTATGCTTGTGCTAGCAGATTGCTTTTTAGAATCGAAAGAAAAAAGTGAATTGAGAATTCTTTTTAACGGAATGGTATTTATATTTTTCTATTGATATTTATAATTTTTAAGACTTCAACTTAAGACTAAATATTTGCAATAATATTCTAAACAAATAAACAAATAAACAAATAAATTATACATACAAACATACATACATACAAAGAAACAAATTAAACTACTAAATAAAAATGAAAGATAATATCAGCTACTATTTATTAAATTATACTTTAAATAAGGGTTTTTCTAAAAATTATTTTGTGCATTTGTTTTTTTAATAAGATGAAGATGTGTAAATTAATTTACTTAGTTTAATAATTGAATTCTACTCCCAAAATTTTAACTTGATTTCAAATTTACTTTCTTTTAGTTTTATTTTATTTTACTTTTTATATCTAGGGTATAGTTATCTCTTTTTGGATTTAAGGTCATAACTCTCTCTTTGATACTTTATTTATAATTCTTTGCTTTTTCTTATTACATATCTTCAAAGGAATTGATGCAGAGACAGGCTTGTTGTCACTTTTCACTGGGTTTGCAATAATTTTTTTGAAGTATCAATCTTATATATACAACAGAGAAACATTCTTATCACTCTAATTAGCTAATTATTGGTAGGAATTAGCTAAGGAAGTCAGTTTTGTGCAATTAATAGTTTTCTCCTATGATATAAAAGAGAAGAAATTCACCTTTAAAGGTTAATAATAATTAAATTCTAAAACTTTAATACAAACAATAATTTTGTTGTATATATTTAGGATCTAAATAGTCATCTGAATAGTTTTATAATGTTTCTGACGATGAATCATTAAATTTTTTATTAGATAATTTAGTCATTGATAATATGATTAAAGGTCCTGCCCATCAATTCAAAGAATTTGTAAGAAATTCTGGAAGAGCAATAAAGCCTATATTAGTTAAATGCTTTGACAAATCTATGTGGCCTTTTCATATTGATTAAGTTAAATCTTACGTTGGTGTTGTAAAATTTTAGAATTACATTTACAAAGTAATTTATTTTATTTTTTATACTTTCCATTTTTTTCAAGATTTTAGATTCTAACCAAATTTTGATCAATTATTAAATTATTATTAATTAAATTTAAGATACTTTAACTATTCAGTAATATCTACCCTAATACAATAATACATTCATGCATCATACATAAAATATAAATTGTATTTTAAATAAAATTATTTTTTATCAATTTTAAAAAAATAATTATGACCATGGTTTATAAATTTCTTTGGTTTAAAAATGTTTATTTATTTAAATTAATTACTATTTACTTATCTAAATTAGTTTAATGTGAGAGGTATAAATTCTGATGATAAAATATTCACTTTGTCTTTGAGCTTAGCTGATCCAGAATCTTTACGTGAAGCAAATGAGAAGGTAGAAATGTAACAACATCTACTGCAAGTATATTTATGGAATAATAGAAATAGATATTTAGAAATGCAAAAGCAAATACAAAACGCCTCTGATTAAACATAAATTCATCATATTATGGATAGGACTAACTAATCTTTAAATTTTTAAGCTAAAGTAGTAAAATACTATGTGCAAGAGGAGATTAAAGAAGGAAATATTTAATAATAAAATCCAAATTTTAATGATTCAAAAAATAAAGTGGAAGAATAGAATGTTTAGATAAATATATAAAATTCATAGATAAGCAATCAAAAAGATAAATTGGTAACTTCTTAAAAAGAAGAAGTTAAATAAAGTAAGGATTTAAATTAGATGTAAGGAAGCAATGAAAAATAAGTGATCATTGATAACAACATCTAAGTTTAATAAATAAAAAAAAATATATAACAATCTCTCTTAGCCAATCTACCTGAAGAGGAGGAAGTTAGTTCTGAAATTACTCAATTTAATTTGAAGTAAGAAGTTTTTGAAGTCTTAAGCTTATACAATGAAGAAATCGATATAGCTTTTAACTTAGATGATGAGTACATGCTAAACACAGGACATCAAGAATTTAGACAATTTTTGATTTACCTATTTGAAAATTGCTATAACTTATAAAAACTAGAAAATATTAAAACTGTTCTCAAGTTCACTTAAAATATTTATGGAGATGAAGAAAAGACAGGCGAATTCGTTATTCAAATGATAGTAGATGAAGAATCTGTATACTATTATAAAGAAAGAAACAATGAAAATTATAAAAATGGTTAAACTTGGTACCAAGCTCTTTGCAAGCCATTTAGGTATTTAAATGGAAATAATCACAAGCTAATCAACAGTATTGAGTTTTAGTATTTAACTGGATATCTACAATCTATGCACAACAAGTAAATGGAAATGGAATAAAGCCAAAATTGTTAGATTTTATGTACTTTTTGGTTATTTAGTGATCCAGCTAAATCCTTCAAGGAGATTGAAGATGCCTAAAACTAGAGAGGAACAAGTAAAAATGAATTTGAAATCGACGAAAATAATGGAGACAATCCATTTATAGGATCTGCTGATGATGATGACCTAAAGCATGAAAGCTTTGTTAAAAGTTATTCTGTAAAGCCTTCAGACTTTAAAAATACTAAATAGGTATTAAAAAATAGTGGAGTCGATTAAATTTATACCAACAAACATTCTCCTTCCTACGTAAGAAATTATTTTAAACAATATTCAATTTTTAAAATTAGAATTTTTGGTTAATATATTTTTATATTATTTTTAAGAGCAACGTTATTAGTCCTTAAATCGGTGGTATAATTATCCAAGGATTAAATTAAGTTAGAACTACAGAAAATTATGAGATGCACTAATTTTAATTAAACCAAGATAATTCAACTAAAAAGAATTCTTAAAATTAAAATGACGATTAAGATTGCTCTTTTGATTTAGAGCTTGGAAACATAGGTGAGTATGGAATTCAAGGTGTTACTAGCTCAATCAAATAAATTAAAAATTATGAAGATAAATTTAAAACTTTATAAAAGTAAGTTTGAACAATTTAAATAATAATTTTATATTGTAATCTAAATTTTAATACATTGTTGATTATCTAATTATTTCTATCTAATTTTATTTGCCATTAAAATTTATTTATTTATTTATTATTTTTAGTTGATTTGTTTATATAGATTAATTTACAAAGGTTTTTAAATAATTAAAAAGCTAATAAATAAGTAACAAAATATTTTTAACAAATAATATTTTTTAAAATTCACCAAAATTACTAAATAATTTTAGATATTTTTATAAAATGATATTTATTTTTATTATCTAACCTAGTTTTATAGCTATTTTAAGAAGAAAGTTTTTTATTACTTTTGTAATTTTTTGAATTATAATATTGTAAATTTATTTTAAATAATGATACTTAACTTGATTATTAATTAATGTAGGTTATCGTAAAGTATTCATATTTTAACATTTTATTTGTTGTTATAAATTAATTTATATTTGAAAAAAATTTTCTATATTTTGATGAATTTTTGTAAACATTTTAAAATAAAATATCAAGCAAATAATTAAGAATTGGAAAAAAATATTCAAAATTAATATAATAATTATTTCAAATGCAGGTTCAGCTAAATATTTTATAAACTTATTTTATTTAATGAGACTTAATTTTACAATCATTTAACTAATTTAATTATAAATTAAGTAAAATTACAGATTTTTTGTTTTTGTTTTTTGTTGTAAATATATTTTATTTTATTTTTAAAATATTTATTTAGTGTTTGTTTTAGGTATCATTTATTAAACACAGGTTGAAAGTTTGTTTATTAAAATAAGAAAAAACAAAACTTTTGTTAATATAAAGATCTAAGCCTGAATATATATAAAAATATATTTTTATTTGAATAATTAATATACACTTTTGTTAAATTAAAATTTTTCATTATATTTATTTATTTATTTATTTATTTATTTATTTATTTATTTATTTATTTATTTATTTATTTATTTATTTTAGCATCAGTTATTAAATTTAGCGTTTTAGTTTAGAAAGTTTTTTATAGGTTATACTTAATTGATACCTTCGTCCTATTAAGATTATAAACTCATTAAAGACAACGAGACTTAACTATATTATCTCTTTTTATAAGGAGATTACTCTTCTTCTTCAGGGATTCTCAATTTAGAGTTGACCATAAATGGTTAATTAGAGGATTGCTGTTGGACTGGAAATATTGTTTATACTTTTTGAGGTTATTTTTAGATTTATATGCTTTGCTATGAAGATGGTCTGTAATTTTAATCACTATGTTTACTGTTTAATGATAGGTATTATTAAAATGAAACATAGGTATTTTGTTGTTATTATAAATTATTAAAACTATTTTTGTTAGATGCTGTTTGAGGATCTAATCTACTTATATTTTAAGCATTAGCAATAGATGTATTAGGTTCATTATTTATATTATTTATGTTTAAATTGTTATTAATCACATTTGCCAAAACAATAGAGCTATTATTGATGTTGATTATGCTTTAAGCTACATTTTCTTAGAAATTAGGTTACACATTAAGTTATGGAGTGTAATAAGTCATGTTAGAATTATTTGGCTAAAATTAACTGTTATTTATATTTGTTTGCGAATTAATGTTATTTACAAACATTTAATTTTGTAGATTATGCTAAATACTGAAAAGGCTGTTACGATTCGGCTTAGTATTTTAGAAAGGAATGTTTGGGTTCATTTATTAATTTTTGATAATGTTCATATTTGTAAAAAATTCTATGGATATAGTATTTTCATGATATTCTAACTTCTCAGGTCCCAATAAGCATGCTATATCTTTAATACTATTCCAAATTTTATTACTTAAATGCTTGCTGCTTAAGTAACTTAGGTCATACAAATTCTTTTTGAAATCTTCTTCAGCCTTCATAACTTTATTTGTCGATAATAAATTAAATTTAGTTACTTTTCCAACTGTTATCTACTTAAGAGGAGTATTATTTTCTGATTGGAAGTTTGATGAGGGTGAGAGAATACTGTTTGGAGGATTATGAGTATGTGTGTTTATTGAAGGGAACATTGAGTATTGATAAGTATTTTGCTGTGGAGAATTATTTATTGATGGAGAATTCTCAAAATTAAATATTTATTTTTGTTCTTATTTCTTTTCGCTATTTTAATTTGTTTTTTTGTTTGTTTAATTTTCATTTTAAATACATTTTACTGTAAATTTCAGAGAATTGTAGAGCTTTTTGTTATAGTTTTCTATAATTATTTGCACATCTTGCTTGCCAAAGCAAGTAATGATCCCACACAAGGCCTAAAATATTAGTCTGTAATTGCTGTGAATTTAAATTTCAGGTTAATTTATTGAATTCTTTGATTAGTTATTAAATAATGTGTTTAGTTTTTTTTCTTTTTCGCTCATAACATCATTAGCCTCAGTTTCTAATTATGTAGAAGTTTTAATATGTGGCAAATTAGTGAAAACGCTTGCATCTTAGTTTTTGTTATCACCCTAAACAATTAATTTATTACTGGCGACTTATTAGTTAAAGTTGTGCTTTTTAACTAAATTTTAATTTGCTTCAAACTCTATTTAGTTAATACTTGGAAAATTGTTTGAACTGACTTATCCGATAGAAGAGTGTCTATCTTCACGTAGCTGTACACCACTCGCATTTTATATGTTATTGTTTTGTTACAATAAATTTTAATCACTTAATATTTTTTGTGTGCTAAAATTATTCTAATTAATTTGAAAAGCAGTTTAAATTTTATTGCTGACCTTTTCTGAATTTAGATCTTCATGAGTGTCTTCTTTTTCTATTTAATTTTAACATTTTGTTTGCATGAATGATCCATATTATTGTTATGACAAACCCGTTGTTGTGGTATACAAAGTTAATCCTCTTTTTTACAAATCCTCTGATGTAGGTATATTCAGTTTATTTTTCTATTCTAATTAGCCAATTTAAGACTTATTATTTTGCTAGCTTTCATCAAATTGCTTTAAATTATTATTAATCTAAGATATTAATTATTATTTAATTACTTTATACGAAATTGAGGATTTAGATTGAGTCAAAGGATTTACCTTTTAAAATGCTGGGCTAGTATTAACAGTGTTTGGTAAATGCTATTGACTAAATTTATTGACCATTTTATTCTATTTTTTAGATCCAATATTATCATTACTTATTGATTTATAAAAATTTTTAAATTAAGCAGAAGTATTGTGATTTTATTCATTTTCTTAATGTATTCTTTGCGTATTATTGAAATCATTATCAATTTAAGAACCTATATATATATTTTAACAAGAATTAAATTTATCTTTGTTGGCAGCAGCTGTTTCGGTTAAATTTATCTTTTTCTAAAAATTGTAATAAGGAATTATTTATTCACTATCAACAAAATTGGCATAGCCCTTTAATGCAAGATTTTCAGCCCCTAAAGTCTGCATACTGGATTATAAATTTGATTTTTATCTATAAAATTGTTTTTCTTGGAGAGAAAAAGACAGGAAATCATGATTGGCTGATATGACTCCAGCTAAATTATATTTTTTTGCAATAGTCTCTTTCTACTGTTTGACCATTTCTTAATCATCAAGCTCTTCAAATGACTGAGGGTCAATCAAATCAAACTCCTTCATTTTCTCTTATTCATCTTAATTTGCATTCTGATTGAGAGTATTGTTGCTATTTTCCCTTTTTTAATAAGAACTAATTGTGTTTTAGTTTTATAAGTTTTCAGAGTTATTCTTCACTTTCACTTAAGCTAGATTAGGAAATGTGCTAGCAAGTTCTTTAAATAGCTAGTTAACTCCAAATTATTCATAAGTAATCTTATTCTTTTCAATAGCAGCTGTACTCCTAATGATATTCAGAGGAAAGATAATTGCTTGCTTCATTTTTTGGCTTTTGACTTTTGATAAATTCTAGTTTAAATACTCGAGGTGTGATTTTATTTTAGAAATAACCTAAAGATTTATTGCATTATTATCTTATTCTATTTTTTTAACTTTCTTTTCTTCTTCGTTTAAAGTGATATCTTACAAACTAATAGCTAAAAGTGGTTCTTGCATAATCAAAGGAACTATTTTCACTTTGAACTTCTAAATAGATAGAGAAGATGGACTTTTATAAATCACTTTGATTTACTCTTCTTTCAGCAATTAATTTTATTGAACCCCATTTTCATCGATATTAGTGAATAAATTTTATGCAAGTATGGTATTTCTCCTCGAATCGCCTGGTGCAGCTGCAGCAAAGTCATTGTTATTAGTTTTTATTTTTTTATCATCTGGTTTATTTTAATTAAATTGCAAGGATTTTCTTCCTTTTTTATTTTAAGCTTAAGTAGTTTCATTGTATAGCTAGTCATGCTTTTTCAACAAAAGATCAAACAAAGTATTAATAGCTTATGTAGCTGAGGAAGGAGTATTGTTAGTATACTAATTACCTACTTTCAAATGAACTGAGCTTAATAAATTGTTGTTATTAACTTAATTTTTACCTGTTCCAAATCCATATAAATTTTAGTTTGAATGGATTGACTCAACATTCGAATTCTTATTTGAATAAGAGTTTCCATGAGACCTGACACCACCTGCAGATGCAGGCGAAAACGGTTAAGAAGGTGCATACTCTATTTCACAATTCTTAAGAAACTCAATATAAAGTTTGTTATCCTCTGAGTTCTTTGACCCAAACTTTTTGGTACTCTATTAGGCTTCCATAAATTTTTAGAATTTCTTATTTTAATCTAATTAATTATAACAAAAAAAAGTTAAAACAGATAATTCCAGAATCAAATTTATTTTTAATGAACAAAAAAAAAATTTTCAATCAAAAAACTTATAATATTTTGATAAGTGAATAAATTTAGATTCGAAAGTGATTTAAATTGTTGCATTAGACAACTAAATATTAAAATCAAGAGAAGTTGTAATGCTAAAACCAGTCTTTAAATAGTTTTTATTAAAAAAAATAGATAATTTAATTAATTAGGTGAGTAATAAATAAATAATTTTCTAGTAAAAACACCAACAAATTAAATTAGCTGAGACTGGAAAAAAAAGATTTCTTTCTTTCTTTCTTTCTTTTTAATTATCATAAAAATTTAAATTTAGATAATATTTTTACCATGTAAATACATTTGATGAGTGATAAACTCAAAACGAGAAACAATAAAATACGTTGGAACGGTTTTTTCTATTGCTTCTTACCATTGCTCAAAACTTTGCAATGCAAGGAACAGCAATCTTTAACTACGATTGTTTATGTATCTACTAGTTATAAGCAGTAACATAAACAGTCCAAGTACTACAATATATTCATATTGCATTTTAAGTATATAAATTGGAGCTATTATTTAAAATGCAATCGAAATGCTTTCCATTACAAATGATTAGTATCCTACAAACATCCACAAAACAGAAGCCTTTTGTTAAAAATAAAAAACCGTTCTTACTAAAATTATTTTAAGCTCAATTAAAGAAAAATTAAACCAAATAATAATATAATAATACTACTAAACTTATATCATAAAAATAAATGAATAAATAAATATAAAATTAAATTAGATAAGTTGACAAATAAAGCTTAAATTACAGCTCCATTCAGATAGATTCTCCAATATGGCTGCTTATTACTTAAGTTATAGTATGGGATAGCTATACATGCTAAAATCTAAATTACAAAAATATAATACTAGCAAAATTTAAGATGAGGAACTCTTATAATTAGGAAAGATAAAAACAAAACACCTAATAATGCTCCCATATTTATAGATATACCATCTATTGTAATAGATATAATACTCCAAAGAAATGTAGAGAGAATCATCATTTAAAAGAAGAAGAAGTCCTTTTTATAAAAATCGTATTTAATTTAGTTCGCCCAATAGAATTAATTTGACCAAAACCAAGTTTAATCTTAAAAAAATAATATAATTATCCATAAATCCTATCATTTATGCAAATATTTGTATTTTAAAAGTGTTTTTGGGCTGGTAGAGGCTATTGGTTTGACCATAAATTCTTAAAAAATGTTGAATTCAGTTTATTTTATTAATGTATTAATTGCAAATAATAAGGTCAGAACCTAAAAAAGAGTGCTTTTAAAATATTTTACTTTTGTCTTATTCTATTGATGAAATTACTCTTCTAAATAATCTTTCTTAAAATTTAGTGTCCATTTGGATATGTGTTTGGTATTATAGTATTTCATTCTTATATTTGAATCGTTAATACCATAAACCTTTCTTTAAATACTCTAAACTTTTACTATTAATTATTTTTTGAAGATTTTATATTATTATTATTATTCTTTTAATTTGTATGAAGGATATTATTAATTAATTAATTAATTTATGATTATCTCTTGAATCTTATTAATTTTTTTTATTAATCTATGCTTATTTAATTCCTTTTTGATCCTACTTACCTTTTTCTAAGAAGCAATAACTGTAATGTATATTATTTTGAATTGAAAATCTGCCATAAAATTGAGATAATAAATAGAGTATCTACGAAAGTAATGAATACTGCCAAAACCGCTTATTAAAACAGCAATTTAAATTAAAAGTCTCTTAGAATAAATTTAATTAACGCTATTCATATTTATCTTTTAATATTTTTTGGTTTATTTTACATAAATAAGGATGTAAGCAAATAATATTTATTACTTACTAACCTTAAAATATAAGTAAGTAATTCATGCACACAAGAAAATTCCTAAATACATTCTTACTATTTTTAAATTACATTTAAACCCTAAAATTAACCATTAAAATATTGAGATATTTTGTCAAATATACTTAATTTACACCTTCAATTATAATTAATTTAAGAATTTAGTTTTCTATTTAAGTTGCTGATAAAACCACAATTAATTAATAAATAAATTAAGAAGTAACGTATATAACTATAATTTTAATTCATTTAAGTTATGTTATTAACTTTGAATTTGACAGTTTTATAACAAATGATAAAAAGTGTAAGCTTAATGATGCCAATTTTATTACTTAAGATAATCTTAGATAAAATTGTAATTTTATCAGATACTTTTATCTTCTCAAATTATAAATGAAATATTTATTGATTCTCTTTTAATAATCAAATTTATTTATCTTAACTTTTTAATTACATTATCGCTTCTAAAAAAAATTAATTTTGCTGAAAAGTTTTTAATATTTTTTTTATTAAGAGATTTGTTAAATAAATTTCTCTTTTAAAAATTCGAAAATAAATAATAATAAAATAATTTAGTTACAATATTTTTTATTTATAACAAAATATATTCATAATGTAAGGATATTAAGTAGCTTTCTTTAGTTAATTTTATAATTTAAATACAAAATTTAATTTAATTTAGGGCTATTTTACATTTAAATAGACAACTAACTCTTTTCAAAAAATTATTAGTTTTCTTTTAATAGGATTAATATAACTTTTATTAATTTGTCACATATCTTATTTATACAGCATCAGTCACAAATTCTTTTAAATTGTAATACGCGCTAATAACAAAAGGCATGACAAAATTTAATTTAATAATTACAAAGATTAATCAATGCTTATTTGTTCATAATTTAAAGTAATTTAATTAATAAATCATCAAAAGATTTAAATATTTATTTAAAATTTATCATTTAATTTTGCTGGTTGTTTCTTCTCAAAAAAGATATTTGAAGATTTTTAAATAAATTTCGATGTTTTATAAGAATAGTAACTTGCTTTTCATATTTTTATTTTTCATTTATTTGTTTATTTGTAATTTTTTTGCTATTCCAAATTTTTAATTTTTTAAAGTTTGAGTTTGCTGTCGAAATTTTGGGTATTTTGGGTGCATTTATTTTTTATAAAATTTTTTTTATGAGAGAATTCGTTTTAAACTAAAGCACTGCTGTTGATTACAGTTTATTTTAATTTATCTAATTTACTCTCATCATTTTAGTATTCATTTCCAGGTTCAACAATATCGCTTTGTTCTTCGTCATCTTCTGTGTCATTTAAAACTTGCTCTTCAATTTTTTCTTACAAGTTATAAAATTCTAATTTTTAGTTATTATTCAGGGAAGTGTTAATTTAAAATTTGCTTTCGCTTCTATTGTTGATAAGAAAATTCATTTGCGAATTATTTTGAGTATTTGGATTGTTGTCGCTGCTATGATCTCGACCCTTATTGGAACTAGAAAGCTGGATTCCATTTTCTATGTGAGGACTTAATACTTCCTTAAATTGTATTGTATTCTTTGGACTTCCTGAATTATTATAGTACTATGAACTCATGACAGTTTAGCGATTTATCCCTGTATTTGTATTCTACAGCTATAAAATTTGATTGTTCTGTTGCTAATGTGCTTAAATATTGTTGCAGTCTGATAAGATTGTAAAGCATATATTATATCTAAGATTATCTTCATTCTATTTCTAAAGTAGAGAAGCCAAAATCCCTACTTTATCCAGATATGTTTTAAGGACGTTAAAAAAGAATGTTGCCAGCTTAGAGTGCTTTTAACTGTCTAATATATTTGGATTCTAAATATTAGTTATTTTTACAGAAATATTAGAAACTTAATTCTAATTTAAAATTTAAGACAATTCTATTGTCATCATTTTATGCTGAAAATTATTTGTCTAAGCTTATTAAACTGACTATTGCTATTATTATTGTTAAGAGGTCATGCCCAAAGTATTTATTAAGTTATTAACATTTTATTGTATTATATTTTATGGAATAGGTGTCCCATTACTTGCAAAAGATCTCATCATATTGCTTTATTATTAGTGCATAGATTTTAACTTACAGGACTCCGTTATTAAGAAAATGCAACATTAAAGTATTTGCTAAATAATTTCCTTATTGGAGTAAATTTAAAATTTTTAAGGAATCAAGTTTTTTATATTAAAATAGTAATCATAACCATGAATTAAAAGATGATTTTTTAAATATATTGAAATATCAGAAAAGTCAAAATAATGGTATTGTAGTACAGGAGGTGAAAGTTCTGCTAATTGGTTTGAACCTGCACTATTAATAGCTTAATTATTTTGACTTTATTGATGCAATTATTTTTATATAAAATTAGCCTTCAGCTAAACGGCATCAAAAATGAGCTTTTACTCCTACTTAAGTAGCTTTAAGCTCTAAATTTATACTTTTAATGTAGAGCTCTAGCTAAATTATAGAGCGTATTCAATCATTGCTATGAGGTCATCAATATTTCTACTCATTAATTATATAATGCTGTGGTAGAAGTTAATAATTAATACAGATTCTTCTTCTTTTTCTTCATTGCTTGAATTCATATTTTAATTTTAAGGAATATTATTTTTATTGGTCGAAGGAGTATTCTAAACACTCATATTTTATACAAAAGCATTGATATTGAGGTTTTGTTTTTTGTAACTGCTAACAAACAAAGGTAATTTAGTTATAGATTCACTTTTGAATTACGTAGGAGTGTTTATTGCATTCACATTTGTCATATTTAAATTGAAGTAAGATTTCTCCAAAGTTTTAGCAGGCTTCCTTTCTTATAAAAAGCTAGACTAATTTTCTAACTGATGAAATTATAGAGCTATACTTAATTAAAAATCTATTATTACAGGAAGAATCTACACTTCGTATTAGATATTATTGTACATACATGATATTATTTCTACGCTGCTAACTTCCTCAAATGATTTTGGATTTGAAACTTTTTAAAAAATTATTTTGGCACTTTTTTTTATTAAATATGATTTTAAGTCTCTTTGACTTTAGTAAATATTAGTACCATTATTGTTTTGATAGTTATAAGTAGGACTTTTTAATTACATTTTTATCATGCTATTATTTAAGTCATCAGCTTACAAAATATCTTCTAATATGAATTAACTCATCTTTTTATTTAGCTTATCTGAATCTTTTTCGTCTCCTCTAAAGTCAAAGAATTTCTCCGATGTTTTATTACAGTCTAAATATCATTAAATAAAAGCATGATTTTTTAAATTTATTTTCAATAATTTTTATGATGTTACCATTTAATGAAATATAATTTGTAATGCTATCAAATTTTATGATGACAATAGGAATCTAGTAAAAGTAATCAGTTATGCTCAACCAAGATTTATCATTTAATTTGAGAAGAAACTTCTTTTGAGATTTGAAAATATTTATAACTTAGAATATACTAAATTGTACATAAGTAAATACTATAATGTTAGTTTAAAAAATATCGAAGTTTACAACAACTAAAACTATAATAGCCTACCCAATAGAGGATACAATTTCAAGCCACAAAGAATCAAGCTACAAATGAAATATTATTGTAGATACCTTTTTATAATATTAAAAAACATAATTAATATAAAAAAACAAATCTATTCTTTAAGTGCATTAATCTTATCTATCAATGAAATTAATTTATTTATTTGTTAGTAATTTAATGCTTAAAATGTCTTTCTTTCTTTTTTAAATTCAGCTAAATACTGAAACGCATTTTTTTATTAATTTATTTAAAGCAGATATTTAAACATTTTTCATTATGATTTAGAAAAAATGATTCTTTCAAACAGTATTTTAAGTGTTGACCATTGATTGATTGGTATTAAACATAATATTTGATTTAATAAATGCATAAGTATTTTAGATAATTGCTTATAGAACAGATAAGTTAACTTAATTAAATTAATTTTGCAAGCTCTGTCTTTTTGATTTGTTTTTAATTAAGAAAATTTGTTTGTATTATTTTTTTTTACTTTTATTTACACGAATAAGCTAATTAGAATTAATGTTACCTGTCCAAAGATGAAGAAGTAAAACGATTGATCCAGTTACAGCTACTTCATCGATGCAAGATTATTATAAAGCTTCTACATATTGAACATGTAAAGTACTATATGAGACAATTTATAAATAACAGAGTAGTATTAAAACTTTTTAGAGGACAAGAAATATGCAAACAACAATGAAACTAAACTCATGCTAATTCCGCCAACTAATTAAGCTAATTACAAAGGAGATTCCATATTCATACTGAATGATAATCTTATACACTAAAATACCATTTCAATGTAATAGAAGATAATCCGCTGTTATTTTTATGGTAAATTAGTTAGTTATTAAAATAAGATTTTAGAATTAGAGTGTATTAATGTAATAAGACTTATAATCATGCTTCATGCTTCTTAATGAGCGAAAATAATAACTAAAATATTACACTGTGGTGACTTTGCTCTACAAACTATTTATTTAAAGCTGGATCTTATAAATGCAAAGATTAGTAAATGACTTTTAATTTTTTCAAAATTCCCATTGCCTTCTTTTACTTTCTTGCTTGCTTGCTTGATTAATTAATTGCTTGGTTTTTGCTTGATTGATAATTATGAGTATTTTAATTACTTCTAAGTATATGTTTAATAGTAATTAATATTATGTTTTAGTTGTCAATTTGCTATTTTCTTTTGTTTTCTAAGTTATTATTTATCAGGTTTATTTATTTATTGGTGATAGTAAGTAATCTACGATAATACAAAATTGAGATTCATGAAGCCATTAATTATTTTTTCATTAATTATTACTTATTTTCAAATTACATACTACTAAATTAACTCTATTTATAATATTGTCATGAATGATTCATAAACTGTCTTAGATTTCAATTAACTTTTGTTTATTGTTCATTACAAATTACTCAACAATAGAAAAATAAATTAAGTGATAAATATTATATTTTCTCTTCAGCATTTTGCCAAAAATATTCAGTTAATTTAACAATAGCTAAAAACATATTTATAACTTAGTAAATTTTGTTGATGAATTTTGTAACGCAAAAATACTTCTCTCTTTTGAAATGTAATACTTTTCATACTTTTTTACAATTTAATTTAATCATAAACCCTTAAAATTAAATACTAATTGATATCATTATTTTATAATGCTAATTCATTGAGTTACACAAAATATCAAATCATTAAGAAATCATCTTTTCTATTCATTTAATTACCAAAAAGTAATTGATGATTTTTTCGCCAATTAAATCTTAATCTTGAGTTTTTTATAAAAAAATTATTAATCTCAAATTATTTTTTCACTCATCTTATGTAATTTATTGTAAGATCAATATTCATGGTGGTGTTTAAACAATTTTAATTTATTTGAAATAACAAAAAATACCAGAAGGAAATTTTAAACAAAAACAATTTACTGATTTGATTTTAATTAAATGATTAATAAAATTGATAAATTATTTATTTTAAACAGCTCGTAATATTTAAGAAGTATTACTTACTTATTTTCTAATGTATACTCTAAATTTTTTGCCAGTAAACAAACAACTTACTGCAATAAACTAAAAAACAGCCAACTTAAATATTTTCCTATCTTTTTAACCAAATAAAATGATGGTCACTTCTATATTTTCTTTAAATATTATTTTCCTCTAAATTTATATTGATGTTTATTCTAATAATTATCAAAATTATAATTTGATTCTATAAATTAAATTTTTAGCAATAACACCATCAAAATTGTTAGTATTATACTTTATTTAATTAAATTTGATTTGTCTGTTAAACATTATCTTTTAATGATTTTTATCCAAAACTAATTTTCATTATTGCTGGATCAATATTTAAATTAAAATCTTAAAAAGGAATAAATAATAAACTATTATTTAATATTAATTTTGTGATTCTTTGTATTCACCATAAATTATCTTCTACTTTTTCACTTTAAATATAAAATTAGTAATTTTAATTAACTTAAAAACAGCTTTTAATGATATATTTAATATATAAATCAATTTTTGGTTGTATCAATATTTAGATAGAAGTAATGATTTTTTGTATTTTCCATAAATTATCTTCCTTTTTTCAATACAAAAATAGAGTAAATTTTAAATAAAGTTAAATATACTTTTTTGACTATACTTTTATAAAATGAATTATTGTTTAATAATCATTTAGATGAAAAACATAATAATAAAAAGGGAATCTAATAAAAGATATTTTTTTATATTTTAGATTAATTTAATTCCATTTTTTCAATTAAAAAATATATCCAATAAAATCAATTAAGTTAAATATAGTGTTTGGTATAAATAAAACTTATATTTGTATCATTTTCCATTAAAACAATAATAAAGAAACAAAAAATAATTTTAAAGAAGATTTTTTAATAATTTGATGTATTTTCGATTAATTAATTATTTCATTTTTACATTTCAAAATATAGTTATGAAATTTAATTAAGTTAAAATTAATTTTTTGATTAAAAATTTAAAAATTAAAATAAATTATTGTATAATAAATAAACAAAAAGGTAATTTAATAAAATGCAACTTTCTGTAATTTTTATATTTTCGATTTATTATCTTCCATTTTTCACTTTAAAAATATAGTTAATAATTTAAACTAAATTGATAAAAAGATTTCTTTTTGTATATTGATTCATTATCTTCAATTAATTTATTTATTTAGATAAAAATGATAAAAATTTACATAAATAATGATGTAATATGAAATTAATTTTAATTATCTCTGTATCTCCCATAAATTTTCTTACTTTTTTTCACCTTAAAATATGATTATAATTTTTAAATAAATTCAAAAGATTAAAAATAAAATTTGTAATATTCTATTTAAAAACCTTTCTAGATATTTAATAGTGTTATTAGAATTTTGAAAATAAATTCTAACATATTTTATAATTTTTGAGAATTTAAAAATTGAATTTTTTTGTTAAGATAAAGAATTTTATAATTATAAAAACAAAAATTATATTAAAAACTTTTTATCTACTTACTAAAATATAATTTGCTTTTATTATTTAAAAAATTGAAGAACTTTCTGATTATTTAATTCTATTATTAGCTTATTATTACCTATTAAAATGTGTTAGGTTTATCTGTTAGATTGTAGAAGACTTTACTAATAGATAGATATATTAAATGAGAGGTAATAAAGAATAAATCTATAAAAATTTGTGTAGTAAAATTTAATAAATAATTAAAAGATAAATTTAAACAAAATTACTTTGATATCATTGATTATAAAAAGAAATTATTCTTTCTTTCTTTTAAAATATAATTAATTCTGAATCCTTCAATAAAAATATTTTCTCAAAAAATCCACTTTTTGTTTTTATTAATATTTGATAAAAGTGATTAACTTTTTAGAAAATAAATAATATCGTTTATTTACTTTTAGTAAACTTTACATTTAATTGTAACAAACAAAAATTGTTAATATTAAATTAATATTTTTTTTGAAACATTAAAAATTTCTTTCTTATTTATTCAAACAGCTTAAAAAATGTGCACTCCATTTTCAAAATATTTTATTTTCTTTTAATTTATTTTAAATTACATTTTGAAAAATAAAATTAGTGAATTTAATTTAATCTTATCAATCAGTTAAATAAAATGTGGAGATACTTAACATAAATATTAAAACCTTTTTATGCAAAATATGATTAAGTATTTTTTGAAATTTATTGATACTTTTATATATTAGCTTATCAATATTTGAGTATTTATTCTAGAATAAAATATCAATTTTTAATAATTTTAAACAGAAAAAAATTATTTTGATTTAAACAAAATACTATTTTTAAAAATATAATAAAAAAAATTAAATTAAAGTTCAAAAAATTAAAAGCAAAATTATAGTAAAAACAATCACATGTTAAGGATGAAAACTATGATAAAATTTAATAATATTAATATAGATAACCACAAAATCAAAATTTCAAAAATCTATAAAAATATTTGACTTGTGTAATAAATCTTAAAAATTTATTTTAGAATAAACAACAAGAAAAAGGCTTATAAAAATAAAGTAACTCATTATCGCTAAATAAAAAAAATAATAATTATGAAGAGTGAATTTATAAGTAAAAATAAATATTATTAATGTATGATGAAATATATATATAATTATCTCATTTTCAGTTTTCATAGCTTTGAATTTGTACTTTGCTAAGATTATAATCAATAATAACTTAAAACATATTGAAAATAATATAGAAAAAATTTATAATATATTCTACGAGACTAAAAAATACGTTTGCTTGAATTTGAATAGCTGTCTATTTATTTAGGAAGTGGTAAAATTTTTGAATTATTGTTTTTAATTAGGAAATTAAAAAATATTTGATTATTGATATAGCAAATATATTTATTTGTTTGCTCCCCACCTTTAATTTTTTACTTGTCTTACTCTACTTTAATTAATTTTTATCAAGCGATTTATAATATTAGATTCATATTTTGAAATATATAAGAAAGTCTTAAAATATAGATTGATTAATTAATTAATTAGTTAGTTAGGATAGAAAGAAAAAGCTGAAATTTTTATTTTTTTGGCAATACTTAAAATAGAACAAAATTTGTCATTTTGAATTATTAAAGGATTGATTTGTTAGAATTAATAGCCAAAAATTAAGGCAATTATTAAGATTAATTGATATAGAGTACTTTTAAATTAATATGTATACTTTTATAAAAGCATGCAAGATTCAACTAAATTAAACTTATAATCAAAAATTAGGAAAAAAATTTATTATAAAACAAACTTTTAAAAACAAAAAATTTACAGCTTATAAAAAACAACTTACACTGCTAAATCCTCTATTTTTTGGCTCTGAAAGAGAAGAAATAATTTAATAAAATAACTTACAAACTTATTTTCAAAAAAAATTTACCAGAATTAATTAAAATAATTTAAGAAAAAAACAACAACACAACGAAATACTGATTTTAAATGGATATTTCTTAATCATCATTAAATAACTTAGAAGTTACTCCTGTTGCATCTGAGTAATTAACTAAGAAACAAAAAAGAATGGCAAAATAAAGAGTTCCTGTTACTCTTCAATCCTTTGAATTGCTGAATGTAATTGGAGAAGGAAAGTTTGGAACTGTTCTTTTAGTAAAGAAGAAAGACAGTGGCAAGCTTTTTGCTATGAAAATTATCAAGAAATCAATAATTAGAAAGAGATAATTTGCTCATAGAATAATATAAGAAAAGGATATTCTTGCTTTCTGCAATAATAATTTTATGACTAAACTCCATTACTCTTTCTAAAACTAAAATAACTTATTCCTTATCCTTGATTACTGCTCTGGAGGTGATCTATTCAACTACATCTCAAAGAAGAACACAATTAGTGAAAAGGATGCTAAATTCTATGCTGCATAAATTGTGCTAATGCTTGAGTACCTCCACTCCTAAAATATTGTTTACAGAGAGTAATAAAATTTTTTTTCAATTAATTTCAAGAGATAAAGATAAAGACAATTTTGAGACAAATATTTCCCTAAATGAATATCCAACAAATTAACAAAAATTTTTTTAATGATTGGTCCTTATTATTTAATGCCAATTCTTAGAAGGTGTTTGAAAGCAAAAAAATTTTTTTTTTAAGTACTTCTATTCTATTATTAGTTTTTTCAATGAATAGCTAGAAAAAAATTTGTCTACTTTAGATAGTTTTCCCATTTAATTAAAAAAGATAGAATTTCGCTCTATTGATTGCTACCTATTTATTGATGGAATAGAATTAGATAAAAATTGGAGTTTTAGGACTAAATTAAAATCTAAAATAAAAAGTTTTAAGTTTCAATTAAATTTTGAATGAAAAATTAATTAATTCGTTTATCATTTTTGATTTATGCCAATACCATCTAAAATTATTTGGATATTTAAGTAGTTGAAAATTGAAAATTAACAAAAAACTCCAATCAGATAAAAAGTTAAGTAAATGTACTACTTACTATTTTTAGCTATTAATTAACAAGTTCTCACAACAGTTCAAATCACTATTTTTAGAAGGAATTTTAAAAACTCCTTTTTTAGGATATTTAGAATAAATTCTAAAATATAATAACAATTTTTATTTTATAAAATCTCCATAGTTTTTTTCAATTTATCATATTTCTTTAATCGAACCAATCATGGAGATTTTCTCTATCATTGATTTTTTCTTTCGATTTATTCAATTAAAAAAATCAATTTTAAAAATTTTTTTCAATATTATCTCATCGCAAGCTCAAAGAGTATCAAATTATATTCTTTTAGATAGTATATCATTTAAATTATCTCTAATAATATATCTGAGTATCAAAAATTTACCTCTTACTCATTCCATAATCAAATTTATTTGGAAATCTATTTTTGGAAGTTTATTAAATCATATTTTATTTAAATAGCTTAAAACCCGAGAATATCCTTATTGAAAAGAATGGTTATTTGAAATTAGGAGATTTTGGATATGCCAGACAAAATATGGATTCTATAGAAGCTAAGAGCGTCTGCGGAACTCCCCATTACTTCCCACCTGAGATGATCACTCGTGAAGGACATGGTAAGCCAGTTGACTGGTGGGCTTTGGGATGCGTCATTTATGAAATGGTATTTGGAGCTACCCCCTTTGATGACTCAAATCAAAAAATTCTATTTGATAGAATTAAAAATAGCCCTGTAATTTTTGAAAATGACAAAAATAAGAAAGTCTCTAATAATTTTAAGGACATTGTCAACAAACTCCTTAAAAAGAATTAAAATGAAAGACTTGGAACTGCTTCAATTGAAGAAATCAAAAGCCACCCATGGTTCGATAAGATGGACTGGACTGCATTATCCAATTAAACAATTGCTGCTCCCTTCATTCCTGCAGTCAAGAAAGTAAGTGACGTATCCAACTTTGATATTACATTTACCAACAAAGATGTTAGTGACTACAACAACGACTCAACTGATTGCTCATCAGATGATGACTCAGATGAATATTAGAGTAATTTTTTTAATTATTTTCTATTACCTAAAAATAAAATAATTTTAATTAATCTATAAAAAAATGAATAAGTTAATAAATTATTTTAAATAAATAAATATAGACTTCTATTATGACTGCAGTTAAAAGTAATTATGACTATTCATCTAAAAAAGCGTAGTTTCTGTTGACATGGAAACTAAAAATTAAAAAAAATAATAAATCAAGAAACTACGCATCTAGTCCTACTCCCACAAGGTAAGTGGTGCTTGTAGAAGAACCCAAAACAAGAAAATTCAACCTGCTCTCAACAAATAAATATATTTGCTCAACAGAGAGTAAGTATGCAGATAAAAGACTAGCAAATGTGTAAATAATCCTTATATTAATAACAATAACATTACAACTTAAATCGAAAATCCTCTATTCACACTATAATAACTCCTTTGGCTTATGTTGTAAACTGTAGATTGAGCTATGAGTTAATTCTAAGCAAACAGTTCTTTCTATAACTTATATTATAATTGTCATAGAACTGTATATATTCAATTTTTATTTGTCAATCAATCAAATTATAAATATATTTTATTTTTAGTAAAATTTTTATCATATCAATACTAACTATTTCCCGTTTTAATAAATTTGAATATAAATTGTTTAGGCAATTTTTTCTATTATTTTTATTCTTTAATCTTAGATTTTTAAAATCCAACTAATATTTGAAAATGTTTATGAATTTTAATTTTTCTTTTCTTATATATCGCCTTTTAATTTCAAAAATATTACTTTATTTATCATATTAATTAATTCCTTTAATATTAACTATCTTTTTGTTTTTAATTTTCTATCATATTTACTAAACAAATGAGATCAATAAAGATAGATAGTCAATTTTAATAAAGGAAAATATTGTATTAATAACTATGTCATTATTCTGGTTTTACAATTTTCGGTTCAAACATTTAAAAGAAAGGTCACGTCACTCAAATGATAAAATTAAAAATACATATTTACAACTGTTTATTTATTTATTAAGTATTTACCAATAAGTATTAGCAAAAATTTTCTCCAACTCAAAGTAAATCAAATATTTTTGACTTTGTTTTTGAAAAAATCATCTTAATTAATTCAAAAAGTTAAACTTTTATCTAAAATTGGGAGTGAGAGACTATTTCTTAGTAATCTTCATTATACATACCTATTATTTTTTTTCAAAAAAGTAATGAGGAGTACTACAAAAAAAAACTCCTCCAAAGCTAGAGCGTACTAAGAAACAACCCCCAGCCAAAATATCGTTTCAAAAACTAGAAAAGAAAAAATAATATCAAGTTTATTTTAAATTAATATTTAAATTCTATTTTTAGGTTAATTTCTACATTTTTGTAGAAATAATGTTAAAAATTTGAAAATAAATCTATCTATTTGATTATTGCATTAACTTATTATATAAAAGTTACTTTTCAGTGTGTAAAATAAAAGCTTGAATTGTTTAACAAATTTATAATGATTAAAAAGAACAAAGCATAAAATATTTTTATTCTTTTTCTTAAAATTAAATCATATAAATGAATATTTTATTTTTTTCTAAATTTTCTTATAAAATATTCAAATTTATCATAAAACTCCAAAATTGTGTTTGATCTATCCTAATTAGTTGATAATAGGGTTTATCGAAATTATAAAATTATGCTAAATAAAATTGAAATCGATTTTAAGGAGAAATACTCCATTTTAATTTTATAGGGAGCGGATTAGTGAAAATATTTTTTTAATTTACTTTGAATAATTTCAAATTGCAAATGTTGTAAAACAATCAGATTTCAAAAGCTTAAATTGGCATCTAAAGTATAATTTTGTAAATCTATACCTGAAGGAATTAGATAGATCTAATTAAAGTTAGGCTTAAATTGTCAATCTATATTAACTAAAAATAGATACAACTCCTTTTCTAATAGAATCTGAAAAGATACAAGACTAAATTATTAAAATTCTTCTTTTTATGAATTTTTTCAAACAAAATTGCTATGGAACGGTCTGTAAAAAAAGTAATGCTCTGCTCTTGAATTCACGGTTATTTAAAAAATCTCCAATTTAATCTTGGTAATTTTACAGTTTACGTCGAAATAACTAAAAAAATATTTTGATAACTATGATTCCAATTAGGGGATAAATAAATACTAAATTTTTTCTATTTTTAGGTTTACTTTCTTCTTGTTGACAAACCTAATATGTCTATATTGAAATTTAATTTTATATAAAAGGATATTATCATGCCTAAATTCTAAGTTATAATAATTAAATAAAAAATAGAAACTCTTTAAAATAAACAAATTAAATATAAAACAACCAACAAAAAATAAATGGATACTATCAATCAAGTTAATATCATTGAAAAAACTGAAGAGTTAACCAAGAAGTAAAAGAAATAAGCTAAGATGTCTCTTCCTGTTACACTTAGCTCTTTTGAATTGGTTAATGTAATTGGTCAAGGAAGATATGGCACAGTCCTATTGGTCAAGAAGAAAGACAGCGGTAATTTCTTTGCCATGAAAGTCATCAAGAAATCTTTGATTAAGAAGAGAAACCTTCAACACAGAATAATGACTGAAAGAAATATTCTTACTCTTTGCAAATCTTCTAAACTCATTACTAAACTCTAATACTCCTTCTAAAATAGAAGCAACTACTTCTATCTCTTAGAATATTGCCCAGGTGGTGACTTAGCTTATTATATGTAAAGAAAGGGCAAATTAACTGAAAAGGATGCTAAATTCTATGCTGCTCAATTAATTCTCACTCTTGAATTTCTTCATTCTTAAAACATCATTTACAGAGAGTAATTAATTTATCAACTTTCTTTTCATTTTTTTTATTTTTTAATTCCAACTTTTTACTGATGCAACATTAAACTGCTAAGAGATTAATTATGAGATAATATCTATAACAAGATAAAAAATCTCTATATTTAATGTAAAGTTTTCTTCTACTTCTAAAAAAAATTATAAAAAAACCAAATCTAATTTTGCCTTTCTATTTTCAAAAGCTCTAATTTGAATTTTACTTTGAAACAAAACTCAAAAAATAAATAAAAATTTTGAAGTATTTTTTATAATTTTTAAGTAACTTTCTTTCTGAAAGTATTAACAATTTTTTTTTTTTGGCATTTAAAAAATAAAAATTAGAATTATTTAATATATTAAACTACATTTTTTATTAATTAAACATTTATCTAAATCCTTTTATTTAATAACAGTTTAAAACCAGAAAATATTCTAATTGATAAGAATGGTTATTTCAAGCTAGGAGACTTCGGATCTGCAGTATAGAATATAACCCTTGAGGAATCTTAAGTACTTTGTGGAACTCCTTAATATTTCGCTCCTGAAATGATAACTCGTGAAGGCCATGGAAAGGGAGTAGACTTATGGGCTCTTGGATGCATAATCTTTGAATTAGTATTTGGAGTTACTCCATTTGAAGAAACCACCTAAGCTTAACTTTATGAAAGAATTTAGAATGGTAAAGTCTTCTTCGATGTAAATGATGACGTTAAGGTGACTAATTACTTCAAGGATTTAATTAACAAACTTCTTGCTAAAGATCCTAAAGAAAGAATTGGAACTAAGAGCTTTGATGACATTAAAAACCATCCCTGGTTCAATAAATTTGACTGGGAAGGAGTTATTAACTAAACATTACCTGCTCCTATTAATACTGGTGTCAAGAAAGTGAGTGATGTATCTAATTTCAACTGTACATATACCTATCAAGATACTAATAATTTGAATTACGATTCTACTGACTGCTCATCTTCATCTGATGAGGAAGACAAGAAAGAGATTACTCAAGGTATTTAAATTTATTTCATCAATAATTAATATAATAACTATTTATTTTTATTTCACAAAATATTAAAAATTTTTATTAAAATAATTAGACTTCTATTTTGATGCCTCCAAGAAATTATGACTATCTTTCTTAAATTAAAAAGTTACTTAGAAGATTTAGTAAGGAAATTGCTAATCACAGTAACTAAGTGATACTAAGATATTCAAAACTCCTAAATGTGTTTGTATCACATCTAAATCCATAAATATGGTTAAATAAACAGCAGAAAAATTTAAAGTAAGATAAATAAACTAAACTCAGATTATTTATCAATCTTGCTAAATAAAAATGCTAATATAATATAATCCTAAAATAGCTCAATAAATGTTGTCTAATAAAACTTAATTTTATATAAATGAAAATACATACATATGCTATTCTAATAAATAATACAAAACATAAGCTTAAATTTAAATAATCGATTTTTATTTTTAAATTAATTTAAAATTCATTTTTTTCTAAATATTATTTTTATTAAATAAAAATTTCATAGATTAAATTATCATATCCAAATTATTAGTTTATTATTCTAATTTTTAAAAAATATTATTATAAAATTTAAATTATTTTACTTAATTAACTAATAGCTTAACTTTTTTAATAGCTACTATAATTTTTTTAATTAGTAATCAAAAACATATTTTTGTAAAAAGTAAAAATAAAAAATGAAATTGAATTATGATAATCAAGCTATATCCTTAAAGTATTAAAAGATAAATAAAAAATTACTTAATTCAATTAAATACATTTCTACTGTAATACCATAAAATTATTTAACTTAAATTGTAAGTTATTTTAATAAATTTTTTTAATTTAAAATTTATACTATCTAAAAAATATATTGTAGTTTTCCATAAATTAAATATCTTAATCAAGACAATCTTAATCTACTAAAATACATAAATTATAGTTATTGATACTACATTTTTAAATTAAATAAAACTTCTAAATGAAAAATTAAAGTATTTATTTTTATTTTTTTTATGAATATAATTTTTATTTGTTCCATAATTTTTTAAAAGAAAAATATAAATACTGCTTATTTATTATTTAAAATTGTGATACTTTTATGTAATGGATAAGTAATAATTATTTACACGATATTTCATAAATTTAATCAAAATTTAAACAGAAAATTTTAGTAAGTGAATTTAGTATTTAATTTATATGGTTTTTAGTGAAAATATTAGTTTATGATTGAGTTATTTTTTTATTTATTTGTTTGGTTTTTTGGTCAATTTTTGAATAAATGAATTGGACTTATGTTAGTATTTTTAAGGATATTTGTCATATTTTACTTTAGATATGAAATTTCATCTGAGAAGTTTCTATATTTTTGCACTCCTTCAGATAAATCTTTATAGTTTTAAAGCATTATAAATAGATCATCTTCAATTCCTTTAATAAGTGTTTTATTTTCTTCAATATCAATAGAATGCTCATTAATTCTATTTTCTAATTTACTAATTAGGGCACTTAATGTTTTGATATTGTCATTCAATTCTTCTTTATTTACAACTAATTCTTCTTGCTTTAGGGAAAATGTTTAATTCATTAAATCTATTTTTTGTTGTATCGTTTCCTAAAAAATATTTATCTTTTGTTCTTTTTCACCGTACGACTCAAATTTTTAGGCAGCATTTTTGAAGAATTTGTCAATTTATGTATTAAACTTTTTACTGTAATCAGCAAATTTTTTGTCAATATCTGTTAATATGCTTTTGTTAAAATCTTCGAATTGTGTAAGCTTTTTTTCAATTAAAGCAACTTTGGTATTCAAATCCATCATTATTGTTGTGTTATTCATAATTTATTAATTATTTAAATCAGTTCCTTCATACCTACTTTCAGTTTATTTAGGCGGTGCACTATTTCCAACTCCTGGATAACCGCTGTTTTTTTGAGTTTAAGCACTTCCAAATGTTGAAGTCATAAAATCGCCTGTTCCTGCTCTATTCAATCCATTATTCATGCCCTGATTAGAATTAAGACCAGAAAATCCTGTAGGGCTCATTTGAGATCCTTAATAATAAGAAATTTGTTAGCTATATCTATCCTTAACTCCCGAAGAAGAGCTGATACTAGAGTTTGGATTGAATGATCTCAACTCCAGCAATCTATCACTCAAATGGATTAATTGTTCATTATCTTCAATCCTCTGCTCAATACCTGTTAATCTACGTTCAAAATATTGCATTGTTTCTTAGAATAATTCCATAGGTACCATTTTTTCTTATGCAAACCCTCTTTTAGCAATTAAATTATCGACAATTGTGTAATTGAAATCAATATTTTAAACATTTCCCTAAGCTACTTCAAACATCTTAGCTTCTGATCTTATTGTTTTCAGCACCTTTTTTCCTTGCTGATCAGAGGTATTATTTTGCTATGGATTATAATACTATGAGTTAATTTGCTAATTATAATCCTCTAAGTTAGAAATACTATTTTAGTGCTCAGGTGTTCTATCATTTTATGGTCCGAAATTATTCAAACTACTATTTGTATTTTAAATATATTCTATCCTGCTGCTTGAATGAGTATTTGCTTTCTGTAACTACTCACTCTACTAATTTTTTTCAGCTTATTAAGCTTAAAAGAATTGACTCTATTTCTATGGTGATACAATTTCCTCTTTAGTAACAGCTTAATTGATCATCTATGTATTCTTTCTAGAAGCATACACCGATTAATTGCTTGGAGTATTAATTGCACTTTTCCTAATTGGAGGCTACTTTTGATTTTTCATTTTAGTTGATATGTAAAACAACCAAATGTTATTTATCTATTTGTGCTAGTTCTCTTTTTTATTGAAGGTTTTCTAAAAAGATCTATTTATTTTATATATTATTATAAATTTAAATTGAAGTAATTAACATTAGATTATATGAATATATACAATCTATCTGATTTAATTCATTTAATTAGGTTTGTTTGTTTCTTTGTTTCTTTGATTTGACTTGATGAATATATTCTAAATTAATTTCATTTTAGCAAATCTTTATGCAAAAATAAATAAATCAATCAATTAAAAAAATCTAAGTTCATACAAACAAACATTTTTTCATAAAATCTTCTTTCTATCTGTCTTGTCTCTACTTTAAAATTTAAAAGTAAATAAATGTATTTTTTTGAAATAAAAAAATCAAACAAAATTTTAGATCGAAAACGAATAATTTATTTTTCTTTTAAATATTTTATTAGATTCGAATAAACATTAGAATTTTCTTTCTTTCTTCATAAAATTAAAAAAAATGTATAAATTAATTCATTTTTAATATCAAATACATTTATAGACATTTACATAGCACAGATAATTAAATAAAGTAGAATAAATTTTATTTTTTATATAATTTATAATTGATTAATTTGTTAAATTTTATATTAGTGAGATATTTTTTTTTTAGTTAAAGTATTTGGAAAATTATTATGAGTACAAAAAACTAAGCTTGTTTAAATTGTACTCAATTATATTTATCATTCAATGCATTAGTGATTCGCTGAATATTAAAGGTTCATTTTCTTGGAGTTGATATTTAATAAGTTTGATATAAGAAGGAGTAATAATACAAATAATTAATTAAATTAAGGATACTGTGACTACTAATTTCCTTTCCAGTAGAAAGAGATCATTAATTATGCAGGAGTTCGTTTAGTAACCTTCATTTTATATCAATAATTTATCACAAGCTACTTAATTCTACAAAGATTATTCTATAAAAGATGAAGAAAGAAGAGCTAACCAAATTACAGACAATGTTAGCTTGAAAAAACTAATTGCAATTCCTGTATAGAGCCATTTTAGATTTTTCATGAATATAAATCCTATGAATAATATTAGTAGTACAAAGTTAGATAACATCATAAAGTTCTACAATAGCCAAAAGTAGCACCTGTTTTCATAAGGCACATTTTATGAAGTATACATTCTCGAAAGTGTTTTTAAAGAACTTCCATCTTAGATATTCCAAATAAAGTATTACATTTCTAAAATTCCATGAGTCGCACTAAAAAATATTAACAAGGATATAACACACTTTAAAAAAGGACTCTCTTCTTTCATATTTATAATTTATTTTTCCAAAATTTTAGTTGCTTAATAATTTATCAAGTTTTTTATGTTATGTTTGTTTAGTTTTACTCTTAGTTTTATATTAAATAGTTCTTTTGCATATATTTAAATTATATTCAAAAATATTAATTTAATTTACAAAGAAAATTTGCAAATGACGCAATTATATTTATATGTTACATGTTTGCTAAATTAGTGGTAAATACGTATAGCATTACTTTAGTAATAGTTTTTCAAAGTTACTTTTTGATTACGAATAGTTTATGTAAATGATATAATCTCTAAATAGACAAAAAAGTTAAGTTTAAATAAATTATTATTTACTAACTTACCAGCTTTATATAATACAAAATATTCTATTTTATATTTTTTAAACAAAAAAACACAAATGAATTATTTTGGATTTTAATTTTTCATTTTAAAAATTAATATCTGTGTAAACAAATAAATCTAATCAGATAATTTTAAATTGAGAGTAAATAAAATAATTTGATTTTTGTCTATTTCAGCTCAAACTATCATTATAATTAATTTTCAATTTATTTACTGTAAAACCTCGTTAATTCGTAGAGTTTTTTGCTAAAAATATAAAATTTTATCAAAAATAATTTTTTTGAATAAAGAATATTTTATGAAAGATAAAGAAACACATGTAAGGCAGATAAACTAAAGTATAAAAAAAATAAAATTTTCAAAGAGATAATATTTTTTTTATTTTTAGGATTAAATGATAGTAAACAAATATTTAATATATAATATGCAAATGAATATTTTATTAGATAATTAAAATGCTTTTTTCAATTAGCTGTTTTAATAAATTATTCAATCTGAGATTTCTTCTAAGGCTTGTATTATTTAGATAAATTCTTCCATTTGGTCTGAAGTTTTAAAAAGGAACTTTATTTCACTTGAGGGATACAATAATTGTATGAAACTAGATTTTGAACTAGATTTTAAATCAAGTGCTAATCCATTTCTTTTTAATGTAATTTGCTAGATTTGCATTTAATAGTCAGGCTAACGCTAATAAAATAATCTTTAATATTATTCGTCTTCTATTTATGTACTTGAAGTTCTAACTCTCTTAATTTCTTCCTAGCCTTGATGTTCTTTAGATTATTGTTATTCCTATTTTGGTTATTCTTTCTGCTCTTCTTCTTAATCCTAAGAATGTTGTTGCTATTGTTATTGTTATTGTTATTGTTATTGTTATTGTTATTGTGGTTGCTATGACTAATGTTGAGGATTTTGATTATTCTACTAAGTTTATTCGTCATAGCATAATAAGAATGAGTCAGGCGTGATCAAAATTGTAGTGTTTTTGAAATGCTCTTTAGGGAATTCTCTCTAGACTTGCATTTTTTTGTGAGCAAGACCTGTGTCATCAAATTGAGGATATTAAATTTTTGTCAAGAAATGATAGACTTCCTAAATTGATATGTCATAAATTCCTTATTCAGCTACTTCTTACTTTCCTTCAGAAGAAATTTGAGCTGGAACAGTTATTTTTTTAGGCTTTTTTAACTGTGTTGAGATGTAGATTTAATCTTCAGGGGAGATGATAGAATTAAAATCCATATGATTTATAATAAATTCATCTGTTACCACTTATTATTGTAGTGTTTAAACTAAATCCTAAGTAAAATAAGTAGGAAGTCCCTGTTCTACTACATAGGTTTAGTGAAGATGAATGAAATCGGTAACTATCTTTTGTACTGCTTTTGAACGTTGCTTTTCGAGTTCAATAGACTTTTTCCAAAATCCAACAGTGGCTTTAGCCAAAATTATTTGAAGATCTCTAAAATCCTGGCATGCTAAAAGAAAAGAATATAATGACTTTTGAAAATCTTTCTTTGGTTTCTTTGAAGAGTCAGAGTTATGTGTGTAGACATCTTTCACTTTGATGCTTTTACGCGTAACTTTTAATTATTACTCATGTAGTGAGCGTTTTAAGTTAAGCAAATTAGTGCGTATAGTTGCTATGGTATTTGAATAATGCTCAGCTTCTGCAGCTATTAATCCTTAGTGAATTTCTACTTCAACTTTTTCATGAAAAGTGAGTGCTTTTTTCTTCATTTCTAAAGTGCTGTTTTCAAATTTATGAATAGCTTCATAGATTTTATCATAGATAGCCTTATAGATATGGCCATTAGATATACTTGGGAGGTTGACTGATGCTGCATTTTTAATTTAATCTACAATCACTTTAATGAAAAGAGTAATACCTGTTAAATTTTCTTAGCTTGCCTTCATCCTCTAGTCAACTCTTCCCAAGATACTTTCTATGATATTTCTGTGGATATTTAAAGAATTAATTCTTGCTTAATCCCATTCTTTCAACAGAGAATAGACAGAGCTTTTTCTATTCTAAGCAGATTGCATTAAAACTTCTCTCTCTTGAATGAAATCTTCGTTTTTCTGACGACGATGCAAAGTAGATTAATTTTATCCTAAGCTAGAAGACGCTCCTTGCTACACCTTATTTATGATTCCAGACATAAATCCTCCCATAGCTGAGAAAGCTGAATTCAAATTTTGCTCAATTTTCTATGAAGTATTTGCTTTTAGAGAACTATCTCCTCCTTTCTCATCATTAAATTGGGAGCTTTGCTTTTGAATGTTCTATTCAGTTTTCTAAACTTTTTCTGAGCTAGGAATTTTTTCAATTTTTTATACATCTCCTTCATTAGCTGCATTGTTTGTTTCTACTGATTATTGCTAAGCTAACTCAGTCTCAATAGGATTAGTTTTAGTACCGCTTTGGTCACTATCATTTCTTGAGGGCTAAATCTCTTCTTTCTATCAATAAAGTAAAATAATAAATAATTATAAATAAAAATGATCTCATAAAAAAGTAAAAGCCTCTTAAGCAAATAGCGACATTTTGTCAATAATTAAATGGAAAATGTAAAAATATATAAAAAATTAAAAATACATTTGACTGTTCAGAAGATGTGCTCTTGCTAATTTCCTATTTTTATTATCCTTCCTTTACCATTTTTATTTTTTCGCTTTTTGTAATTTGATATTAACTAAACTTAAAATTTACGTTTTGGTTATTTATGCTTTAAAATTTTTAATATTTTTTTGATTATAGATAGAAGTTTTTATAAATCCTGATTTTAATTTTTTGAAAAGAAATAAAAAATTAAATATAGAAAAAAATTATATGATCAACAATTTTTGTAAATTATTATAAATTATAGCAGATACTTAGTGATTATTATTATTATCAAAAAAAATTATAATAAATAAAGTTTTTCAAAAGCTAAAAAGGTAGAATAAAATCCAATTTTATAATTTCAAGAATCTTATCAGTGAAAATTTGATTATCATTCGAATAAAATATATGATTTACTTATAAAAATGAATATATGTTTACTTATTTCTTGCAATCATTTTTCACTTTTTTACAAAAATTTTAAACTTATTTTTGAAAAGTGAATAATAAAATGATTAGTAAGAGATTAAATATATTTATAAGTATAAATAATTAAAATTATTATAAAAACTAAATTAATTTATGATTTTGAATAATGAAAAAGAACAATTAAACCAATTGAAGAGTTTGATAGTTTAAATAATAAAAATTTGTTATGATCCTTAAAATATATAGTTAGTTATAAATATAGATTTATTTCAATTTGGATTATTTTTTCTTGATTTTTTTAGTATTGAAATAAATAATAAAATTAACTATAAAAATATTAATAGATTTATAATAAAGAATAAATTTAATGATTTTCAATAATATAAAACGTTGAATAAAAAACTAATTTTCAAATTTTGAAGAGTTTAAATAGCAAAATTATGATTCTAATTAAAAAATTAAATATTTTAAGTGGATTTGAATTTTTTTTATTTGTTTCCAAATATTTAGCTTATATTGTAATATAATTATATTAGATTGTAAATGAATGGTAAAAATTTTTACACATTTATAGCTTTTAATTTTCAAAGAGTAAATTTAATTATTTTTAATTAAAAAAATGATCAAATCAATTTTAAAAGCTTGAAAAATTAGGCTTGGAAATTAAATTTATTAAAATAGAGAATTATTTAAAAAATAAATTTTAATGTAAATTTTAAGTGAGTCTATTTTGCTTTTGTTTACAAAAAGATTTAGGAGATATTGAAATATATAATACATAGTTGATGATAAGTTATGTTAAGACAAAATTAATTCAATAACTAGTTGGATTATATGTTTGTTATTGCAATTATTTTTATCTAACTTAGTTAAAAAACTTACATTTGAAAATTTAAATTTAAATTAAAATTATTTATTTTTATTTTATTTGTTGTTTAATTTATTTATTTATAAGTTACTTTGATAAAATTCTTAAAAGAGTTTATAGAAAAAATTTTTAAACTCTTACTTTCAATTGTTAAATTATTTTTTGATGTTTCCAAGTATATTTTTAAAGTTTGTAACAAATTTTTCTTCATTATTTGCCTCTAACTTTCTTTCTACACCTATTTTTTTTTATTTTAAAAGCTTAATTTAAATTTAGTTTTTGTAATTAATTTACCTTCGTAAATAGTAAAATATTATTGTTATACAGACTACCCTTCAACAATGCTCTAACATAATTTAGTGATGATGTGCTATCCGAGTAGTTCAACATACTTTTTAAAATTTAGATTTTAATATATTATTTATGAAAGGTGATTGGGAAATAATTACCTTGGTATCAATCAAATATAGATAGAACAAGAGTTTACTAGCACTGTTTGTCAAACGAGGGTTTTTTATGTTTGTGAGAATCAAATCAACAAACATATTCAAAAGGGATTAAATTATTTCATTAGAGCTCATTAAAAAGTTTCTAATATTTTGCTCTATAATAGGAGTACTAAAACAATTTATTTATATCTCTTCTACTATGTATTTTATTATATTTAATACAACATCTTAGAGTCTTGTTACTTAGGGGAGCTAAAGAGCAAATTGTTATTCGTTTGTCTTTGCTTGCAAATCACAGAAAATATTTGTTTACATCAAGCAGACTTCAAGCAGCTGAAATAAAAATATTTAAGTTAAAATTCTAAAATAAAAAAGAAATGTTACTTTTGAGACATAGTTTATTTCTAAATTTGCAAATAGAACCTCTATTGCCATATCAGTCAACACATGCAAATTTTCTATCATACTTTCTTGGTATTTTGGATATTGCTATATTTAATTTATAATAATCATAGTAAATAAAATATTTGTATTAAAATGAGTTTTTCTAATTTAAATTACCTAAAAGTCAACGTTCACAACATATGTCAAATCAAGGAATGAATGAAGATAATCTTTTATAGAAGAGTCTCCGAACATTGGGAAGGTTGATAGATTAACATAATTTCCTTTCAAGAAATCGTTTAGAATTTTAAATATTTTATAAATTAACTTGGAGCTTTTTTATTGAAATTATAATAAATAACAAGGAAAGTCTTAAATAAAATTAAATTACTATTCTTCTATGTTGAGTACTTTTCTATTCTATACCTAAAGCTTACTTAAAAGATATCTTGAGTATTAGGAAAGGAATGTGCTGAATAACTAAAATATTTAGTAGCCTATTGGAGAATTGCTTTCGTGGTTTAGTCTTTGAGCTTTATTGAAAGTTAAAGAGTTACCAAAATCTAAAACAACTTTCATAACTTCATTATCATGGAAAAATTATTGCATATTTTGGAAGATCATAGCCAAATCGCCATATCTATTTAAATAAAGATATTTGAATTTAATACAAAAGGATTATAATTACATATGCTTGAAATAGAATCTAAATATCTTTGCTATTTCTATACAATTGTTAAGGCCTATCAAATCTCTGAGATATTTCATTAAGCTTTCCTATTTTTTAATAGAAACCATTAAGGATTTATTTGCTTTTAAAAATTTTTACTCTGTTGATACCGTTTACAAGTGTTTACTTTACTTACTTGTAAACATTTTCAGAAGCTTAAAGATAATTATCATAGAAATCATCAATCCAAATGAGAGCTACTATTTCATATATTTTAGTTCTGTTCTTACTAAAAGTTGCAGAGCTTAGAGAAGTGAAGTCAATCTTATGAATTAAGATTAAAATTTTTTTTATATTCTTTAAATAAATAAATAAACTACCTATTAAATAAACTGAGTAACTATCTCTAAGCATTAAAAATTTTTAAACTTTTCTCTTGAAAAGTTTTTCTTAAGTCTCATGAAGAAAAACCTAGCCAAATAAAGGGAATAGTCAAGGATATCAGCATCAAAGTGTTTAGTATTCGAAAACAATTTGACTAAAGAAATATGAAGAATTTTATTATAATCAGCATCGATTCCAAATTCCTTTATCATCTTTCTGTAAAACTTTAATTGAAAATGAAAAACCATTTAAAAAAAATTATAATTAATATTAATTTAAAAGCAAATAAATACTCTTCTAGAGCATGTAATTGATTTAGGATTATCTTGTGGGATTTCAAGTTCTTTTTTTATAAAAAATTATGATTAAATATTTATGTTTCTTAAAAAATTTATTACCATCAATCGTTATTGATAAATATTGTTCAATAAAAACTAAATATGACAGTTCAACCATTTTGAGATTTCTATCCTGTTTTTAATATGAATAATTAATTTTTTTATTTTGTGAATAAAACAAATTTAATCTATTTACAAATGTTGGGTGATTGAATTAAACTGAATACTCAATTAACTTCCAGACATAAGAAAGTAATTATCCCTCTATAGCAAATAGCTCCTCCTAGCTTTCTTCAAATAAGTATGGATTAGATTCAACTTGATTAATATTTAGCACTATATTGCTTATCAAATTTAGGGCTAAGATTAATTTTTCACTGACTATTTCTGGAACAGGTTAGCCATTCTTCACACTACCGATGTAATTTTAGAGAATCTCATCAAAATAAACACTTAAAGCTTTAATGCAATTTCCTTAAGACCACCAAAATAGATCATAATAAGGCTCGAAGAATCTGATAAATTGCTTTTTGAAAGATTTGTGACCTTTTTGTAAAAAAATTAAATATTTTAAACATTCTTAGACAGACTTATTTTACTCTTAAATGAAACATCTTTAGGAATAACATGGTGAGATTTGAAAGTTGTCTCAAATATTTGATAAAAGAATTCAATTGCTATTCTTTTAATCTAATCAACATCTTTTTGTTCAATTTTTAGTCTTGTAGTTTATTCTCTACTTTTTAAACACAATAATTACTAAATAGAAGCTATTAAACAAAATAATACTTAACAGGGTCTTCTAATCTCCTCTTATAGTTTAGAAGTGTAGACGGTTCATTCGACATGAAATTAATGTAAAGGTTATTGAAATTGCTATTTATTTTTAAAAAATTCAATAAATTTTTATTTTACATAAAGTAATTGATTAATAAATAAATGTCTTATTTTTTTATTTATTTAATCAATTATTTAATTAATTAACTACGTATCGGTTATGTAATCTTGGGCCTCATATGATCCATACATTTGTAAGTCCATTGTTATTTTATTCCATAATTCAATATTTTTAATTAAGATATTATCATCTTTTACTTGTAGCCTTTCAGTTTGAATCAACATCTTTTAGAACTCAATCAAGCTTTTAATCCAATCACAGAAAAGCTGTTAATGAGCAAATAGAGTACTCACATTGAAGTTTGACTAAAAATAAAAACATGTATTTATATATATTGAAATAAATAGTTTTAAATTTAGAGTTACAATCATTCTGAAGTTAAGCTCTAATACTTCTTGATAATATTCGCTTTCCATTCTCTCTTAGTATCTCATGTTGAGTAAAGTAGTTATGCCTTCAAAAATTATTTCTCTAAACTTCTACTTAACTTCTAGAGATAAGAAAACACTTTATCTTGTTGAGATTATTTTACCAACTGTTTTGAGCATCTGTAAATTATTCATAAAACTAATTATTTAAATTTTCCCTTAAAAAATATCTTACAATCATGGCTAATTCTGAGTTACCATTCTTAAAAGTCATAAACATATTTAAAATAAGCATGCTTATGAAGTCTAAATCAGCAAATAGGAACTCAAATTTATCAGGAAACTATTTTTTTGATAAGGAATAAGATTTATATTTTTTAAATTTAATGCTAAAAATAAAAGTTTTTTTTTTTCAATTTAAGAATTTATTTGTTTGATAATTTTTTTTACAGCTATAATAGTTAAGTCTCTAGGTTCAGGATCAACTTCGATTTCAAAAAAGGACAAAGAGAAATTGTAGCTCATACATCTGAACATGAGCTAAATAGCCTCGGTATTAACTGGACTATTTAAATATCCTTCGATGAAAGCTTTTCTTAATTCCTTTACTGAGACTTCAAGAATTTTATGTAAAGTAGATCTATAATTTATATAAAATAGTTTTAGAATAAAATAATTTCATTTATTGCATTTTAATAAAGCCATAAAATCATGAATAAATAATAATAAACACCTCTTTTTAAATAATTATTGGATTAGATTTTTTTTTTGTCTAATTTAAATGAATTCTTTAATTATATTTACCTTTAAAAGTTTATCATTGTTTTACGATATTCTAAGTAAGAAGTATAGTAACTGTAAGTAATAATACTTTGGACAATTTCGTCAAGAAGTTTGAGGCCGACTTTAGTTAGTTTAATATCGTTATTGAAGAAGTTATCTATTATTGGTTTGATGATTTAGATAGCAGGCTAGTCCATATTAAACCAGTTTTGGCGGACTAAATGAGAAATTGAATGGTAGAATGAACGCTAAATAAGATTTGAAAGTTTATCAAGTCTGCTGATGAAGAATTCTACAAAGAAATTCATTAAACTTTATGCAATTTAAGCTTAACCTGTCAATACTTTGTCTTATTCTATTATTATTTCCATAGGTTTATTTTCAAATTTAGTAGAGTTCATAAAAATTTTAGCATATTACTCAATTATAACAAAAAGAGTAATTTCATTTTTCACATTTTGCATAAAATACTAAATTTAAGGCCAATTATTCCAATTGCACAAGAAATTCATTAAGTATTCATTAACTTTCAAATTATCCTATTTTAATTAATAAAATGTTATTGCTGCATATGCTTTTTACTATTTAAAATATTTATTTATTATTTTTAAATTGGCCATTTATCAATCTTCTCACTTTAATTATTAAAAGAGACAATAAGTGTCTCTTTGTTTGTGCAAATTTTATAAAGAAGTAAAGTGAGCACCTAAAATGGCTTAACCTAATTTAAAATAATATAAAACCTTATCTGCATGGTTGATGGTAGTCTGGCAGAGCTACTCGAATTGCAAAAGACTTTGCTCATTGATAGCTGCCCCTTACATGATCATTTAATAATCCATAGCGCCTACTTAATGATTAATCAAGCTAATTTATTGTTTATAAATAAATAGATAGATACTTATTTTTTAATTATGTGAAATCTAATTTTTTTCTAATTATTAAGAATCTTTTTTTGATTTTAATTATTCATTCATTAATTAATTTATTTAATAGTTCTGATCTATTTAATACTTCTTAATAATAAAATATTGTTAAATAATTAGTTATATCAAAAAGTTCCTTCAAGGGCTATTAATTATTATCCCTTCACCTTTAACTTGCTACTTTTAAAATCTCTATGCTACATTTCAATCATTTAAAAATTTATTTTAAATAATCTTTAAAATACTTCAAATATTTCTATTTTCTTTGTCTATATGTATATATAAATCAGTCGATTTAGAATCAATCTTCGTAATTAAAAAGTTAATTTTGATAAAATCCTATATATTTTCAATTTATTTAAATATAAAACTGGATCTATTTAATAAGCGCCAATCAAAAATTTCTTAAAATAATCTGCCTTTTTTATTTCAAAACAAATGAATGATAAATAAATAAGTAAATAAATAAATAAATTATTTTCAAGTTCAAAAATATTACCTAAATAGATTGTTTAAAATGATAAGTTATTCATAAAAAAACAATTTCTATTTGAACAATCAAGAAAGCAAATTAATTTAAATTCTTAACTACTTCAATAACAAACATTAATATTAAATAAATCATTTTATATTAGACAAAGACTTTAACTTTCCAATAATATTATACACATGCAATTTTCGAATAAATATAAATCACATTTCATTTATTAATTTATTTTATTTTATTTTTAAAACTGACAAATTATTGATTTATATTTATATTAAAATTAAATATACATAAAATGGAGGAATTTATCTCACTCACTCAACTCATTCATCATTTTAACTATTTTCTATTTACATTTATGTTTAGTTTGAAATGTCTTAATCTTTATTTTCATTTGTTAATTCTGTTTTTTAATCTTGTTATTAGTCATTTTTTTAATCCTCTTCTACTTAAATTTTTTCTTATTGATCAATGTCTTCATTATTTTGCTTTTCTTTGTTTTCAGCTGCATTTTCTTAATTATCATTCTCAATTGAATGTTTTGGCTCTACTGTATCTTTATCTTCTTATTTATTCTCTTCTTGAGTGTTACCATTATTATTATCAGCTTAAACTTCTTCATTAATTATTTTTTCATCTTAATTTTTATCTTTTTCTAAATTATCTTCATTATTATTTTCACCATTTTCTAAATTATTTTCATCATTTTTTTCTTTTTCTTGATTATCTTCATTTTGAGGGTTTTCTTCATTTGCTTCATTTTATTGAGCTTATTCTTCTTACTATTAAGATCCTTTTTCTTCTTCCTCCTCTTTTTAAACTTAAACTTCTGGTTTTTTCTTTTTTTTTCTTGGTTTTTTAGGTTTAACCTCTTCTATTTTCTCAGATTCTTGCTTATTAGACTCCTCTTCTTCTTACTTTTTCTCTTTATCAACATCTTCTTAATCTTCTTCCTATACTTACTTGGACCTTTTTTTCTTTTACTTTCTTTTTTATTTCTTTTCTTCCTCTACTTCTACTTCTTACTCCTCTACATTTTCTTATTCATTTTCAGCTTCTTTTTCATTTTCTGCTTCTTTTTCCTTTTCAGCTTCTTTCTTTCTTTTTCTCCTCTCCTTTTTTTACCTCTTTTTTGTTTTTTCTTTTTGCTACTACTCAGATTCAGCTTCCTCCTTAGCAGCTGACTCTTCTGCTTTTTCAGCAGTTTCATCTTAATTCTCTTTTTATCTCTCTGTATCTTCGTTTTGCTCTTTATTATCCTAAGAGTAATCTTCATAATCTTCTAAGCTCTTACTATCAGTAGTATATTTTTATCCAGGGATCCTATAAGTTGGTTTGAATTCATAATCTATCAGAAAAGTGTTTTCCATATAAGAATTTCCACAAACAAAACAAATTAATTACCTTTTAAGTTAAATTCAGGATGCTTTAACTTCAAATGCTATTATAAAGAACCTTCAGACCTATAAGCAATCAATAAATAATAAAATTTTAGATCTATAAGAAATATCAATTTACCCATAAGATTTTGCACACTTAGGGCAAGTATAGTGTCTATCTATTTGTGAAGCAGATCTTCTTATTCTTCTTTTTTTATCATCTAAAATATCTCCTTTCGAGTCATCATTTTAACTTTTCTGAAAAATAACATAAATAAAAATATTATTTTCTTTATTATTTTAAATTATAACTGGTTTTAAAAAATAAAATAATTTGACTCTTTCTTTTCTTCTCTCGTTAATAATTTCTTTAAAATAAGCCACATTATTTGTTTTTAAATCCTTTTTATTTCCTAATTCTACTTAAATAAACATTTAAATGCAAATATTATTTACCTCTTCTTTCTAAATTCTGCAAAGCAAATCATTTTTATCTTATAGTAAATCCTTCAGCTTTATAATTAAAAATTATTTTATTAGAAATATTCGCAAGGTAATTATATATTAATTAAGTGCGATATATATGCATAAAATCAAAAATTACCTAACTTGTTAGTAAAATGTTTGCCAAGTATAATTTGCAAGATTCTTAAAAATAGTCAATACCTTCCTCTGGAGCTATAACAATTTAAAATTTTTATATAAATCTAATTTATTTGATGCTAAAAAAAGAGAATATTTAAAAAATTTAAAAGAAATGAAATGTCCAACCTGGAACAGTAAGTCCTTTGTACTAAGCATACTCAAACTGTAACTCTATTTATAAATATAAAAAGTTATATTAGCAAATAGAATTTTTCTTTTACAATTTTGCAGTGCCTAGTTTTATTCGTTCATTTATCTGATTAATGATTTATTTATTACTGCTTATTTGCTAGCTATTCTTCTAAAAAATTATCTTTCCTTTTTATTTTCACAAATTAATGCTTTAATTAATGAATATTTAGCTGATAATAAATTAAATTCATAATTATTAATATATTTTTCAAGTTATTATTTTTTTTTTAACTTTTGCGCTAAAAGTAAATCTATCAAATAAATAAGATACAAGTATTTATGGAGAGCATTTCAAATAAGCTAATAAAAGGCTAATAGCTTATTTGTTGAGTGTTCGATGATTTTTTAATATACTTAAGATTATTTATTGTCTTTTATTCATTTTCAAATAAATATATTCGTTAATAATTTAACTATTGAATAGTCTAATCATTCCCCTCTATCGTCTTTTAGTAAATATTCTATCAAAGATTTCAACTATATTTTATATCACAATTAAAATTAATAGTATTTCTTTAAAATATAAAATAGGTAAAAGCTCTACTTATTAAACTAAAAATTTTAATCAAATTTTCTGTTACTTAGAATTTAAATCCTTCAAGTTAATTAATATATTTGCCAAAAGAAAAGCATAATTTTAATTGAATACAATAAAAAAAACTAGCTGTATTGTTCTTCAATGTATCTTAAATATATAAATATGATTAGATGTATTTAGTTTTATTTTTATAATTCCTCTTTGTTAACATTTAAAAAAATTGAAAGTTGTTAGCTAAAATTTTGTTTTGAAATAATTTTAATTAAATTTTATATTTTAAAATAATCTTCTTAAAATTTTTCGTTTTTTAATAAGAAAAATGCTCGTTCAGAATGTTTTTATATTTATATAAAGATTTTAATTTGATTATAAATACTGATCAATTAATATTTTTTGCATTTTGAAATCAATTTTTATTTAAAACGTAAGTATTTGCTTATTAAAAATTTATATAATTAAAAGTTAAGTATGCAAATTACTTTTTATTTTACTATTAATCCACATAACTAATTAAAATCTTACAAATAATATTATTCTAAAGTTGATTTAAAAGCAAAAACATCAAAGATTGATTGATTAATAGATAGTAGGAAATTTGCCAAAAAAAGATAGCTGTAGTTAGTTAATAATTAGGAATTTTTAAAGGTTAAGCAAGGCGATGGATCAGAAAGATAAAAAACTTCTTGCTGATAGCAATATTGATATAAATTCTTTTCTTCTAGACAATCTCAATTCACTAGATATGAATTAATTGGATGATATTCTTTAAAACGAAAATAATTATTCAGATAATAAAAAAGTTGAAAAATAAATAAAAGTTGTTGATGATAATGCAATCACCTTAGAGGAAATTGAGAAATTAGAGTCTTCTAATGTAAATTTACTAAAATAAAAACAGCAGTAAATTTAATTTGAAGAAATTTACAAAAAAGATCCATTAGAAGCTGTAAATTCTATTGAGATGCAGACTGCATGCTTAGATAAAAAAACAATAGAATATTATTAAATTGAATTTCCTTAGATATTTGGATAATAACAGACTTATATAGGAAATAATCAAATAAAGACTATTAGCTTTACAAACATTGATTATATCAAGCTCTACGAAAAAAGCAAGATAAAAATAACGACTTTATATGTAATATTTACTGCTAAATAAATTAATACATTCATACAATTAGTGATCGAAAATTAACAATTTAAAATGAAAATTAAGAAATTTTTGATAAAATGTTTATTGCTTTTCTTCTTTATTTTTGAAGTTATGCTTTAAATTTAATTAAATTAAAAAATTTTACTTAAACATTTAGGTTGGAAGCGGAGAAGTGTTTTTAGGAACTAATAGTGGCGAAATACTTAGATATAAAAAGGAAGAAGATAAGCCTTTAGTATTATATGAATCAAGTTAAAAATCTCCAGTTACATGCATGGATATTCGATAACAATTTATTGTTGTAGGCTACCTGGATGGGAGCATTAATCTTTTTAATTTAAAGAAAGCATAACTATCTATGCAAGTAAAAATTCATAATACAGAAGTATACTTTGTTAAATTCTTTCATGATATTTACTCAGCTGATCCTTTGCACGAAAAGGAAGTAGAAAAAATTACTGAATTATCCTTTCTAAGTTGTGATAGTGGAGAACTTTAAAAGACTATTTTTTCTAAAGGAATGCTATCTGGTATAAAATCAAGCAGCGAAAACTATCCAGATTTATACAGTTATTATGATATAATAAAAAGAAGTTAAAAATCAAGAGAAGAAGTCAAAATATAAAATCAAGACGAAATGATATTTTAAAAGGTTATTAATTATAAATGCTAGCCTATCAGCTTAAAAAATATAACGGTTTTACTGTAAGCCTTTGTTACCAAAGATAGCATTATCATACTTTCAGAAAGTGCAAGGACTTAGCCAATGATAGTTTTTTATGAAAAGAGGAACAATGAGAGATTCAGAGATGTTGATTCTGACTGTATTCCTGTAATAGACTTCCATAAAGATATACTTATGATTGGATGGGGGAGTATTGTTTATGTTGTAAAGTTACAGCTGTAATTTAAATAAACAACAAATAACGAATAAATTGTAGAAAATTAATTTCCACTTAAGCATAGATTTTACATAAATTAAACTAACATTCTTTATAGTAGTTTTATAAGAAATAACATTATATTCTTAATAGACAATACCAATACTTGTCATATAGTAAATTTTCTTAAATTTGCAAAAGATTAATATAAATATAATGATAATGGTGGTGCAGAGTAATCTCTTAATGCACATGTATTCTAGTCTTACAATATCTAGAAAATCACTAAATCGAGATAGCTTCAAATAGATAATCGCTTAATCAAATCTTTTTACAATTCAATCTAAATTTTAAATGAAAAAGTAAATTATTTTTATTGGTTTTTTGAAACAATTAAATAAATTTGATAAAACAGATTTATGTCCTGTCTTTGACTACAACAAATGTAGAATAATAACACTAAATATTAGAAGGCGAGATATTATAGTGGGAAATATAGTTAAATCTAAAATTTGATTCTAGAAAAGATCTAGCTAGTTAAATTCAAACCCTAGAAATATGCCTACAAATATATTAAGGAAAAAACTAAAGTTTTGGTGAAATTTCTACTTTTAAGAGTGATCTTAAAGTAATTGTTTGATTTTTAAGAAGATAATTTTTACAAATTTTGTTAATTTAAAAAAATAGAATTACATTGCCAGAAAAGTTAAAGAGTCATTTGAAAGATACTTGATAGATTTAATAAATTTTAGAATAAAAAATAGCCCCCAAAAAATAAAAATGATTTCAGATATTTCTGAAATAAACACGAAACCTTTTGTTGATATAATTGGTGAAAATGTTCTTGAAATAGTTAAGTAAAATAATGCCCTTATGATGTATATGAAGTATCTAATATTCACAGATAACGTTTAATTTATGTTCACTGAATTTTTAAATCGCATAAGGCATGTCTAATTGCTTAAAGATAGTTTCTTTTAGTCGTTAGAGCCTTACATTGTACTAGAATATATTAAATTTATTCCTAATGAAGAAATTTTTAAAGAATTTTTTACTTACTTTGATAGTAAAAATAAGCATGATATTATTGCTAAATTTATCTTTTGTATAGATAAATAGCAATAACTAGAATATAGATATATAAAAAGACTCTGCAATAAATTAGAATTGCTTTCAGCCTCAATATTTATCTCTACTAACTTTGAAAATAACTTCAAGGCTCCTCTCTAGCAAATGGTGTCAGACTTAGATTCCCTTTCTTCAAGTAGTAGTTTATAAAAATCTTCAGATGGTTCATCGTAAACAAATTTGATATACACAAAAGAATGGATAGGCTACAAACTTTTGTGGTACATCAAAAGATCTCTGTCTTCGATTGTTTTCCCTAACACTTAAATGGATGACACTTAATGGTCAGAAGTATGAAAATAAGTTAAAAAATTTTTTCAAAAAAGTAATTATTTTACTAAAAAATAGGCAGTCAACAGTATTTTTGAATGGATCTTCTTTGAAAGAAATCTTATAAAAATCTTAAAAATCGATCCTGATCTCGCTTTACAAAATATTTTGATGTTTTTTAAAGGTTATTCAAGTGAATTTCTAAAAATCAAAGAATAAGAATACAAATAAAAATTTCAAAAACTCTTGCAATATGATGATAAAATTAATCGAAATGTTTAATCTGATAAAAATGGGAATGGTGAAGCAATAAAAATAAAAGATAGTTTAAAAACACTAATTTGTAAATATATTAAATATGTAATCAGTTAAGAAAACACAGATAAATACTTACCAAAAGATACTTTTAACTACTTTTATTTGCTCTTAGCTGAAGTCAAAGAGAAAGATGTGCAAATTGATTAAGAACTTTCAACCGAAGCTATTTACTTTTTGTTAGAAAATCCTAATTCTCATTTTTATAGAAATAAAGATTGGGCCTTAGAAATAGAATATAGAAGCAAATAAATTATTAAATTGATCGAACCCCATATTAGCAAAAATAAACTAAATCTAAGCGAAATCTTAAGAAAAGCTCTGAATTCCCCTTTCGTTGAAGTATGCTCTTACATTTATCGTTATCAAGGAGATTTTGAATAGGCTATAAAAATATATCTTGAAACATCTTTTGTAGACATCAGATTTAAAATTTTTAGCTTTATTAAGGAGCTGCTTGACACAAATTCAGAAAAATAAGCATAAATTATAGAAAAAATATTTATCCACCTTCCAAAATTATTAGCAATCAACTATCATTACACAAAAGAACTGCTCGAAAAAATTTAAAATTATGACATTCATGCTATAATTAAAGCTCTAAATGGTTAAGAAGAGCTTACTTTCAAAATTTTATCTGAATACATTCATGATTAAAGGAAAAAAATAATAGAAGAGTCTCTAAGTATACCATAAAATGAGATATACCTATACATGCTTTACATGAAGCTCCTAATTAAATTTTAACCATCTGAAGTAAGAAAAGATAATCATATAAAGCTAAATGAAATTTTAAAAATAAATAGGTAGTCAATGAACTCAAAACTCAACTCTATAGCCTAGAAGAAGTTTAATAAATTTTAAAGGAATCCAACCATCTACAAGGAACTGCATATGTTTTAAGCCGCTTTGGAAATATCAAAGGAGCATTGGAAATTCATTTAGACTTGATAAAAAGATATTTAAATAGAAAGGACAAACCTCACTCTATTAAGGAGTTTACAGACGGAACAGAGCTCCTTCTTAAAAATAACAAAAGAGGTGATGAAGATTCAGAAGTAACAAATTTAAAATAAATAAATGAATTTCTCAAAATTTATATTTTTAACTTACTAAATAAATGAATTTTGATTTTTTATAAAGAATAATTGGTTTTTCTGGATCACTGGAATACAAAGAATAGAACAGAATATACCTAAAGAAATGATTGAATTTTAAAAGAAATTTGAAGAAGAATCTTTTGAAGCTTTAATACATAATGTATAGCTCTCTTCTATTTTATAAAATAAAGATTTACTACCTTTATTAGGTTCTAACTCTTCAGAAAATTTTAACTAAAAATCAAAACTCTATGAGACACTTTAAACTCTTCTTAAAAGTTACAGTTTTGAGCAAAAGATATTTGAGTATTCAAAGGATATACTTTATTTTGAATACTGCAGAAAGGAAAATGTTTCTTTTAGATTATAAGTAAAATATAAATTTAATCAATTTTTTGAATTATAAGTTTGATACTAAATAGAAAAAAGGGATTAAAATAAATTTCGCTTGCTCAAACTGCAAGAAAGAGTTGCAAAAAGACTTTACTCATTATTATTGTTATCACACTTATTGTTCAGATTGTGATAAAAGTTTATGTTTAATCTGCTTTGAAAACCAAAAAAACACATTTTAAAGTAAATAAATTTTTAACTTATTTATTAATTTTATATTTTAAAAATTTTTAATAATTTGTAAAGACATTTTAAATAGAGAAGAGTAAAAATCAATTAACTTGAAATATTAAAAGTATATCTAGCTTGAGGAAGAAAAGAAAAAGAAAGTGCAAGAAGATAAGGAAAAAAAGAATAATAATAATAATAATTTAAATTAAAAGTAAATTTAAGAATAAAAAAATGCTTAGGAACAACAACTTTAAAAAAATAGAAAACTAAAAAAACTTAAAAACTTTGATAAAAATCTTTAAGAATCTAGAGCTGAATAGCTAAATTTTTTTGAATGATTTTTTTAAAATAAAAAATTTTTTGTGAATCTAAAATAATATTTTCATCACAAATATTTAATAATAAATTGCTAGTAATTGAAATTATAAATATCATAAAAATTATCAATAATTTGAAATATAAAATGTAAATTAAAAATATTTTTAATTATTTCTAAAATTGATACTTACTTATGTTGTAATTATTTGTAATATGAAAAAATAATTCTTGGAAATCTATCATATATAAATCAAATTATAATTTAATTAAAATTAATTCAATTTTTAATTTTTAAATTATAAAAAAATAAATTTCAACATAAATTTATCAACTAAGTAGATAACACAAGAGCTTTAGCAAAAAGATAAAAACATCTTTACTTTTAAATTCATTTTTCATTTAAATTAAAATTCTTCTTAATAAGATTCTTCAAATGCATACGTTTCATATTCATCAGCTTTTGCTTGTATAACCGTCTCATGTACTTCATCATTTTATTATTCTTAAAATTATTATAGTTAAATTCAAAGATAAATTTTGTTAGAGCTAATCTGTATGTCATTTCTTCTTTATTTAAACATAATACGATAATCAAAAAGAAGTCTTAATTAAATTTTTGAAATTAAAATTTGTATTTCATTTAGCTTTAATATAAAATAAATATTTTTGCACTAATATCATAAAAAATATAAATCAAATAAAATGTTTATTTCTTTTTTTAATTATTCAATTAATCATAAAAATTAACTTAAAAATAAATTCTAAATTAAAAAATTCTTTTTTATTTATAATTTTAAATATTTTGTATTGAGATTTAATATAAAATAATTAATTTTTGTTCGAGTATCTTAAATTGCTTTAGAATCAAAAAATAAATAACACTATCAAAATTTAATAAATTAATTTTTAATTTATTAATTTAATTGAAAATATAAAACATATTTTAAATATTAAATTAAAGATCTAAAAAAATTTAGTGTTTAGTTTTAATATGAATAAATTAATTTTTGTACCAATACCTTAAAGTAGTTACAAGCAAATTAAACAAATTGTATTATAAAATTAATAAATAAACTTATTTTTTTTTAATTTATAAATTCTATTGATTCATTCTTTTTTTAATTTTGGAGGATTTTTATATCAATAAAGCTTTATGTTGCTTAAATTTTTTAATGCTTTAGCTCCATAATACTTAATAGAGTGTTGGTCATGAGCTCTTTAGCTGTGATAAAGTGCACTATTTTTTTATTTAATTATATGACATTTAAATTTAAGAAAAATATTAAATTTTACTTGAACTTTTTATTGGTTTCATCATATTAATTTTGTACTCCTGCTAATGGTGATGATGGGTATCCACTTTTTCTTAGATCTTATTGTTTCTAAGAACCATTTTAATCTGCATTTAAAATGTTATCATTTTTTATTTCTGAATTTAAGTTTTTAACTGATTATATTTTATTATTTCCTAACTTTCCTAAGTATTTAATATCAGCAAATGGGTCTCCTCTTCTTCCCTCATACTTGTATGGATTCATATAGTTACCAATAATATTATAGTTTCTTAATCCCCATTGACCATATTTGTAAAGTTGTGAGTGGCTATTTTATTATTTAGATACCAAACTTGCTTGCTCTTAATTTTACTAATTATTGTCTGCCATACTTTTCAAAAGTCTTGTTCCTTCTGCTGACTAGCTTCTCACTAAGTGGGAACGTAGAAAGTTATCTCTTTTAGATTGATAGAGAATCTTTTCTTTAGGTTGATCTTTATGTAATAAATTTGTTAGAAATAATAATATTTAAATTAAATTAATACCTATTCTGTTTGATTAAGCTGCATAGAGGCCATATTCACTATTGGTAGTAGCTTCATTTTAATTTGCATTTAGCAACAACCTAGCTCTAGAAGAAAGAACAGAACGTAATCTTATTAAATCTTAGCTAGGTGAAGCTGCTCCTTCATTTCTCAATTAAGTAAAGCTTTTTGTTAACTGATTGGTATTGCTAGCAGGTCTCCCTAATAACTAAGTATTTGATTAAGGTCTTGATTGTATCTTCTATTAAGAGCTAATTTTATTAAATTCAAAATTTTTATCTTCTTAAAGAGCCTTTTGAGAAACTGCATTATCTTAATTTGAAGCACTTTAAATTTATGGAATTTCCTATTGTACTTAATTTTCTTTATAAGTATATTAATTATTCTAATTCAGTCTATTAGAAAGAGGCAAAGTATTGTTTTCATTTATATAGCCTTACTTAGGTGATATAACATCTTATTACTAATTTTATTATTACTTAGGAGAGACAAATGAGCCAAATTCATAGGAAGATGTAGACTATCTATTTTCCACGCTAATTGGTCCACTAAGAACATGATCAGGACCAAAGTTGCGGTTTTGTTAAAATACAGGGGATTTGGAAGGCTATTCGTAATATTTATCTTTATTTTGTTAGATATACTTTTCAATGGCAAGATCTTTATTCTACCCTAAAGCATATGAAGATATAGATTCTCTTTGGTATTCTTTAGGAGTAGGTTCAAACGGTATGTAAGCATCAGGAGATCTGTTTGATTTCAAAACATTGTTTAATGCTTATAAAGACTAATAACCTTAAAGGGTTGACATTTTATCACCTATTTTATATTAATCAACTTTTTGGACTATACCTAAACCCTATTTACTTGATGATAGAATGTTTTAAGATTAGTTACCTATATTCACCATAGGTTTTGCGTAAGTAGATATCTGCTTGCTATTTTTATTTTTAATAAAAAAATCTAAATTAAAGCCATAAAACAATGTCTAAGTAATAATATTTAAATTTGTTATTTATTTTCGTTTTTAGAAATGATAGGTAGGTTATTTTTAATTTTCTAAAGTTTTTATTTATATTTTATAATAACTAAGACTTTAAATTAGTGCTGCATTAAATTTTATTTACTTTACATAGTCTGGGTGAGAGAAAATATTTTATTCTTTTAGTTAGCTAGGAGGTTCTATTCTCCTTCCTGGAATTCTTTGGCTTGTATTACTTAATTATTTTACTGTAGCTGAAGAGCCTTCTAAAGGATTACTGCTATCTTTCTTTAAACCAGTATAACTCTAAGAAATAAGATTAGATGATCTTTCATTAGGTTGTGTTTATGCATTCTAAATATTTTAAGCTAAATCTAGTTTTTATTGTGGTGACCTCAAGCTTTGCTATGTGTATAACTTTTGTGTGAGAGATTAGTATTAAGGATCTCTAAATATCATTCCTGAAGAATTAGGAATCGCTCTGTTTAAGGGCTAAACATTATCTCCCAAAATAGGACTTTTAATAATTGACCTGTTTAAATATTTATTTATAAATCATATTTATTCCGAATTTACTATTAAATAAGTTTGCTTTATTTATTTTCATAAGCTAAATTTTGTTATTTTTTTGCTGAAAATGTATTGGTTTTACTTTTGAGGATCATAGCTTAATATATTTTGGTATTAGTTTGCCTAGTAATTCCCCCAAACATGTCTATTGAATTTTTTTGGTTAAGCGCCTTTTGTGCATTCATAAAAATAAATTTAAAAACGTTTTTGGAATAGTTTCTTATTGGCTAATATTTTTTATAAATTAAAATACCCTCTATATCCTTAGTTGTAAGCATTCTATCTCCTCCAAAAAGACGCTAATGAGAATCTTAAATTGCATTACCAAAAATGTTGTTGTAGGTTAAACTATTTCCAAACATGTTGCTTTCTTTATTTGTTTATTTGTAGATATTTTTTGTTTACAAATGTAATTGATTTTTACACAATTTAATTTTATCAAAAATTGACAAATAAACCTAATTGATTGTATTTTAAGTTTTACTTTTTTATCTGAATATAATTCATTACTTAATCTTGATCATTTTAATTAATTTAGTCATAAAAATAAATTAGTAAATAAAAATTTCCCGCAAACCAGACAATTAAAAAAATAATTATATTTACAAGCTGGTTTTACTCACTCAAATTTTTTGTTTAATTTTTTTAATTTTAATGAATTTTTTATATTTATTTTTTAAAGTTTTAACATAAAAATAATCAATGAACGCTATATTCTTAGACTTAGAATATTTAAATTTAATTGGAAATTCATTTTATCTTAACTCTAATTAAACAAATATAAATTAATTTTCATCGTTTTGCTATAATTTTTGTGAGTAAACATTTTGGTGATCGAGTTATATATCAATTGATGATCTTAAATATTAAAGCAATCAATTAAAATTGATAATTAGTGGTTGATAATTCTAAATTGAAATTAAGCTTGTTAGCACCAAATATCACTGTGTGGAATTTTTAACTCTGTCCTTTTGTTACTTTGAGGATTACAAACATTTGCGTATATTTAACATTTAATTTTATAGTACAACATTTCTTTATAATTAAAGAGTAATTAACTTAAAATACTACGTCTCTACTATTACTAATTTATTTACAATTAACGCTGTTTGTACTTTATTATTTTTAGTTTATTATGAAATATATGCTATGAGCTTAAAATAACAATTCCTAGTAATTATTTCCATCACACAATCTCATATGTTTATTATAATAATAAGTCTATATCAAATATACTAAAAGCTAAGAAATCAACAATCAAATTATTAAAAGAACTATTGATCATATAAAATAAAAAGTTTCAAACATAGTCCAAGAAATAAAGCTATTAGTTAGGAAAGGATAATCTAGAAACTCAAAACTGCAGAAAAAGAAAAAGGATTAATTCTTCAAGAAAAGCTTATTTATAATATATAAAAATAGGGCAATCACAACTGTTTAGTTGCTTGAAATCAAAAATATATTCAATTAAAATAAATAAAATACTTTTCAAATAGAAAAGTAAAGTAAGATATGGGCGTTTGTCAAAGTAAATCAAGCAATCAAAAGGAATCAGGAAAGAACGTTTAAGATGAATATAAAATAGTTTGCTAACTTGTTAATAACTCTTATATTGTTCAGCGTTGGAGTAAAGTGAAGGAAGCAAGTCCTCGATAAATGAATTTATAAGAAGTATAATCTGGAGCTAACTAGGATGAAGTGAATACTCAAGAAGAAAACTCACAAAAGCAAGACAAAAAATATTTAATGAAATGCTATGTTAATCTGTCTCAGCAGTAAATAAATTTAATTAGGGAGGATATATAAGTTCATAAAAAGTTAGAAAGCCAAGGAGAGTTCTACATTAATAAAATCATAGATGTTTATCAGTGGAAAGATTCTTTAGCAATAATTTATGAATATCAAAATAGAATAGAAGATTTGAAAGTAGAAATTACATAAAATAAAAGAAAAATCATATCAAATGTTGTAGCTGCTTTTACCTTTTTGGATAAATAGAATGATACCTATCATGGAAATATTTGTTTAAACAATATTCTTATTAATAAGAATACTCTACAAGTCAAGATCACTGATTTTGCATTAAATAGATCGCTCTATTATCAAAATCTTGTAAACTCTCTAAATTAAATATTTAGAGCTCCAGAATACGAACCGGAAGTTAATAATTTAAAATTATAAGAATCTGGCATTCCTGATAAATTAGAAATGCCTACAGTTTTTGATGATTTCAAGAAGGCTGATACTTGGAGCATGGGTGTAGTACTAGGCTATTTAGCACTTGCTGATAATAAAGATTATGCTGAGGTATTTTTGAAGCATATTAAAGAAAAATAATTCAAAGATGCCTAGGCTTTGGTACTTATGCATGGAGAGGATTATGGAGTTTTCTTTTTTCGTTTATTAGAAATTATACCTAAAAACAGGTTATCCGTTGCAGCAGTAAATACTCTATTATGTAAGTTCAACCTTAAAGTAAATATTGAACAAATTACTTGAAAAACTCTAATAATTTGATGGTTAACTATAATAAAAGGCAGAAATCATTTAAATAACATGTTAGAAAGAGCTGGATTATCAAGAGTATCAAATAAGAAAATCATAAAAGGAAAATATTAGCAAGGTTCATATAGAATTGCAGTAGCATAATTTATAATAATTAGAATAACAATTTTAATTTTATTAATTTCATAATAATAGGTCGCTTTTATTAGGATAGTAACTTGGAGAGAAGTTGTTATCTCTCTTCCCAAAGCTGAATTTAGAAAATGTAACCTAAATTCATTTTAAAATCTAGTAAATTAACTATTTTATTCAATTGAGCTTATTATTTATATTGAATCTATCAAATTAGGAAAAACAACTTATGCAATTCAGGACTGGACTACTTTATTAAATTATTCGAAGAAGTGAGCTTCAACAATCTAAATATACTTGAGATAAATTTTGGGTAATAAAATAAATTAGAATAAAAACATTATTTATTAATAAAAATATTTTTGAAGCTTAAACAAATTGGAGGGGTAAGTAGCTGGTGAAAAAGCAAGACAAATGATAGAAAATATTAAAGCACCTTAGCTCACTTCATTCAGATTGTATTTTAGGTAAATAATTTATTTTAAAAAACAATGATAGCTCATGATAAAAAAAGTATCAACTCATTAGGTGATGAGGGTGCTTATTAAGTATTTGATGCTATGACTAAAATGCCACATCCTTATCTGAGTAAAATGGAGTTAGGACTTGGGTAATTTTTGTTCATTTCAATCTTTTGTTGCAAAATTAAAAAAAAAAATATTTAGCTAGAATTAATTAACTGACTAAGGAGTAATTAGGCTAGGATAACTGCTGAATTAATTAGATATGATGAAAATATCTGGAATTTGGATATACCTTGGGTATTTAAATTTTGTAAATAGTAAATAAATAATTAACAGCAATAAAATAATATAGAAAAAATAAATTGACATATAATGGTGTAGATGGCTTTTTATAAAATCTTTAATAAGTTGAGTAAAAAATCATTTCAGTGAGCGAATTCTAATTTTTGTAAATTATTTTTGGTAGCTTTTTTCTAATTAAATTGATTTATTTACATTTTATTTAAAAGAATGAATCTGTTAACAGCTGAGGAAATAAAATAGTTATAAGAAAAGTATTAATTTAACAGCTCTATAAGATTATTATTTTGACATTATTACCTATCTATAATAGTTAAATAAATTTTAAATTGAATAAAAATCTAAAACTAAAATTAATAAAAGCAATCATTTTTGTAAAAATTAACAATTAAACATACTAAAATAAATAACAATTTTATAATGAATTACTTATGTAAAGTTTATTAATACTTCATATATATTACTATGTATCAACCTAAATAATAGATAAATAACTATTTATAATAATCATCTTTAATATCTTAAATTACTAACAACAATTTTCTTTAATCAATCAGTTTTTAAATGAAAAGTATTTATTTATCTTCTCTCAATTTATCATAGTTATAGATATTTCTTATTCAAAATTTATTAATAATTTAGATAAATAACTATTTATTTATCAACCTACTTATTTAACAAAATAAGTAACTTGCTTAATAATTATTTTTAATCAATTATCTTAAATCCAAAAAAATTCTTATATTCCTTACAATAATTTTCATAAATTGAATTTTAAATGAATAAAATAAATCTTGTATTAATTTATGATAGCTAGCTAGATGAATTACTTATGAAAATTTAATTTATCTATCAACTTACATAAATAAATAAATAATTAACTAGGTAATATTTGTAATCAATTGTCTTTAAATTAATAAAAAATATATTTTGATTTAAGAATAATTTTCCTTAATTAAATTTTAAATGAAATATCTATCTATCTTTTTCAATTTATCTTAGTTAGAAGATTTATAGTTTTGATAAAAATCCTTTTTCTTATAATAAAAATAAATTATCTTAGATAAGAAATAAAAAATATGAAATGCAAAATATTTATTTATTTATATGTTAATTGATTGACCAACATCAAACAAACATCTAATTTGTGTTTATTCATTTTTAAATAACAAATAGCTGCATATCTATTTATTTATTGAAATTAAAAGAAGCATATTTTTTATTGTTAACAATTAATTATTTAATAAATTTCCACTGACAATTTATTTTTTTATATATATAAATACAACAACAAGTAAATAAACAAACAAAATCAAAAACACAAAAGATTTAAACTATTAGAAAAAGTAGCATAATCAACTTACAAATATGAGTTAAGAGAACCTCAATTAAGAAAATGATTTGAATAACGAATTCTCTTCTTCAGAATCTTACTTGGCCACTTTTGAAGCTGCTATTTAATAGCTTCAAAAAATTATTGAAAATCCTTAAAGCGGATAAAAAACTACTTTAAGCTAAAATCAACAGTAGTTACTTATTCTTTAAGAGAAATATGATAAAATAGAGCAATTAGTTTATGTTGAATAAGAATAGATAGAGTAGCTTATAGGTGCTCATATAGACTTGTAAAAGGAGCTGAATAGCGAATACTCTTAACATTAGAAGATTATTGCATAGGGTAAAAGGGAAATCCTTTAATTAACTTTAGCAAACAAACATGCTCTTTAAATTTAGAATGATGGACAAAGAGCTTTAGAATAAAATCGTTAAGAGGCAGAAAAAATAGTCTAGTACATCTAAAAATTGCAAAAGGATATTTAATCCTTGAATATTATTATGCAGGATAAGGAAAAGGAAGAAAAAATAATAGATGATGAGAACAATAAATTGTAGAGCTCAGTAAATATTTATCATTAATTTTATATAAAGGAGTATCTATAAAGCATAAAATTACCAAATTTAACTAAAATATTAAAATGATTTATCATTACTTAAATTAATTACTTAATAAATATGTAGATTGATGAATTTAGAAGAGATTAAAGCGAATAAAAGGATGGAATGGAGGACAAAAAGCATAAGCTTATATTGCTTGAAAAACAAATAAAATAAGTAAGAAAGGAGTAATTCGATATGCAAAAGAAGTAGGAAATTATGAAGAAGAGCGTCCAAGAAATAAAGCAAAAAATATCTTAATACCAATGTGATTAAGAAGTTGCTTTATCTGAATTAAAAAATGAAAAAAGAACATTATAAGTTAGTGAAAAGAAATTAGAAGAAATAAACAAGGGTTTGGAAAAGATTCAAAGTGAAATCAAATAGAGTGACTAGCATTTAGAACAAATTAGAGATTTAAATAAAAGTATGAAAACCAAGGTAGAATAAGTCTAAAATGCAGTCATGATATATTAATCCGAAGGACCTGATTCTGAGGAATTAAGAAACTTAGAAAGTCTTTTAGGATAGTATAATGAGTTGCTAGAAGAAAAGCAGAAAGTATTCCAAAGCAAGGAGTAAGAAAAAAATCTTTTGTAAGAGCACCTTTAACAAATGAGTAACTTTGCTCAATAGTATCTAGAGAAATAAAACCAGGCCAACTCTTAAAATGATAACCAAGTTTCAAATCTTACCAGCAAGCTAGATGCTACTTCTGAAATTAACAATTAGGTTATCAATTCTAATAATGTAAATAACAGTCAAACATTTGGTATGGAATGCATTCAAAGCCAATATGAACAAGAATAAGAATCCTCACTCAATACTCAGAATGCTAATATTCATACCTAGCATTAATCTAAGTAGTCTGCCTCTTCATCCAATTATTAAATATATTTAGATTAAGGTATGTAGAAGATAAACACAAGTACATCTAACCAGGATGATGGGTAATTTACATTACTTATTTCTGTTACACAAAAACACTTATTTCTGTTTGTTTTAAATTTCTTTTGCTAAATATTTTTTATTTATTTTACAAAAAAGAGGATTTATTTTTCAAAAAAAAAACAGATTTTTAATTTTACAAACTTTTAAAAGATGATATTATTTTATTTTGTTGTTAACATTTAATTATTAAATACAAATAAGAGTTAAAGAAGAAAAGTAGACAGCACAAAATTAGAGTTAAAACTAAAATCAATAAAATATTTAAGAAAAATAAATTTAAGTTCAAAATTAGCAGATTGATATCAATACTTAATTTTAATAATAGAATTTATAATAATAAAATCAAATTTTGTAGCAAATTTAAGTTAAAGAAAGCACAGAAAACGCTATTTTAGAGATTAACTAAGACTCATCTTAAAAGTAGTCAAGTTAAAGCAGCAATGAGCGTAATTAAGTTATAAATGAGTAACTTATTGGAAATAAAGTTTTTAATTAATCATTTGGTAATACTCTGTCTTCTAGTCTTTAAGAGAGTCCTGTTCAAGTAGAACGCTATTAAAATAATAGTAATCATCTTGATTCAGATTAGAAATAAATCTAATAAGAATTCAACTCTGGAACAATATCAATTGACCAACAAAAGCTTGAGTAGTTCATAGAAATACAAGAAAGAGAAGAAAGAAAGGAAAAGTAAAAGAGTGAAGCACACGAAGATGCTTAATCAAACAAAAATTCATCATAAAAAGCTTTATCTGAGACTAATTAGAAGCTAATGATTAAAATGGGTGTTCCTGGATTTGGAGGATATAAAGATATATTAAATTCACTTAAGAGTGGATTTTAGTAAAATTAATAATAAGAATGACAATCATTGTTTATATGACATAATTTGAACTTAATTTAAATTTTACTATCTTCATTAAATTAATTTAATAGTTAATTTATAAATGTTATTTTTTTAAATGTATATTTCATATTAGACAACTCAATTTATTTACAATCAATATATTTATTTATTTATTCATCCTTTCTTATCATTTATTTATTTCTAAATTAGTCTTCATTTAAAGCTACTATAAAAATTCATTATTTCATGTTTATTTTTTATTACTATTTTTTAATTTTTAAATTGTGTAAAAATAAATTTTTGTCAATATTTTTTAATTTTATGATTAATTTTAATATGATTAAATAATTTACAATCATTTATTTGCAAATTGATTTGATGTAATTAAAATCAACACTTATCAGGTCCTTTATTAGCTATTATTAATTTAAAATATAATTAAAATTTTAAATTATTTATTTATAAATTTCAATTTTATTAAATTAGATTAATTAAATATTTATTTCAAAATTATTTACTTGATCACTCAACTAAATTAATTAGCTTAAAAATATTAATATTGTTTTATGTTAACTAAAAAATGACTTTTAGAATGAAATAATATTAATAAGTATTTATTAAATACTACTTAATAATGAATTATTTTTGTTATCTATAACTAAAATAAACTTTAATTTCACATTAGAACTCAAAAATAATGTAAAACACTAAAAAATATCATAACAAATTCATATTAATAATAGCGTTGAAATGAATAATGTTAGCATAGTACCATTTTATCAATAACACAATAAAAGTACTTCTAATATTTGTTTTTTTATTCTTTTCCTATAAAATTCTATTTAATTTTTACTTTTTATAAAAATTTCATACTTTTTGTAAGCTATTATAAAAGTTACTAATCCCTCGATTATTTGTTATTTGTTTGGCGAAGAATTTATTGATATATAATTTTGTTTATGGTTTATTTTATTTTATTTTTTTTTATAAGCAAAATTTATAACATCTAAAATTTGCAATAAAATGAATATCCTTTTGATTTAAACAAGTTAAAAGATTTTAAAGGTAATTGAATTGGACGAAATAAATTTAAGAAATAAAAATTATATGATGCTTTGGAAAAAATGGAGCATATGAGCTTCTTATAATAGATATGCAAAGATTATTTCCACAAATTATTTTTGTTGTAATCTAATTAATAGGTTGCAAAGATTTTATAAGATTAACCTGATTTATTTATACTTCTTTGTAGGATATTGAATTGAATAAATCATTTGTGCTTTTATTTTTTAACAAGTTTTGACGTTTATAAAAAAGGTAAACATTTTTAAGATATTTATAATTAATTAATAGTTTAATTAAATAGAACTTTACTAAATATTAAAAAAAAATCTAACAAGCAAATGTCAGATAAGGTATATGTTAACATCTTCGAATTCGAAGATGAGGCCAAGAAGAACTTGACAAACAATTCTTACACTTATTATAGATCTGGTGCAAATGGTGAACACACATTAAGAGATAACATTGATGCTTATGCCAGAATTAAGATGAACCCATACGTATGTGCAGGCTTAAAAGATATTGATTTGAGTACCACCGTCCTTGGTTAAAAGTTAAATATTCCTATTGGTATTGCTCCTACTGCCATGCATAGAATGGCTACTCCTAGAGGTGAATTAACTACTGTTACTGCAGCTAAGAAAGTTGGTACTATCTATACTTTAAGCAGCTTAGCAACCACTAACATGGAAGATGTAGCTAAAGAATAACCTGATGCTCTTCGTTGGTTCCAATTATATATCGCAAAAGATAGAAAAATTACTGAAGTCATGGTAAGAGAAGCTGAAAGACTTGGATATAGAGCTATTGCTGTCACTGTTGATGCTCCTTACTTAGGTAAATTGAGATTTTATCAATTAATTTGAATAATTTTTGTAATACGACTAATCTCTACAGAGGTTGGCTTAAAGTAGAATCTAATTTTTGTTAGCATAAATGAAAAAATATAGCCAAATTACTTTCTTTTAAAGTTTATTTTATTAGATAACACTAATTTACTATATTAGGCATCAGAGAAGGTGATGAAAGAAACAAATTCACTCTTCCTTCCCACTTAAAACTCGAAATATTAGAAAGCTTCAAAAAAGAATTTGCAGTCAAAGGCAAAGGAGGCAGTGGACTCTTTGAAATGTTTAAAGATCAAATTGACCCTGCTATGAGCTGGGAAGATATCAAGTGGTTGAAGTCCTTCACAAAATTACCCGTTATTTTAAAGGGTATCCAAAATGGCGAAGACGCCCTTAGAGCTGCTCAACTTGGTGTTCATATTTGGGTTACAAGTAAATATTTTTGATTTAATTTGTAAGTTTCAACACATCTCTCTTATCTCATTCCGTCATTCAATCAAAAATAAATTAAACAAGCAAATCTTTTTACGTCATCTATTACAAATTTAATTTAAAATGTGTTGAATTTCTGTTGTCTAAACTAAAGCTTAAGCAAAAGTTTTTATTTAAAAGCCTCATTCTAAAAAATAAAATTTTTAAAATTTAATAGATCACGGTGGTAGATAATTGGACACAGTTAGAAGCACAATTGATATGCTACCTGAAGTTATGCATGCTATTAAGGATTACAGAAACACTGTTGAAGTTTATGTTGATGGAGGTATCAGAAGAGGAACCGATGTTTTAAAGTGTCTCGCTTTAGGAGCTAAGTGTGTTTTTATAGGAAGACCTCTATTATTCTCTTTAGCAGCTGAAGGAGAATAGGGAGTCTTAAAGATGTTCTAACTCTTTGAAAAAGAAATGAAAGTAGCTATGATGCTTCTTGGAGCAGGTAAAATTTCCGATCTTGGCCTTAAGCATCTTGTTAAAGCCACTATCCCTGTTTCAAATCTTTGAAAAAGAAAATTAGAGTCCTTTGTTATTAATTGTATGCAAAATTTTCGATATATTTGTGTGTGTGTATTTTTTTGTTTATAGATTCTAATTTTTGATAAATTGCATCAAATAACCAAAAGATTTTCTTTATCAAACAAATTCTCTAATGAATGACATCAAATAAAGATAAAATATCAAAATTAAATTTTTTCTATTTTTTTTATTTTAAAAACGTAAATTAATTAAAATTTAATAAGTCAATTAATCAATCACTCGACCTTAAATCAAGTATATTCATCATAATTTTTGATAATAAATTTTTGTCTAAAAAAATTAAAAGAGGTAAATAAATAAATAATTAGTGCCTGTTTGATTCTTGAATATTTGAATTTATATTCTACTTTTAAAGATTTATTAAAATATAAAAAATATATTTTAAACAACAACATAGAATCTTAATATGAAATGGTCTTAAAAGTTTAAAATATTTTTTAAAAATATTTCTTGGCAAAAAAATTTTATGTTAATTTACTTATGAATTTTTTACAAAAAAAACATTGTGTCAATTATTTTAATTATGATGAATCATTTAATATTTGAAAAATGCTTAATATTCTTTTTTAATTACAAAATTCTAAAAATTTAAATTTAAAAGTTAAATACAGCCAATTTTTAAATAAATTAATTAATTTTTCATTTTATTCAATTTTAGATTTTAAAAAATATTTTAAAAAATGTTTTTAGCATTTAATTTAATTTTAATAAAATTTCACAAACTTCTGTTCAGTTAGGAAATCAAATAGAAAAATAAATGGAAATAGAAGAATAGCAAAGTTATTAAAATCTGCCAACTAGATATCTAGGCACTTCTTGAAAAGAATTTTAGTTTGCGATTTGAGTAGAAATAATTAGAGCAGAAAGAAATGTATCAATAAAGGTTAATAATAAAATCTTTCTATTAGGTATATATATTTTAGACCTTATTTAGAATTAATTAAATGAATAAGCAGAGTTAAAAAATATACATTAATCTATAGTAATATATTTAAAAAGATAATTAATTAGGTATAACCTAGAGGAAAACTAAAAAAGGGTATAAAGATTTAGCTTAGTAAATAGCATTCTGGAACTTCAAATATTAGATCCTAGTTTTATTCAAAAAATAAGTAGTCCTTTCTTAATACAATTATATCATAACCCCATAACGTGACGCAGATAAGTTAAAATTTGAAAAAAAATGTTGAATTCAGATACCAATAGATTAAAATACATATTGTAGCTCTAAAAAAACCCAAAGAATATTAGAAACATATCTATCGTCGCTCACGTTGATCATGGTAAATCTTTATATTAAAATTTACTTCGTTTTTCAATAGTAGCTCAACAATTCATCAATTTAGGTTCTTAAAATTATTAATTTTACTTCATTTTTCAAATAGGGAAAACTACATTGTCAGATTCTCTAATTTCATCTAACAATATCTTCTCCAAGCAATTAGTAGGAGAGCTGCATTATTTAGACTCAAGAGAAGATGAATAGTAAAGAGGTATTACAATGAAATCATCAGCAATTTCTCTTATCTATAGATAGCAAGTAATATTTTTACAATTTTTTCATTCATTTTTCAAGTTATAAATAAATTAACTTAAATTAAAATTATCATCAAATTATTTAGCAAGAAGATTTCTTAATTAATTTGATTGATTCACCAGGTCACGTAGAATTTTCTTCTGAAGTCAGTAGTGCTTTGAGATTAACTGATGGAGCACTAGTAGTAGTTGATGCTTTGGAAGGTGTGTCTGCATAAACCTATACAGTATTAAAATAGTGCTATGATGAAAAGGTTAAATCTGTTCTGGTCTTAAATAAAATTGACAAGTAAATATTGTTTGATTTTTGATTTCTACTGAATTACTTCTTTAGATAAGTTTAATATAGTTATTACTTAGAGCAATTTATCAGTAGAAGATCAATTTATTTCAGTTTTTAGACATATTTTTAAATTATAAATTCAAATATTTTAGGTTAAAATATGAGTTGTACCAGACTCCTGAAGAAACATATTAGCATTTATAAATGATTATTGAATAAGTTAATGCCGTTATTAGTTCTTTCATTAACTAAGAAAAAGAAAAGGCTCTTACAGTTGCTCTAGAAAATTAAAAAAGCAATGACATAGACTCAACTAAAATTGAAGGAAATGATGATGATTTCTACAAAGAAGCAGAAGCAGCTTATTTCTCACCCGAAAAAGGTAACATCGTGTTTTGTTCTGCTCTTGATTGTTGGTCATTTAGACTTTCTGATTTTGCTGAAATTTTCGCAGAAAAGCTTGAATTACCTAAAAAAGTAAGTTGCCTTTTAAATATTGCCATAAATTTATTTAATTTATTAAAATTACTTAGCTGTTAAATAAGGTGCTTTGGGGTGAATATTACTACAACCCTAAAACTAAAAAAGTAACAAGAAACCCTCCAAACGATAAGGCCAGACCTCTTTTTGAGAGCTTTATTATTAAAAACATTTGGGCACTTTATGATTTAGTCCTTAACTAAGAAACTGATAAGATTAGTAAATTCTGTTAAACTTTTAAGCTCAAGGATTTAACTGACTCCATGAAAACCAACATGTCTAAAGACATCAAAGAAAAAAAGAAATGTGTTTCTTATCTTATGAGTTAATGGTTACCATTAGACAGGGCTATTCTTGCTTGTGCAGTAGAGTGGTTGCCTTCACCTATTTAAGGTCAAAAAGATAGACTTAAAGTTATCTCTAAAAAATTGGCATCATAAAAGTATAACAAAATTTTTATTTTAGAGATTTTATAATATTTAAAAATAATTAATTTATTAGAGAAATGAAGAACTGTTAAGAATATGCTTTGATGAGAAAGGCTATAGAAGAATGTGATAACTCAGAAGAAGCGCCCGTTGTTGCTTTTATTTGCAAAATGGTTGCTGTCAACAAGGCTCATTTTAATGAAAGAAATTTGCTTTCTTTGTAGGAAATGTCTAATGATCCATAAACTCGTTATATGGGTTTTGCCAGATTATATAGTGGCTTATTGAGAAGAGGAAAGACTATTTATATTATTGGTCCTAAAGCTCACCAAAACAAGGAAGGTTCTTAAAATACTTAACAAAATAGCATATTCCCTTTCACTGTTGAGAGATTATACACTATGATGGGACCTAATTAAGAAGGTGTCAAGGAAGTTTTTGCTGGAAACGTTTTTTCAATCGGAGGTTTGGATGATCTTGTTTTTAAATCAGCCACTGTTTCCAGTTTTGATTGCTGTCCCTCTTTAACTCCTATAAATGTATTTATTTTTAATTTGGTATTTAAATAAAAATAAATTTTTTATAAAAAAAAAACAGCTTGGTGCTAAAGGTATCCTTAAGGTAGCATTGACTACTCATAATTTAGATGAAAATTCACTCTTAATCGAAGGTTTAAAGAAATTAAACAAGAGTGATCCTTCAGTAGAAGTTTTCACAGAAAGTAATGGTAATATTATACTTTCTACATGTGGTTAGGTACATATGGAAAGATGCATTAATGACCTTGAAAAAACTATGGCTAAAATTAAAATTAAAGTAAATTTTTTCTTTAAAAATCATTTAAATAAGTTATTAATACATTTTAATGTAAATAGGTTTCAGATCCTATCATTTCATTTAAGGAGACAGTAATAAGCAAGAACTTAAAGAATAAGAGAGAAGCAAAGAATGAATATTAAAAAGAAAGTGAAGATGAATAAGAAGAAGATTTTGAAACTTTGTAGAGATTGGCTAAAGAAAAATTCTAAAAAGAATGTGAAGATGTTGAAATTGTTGATATTTAAAATGAAAAAGATGAAGATATTAGGTAGATTTTTGAAATAACAAATTGAATACTAATTTTTTATTTTTATTAGATATGGTCTGCTTGACGAAGAAAAAGAGAAGGACAAATTTAAATATAAAGTCGAAAAATTAATAAAAAAGAAAGACTTAACCAATAAAGGTAAAGCTCTTGCTATGTTAAGTAGAGTGAACATATTAGATATCATAAATAAAAAGAATTACATTTGTTAGTTGATTCCTAACGGTAAAATTATGTTGAAAGTTAGATGCATAGGCATGAAGTTTGAGTTAGCTGAATGGCTTGAGAAAAACTCTAAAAAAATGTATAAATTCTTCTTTGATATGAGCAAGAAAAGAGAGCCTGTAAAATTTTAAAATTAATTAAATGAAAATTTATTTTAATAAATACATTTTATTTATGATAGTAAGAAATACTTGATTTCTTAAAAGATTTTGAAGATTAAGTGAATGAAATAGTAAATGAAAAGAAATTAAAAGATCTGATTATGAACAATCTTGTCTCCTTTGGTCCTAACAGATATGGCCCTAACATGCTCATAATGAATCACATACAAAAGGAAGAGTCTCTCCTTGAAAAACTGAGAAAGAAAGCTACCTAAGCATGTATTGAAGAGTAAAACAATCAAAACGGAGAGAATGGATAGTAGAATGGTGAAATTGGAGGAGACAATCAATAAAAAGATGAAAAAATCTCAAGCATTAATAAAAAGCTTAATACTTTTAAGACGTAACTTTCAATTTTGAAATTAAATTAATGTGCAAATTATACTTTTGAATAAATAGATGGTCAACAATAGAATAATTATACAAAGTTACTCCTGAAGAAATATAAAACTCAATAGTTTATGGTTTTGACACTGCTGTTTCAGCTGGTCCACTTTGTATGGAATAAATGATGGGTGTTATATATATCCTTGAAGAAATTTAAGTGATGGACGATGAAAAAAAAGAAAACGAAAACTCTTCACCTGAAAAAGAAAGAAAAGAAGAAAACCAAATTGCTTCTGAGAGAACTTTAGATGAAAAAGAAGAAATAGCTTCTGATTCTACAAGTAATTATCAATTTCCTTCAAATACACTAAATTTAAATTTTTTATTTAATTTGAATAGGTAATGCAGCTCACAAAATGCTTAATTAGCCTTTTGGACCCTTAAACGGATAAGTTATATCAACAATGAAAGACTGCTGTTTTGAATGTTTCTTAGGGGCATAACCTCGTATTGTTGAAGGTATGTATATGTGTTATGTACAAACACATTAGGAAAATTATGGCAAATCATTCGAAGTGCTAAATAAAAAGAGAGCCAAAATCTTGGAAGAAGAGTTATAAGAAAGTAGTAATATTTTCCTAATTAAAGCTCATCTTCCTATCTCAGAGTCATTTGATTTTTACAATCTAATGTAAGATAACACCTCCGGTAGAATAAATTCTTAGCTTATTTTTGATACCTGGAAAATCCTCGAAATAGATCCTTTCTACGTCCCTCAAACTCAAGAAGAAATTGAAGAACACGGAGCAACAGTTAATGTACCTAATTTTGCTAAGGATCTAATTGAAAAAATCAGAAAGAGAAAGGTAACATTAATTTTTTTCCATAATAATATATAATTAATATATTTATTTATCAAAATAGGGTTTATCTACTGAAGAAAAAGTAGTTGTTGCAGCAGAAAAGCAAAGAAACCTTTCCAAAAAGAAATGAGAAATCTCAAATTTTAAAAAATCAACAAAACTTACTTTAATAATACCTTATTCATATAGATTAATATTATGTTATGTAAAATTTGTAATATTCTATGTTAATTTTTAGAATTGATCTAATCTCCCTACTTTATGCCTAGATTCTAATAAATTAATTAAATAAAAATTACCCATAAATATAAATTGTAAAAACAGAATTATGATTACTTTACCACCCTACTTAAAATAAATTTAGTTATATTCTTTTAAATCTATGTTTTGATTAGAATTTTATTTTATTATAAAAGCGCTTTTCCTTTATTTATGTTAAATAGATTATTATTAATTTTTTACTAATTAAAAAATGGAATTGATTTAAATGAGAAATATTTGCTATTAAAATTTATGGTAATATTATTAATTAATGAAAGAGAGAAAAAAATATATATATAGTATCCTAAGGTACTGCCTTTTTCAAGTCTATACACTGAAACTTTAGATTTAAGGTTTTTATGACCATAGAAGTATTGTTGACCCATATACATATATTATTTATATTTATAATAATTTTTATAAATACTTTAGATACTTTTTAATCAAAGTCAGATAAATTAAAGTAAAGAAATAGTATGAATAAAAAAATTTCAATTAAGGCCTAAATTTTTTTAAAGTGAATATTTTGACAGAAAACAAAACTTAAATATAAAAAATAATTTTATGTTAAAGTATTAAACACTCATTTAAGTAAAACAATAATAAATCATTTTAATTATCTAAATTCTTCCAATTAATCTAAAATATAATGATTAAATAATAAATTTGAATTTCTAGTTAGTATTTAACTATCTTTTTAGTAACTAACAGCTTCTTATATTTCAATTTTTTTTTATTTTAATTAAAAATAAATAAAAAATAAATTCAAATTAATTGTATTTTTTTCCTTTTTAAGTTATCATTATTAATCAATATTTAATATTTTTTATTTTTTTTTGTTTATTCAGGTTTTAAACCTATCAAGATACCTTTTTTTACTATTTTAAAATGTTATAAAATTATCTATTTATTTAAAACTTTTAAGATTTTATTTTTGGTTTTAATAAATGTAATGAAGAATAATATAATAATTTGTTAAATATTTTAATTTACTGAATTAATATATAATATAAAAATAATCTTAATAATATAAATTTTTAATGTAATTTATAATTTTCAAGCAACTTAGTTGCACTAAACTCCTCTGAAGCCTTTCATGCAAATACAAGTTCCATTATTGCAATAACCATTTGAATTACAATTGTTTGGACATAGTTTCTTGTAAGCACAAAATTCATCTAGCTTTTCAGGGCAAGTAAGATAACCACTGTAACCTGGAACCTTCAATTATTGGCCATTATTAGAACAGGTAACTTTAGTTCCTCCAACATGAACAATTACCTAGTTGGCAGAAGTACAAGTATAGGTATAGCATAAACCTTATTCGTTGATAGGTCTATATTTTTCATCTATAAGTGAGCTGTTAAAGCACTTAGAGTTTAATCCAAAAGTAACTCCAAAAATACGTTTATAATTTGGATTATTCTAAAAGTTGTTTGATTAATCATAACATTTAGCGTTACTAATTGTTCGATAAGTGTTGCATTAATTGTCTAAGAATTAAGAGAAATTACATTATCCAGTACCATGATAATAGCAGTCACATTTTTTTTCGAAAGATCCGACAGTACAGAATTCCCTATTATTGTCATCACATTAGCCATAAATGAAAGAGCAACCAGCATTTTTACCATAAAATGATTCTTCTTCCATATTTGAGTTGACAGAAACAAAAAAACCAGCATCTCTTAGCAAAGCGACTGTAAAACCAGTTAAAATAGGAATGGTTAGGGAAATGGAAGCATTCATTATTTCATCTTGAATAATATTAGTTTCCCAGTGATAACCAGCTGAACGATCACCACCTTAGTTTTCAAGAGGCATACCAGGGATAGTATTTTTTAGCAAATTCAAGAACATGAGGTGTTTTTAAGAAAGTTGTTTTCATCCCTCTCATTAGATATTAAGTTGTAGGATTAAAATGAGACTTCATATTAGAATCAACCCATCTTGGAATATCATATATAGAAAATCCGAGAAAGTGAGTTATTTCATGGATAACAGTTCCAACTAAATCTTAGAACTAGAAAGAGTTGGCAAAGTTGTAAGAATTTAAGATACCCAAGTTGAAGTTAACTTGACCGTGAGTGGGACCTATTACTCTGAGAAATCTGCACCACCCAGCATAAGCAATATAGGTTTCTTAAGGTTCATTAGTGAAAGTAATATACAAATGGAGATCACTATCCTTATCTGTAGTCTTGTCAGCAGTAGGGATAATAGCTTCTCCACAATTATTATGTCTTAGATCCCACTTCATAGAACCTTTAGGTTTAGGAATGATAGTAATGAGATTGCTAAAGAAATTAGAAGCTATCTTTATAGCCTTTTCGCAGCTTCTTCTGAAGATTTACATTTCAGGAGTGTTAGGTAAAGTGTTAAAATAAGCCATATCATAGGTAATCTTGATGTTTCTAGGTTTAGCATTTTAGAGATGTCTCTCATTTTCATCAACAATGAAATCGACTATTTCTTTGTCTAACTTATATATATATATATATATGTATAGTACCCGAGGGTACTGCCTTTTTCAAGGCTATACACTGAAATTTTAGATACTAGTCGAAAAATAAATTTGGGGTAAACGCAGTGAGGGATAAGGTTGAGAGGTAATACGGTATATTAATTTATATGATTTGTTAAATTAATTTAATATATTGAGATATATGCTTAAAATCTTATTTTATTTTTTTTATTTATTTAATCAATTAATTAATATTTACAATCAAATAATATAACTGATTAACCATATATATAATTAAATAATGCAATATTAAATTAAATCTAATATTATAATATTTTTAATATTATTTATAGTTTCAAGCAACTTAGTCGCAAGCAGCTCCTCTGAAACCATTCATACAAATACAAGTTCCATTGTTGCAAAAACCATTTGAACTACAATTGCTAGGACAGAACTTCTTGTAAGCACAGAATTCATCAAGCTTTTCAGGGCAAGTAAGTAAACCACTGTAACCAGGAACCTTCAATTATTGGCCATTATTAGAGCAAGTAACTTCAATTCCTCCAACGCTAACAATTACCTAATTGGCAGAAGTACAAGTATAGGTATAGCATAAACCTTATTCTTCAATAGGTTTATATTTTTCACTAACGAGTGAGCTGTTAAAGCACTTAGAGTTAGATCCAAGAGAAACTCCAATAGCACTTTTATAAATTGGATTATTCTAGATGTTGTTTGATTCATCATAACATTTAGAATTACTAAAAGTTTAAATCCTGTTGCAACCATCATCTAAATCTGAAGACTAGATACATAATCCATTACCATGATAATAATAGTCACATTTTTTTTCGAAAGAACCTTCAGTACAGAACTCTCTTTTTTAGTCATCACAAGAACCGATAACGAATGAACAACCAGCATCTTTACCATAGAAAGATTTTTCCTCCATATTTGAATTAACAGAAGCATAGAAACCAGTATCTCTTAGTAAAGCGGCAGTAAAGCCAGTGAAAATAGAAATGGTTGGGGAATCTGTAGCATTCATTATTTCATCTTGAATAATAGTAGTTTCCCAGTGAGAACCAGCTGAATCTTCATCACCTTAGTTTTCAAGTGCCATACCAGGAATAGTGTTGCATCCATAGTATTTTTTTGCGAATTCAAGTACATTTGGTGTTTTTAGGAAAGTAGTACTAATACCTCTAACAGTTTACTCAACAGTAGGATTAGCATGAGGTTTCTTATTAGAATCAACCCAGTTATCAAAGTCAGAATCAGAAAATCCGAGAACATGAGTCACTTCGTGGATAACAGTCCCAACTAAACCTTAGAATACGTGAGAATTGGTAAAATTTTAGGTTTTTAAGATACCCAAGTTGAAATTTACTTAACCGTGAGTGGGACCTAAAATTCTAAGGAGTCTGCACCATCCAGCGTAAGCAAGATAAGTTTCTTAAGGTTCATCAGTGTAAGTGACGTATAAATGGAGATCACTATCCTTATCGGTTGTCTTATCAGTAGCAGGGATAGTAGCTTCACCACACTTATTTCCTCTGTGATCCCATTTCATAGAACCTTCAGGTTTAGGGACGATGGTGATAAGATTGCTGAAGAAATTAGAAGCTATCTTGATAGCCTTTTCACAGTTTCTTCTGAAGATTTACATTTCAGGGGTATCAGGTAAATTATCGAAATAAGCCATATCATAGGTAATCTTGAAGTTTCTAGGTTTAGCATTTTAGAGATGTCTTTCATTTTCATCGATAATCGAGTCAACAATTTCTTTGTCTAACTTTTGATTCATTCTTTTATGAGCACATTTATGCCCTTAGAAATGAGCTTAGACTTAAGTAAAAGCAAAGCAAGCTATTAATAGAACTGCAGCGAATTTATTCATAATTTTAGTTATTTTGATTTTTTTTTGTTTTACTTGTTTATATTTAAATTATTGTGATCTGTGATTTAAACCACTAAAAATATGTCAACTATATCAGGTATATTTAAATGGTTCTGAAAATTTATATTTTTTTAATCCTGCTTTGCTAAAATATCTAAAATTAATAAAATTCATATGATTAGATTTTAGTACTATTAAGTTAATGATTTTATAATTAAAAATACGAAGTAAGAATGTACATTTAATTAATGATTTAAATATTGAATAATTATTTTCGCACTTACTTGGTTATAGAAAATTTAAAGTAATAGGTTTAAAATATTTTACTTATCCTAGATAAAAATTAATAAAGGTTTATAAATAATAAATAAATAACTTTAAAATCTTATAAAGTCTAATTAAGTATATAAATCCATCAGATTTGATTTATGAATAAATAAAATAACTATAAATAGATAAATAAGGAGTGAATTATTTAAATTTTTAAAAAAAAACCATATGTTTCAATTATGTTAAATGAAAAACAACTAAAGTACAAAAATAAACACTTTAAAAATTTTGAAATATTTATGTTTAAATATTGAAGAATCAATAAAATTCTATTTTGGTTTGTAAAAAGTAATTTGATTTTTAATATGCTTGAAGCAAAAGTGTAAGTTACCATCATTGTAATATAAAGAGTAATACAAAAAATATATTCAATATAAAATATTTTAATTTAAAGCCACACTTGTATTATCTACAAAAATAATTATAAATACAAATAAGCATCAAATATTAGCTTTTTATGTAAAGTTTTAAAAATGTATTTTTACTTATTTTTTATTTTAATAAATATTTATGTGCTAAGAGTTAAGTTCTAATAGCTATTACTATAAAAAATTAATGTCTAGCAAAATAAACTCAAGACATAATTCTTTCTCACAAAATATTTTTTTTATATATTAAAAATCGATGCTTTTTAAAAAATGATATAATTTAAAAGACTAAAAAATTTATTTTAAACTAAATAGAGTTTTAAAATTATATATAATTAAGTAATAAATTAAATAACTAAAATTAATTAATTAGTACAACCATAGTTAATTAGCTATAACTCTTGTTACTGATCCTATTTAAATATATAATGAATGATTCTTTCTATCAGTAATATTTAAAAACTTACCACAAAAATTTGAATTTATAAAATATAAAGAATAACTAGCCATAGGTTGTGTTCATAATGTGAATATTATTCGCTGTATAAAATGTGATAAAATTTTGCACATAATAAGTTTGATTTTTTAAAAATGAATTTTTTGAAAGACATATTACTTTTTATACATAAAAAATACCGTAGAATATATAATAAGTAGTTTAATGTGGTTTAACCACTTTTCATAAAAAATTACTATTTTAACTACTTACCAATATATAATAATTAAAATTTACTAGTTTAGAAAGTTTTACCCTTATTTTAAATATTAGTAAGGATAATTTTACTTTAAATAAATGGTAAAATATTTTTCTATTAACAATCTACCTCTCAAAATTAACTTTAAAAAATTTACTACTTATAACTAATGTTTATAGGGGATTCTACAGTACATTTTCTAACTTATTTTTAGGTATAATTAAGTTTAAAAATTTTTAAATATTTGATTTCAATAGCTAAAATGTTTTTACAAATTTCATAAAAAGTGTTATTTTTTAAGAAACATAAGCTTCTATTATTAAAGCTTTTATTTTTACATTATTTTAATTAATTATTTATTTGAAAAATAAAGATTTGAAATATTAAAATAAATTTTCATACTAGGTAATTTTTTATAAAAGGAGCAATGGTAACATGATAATAAGTATGTAAATTTTGGGATTTTTACATATAAACTTAATATATATAAATTTCTTATATTCTAAAATTTACATTTATAGTTGCGCAAATAAGTTATGGTTAAAATTTTATAGTGGAATAATTAATTAATTTATTCAAATTAAAGTTGCAATAGTAAAATTGTATAAATTAAATAAAGTATACTAGCATAATAAATTAATTATCAGATTAATTTGATCAAATTAAGTAAGAAAAAATACTCTATGGGCATAATCAATTATTAATCATCATAGAAGCTTTCTGAAAAACTATAAAATTTATATTTTATTAATGTAACTCAATTATTTTTAAAATTTGAAAAGTTTGTATGAATTTAATAAAATAATAGACACATTAAAAAAGTATAAAAAAAAGAGATTAGAAAAAAAGGCGTTTAGTGATATGCAAAAACAATTAAAATTACTACCCATGAAATACAAAAGTATAATTGTAAACATATATTGATTAATTAATTAAAAAGTGATGATAAAACCAAAATTTTAGTACGATATTAACAAATATACAATTAAATATTTTACTATATAAATTTTAGTTAATTTTTATCTAAGTAAATTTACTCTCTAAAGATAAAGTTTTAAATTTATGGCATATTCTTGCTTAGATAAAATTATTTTATTTATATTTTAAGTGCGAGTTAATCATAAAAAATTAAAAATTGTTTAAATTATTTAATTCTTAAAATTGTAATTTTCGAGATAAAATTAATAAATAAATTTAATATTTTATTTGCTTTGTCTTTAATCTTAAAACTAAATTTTATAAAGTTTATCAAATAAAATTAAACATAATTAAGATGATTTTTTTTTTCATCCCTCTCATTAGATATTAAGTTGTAGGATTAAAATGAGGCTTCTTATTAGAATCAACCCATCTTGGAATATCATATATAGAAAATCCGAGAACGTGAGTTATTTCATGGATAACAGTTCCAACTAAATCTTAGAATTAGAAAGAGTTGGCAAAGTTGTAGGAATTTAAGATACCCAAGTTGAAGTTAACTTGACCGTGAGTGGTTTAATTTAAAGTTGCTAATTGGCCTTATATTTTATATTTAACTTACATAATAATAATGGTCATATTAGTGCGGAATAATTAAATACTAAAAATATACTCTATGAAAAAAATTAAAAATTAATTATTATTTAAACTTTCTAGCAAACTATTAAACTTACATTCTATTTATGTAATTTAATTTCTAAAATTTGAAAAGCTAGTATGAATTTTATAAAATAATAAGCATACTAAAGAAAAAATTATATTAAAGATATTGAAAAAAACGTTTTTAGTAACATTTCAAAACTATTCAAAATATTAGCTAAATAATAGTCTAAGATAATTTCAAAATATATTTCTAGTTTAAAAAAAAATTAAAAAATATTTTAGCATTCAATTAGCAAATTTCAAATCAAATATTTTACAATATAATTTTATCCTTAATTAATTATGGATTTTAGCTAGTTTTTTATTAATTTTTATTAAATTTACTATATTTTCTTAAAATAAAAAATATGTTGTGCCATATAATTCGATTAACTCACTGAAAAACTAGCTGGGAAAAAAAAAATTGAGGTACACGCAGTGAGGGATAAGGTTGAGAGGTAATACGGTATATTAATTTATATAATTCGTTAAATTTATTTAATATATTGAGATATATGCTTAAATCTTATTTTATTTTTGATTAAATAAATCCATTAATTAATATTTACGATTAACCATATATATAATTATGTAATGCAATATTAATGTAAATCTAATATTATAATATTTTTAATATAATTTATAGTTTCAAGCAACTTAGTCGCAAGCAGCTCCTCTGAAACCATTCATGCAAATACAAGTTCCATTGTTGCAAAAACCGTTTGAACTACAATTGCTAGGACAGAACTTCTTGTAAGCACAGAATTAATCAAGCTTTTCAGGGCATGTAAGTAGACCACTGTAGCCAGGAACTTTCAAATATTGGCCATTCCTAGAGCAAGTAACTTTAGTTCCTCCAACGCTAACAATTACCTAATTGGCAGAAGTACAAGTATAGGTATAGCATATACCTTATTCCTTGATAGGTTTATATTTTTCACTAACGAGTGAGCTGTTAAAGCACTTAGAGTTAGATCCAAGAGAAACTCCCATAGCACTTTTTTAAGTTGGAGTATTCTATAAGTTGTTTGAATCATCATAACATCTAGCATTACTGAAAGTTTAAATCGTGTTGCAACCATCGTCTAAATCTGGAGAGGAGTTACATTTTCCAAAACCATGATAATAATAGTCACATTTTTCTTCGATAGATCCTTCAGTACAGAACTCTCTTTTTTTGTCATCACAAGAACCGGTAATGAATGAACAACCAGCATCTTTACCATAGAAAGATTTTTCCTCCATATTTGAATTAACAGAAGCATAGAAACCAGTATCTCTTAGCAAAGCGGCAGTAAAACCAGTGAAAATAGAAATGGTTGGGGAATCTGTCGCATTCATTATTTCATCTTGAATAATAGTAGTTTCCCAGTGAGAACCAGCTGAACTTTGACCACCTTAGTTTTCAAGAGCCATACCAGGAATAGTGCTGCATCCATAGTATTTTTTTGCAAATTAAAGAACATTTGGTGTTTTTAGGAAAGTACTATTCATGCCTCTAACAGTTTACTCAACAGTAGGATTAACATGAGGCTTCTTATTAGAATCAACCCAGTTAGCAATGTCTAAATCAGAAAATCCGAGGACATGAGTGATTTCATGGATAACAGTCCCAACAAAACCTTAGAATATGTGAGAATTGGCAAAATTTTAGGTTTTTAAGAAACCCAAGTTGAAGTTTACATAACCGTGAGTGGGACCTAAGATTCTAACAAATTTGCACCATCCAGCATAAGCAAGATAATCTCCATTAGGTTCATCAGTGAAAGTGACGTATAAATGAAGATCACTATCCTTATCGGTTGTCTTATCAGCAGCAGGGATAGTAGCTTCTCCACACTTTTTGCTTCTGAGATTCCATATCATAGAACCTTTAGGTTTAGGGACGATGGTGATAAGATTGTTGAAGAAATTAGAAGCTATCATGATAGCCTTTTCACAGTTTCTTCTGAAGATTTACATTTCAGGAGTATTAGGTAAATTATCGAAATAAGCCATATCATAGGTAATCTTGAATTTTCTAGGTTTAGAATTTTAGAGATGTCTTTCATTTTCATCGATAATCAAGTCAACAATTTCTTTGTCTAACTTTTGATTCATTCTTTTATGAGCACATTTATGCCCTTAGAAATGAGCTTAGACTTAAGTAAAAGCAAAGCAAGCTATTAATAGAACTGCAGCGAATTTATTCATAATTTTAGTTATTTTGATTTGTTTTGTTTGAATTGTTTATATTTAAATTATTGTGATCTGTGATTTAAACCACTAAAATGAGCTCAACTATATAAGGTATATTTAAATGGTTCTGTAAATTTATATTTTTTTAATTTTGCTTTCCTAAAATATATTAAATTAGTAAAATTCATATGATTAGATTTTAGTACTATTAATTTAATGATTTTATAATTAAAAATACGAAGTAAGAATGTAAATTTAATTAAAGATTTAAATATTGAATAATTATGTTCACACTTTACTTGGTTATAGAAAATTTAAAGTAATAGGTTTAAAATATTTTACATGTCATAGATAAAAATTAATAAAGGTTTATAAATAATAAATAAATAACTTTAAAATCTTATAAAATCTAATTAAGTATATAAATCCATCAGATTTGATTTATGAATAAATAAATAAATTTATTACTATAAATAGATAAATAAGGAGTGAATTAATTAAATTTTTTTTAAAAAACCATATGTTTCAATTATGTTAAATGAAAAACAACTAAAGTACAAAAATAAACACTTTAAAATTTTTGAAATATTTATGTTTTTAAATATTGAAGAATCAATAAAATTCTATTTTGGTTTGTAAATAGTAATTTGATTTTTAATATGCTTGAAGCAAAAGTGTAAGTTAGCGTTATCGTAATATAAAGAGTAATACAAAAAATATATTCACTATAAAATATTTTAATTTAAAGCCACACTTGTATTATCTACAAAAATAATTATAAATACAAATAAGCATCAAATATTAGCTTTTTATGTAAAGTTTTAAAAATGTATTTTTAAAAATATAAAATTGTTATTTTATATTTATACTTATTTTTACTTTAATAAATATTTATGTACTAAGAGAGTTAAGTTCTAATAGCTATTACTATAAAAAATTAATGTCTAGCAATATAAACTCAAGACATAATCCTTTCTCACAAAATATTTTCTTTATATATTAAAAATGGATGCTTTTAAAAAAAGATAGAATTTTAAAGACTAAAAAATTATTTTAAACAAAATAGAGTTTTAAAATTATATATAATTAAGTAATAAATTAAATTACTAAAATTAATTAATTAGTACAACCATAGTAATCTAGTTATAATTTTTGTTACTAATCCTATTTAAATATATAATGAATGATTCTTTCTATCAGTAAAATTTCTATGGTTTCTAAAGATCTAATTCAAAAATTTTATTTAGCATTCGTCCACTTACTTCTATACTAAATTCAAGTTATTAAAAACTTACCACTAAAATTTGAGTTTATAAAATATAAGAATAACTAACCATAGGTTGTGTTCATAATGTGAATATTATTCACTGTATAAAATGTGATAAAATATTGCACATAATAGGTTTGATTTTTAAAAATGAATTTTTTGGCATTCGAAAATTAACTATAAAAATTTACTACTTATAACTAATGTTTATAGTGGATTCTACGGTACATTTTCTAACTTACTGTTTAAGTATAATTAAGTTTAAAATTTTAAAAATATTTGATTTCAAAAGCTAAAATGTTTTTTCAAATTTCATAAAAAGTGTTATTTATTTAAGAAACATAAGTTTCTATTATTAAAGCTTTTATTTTTACATTATTTTACTTAATTATTTTTTGTCATTTGAAAAATAAAGATTTGAAATATTAAAATAAATTTTCATACTAGGTAATTTTTTTATATAAAAAAGGAGCTATGGTAAAATGTATATTTATTTTGGGATTTTTACATATAAATTTAAATTTCTTATATTCAAAAATTTACATTTATAGTTGCACAAATACGTTATGGTTAAAATTTTATAGTTGATAGTGTGTGTTATAATTAATTAATTTATTTCAAATTAAAGTTGCAATAGTAAAATTGTATAAATTAAATAAAGAATACTAGCATAATAAATTAATTATCAGATTAATTTGATCAAATTAAGTAAGAAAAAATACTCTATGGGCAAAATCAATAATTAATCATCATAGAAGCTTTCAGAAAAACTTTAAAATTTATATTTTATTATTGTAACTCAATTTTTAAAATTTGAAAAGTTTGTATGAATTTTATAAAATAATAGAAACATTAAAAAAATATATAAAAGAGATTAGAAAAAAAGGCTTTTAGTGATATGCAAAAACAATTAAAAATTACAACTCATGAAATATAAAAGTATAATTGTATACATATATTAATTAGTTAATAAAAAAGTGATGATAAAACAAAAATAAACTTTTAGTGTTATATTAACAAATATACAATTAAATATTTTATGATATAAATTTTAGTTAATTTTTATTTAACTAAATTTACTCTCTAAAGATAAGACATCAATAAATATTTTTAAACTTATGGCATATTCTTGGTTAGATAAGATTATTTTGTTAATATTTTTAAGTGCTAGTTAATCATAAAAAATTAAAAATTATATAAATTATTTAATTCTTAAAATTGTAATTTTCGAGATATAATTAATAACTTTAAAATAAATTTAATATTTTATTTGCTTTGTCTTTAAAGTCGGGAAAAAAAAAATTTGAGGTACACGCAGTGAGGGATAAGGTTGAGAGGTAATACGGTATATTAATTTACATAATTCGTTAAATTAATTTAATATATTGAGATATATGCTTAAAATCTTATTTTATTTTTTATTAAATAAATCCATTAATTAATATTTACGATTAACCATATATATAATTATGTAATGCAATATTAATGTAAA